TTTGTTTGTTTGTGTATTTAATGCGGCTCTCTTCCTTTTGCACACACAAGCTGCTGATAATTCTCAGATATCCAATAAGGCAGGCTCAGATGCTTGTGATTCATTTTGATTTGTACCTCAATGCAGTAATAATCACAGGGGCTGAGATCCAATCTGGGCTCAAGCATATTCACACATGCACAGGGCATCACACTCTGTCTTCTCCATGTCTATTTTTACACGCATGTTTGAGGAATAGAGGCAGAGTGCCAGCGTCACTGTGACTCATTGGGTTGCTCATGAGATGCCTTGCTGCCAAAGCGAGTATCCATGGTCCACGTCATACTCAAGAGCAGTGACGGGGAGAGGGTTATGGCTTAAAAAAAACTTGTTGAGGCCCTAACTAAGGGTTAATTCAAGAACAAATGTTAATTTTTAAAAAGGAAATCTACTGTCTTGTGAAGTTAAGGAGTGTCAGCAGAGTAGCAGGGGCCATATGTTGTTCAAAGGCTTTTCAGCCACAAGACTGTGTTTTTGCACTTTTTACCATATTTGTATGGCTGTTTTTCCACAGTTGGGCTATTTTAGTGCACTTTAACTTTGCCACTGCAAGCTCCAAACTCCAAAACTACAACTAAGAAGAAAAAAAATGAGCAACACGCTAAAGAACGACAAGAACAGAAAGAAACAGAAGAACATTTGTTAAAGTCTTTTAAATTTCTTTATTAGTCAGCAAATGTATCATGCGGTGAGACAGAAGAAAACATTAAATACGTGAATGCATATCAACACAACAAACATTTCACATTTGGATCTTGCTCTGGTATTTCAGCAGACAGTGTTTCCCCATCAAAGGCCCTGAATGTCCATCTGACTGAGATTAAAAGAAGATAATTCAAAGGAAAAAAATAGGTTGTTGAAAATAGGAGAAAACATGATGTATGACATGCAAAAAACAGAACCCACTCACAAGTGGGTTAGGTGTACCTGTGGTTGGGGATGCTGCAGTTGTGGTGTCTCCTCTCACTGACAGCTAGAGGCATTTCATTAGTCTCAACAATAAAGAGACCCAGACCTGTAGAGAGAAAATAGTGGAGAATACCTCCAAATTGTCCTGAAGCACCAATATGTAGCCATGTACCACAAAGACATCTCCATGGCCTCATTCATGCCAGCAGCTTTTTGGGCCATTTGATTGTCCTTTCTTGGATCCACAGATCAGAGTCAGTAACCCGGGAGTGTGTGTTTACAGCGAGACTATACATGTCTGTCTTGAGTTAGCCTTGAGTATGTGAGGCTGGACGGTCAGTGGAAAGACTTGAGGCTTAACTGGGACATAGTGTTGGGACTTTGGGGTGAGTTTGGCTTTCTTAAACTGTGTTGATGGAATACTTCCCCAGGCCACCAAAATGAAGATCATCACAAAGGCGGCTACTATTAGTGACCACAGGGGCCATCAATATGAGCAGACAATGATAGTTTAATAAGTGGTAACATGCCAGAGCTGTGCCTACAGCCTTTTTCTGCTGAGCCAGAGTGGTCTTAAAATCAGTCATTGCACCTTCAAGGGGATTTTTACATCAGAAAGACTGCTGACAGAAAGTATTTTATTTTTTAAGCACTTTTGAAATGTGAAGATCTCTGTCTGAAGTTCAGGATTTACTGTTTTTCTAAGGGACTTCTCCACAATTCCTTTACCTGGATTCCTTTTGTCACAAGTTGTTCTTGTGTGTTTGAGATTTTACTGGTTTTGTAATTAAGTTGTCTTTTTCAGTGTGTTGTATCTTTGTGATCTTTGTCAAATCTTTGTGTTTCCCCTCACATTTGATTAACCGCATTAGTTTCACTTGTGTCTTGTGTCCCCACCGGTTGCTCATTTCTGTGTGTGCATTTAGTTTTTGAGTTTCTGTCTCTCTGCATCAGTTCAGTGTGTCTTCTTCTGCATTTTCTACCCGTTTATGCTGTTTCATATGCTGGTTCTCCGTGTTTTATGATCACACCTTTTTTTTCATCATTTGAGCCTTCTTGTTTTTCCTTTTGTGTGTGTTGAATAACTCCTTTAGGCAGTCTGCACATGGCTCCTCTCCCTTTGTTAGTTACTCACTGTGATAAAACACCATCAACACTTTTCCATCAACCAATTAAACTGTCCACAATTATATAAAAAAAAACCTACAGAGGCACATATTATAGTTTTAATGATTCAAACTAAATATATCATGAAAGAAAAACGAGTCGCGAAAATGGAATCATTTTAAATGCATCACTTTTTCTCATTTTCACAGAATTACAATCCATTTCGGACAATCACCCAGACAATGTTTCTATTGGTTGTGTTTGAAAATGTTTCTTTTATATGCTGGTGGTACTAACTTTTTATAGCTCCCGCAGGCAGTGGTTAAAATTAGCTTGATAAACAACACTAAGCCTCAGTGTGTGTGGTGTGCGTGTTTATGTATGTTTGTGTGTGTATGTTTATTACCACAGAGATAGTTCAGCTGCCCAGTAACCATCTTGTATCATTGACTTTTGGCTGGAGGAGATGCCTGTTGCCGTGGATACCTTCGTCTCTCCATCTTCATTTTCTCCTCCTTCTTTCCTTGCTCTCTCTCTCTCTCTCCCTTCATCTCATCTGCTTCCTCCTCCTGTTTTCTGTGTTTGAGGGAATGCAGGGTGTGGTGACTGGGTGATGCTGTGACCTCCCAGTGATGCTAAAAGTGAATCAAAAATGAACTTCACTTGTTGACAGAGCTAAAAAAAAAAAGAATCATGAACACTTCCCCTGAGCTTGGATGGATATCACGCAGTTTGACAACTTTTTAGCATTTGTTTTCTAAATCATCAGGTTTGTTTAATTTTTTAAAAACCTCATATTTCACTTAGAAAACACTGAGTCAGTCAGAATCCCTGCAGGCCGGTGGGAGTGAAATTGTATTTACTCAGTTTATTTAGCTTCTCACCGCTCACATGTCCCTGAGTAACCCTGGGTGAACCTGCCAGCGCATCATTGATCTGTCCGCTGTCAGTCTCATACGGCACCATTGCCTCCTCCTCACCTCTTGGCTCTGCTAGCTCCCTATATAACCACTATCAGCATCTTTCTTCATCCTCCTTATCACTTTCTCCTGTGTCATTCTGCCTCTGTTATCTCTCCCCGCTTCTTCCCTGTCTCCACTCTGCACATTTCAGCTCCCTCGCTTCCTACATCTTCTCTACATAACCAGGAGAAAGGAGGACAACCCACGCACAGCATTAGATACAGAGCACACTGCTGGCTTATAACTCAACCCCAAAGCGGCTCGAGTTAAACCCACAACCAATAGAGCAGGCAGTGAAGCTTGTAGTAAGAGTGACCCTGTTTATAGGGTCATGTCTCAGGCCCACCCACTCATTTCTCCTCCAAAAGCCTCCAGGTGCCTTGTTGTGATTGTGTGTGGTTCAGTATGTGCATGTCGCTATCTGTTGTGGATCAGTAACAGCCTGTCAGTTTCATACAGAGAGATCCTTGTCTGTTTTTGATTCATTTAATTGGGTATTATCTGTTTTATTGCATAATTTACTTTAACATGTTGTTTTTCATTTGTTTGAAATAGTTGACGATTTAGTGCTTTTTCTTACACTGCATTTTTCCTGAACTACAATAAAGACAAATGAATAAAAAATGTTTCTGTCCATTGTTGAGGACAAGCTGTAACTTGGATATAACTTGGTTTGGAGTAGATGCAGGGCAGTACATCAGTGTCATCTGCGTAGAAATGAAAGTTTTTGTATCATTTATGTAAAGAGTAAAAAGCAGTGGTCCCAGTACTGACCCTTGGGGAACTCCTCTAGTCACTGCATGAAAGCTAGAGTCACATGCCTGCACTCAGCGAGTCCTATTAGTCAGTTAATTGTTAAACCATAAGGCATGAGGCGTTTGACAGACCCTAGCTCATTTGAAATACAGTTTAATTTAAAGATCTTTTGTTTAGAGACGTCTAAAAAAGCTGAAAATACAACATAAAGCTAGGCACCTACAACACAAATAAACATTAACTTGTTGCTTTGAATAACACAAGTAATTAAAAATCACATTATAAATGTCCTTACAATGAATATAAATATTGGAGGTGGGTCTAGCACTTAGACAGCTGAAGTGTTAATGAGTTTCATGAAAGGTGTCTCAAAGCTAGACATGGCTCATTTTGTCTTGAAAGGGAGAGATCTATACCTGCGTCCTCAAGGTAAGTGGCTGTGGGGTTCAGGGCGAGTATGTGAGATGTCAGAAGCTTTTCTTATCATTTCTCTTTAGTCCGTCTACTATTGATGCTGCTCAGGGGCTCCAAGGCCAGCACAATGATTTGCCTGATATGACTACTTTGCTGAGAGAGTTTAAGTGTATTTTGCTCGCAGGTCATAGCACATAACCAGGCTGGAATGTAACAATGGATTTAATGAAACATGTATAATCCAACAGAGCTGATTGACAGACCTTCATTTTCCTTTTAAAAATGGTAATTTTCCTATAAAAAAAGGTCTTTCCTCAAAAATGAGATATTGCTGACATTGCTGTGAATGCCTTTCGCGAATATCGTTTGATGTTAAAAGTGGTGCCATGGTATTAATACACCTCAGTCCTTCCAATGGACTGGCTGTTGACCTCCTGTGTGGGGATGGTGAACTGTACTTGACAGTCTGAGCAGCTCTTTGGTTTATAATGAACAGTTTTCTTTTTGAGTAATGTTTGCTTCATAATACAGTGGCTGACAGCTTTTAGAAAAGCCTTTTAATACCTGGGTGAACTTTTTTAGAAGGACTTTCATCACGAGTGGCTGAATTATCACAGGCCAGGGCCAAGAGCCTCAGGAAAAGCAGGATAGCTGAAAGACTGACATATGCTTGGTTTTGATATTTTAGGTTTAGCATACAATATATGGTATGTGATCATGCAGTCCTGTTCAGCTTTTACAATCAAACTTAACAGACACCCTCTATGTTAATCAAAAGTACCTTAACTCCAGCCTCCCACTCCGTTTGAGTACATGATCCTCACCACCATCATCGCCAACTGCATCGTCCTGGCTCTGGAGCAGCACCTTCCCGGGGAGGACAAAACACCCATGTCCAAGAGGCTGGTGAGAAATGCACATATTTTAACACCTGCACTCAGAATCTTTTTAACCTTTAGTCTGTCAAGTTGTTGAATTATGGATTTTGTGTAAACTGTGTCTGACAGGATCTAGAGATCCTCAAAAAACCCAGACATGACACCACCATTTTGGTACGCTAATTACGACTCTGATTATCTCTGTCTTTGCGTCTTCAGGAGAAGACAGAGCCCTACTTCATCGGGATGTTCTGTTTTGAAGCTGGGATAAAGATTATTGCTCTGGGCTTTGTGTTTCATAAAGGCTCTTACCTCAGGAACGGATGGAACGTCATGGACTTCATTGTGGTCCTTAGCGGGTGAGTTAAACTGTGATTGTTCATGTGTGTGTTTGTGCGGTAGATGAGGATGCAGATCTGTGAAACAGGATTAGTGTTTGAAAGAGATGATGGTTCTGGGAGATTCGCTGGCTTGTTTGTTTTTTAACTGATCATGCTTGTCTTTGAGGATCTCGGTTATTTGTTGCTGATCAATTTCACAGGTTTGACAGTTTGCTTCTCTGTAGCCTCTTAGTTTATGGTATTTATACTCCCCTTCTATGGTTTTTTCTCCACTTCCTTTAATTTATTAATTTATGTAAAGGGAACTGGTGTCTCATTATGAGCTTTTCATTTACATGTGCTTTCCCATTTTTGTTTTTTTGATAACATTTTTCTAAAAGTGTAATTAACATTTGTAAAAAGCTCTCAGCACAGATTTTCTGGCAAAGAGGGATGGGTATGATTATAGTTTAAAACGTTTATATTATGGTACTTTTGGTGTTGAATAACCATGTACCAGTATCAAAAATCACAGATACATATCTCTATGGACATGGAATAAAGACAGTAAAACCATGATAAAAGTTTCCATCAAACTTTTATATGTTATAAGTATAAAATTGAAAAGCTCTTAACAGCAATTAAAACAGGACTTTAAACTGCAGTTAAGAGCACTTCACAATTAATAATAAAATGTGTCATAAAATAAAGCAGCCAGTTAATCAAATGGCAATTATAAAAAACTGGTGATCCACAAACTGTTAAATATTCTAGTCAATATATGTTAGGGGCTTTTCAAATAAATGGTACAGACTCCTCTGACTTGACATTAGAGGAGGTTGTTCTGTAGTGTTGTTGTCATATCTCTCTTTGTTTGGATCCTGAACAGCCGGTAATGTCAGACAGAGAGGCAGCCTTTGTGAAAAGCACTTAGTTGTCACCAGGATTCCCTGTTTGGCTCATTCTGAGAAGTCACTGACGTTGAATTTTTGATCTGCAAAGCTGCTGCAAGGAAACATTAGTCCTCATTATGCCTATGTGGTGTATAAAACAGTTTCCTCTCAACAATGGCAGGCAAAAATAAAAGAAATAAACTGGTACACATGATCAAATGGTGAATGTGGGATCATACTGTATATAGAATGGACGCCGTCTGCCTCCTCAATGGCCGAAGTCACCCCGAGAACAGCACCCTCTGGTGACGGGCTGCAGTATAGGTCATAAATTCTGCCTCCTCTAGTAAAGCTTATGGAGCTGTGGACAAACTATAGAAATTTATTACACAGAACTTAAAATTTTTCCCCCCTGTTTGTGATGTTGACATGTAGTTACAGTAAGACTGGTTTGTGCTCAAGTTCTCTTTTTTTCTGTACAGCTCCATTTTTAAACATTATTAGGGGGTTCATGTTTTATATGATTGACACTTGATACAGCCTATGGGCGTACGAAGATTGCGTAGCTCACCCAGGGGATATGCTGTTTGAACCGAGCGTCATTACAGCGACTCTTGGCGACTCTCCCGCTGAATGTGTACAATGCTACTGCGCAGTTGGTGGAGTGCGTACAACACTACTGCTCAATGTTGGTTTCAGGAAATAGAGAAAAGACTCTGCAATTCCGAGAGGTTTTGGCTTCAAATCTGCATGCTGACGGAAGGCAGAACCAAGTTGTCCATAGTATATAAAGTCTATGTGTGGGATACATCCACCAAATCTACTTAAAAAGGCAAACTAGGTTCTAAAACAGTCCCTGTTGGACACTGACAAAAACACTCAATAGTTTAATGTATGTTGCATGAGAAGTTAAGGTCTTCATGTGAAAGTGTATGAATATAATCCATTAGATAAATAAAATTCTCCTTGACCAGCACCTGTTACTACTTAACATCATGAAAGGTTGTTCAATGAGCAGCTGTGGATTGTCATGGTGATTACAGCTTGTAAAGCATCACTTCAATCTTAGTACTTACAGTACATCAATTACGCAGCGTTTGAAAACCCAGACAAGTGAACATTTACCTGTTAGTCTGATATGTGTGAGGTAAAGGTGTGGCGTTATATTAAAGGGCATTTTACAGCAGTTATCTTCACAGGCGATGTTATTTCTCACTGTCAGAGCGCAGGGAGGAAATGTTTATAGTTTCAAAGGATAAGCTTGATGAGACAGCAGATTAACCTTAACAATTCTCTCTCTATTGCTCACACACAGATGAAATATTAATCAATTCAAAGCCCAGAAGTACAAAGGGTGGCAGACAGGGTTCTTAGAGAATTCTTCATGATTCTGACTGTTCAATTATTGATGAGCCCAGCTCAGGCGTCTTAACGATACTCCACACACTGTCGGAGAGAGGAAGGATGTGAGGTTTGAGGAAAAAACAAGAGAAAAGGAGGGTTTAATAAACATTTTAAGGAAATGTAAACCCCGCCAGCTTCCTGCCTCTCTGGCCTGTTGATTACTTTGTATTTGGTTCAGGACACTCAACCCCATAGTGTGTAACTAAACCACCAAAATTAGAAGCTTAATTAAATCACAGCATGGCAGAGTCATGTTAATGGATTGTTGTAATCTCACCTGCAAAGGAAAAAAAGGGAATGAGGTCTATCATGGCTGACAGATGCTGTGATCACACTTTCTCTCTGGTGTCTGTGTATAAAACGCAGAAGGTACATATTCATATGTTAGCATCCTCTTGAACTGAGAACAGTACCTGTGAGGCTGAAGTCATTTCACATGTCCAGTTAAAGCAATCTAAATACCTATGCACTACTCAGACGGCTGTCTTAAAATGGCTTGGCAAACATTAACCAATTTCCTCTACTCCTATAAGACAGGAGCAGAGGAGGCATCTTACTCTAAAAACACATCCCAACATTTGCATTCAGTCGGTTGAACATACACTGCTGGTTTTGATTAAGGGAGGAGACATGCTTGATGTGGATGAAATAGCCTTCTAGGTCTCATTTTATTAATATTCAGCATGATGAAGTGAGCTGCAGATAGATTCCTCTCTAAATTATCATTCTGGCCACAGCAAAGATAAATTAATGAAAATGTTCTGGCTCTGTCTCCCCCTCTCTTTTTTTGAAACACACACACACACATGCTCATATAGGCTCATTCACTCACCTACAAGCAATCAGTCGAGGTTGGCAACCTTATTAGAGAGTGAATGAAGATTATGAGGACTGCCTATAATATTAGATGAGTCACCAGTGCTGTCTATCAGTTAGTAATTAGGAGGTCTGTGCAGAGAGGAGCGGTCACACACTCTGTTACAGATATGTAACAGACCCCCAACCTTCTACTTACACGAGCACAGCGTACATTTAGAAATATGGTTAAAAGATTATTAACAAAAATCATCAGCAGAGGTATTAATTTGTTTGTTTTTGTCAATTTATCAGAGTCCCTCTACTTTGGTGGAGCAGTTAATTTGTTAAAAAGCTCCCGCCACCCGACAGTGGGAGAAACAAAGACACCAGACCTTTTGAAGCACAACAAGAGCAGGCCTTTTAGAAGTTTCTAACAATTTGAGAACAAAGCAAAAGAAAGACATTTTTTTAATATATGATGAACAGAATAATGCAAAAAAGGCACAAACACTTAAAACTTTCAGGTCAAAGAACATGTAAGACATTAAACAAGTTTAGTCTTAAGTCTGATACCAACAATTTAATAGAATGTCTGCTTGAAGAACAGGCCCTGAAAACATATAAGGATTAAAAAGCAGCTCAACTCTCTCTTGGATTTTTGAAGAAATTCTTCAAAAGTGCCAAAAAAAAAAAACCATTTAACCACCCTTCAAAGTGGTTCTGTGCAGCTGTAACTTTTGATCATTTACCCAGTCAGGTCAGGGCTTGACACCAACTTTTTTTTTCACAAGGAGCACATGTGAAAGTTGAAAAAGTAAGGAGCATACAAAGAACTTTCAAACAGTAATTTATTGATGGTCCCTTATTTAACACCTGACGTTAACAGCAGAAGTGCCGAGTAGATTTAACCACGCTGCTGGTACTATTCCCGGTTGTTGAGTGAGAAGAATATCTAACCTAAAACTAACTCACCATTGGTATTTACATGAAAAAACATTTGTTGCCTCGGCTGATTTTTTTTAATTTTTATGAGCTCATGTGCCCCTAATACATTTTACAATTCGCACACATCAATTTGTAGTCACGGATGCGAGTGAGACGGTCACACTGTCAAGCCCTGCAGGTCCCAAGCAATGAGTGATTTTTGGATGGATGTGATTTAACCATTCAGGCTATAAGTAGTCCTCCTATACTACGATAATCCAGTGCATGCTGCATTGTTCAAGCAGCACACATCAGCAGAAATGTCAACCATAATGTTCATTACTATTCCTAGCATTAAGCAACTAATTACAGCTCAACAAAAATTGCAAAAATTAACACTTTGAAATGAATCATTGTGATGAAAACCAACTTAAATAGTAAAACTCTGCTGAGGTAAATTGTATTTGATGTGTATTTTGAATATACAGTTTTAGCCATGTGCCATCTGTTAACATGGAGGAGGCTTTATGATCCATGGAGAGAGCATTAAACTTGATGATTTTACTTTAGAGAGCTGTCATGTTTTACAGCGTTTCATATAATCTATGGTCAAATCTGCGTTTTTTTCCATTCCCGTACCACGACCTTTTAATCCATTTTGTCTCCAGCGTGTTTAGGATGTGTTGATTCAGCTAACAACAGTGCACTCAGCTGACTGATTTTCATTGTTTTTACATCACAGTGTGAGTCATATAGGCGGGCACCCTAACTCAATCGTATTGTAGAGTAAGTTACCCCCGACTGGAAAGCCAGTGAATCTTTCCACAGTGGATCCCCTTGACTCACTCGTCATTATTTGTGAACATGTGTAATCATGGAACCATTTGCTCACAGTGTCAACGCTAGAGGCCATGATTACCTCAGCAAGCTGCCTCATTTTTTTTTTTACAAGATAGCCTGTGTTACAGAGAGAGAGATTGAGTGGGAGGGAAGGATGAAAAGGCAGATGGTGCTTGCTATTTCTTTAAAAGCTGTTATTGTAGATAAGGACTGTTTTGACTGTAGTTCAAACAGAGAGACTGTGGGTTTTTCTTGGGCCGGCAGCACACATGCGTCAGCAGTCTGCTTACTGCTGAAGTTGTGAAAGAAAACAAATGCTGATACGAAAAAAACAAGGAAAACTCAACAGAAGTGAAGCAAAATAGAGAGAAGAGGAAATAAGAGGGATGCCTTTGTGTGTAATCGTACATACTAATTGGCACCATGGCAGTCTCATTCGCTGGCAGGGCCTCCATTAGACTGGCAACAGTTGGCAGAGGGAGACGCCTACCAAGAGATTGTGTCACTGCTGTATGCCAGACACTTAGAGGGGGGATGGGAGAGAGTGGAGATGGGATGGAGTTAGCTTAGAGGGATATAGTTAGGACAAAGACAAGGAGACAGGAGGATAAAAAAAGCATTTAAGCTTACGGTTTCGGCAGGAGCAGGCATTCTCCAAATTCTTCACAAACAAGTTCAGGTGTTTTCCCTTTTATTTTAAAACTGTAACCTCTGTAAGCTTATTTTTTTGTAAAGTCAAACAGGGAAATGACAGGGAAGCGGAAAACGGAGGATAGTGGCCAATAAAAAGGATCCTTCACGTCTGAGGTTTGTTTCTTGATACTCTATCTTAATATGTTTTACCTGGCTTTTTTAAATGAAGTGTAAATGTAGCTGGAGAAACATCAAGAATGATGATCAAAAAAGATCCCCAGTTGCACTCAGACCAGAAACCCTATAAATTCATGGTCATCATTTCAAGTGATAGCATGTAAATCAATAAATCCTCATTCAGCTCGACTTTTTCCCATGTTTTGCAATTTTTCGCAGCTTAGGTACACTCCCGAGCTCTGCTGCTGCTGCTGCTGTTGCTTGAATTGCAGGTCAGGATCTTGCCCCTTTTTACCATAACAGAGATTATTGGGGCCCAGAAGCTCTAAATACCACTAACTAACAATTTGTCCCAGTGTCAACAGGCTGAGGTGAAATGTGCTGCACCACTTTGTCATGTTGTTACGGGATCCTGACCAATCATGATGAGGTTTAAAGACAGCAAGGCAACATATATATTTATAACATCATCACCATAACACCGTCAGCAAGACAGATGCAAGAATGAAACACTCTGACTCTTATGTTTTAAGTTATTTCATCCCAAATCTTTTCAAGTTGTAGCAACACTGCTCTGGTCGAGTTTCAGTTTTGTCATCTCAGAATTTATCGGTATGTGAACATGATCTCAGCGCAACACACTCTCTGAAACCTGTCTTGTGTGTGTCTGTGTGCACGCGCATTCATGTGTAAGAACCAAATGTGCCACTACTGCATGTCTCTGTAGCCAACAGCACCGTCTGTCTGTTTGGCTGTTGTACACCTGTTGGAACTAGCTGTACACACTGTCACACACACGGACACACACTCACACACACACACTCATCCCCTCCTCTCTTTTCCATCTGTTGTCTGATCAATTGATGAGTTCCGACACAGCGGGAATATCTATGTCCCCCTGAGCTGTTACCGTGGTGACTGAAGACCCCACCCCAGGTCAAGCTGTCACTGGCTCTTTTCCTGCGACTTCTCTGTTCAGTGTCTCTGCATTTAGGCTAAAAACAGATGGATAGGTCTTCACTTACTGTCTTTTGGGGGAGTGTACCCATAAACCTGCTTTCTGTTTGACAGGAAAAATGAAAAGAGGGGGCGGGTAACACTTCACTTCACTCCTCAGTGAGCTTTTGTTCGTGGAAATCACACAAAAAAGAGGATGGATATGCACTGTGTAGCTTGTGACACTGAAGTGACTTCCTCAGAGTAAAAATGGTGTTTCAATTGTGATCGTGAATAAGGTGAGCGAATAATGACGGTGTTGAGGAAATTGACAGTCTGAAAAGCCATGTGCTCCTGCATGCCCTCCCTCTATTCCTTTACCTCCTCCTATCATCGTTCTCTCTCTCTCTCCAGCTTTATATGCCTTTATTCACTCCAATAAGGAATCAAATTATGAGGAGCTACTTTACGCTGAAAGCGGTGAGATGAAACTCAAGCTAAATTGAAATCAATTCTGGCACCAGTAAAGGTTGACAAATTGAAAGGAGAAGAAATATTCAAATTCAAATTTTCTCAAAAAGCAACAAGCAGTTTCTCGCTGAAAATTAAAGTTTAGGCAGATGATCTATCCTGAATATTTTTGATTAAAGTTTGCTCGGGTCTAATCCGTTTTCAATCCAGCATTTGTTCTCTAAACAGCTCTGCTCAAGAACTTACTTAAAAATCTGGAGGAATTTAGATCAGTGTTGAACCTCTGGTTTAAACTTGAATCTTATTATGGTAAGATATTTTCCCTGAAACTAAACCTTACTCTTAGTAAACTCAATTGTGTTTGCAACTGATATTTTTTCTTGCCAGATGAATGTAAAAATATCAGTTGCAAAAATTACACCAATACATTACAATGACGCAAATCTTCTTTTCACTTGAAAAACTATATTTAATATAAGTTAAATGACTAAATGAGGTAGCTTTCTTCTGTTTAGTTCAGTTCAGTCATCAGTAAGTGGAGTATGACATGCTGATTGCTAGTCTTGGCTTTCCACTATAGAGTGTACACAAAATTATAAACAACACCTACCACAAAAATCATCCAGTGACAATAAAAAAGATACATGGAGGTGATAAGATGCTGGAAAGTCTGTTATAATCTTTTTTCTGTGTTTTGCACTTCATTGATGTCTCAGAAAGTTGCTTGTAAGGGTTTTTTTGGATGTGAAGGACAGTCACAGCGATTTTTCTCTTCCCAAAGACAAAAACACCAGGAAACATTGGAAAGTTTTTATGTTTTCAGAAAAAGAACAAAGCTGTTTGTGCCCACCACTTCACTAATAACTTTTTTTCAAGCAAAGGAAAGTACGTGATGAATTTGAAACTGAATTGTTTCTGAAACCTGGGGGTGTTCCGTTAAAAAATATCTACATGACGACGTCCGATGAATGCTTATAATCACACACTGTATGTCACTATAACAGCTGGTGATGTATAGCTAAAATATGCTAGCATGGCTAAATGGGGAGCTAAGTGGGCACACTTCAGACACAGCCTTGGTGTGAATGCTTGCAGGATTATATATTTCTTTTTAATGAGCATGGGAAAGGAGAAGTGTGGCCTTGGAGTTGGGACTGATACTATTCCGCTGAAGCCATGCAACTAGATGAGTGCTAGAATTTCCCTCACAAACTGTTTTCCCAACAGTGTGGGACTGAACTTATCAGCAGGAACCTGATGATGAACTAAGCTGTCTTTGTTTTCCCAGTACAGACTACAGCTGCAACCTTTACCATATTTGGATACTGTCATGCCACTTGTGAGATGATGTTAGTGGGCAGTGGAGTCTGTTTCTCACTGCATAAAGGATGTGTAAAAATCTGAGTTCCTCAGTCAGAGGAAGCTGCCTTTGTTGTAAGCTGCTGACTCCTTGCAAGTAAAACATTTTGAAGACAAAGAAGACCACACTCTCTGTTGTTCTTCTCAGCTGGCTGCAAGTCAGATGCAGTATATTTTTTCTGACATGCTGGAATGAGGGTTTCCATAGATGCTGTCGTGGAAGTTTTTCTTTTCCGTTGCTGCTGGTGAATAATGAAATAGAGACTTCTGCCGGCCGACAAGGTTTTATTTTCTTTGCAAAGAAAAGGTCGATCTGGATCCGAGCGGGTAGATCAGAAAGGACCCCGAATCTAGGGGAATACAGAATATTTATACTTTTAGGACCGCCTCCCAGAGGGCAAGGAATGGGGCTTAGGTGTTGGCACCTTTTGTTGTCTGTGGGGACTGTTACTTCACCCCCCTGGGGTGGTGGTGACACCTGAAGCATCCTGCAGGATGTTGTCTGTTGATGTCTAGACATGCTGATTAACTGATATGTTGATTGGAAAGTCTGTTGTGAGGGGCACTTCAAGCAATTCTTAACAAAGACATTAAAATTACAATTACAATGCCAGTACAGGATTAATAAGAATCTGTTTTGAGCAGCAATTAATGCAAAGCTTTTTAATAGTTGTCCGAGACTGACTTCATGAAAGGTGAAAATGAGTAAAATAGGTCTCATTTAAAAGTCACCGATAGGCAGACTGTTGTTACCCAGATAGATGTTTCCCAAAATCTGCAAAACATTGCTGAATTGCTATTACGTGCAATTTGCAGAAGGGGTGTCAATACCATGGCTCTTAGAATCAGTGACTTTTGCTCCCAGCAGCTGTGTAAAGAGTATTTGGTATTGCCAGAGGAGAGAAGTGACATATCACCCATCTCCATACAGCTGCTGTATGTGACGAAATCCACAACGATCCCTACAAGCAAAGCTGCCACATCAGAGTGGGTTAGATGATCTTAAATTGGGCATTAAAGCTGGTGGTGTTTGCGTCTTCAGAAGCAAGCCAGAAAATACTGAAAACATATAAGCATGTACCATGGAAATAGGCTTACCATTTAGAGACTGAATTAGGATAATGGATTGGTCCCAAATGGGCTACTTCCAAACACTGTTGGCTATATATGAGGACCATTAATGATGCTTTATTGACCCACTGGAGCAAATAAATGTAGACCATGGACCAGTGAAAGCTGAGAATGAATTTGCTTGGCCCCACTAGGGAATCTATGCCCAACGGTGTCCTACATTGGTGTGCCAGGTTCGGAGAAACTACTCTCCCAAAAAATGCATAATGCAGCAAAAGCTATTTGTCAGGCATGTTGATGGTGCTGAATGAAAAACACTGGGAGGTGCAGTGTTTATAAGTTCTCGAGTGTTTGTTTGTTAAACCACCATTATATGTGGTTTGAAAGCATCAAAATTCATGAGCAGGTTTTATTTTTTGGCAAAAGAAAGAGTCTGCTCTTTATTCCACGGTTTCTCTGCTAAGCTTGAGTTATTTTTTTCCCACAGGCCATGCGAATCTTAAGCACAGACATAGTTTTTTCTCCTCTTTTAAGCTGGTTACAAGGTGAAAGTATTGAAAATCATCGAAGGGACTGCTTCATAAAGGCTGCTCAGGTGAACAGATGAGTGTCCAAGACAAATGTTTAGAGAAAAAGAGAGAAACTTGGTAAGCAGCAGGTAGTTTCGAAAAAAACTCTGCTTCTGTTCTGATCATTGAGGAGCCATGTGGTGTTTCATCAGTGGCAGGACATGTAAGGATGTAAAACTAATGACAAAAACAGACAGAGATTCAATCAAATCCTGAGCTTTAACACAGAAACAGTGTCAATCAGGGAATTGCAGCAGATAGATGCAGTTGGTCTACCTGTGGAGACCCTGACCTACAGAAAATCCCCTTTGAGCACTGCAGGAGAGCAGCAGGGGAAAAAAATTACATCATCAAAGGATCTTCCCATCAATCAACCACAGATTAGCATTAACACAGTTATGTAACCATGCAGCAATCATCCTTTAGCCTGATCCATGAAGCAATAAAAATGAATCAAGCATTTTTATCAGGCGCTAATGTAGACTACTTTTAGAAGTCCAATAAAGACAATTACGAGGTGAATGAGGGTTTACAAAGGGCACTGCACTGTTTTCTGAGGCCTTTTAGTGCCAATAACCAGTGTTGTTGTTACACCTTAAAACAATCAAATAAAAGACTCTACTTTATACCAACACTCGTATAACCAATACATATTTATGATGATACAATTCCTTTAACACATACATAAATTTGATTTTAACCTTAAGGTCTTTGTCTACGAAATCCATTTGATTTTGCAGTGTCCACAGTCTCATTTTCAGAGTGCTGGCACATACTGTTGCAAAGTTCCAAAAGTTGCCCCTCTGCATTTCCACCTCTAGTGGTAGTGACCATTAATTCTACTTAAAAATGCTTTGCACACTTTCTTTCAGTTGCATCCTTAGACTGTATATACTATGGACAACTTGGTTCCGCCTTCTACCAGTTTACGGATTTGAAGCTGAAAAGCTCTCGGTAATTCCGCCCATTTCCTGAAACCAACATTGCGCAGGAGCGTTGTACGCACTCCACCACTTGGGCAGTAGCATTGTGCGCATTTGGTGGGAGAGTTGCCGAGAGTCGCTGTGATGACGCTCGACTCAAACAGTGTATCCCCCGGGTGAGCTATGCAATCCTTGTATGCCGATAGGCTGTAAGTGTCAATCATAGAAAACATGAACCCCCTAATAACTTTGAAAAACGGAGCTGCACAGAAAAAAGAGGACTTGAGCACAAACCAGTCTTTCAATAACTACATGTCAACATTGCAAGAAGGGGGGAGAAACATTTATATTCTGAGTAATAAATTTCTAAAGTTTGTCCACAGTCCCATAAACTTTGCTGGAGGAGGTGGGATTTATGACCTATACTGCAGCCCATCACCAGAGGGTGCTGTTCTCAGGGTGGCTTCACCCAGCGAGGAGGCAGACGGCGTCCATTCTACAGTCTATGGTTGCATCACAAAGAAACCAAATAACTGATAGAAACAGTATTATAGGTTTTACAATAGTTCTGGCTTTATCAGATACAGAGCTCTATATGTTGTTGTGTAACAGACACCTAACATCTGATGACACAGATTGTTTCCAAAGAATGTCAGTCAGGCCAAAGTTTACAGACTGTGACAGACTGGGACCTTTACTGGAAGCAAAGTCTGGATGCTGCTGAACTCTGCGAATGGAAAAAGCTTTGTCATCATGAGTGTGTAAAGGTCTCAAATAGAAAAAAGAGAGGTCTAGCAGACATGCATTAGAGCTTGTACTAACGGTATAATCTAGGGTGATACTGTTCTAGTATGGTACTTTGGCTGTGAATGCATTTGTTTTTGTTTTTGTGTTGAATCCTGCTGTCTAAGATATTTGCCCTTTGAAATACGGTGTCTCTAACAGAGCACAGAGTGAAGTCATAATTCTGAACACTTTGTACTTCATTGACATTTTTTGGAGAACATTTCAAAGTAAAAGATGAAAAAGGCTGGATGCTTAATTTCTTTGTTAGTCAACCAAAGTTGGCGATTAGTCTCAGCAGTAAGAAAAATAATGGGAAAAGAACAGAGGCTTGATTGTTAGTAAGTGTTTCACTTTATCACAGCTCAGGTATTGGAATTTGGATGCTTTTCAAAAAATGTGGGAGCTTTTTCATCCAGAGGACTCTCAAATCACTTTTGTCTTAATGTCTTAACAGAGTTTCACTCACCGCAGTTGCGCTGTAGTGTGTGACTATCAGTGTTAAAAAGTGGTGAAAATGTAAATAACTTCTATGTGAATCGATGAATTTTAAAAAGTTGATACTGATTGATTCTGTCTATCTCTCTTTTTTAACAGAAGGCGGATAGATCATTTACCCAAATCAATTATTCATTCTAGCCAAAGAGCAATAATTAAGCAAACTGACTTACAAACCAACATGCATGCTGATATTCAATCAATAAGGTCAGTATCTCAAACTGTCAACATGAGCAGCAGTAACACTTGAGCTCGAGTCAGAACTTGAACAACTTGTGTATGAACATTGGGGGTTCAGTGTGTGTGTCTGAAAGAGAGAGTGAAAAGGATGAGGCGGGAGTTGAAAAATGAGAAAGCACACTGTGGGAGGCAGGGAGGCTTATATTAACTAAACCATCCAGAGCGCTGCTGTAGGAGTTGCTCCACACAACCTCTTATTCAGTCAAGACAATCCCTTGTATGCTTACCACCCACTGTGCAGTGGGCCACCACGGTAGATATATAAACTCTTCATCCTGCAGGTTTGTGGGGATGTACTGTATGATATATTTTCTCTTTTGACTTTTCCCTTACAGATTCAGAGAAGTGTGATTGCAGAAAATAGGTGCACTTAAAGAAAATGTAGCCTATTCCTATAGTGCTCATATTGTGAGTTTCTGTAGCTGTAAAAACTTTATTAACATACTAAACTGAATTTTTCTCGTTGAATAAATCTCAGAATATTACACAGTAACAGTTATTTATGTGCATGTGAGCAGTTCTGTCAAAAAGCATGATATTGAAGGGATATTCTGGCGTAAGATTACGACCGCATGATAGCAATACACAGTGGTCTGAGGAGCCATCAACAAACCTCAACCAAAACGTCACTCTATAGCCACAAATAATGCTCAGAACAGCACCTAACTTCATCAACAGCACTATATAGGGTCCCAGCCACCAAACATCTTTTTAGATTTGCCTGATTTCTTCAGCAAAGAGACTAAACACAACTCACCTACTCTCTTCCAGCAGCCGCTTGTTTGTAGCCAGTTTATTATGGACTGCTGCGGGGTGACGCAGCTCAAGGAAAAACATTTATGATCATGGTATATTGGTATAACTAGAGAAGCAAGCAGTCGGCAATATTCATCTCTCGAGGGGGTGTCTGACTCGGTGTTACGTTGTGTTTGACCCTGAATTAATTTTACGCTGGAATATCCCTTTAAGGTACATACAGAGTACCTTTAGTCCAATAAACTGATCATTTTCACCCTGTGCGCTCATGTTATTAACCTTTGTAAATACAGCATTGATAATAACTTCACTTGACATTGATCAGCATTAGTTTTGGTCAATTTAACAGTAAAGTGCTCTCTGATTGTGTGAATAATGTTCTCTCTGTTTCACCAAGAAAGTGTATTTTTATCTGTGTTACACTGGGACCAGTATTTTTTTAGTGTGATATAAGACAGAGTTGCTGTGTTGATTTATTACATAAATTTTTGGAAGGTTGAGTGCGTGGTATTAGCAGAACATACTTGGTAAAAATGGAATATAATATCTAAAAGCATGTTTCAATTAGTGCATAATCACCTGAATATCAAGATTAGTTTAGCTTTTGTTAAATTGGATTGAGCATTTCTTATCTACATCAGAGCAGCTGTGCTAACCACAGTAGCACAGATAGGACTTGTAAGAGCCACACACATGATGATAACAAAGAGTTTCTCCTGTTTACACTTTCTGATGGTGAATTCTTGGCTAATGGAGGCTTATACTTAACATGCATCACAAGAGCTTCTTGTTTTCAAAGGCCTGCATGGTTTCAAGGATGTGATGGATGAGAAATATAGCTCATCAATGTAGACTATGACTGCTAGATATGACTTAATATTCCCATTTCTACTCACTTTACCTTGAAGTCTTGTTTTCTCTGTATAAGAGCTATTTCATCATGTGGTTTGTTTGAGAAAATGTGCAAACACTTTTCTGATGGCATGCTGTGGGTAATTGCAGCCACATTATATTTTTATAGTTGAATCATAGCAACAGCTTTTATCTCTGTGGTGTAGCAACACTATCCCACAGTCGGCTAAATCAATGCTGTCGATGTTGAAGCATTTTCGTTAGCTTATTACTACAACAGAGGTGTTTTATGCTACTGAATATGTTAATTGTGATGGAGCAAAAAAGGTATTTTCTGTTTTCATCACACATGGAAAGAGACAGGAAACATAACCACTTACCGAACAAGTTTTTACTCGATAGTTTTCTTGTTCCCTCTAGAAAAAAAAATCATTTTCTGCAGGACTACAGTGGCTGTGTAACATTGAGATTTGCCATTTACCTCACTCCAACTAATCTCATCAGTCAGGAATGTTTGTGACACTGAGGCTAAAAGGTTTCAGGGTGCAAACAAACATAGCCTGTGATTAAAAGATCCACAATTCAATCAGGAATTTACTAAATACAGCCTGGAGCTAAAAATGAAATGGCAGCACAGCTAAAGACAACAACGAAGGATTCCTTTGTCCTATCATTTTAGGGGAAAAAACCACCCCAAATCATTCAACAGAGCAGTAATATGAAAGTGAAGACGGAGTGAAAACTACGTCATTCATGTGTACAGAAGCTGCTGCAGTGTCTGGTTCTAAGGATGTAGTTTAAGCCACAAAAATGTCCCAAATCCATGCCTAACAAAGTCCTTGAAAATCAAAGTGATGTAATGTCATACTGCAGCATTTAATTTATAGACTATACTTAAATGACGCACATTCTTTTGTTTTAATCCATCTCATAATGTGTGTTCCTCCATACTGCTTAGTACTGCTGGATTTTCCCCACCTGATGCAACATGCTGCAAGTAATGCTGCTGATTTTTACTCACTAAAACTTAGATGACTGTATACTGTAAGGCACAATAGTTTTTTGTTTGTAGAAAACCTCCCACGGGGTTTCTTTTCTCGACATAAGCATGTTTTTTGAACCAATTGTCTTCAAACACATTAAACAGAGTTCCTTAAAGATAAAGAATCCCCTTAAATGTTTATTTTTGACACTTGACGAATCATTTCGGTGCGTCATTGAAAACATTTTAAGCCCCTAAATTGTACATGCTTGCAAACTGGGACACCTTTAGAAGCTGCACCCCCACATAGATGTCTTTAAGCTTTCTGTGTTAGTCATACACATAAATTCTGTGGTTCTATAACACTTCTTGGCTGGCAAACACTCATATAGACAACCTCTGTCAACCCACTACAACTTGCTTTTTTCAGTGTAAAGCTATAAGGAAAAAAAGCTATTTTTGGTACTAAGTCTTTTTGATTGTAACACGTGTTTGATCATAATAACAAGTAAACATGAATACTTTGTACAGTTTTGTGAAGGACGGTATCTCATCATGCACCAAAACTCATGATCGGAGACCCATGGGTCCAGATAACTCAGTCAGTGTTATTAATGTCATTAAAATAGTCAGGTGAGCTCCTATCACATCAATTAGCACTTTGACAGTGATATGAAGCGTACGTCACCATGCTCTCAGTATCACAGCGTGATGGGTGTCACCACAGCTTCGTCACGCAGCAGGAGGATGCCAGTTCTGCAGGGTGTGTCATTGTTACTCACTTATCATGGCTGACAGCTCAGACCAGGCATCAGCTCACTTCACGACGCTGTACGTCTCACAGTGTGTGTATTATAAACTAAACTTCACATACAAGCAAGTTTGGTGTGGACTTAAAGTGACTTTATTTTCTTGTGGGCACACAGGGAAAACTGTCAGATGTGTGTGTATCCTTGTAACCTTGGATTAGCATAGAGAGTGATGCACAGGGGGATAAAAAGTTTTAAAGAGAGATGAGAGTGCCAGAGGGCTATGAAATCTGTATAATGTAAATTTTAGATTTGTTTGGCAGATAAAAGTATTTGACAAATAAAAAATGGAAAACTGCACTCTAGTTTACACTGTCGGTTTAACCACTAATATCGTATAGTATGTGGTTTAGTACAGGGGTGTTAAATGCAATGAGTACTTTAATTCAAATCATAAAATAGGCCTCAGCTGGTAAAATAACAACACATGGATAAATGAAACGTCCCTCATTACCGAGAAAGGAAACGACAGGGAGAAGATAAGCTGTCTGCCAGTGTCTTTATTTGTGCCAGATCAGCCATGTGTTGTGCTTCCCTCAGCTGAGCTAGACTTGCCAGTTTTTTGAGAACAACCTTCACCTTCCTCATCTCAGAGGGAGCCGATGTCCAGACGAAGCAATGTGAGTAAAGCTCTGTGAAGGAGGACAGTGGAGGTTATTGGATATTTTTAAGAGTGAATTCATGAAACTTTTATCGTCTGCATCCAGACTGCGTGTGAAATTTTCGTTCCTCTACGGCTTCAGTTGAGATTTCCAGCTGTTTTTGACAATCCCTACCAAAGAGGGGCCTGTTCAACTGTGAAATCAGTTAAAATCAGTCTGAAAATATCAATTACATTTTAATTTGTTTTCATGTTTAAGAGTGTATCTCCATGAGTAGCAGAGAGGGAGAGAGCGCCAACAATCAGAACATGATGAAACAGCTGTGGTAGAGCTGGTCATCTCTCAATCTCAAGGCTGGTGCTTTAGTTCCAACACTCACAATCCACAAGGTTCACAGTATCCTTGGACAAGACACTGAACCCCTGATTGCTTTTCTGGGTTTCCCAAAGGTATAGCCAGCAGTGTATAGATATTATAGATGTAGCTGCCATCAGTGTATGAATATGGTATGAATAAGTGAAAGATAAAAGTCACAGAAAATCACTTTTTATGGTCCAAAAAAAACTAGAAAAGGGCTCTTCATGAGGATAAGTCTGTGTACTTTTTACTTTTACATGAAGGAACAGAAATGTAAGCTAGCAGTTCAGACAAACAGATGATTTTCTGCATGATGTATTATTTACCCATTCTACAGGGTCTACTACGTCCCATTTTCCCTTTACATTTAGTGCTTCTTTAAGAGTTAAACACAAGGGAATAAAATGACTGAAAAAATGTCTCTTTTACTTTGATACAGTAGTGGAAAATACACTCAAATTTTTTCATAATCTCAAATATTATTAAATATTTGCAGAATTTTTTTAAGTGTGGCTTTATCATCAAGACACAAAGAAATGCAAATTTTTTGTTTTGTTTTGTTTTTTGTTTGATGTTAACAAGAAAATCTAACAAAAGTAAAATCTTTGTAATTTGTTGACTTTGATACAGTCAGTGTTGAGAACTGACATGTTGAGACTGTCAGAGGATGTGTTAAAAACTGAACAAAAAAATGAATAAGCAATATGATTTGTTCAGTGTTTTTCTGTCACTACTAAAAGAAACTACACTCAGAGACCTAAGAGTGATTCTTGATGTAATATTTCATGAATGAATGGGGTGTCTGATAACTTTTTCCTCTACTATATGACCTCCTCACACAGTTCAGCACCATGGACAGCTCAACAGCTCTCTCATATTTGCATAAGGATGTTTATCTACATGTTCTAATGGAGAAGAATATGCAGCAGTAATGCACAACACCTAAAAATGTCCAGGTTTAGAAAGCTTTTGGAGTCAGTGACACGTTGACACTTCACCACAGCTGTTTTTTGCACTTTTTCATTGGCCTCAGGTTTGAACACTCCAGTATATGTTGCTGCTTGACTGTAATGGGTCTTTTTCTTATCTGGGGACATGGATACTCCTTAACCTGTTTGGCACACTGGGTTTAACCAGCTACCAAACACTAAATTTAAAAACACATGATAAGGTTTGTAAGGACTTGAAAGGGCCCCCCAGTTATTTGAAAACACTTAACAAACAGTCATCACAAAACATGACCTAGGACTTCCACCCAATACCAGAGGAGTACCACAGGAAGCCATTTTTAGACCCTCTATCCTCTAGTCTCCATAACAACTAAAGAGCAGCCAGAACTGACTAATGGTCTGAAGAAAGATTGAGAGATGGAGGAAGCGGCGGATGAAATGACAGAGGTGTCAGTGAAGGAGTGATGGGAGGAAAAGGAGAAAAGACAAAAAGCTTAGAAAAAAACTGGAGAAAGGTAGGGGGAGGAAAACCAAAGGGGGGAACAGTAAGAGGTGTTAAACTCATGAGAACAATTCTATTTCTATATTTGTGTGGCTGATGACGAGCTATTTTAATCCATCTGCCCCTTCTTCCTCTTCAGTCTCTCTCTCCCTTTCTCTCTCTCTCTCTCTCTCTCTCTCTCTCTCTCTCTCTCTCTCTCTCTCTCTCTCTCTCTCTCTCTCTCTCTCTCTCTCTCTCTCTCTTCTGTTAATTAAATGACACGCTGGGTCTTCAACACTATAGACAGAGCTAATTCTCACCACAAAATCACAGGAATGTAATTGGGTCTGTGCTGGTGTTTTCTCCAGATATATGATGTACTCTTGTTTCTGCTAGTTGCTGCTGCTGCTGTTAGTGGTGTAAATCACACAAAAACACGTCATTCAATCCCTGACCTGAGTAACTCTTCTGTGATGTGTTGATGACTTCATGTTTTTGTTTTATGTATGATCAAAGTGAGCTAAATACGTGTGATATGTGAGTTATCATTTGGTTCATCTGGTTGATTATGTGGGTGTTTGACACAAGTTTGGACATGAAAATAATCCCTCTTTTTCTTAAGCTTTTTCCATCTGTCCATGTTTTTGGTGAGCATTTAGGTGAAAAGGGGAAAAACGGGTTTTAGGGTCAGAAAGAGGAAAAACAGAGTGCCAGGGTAATTGGGAACAAGGCTGGAAAGAAAGAAGGAGAAGGAGGGAGTTGAGAGATTAGAGATTCATGGACGAAGAGAAAGATGTGAGGAGAGAGGAAAGGTAGGTAGGAGGGCAGACTAATGAGGAAACAAAGGGCGAGGGATCAGCAGATGCTTCTTTTCTTTTTCTCATCAGTCCGGGGCCTGAAGGCCACCGAGGTGTATTTACAGCCAGGAAGAATAGAGGAGACAAAACAAGGCAAACAAAGTGAAATAAAAAACTTTTAAAGGACTCTGTGCTGCTGTAAAGAGGCTGATTGTGTGTCCAGGCATGTGCTTGTCCATTTTCTTCATGTCCCTGCAGCCTTATGGTGTCCTGCCGTCCCTCGATGGAGCTGCTGTTTTTTTTGTTTCTTCTTAAATAGCAGTTGTCACGGCCGTCCACCCACACAGGGAAGCAGCCAAAAGCCCCTAAATATATCCCTGTTGTTTTCTCTGCTTTTCCTAAGACCCTTGTGTCCTGTCTCTCCATATCTTACCACTGCAGCCATCCTTCAGCACATTGTACGGTGGCCTTTGTGTGTATCATACAGTATGTGTTTAAGCCTCCCTTTTTGACAGGCTATGAAGCATAAAATTAAAGCATTTATGTGCAGTGGCAATCCCCGTGTGTATTGTACTCTTCTTTACGCAGGTTTGCATCAGTTAATACACTTGTGTCTGTGTTAACCTTAATCTTCGTAGGATCTTGGCTGCAGCTGGTGCGCACATGAACATATCTGTAGACCTAAGAACCCTGCGGGCCGTGAGAGTGCTGCGCCCCCTCAAACTGGTCTCAGGCATCCCCAGTGAGTAACACACATTATTACTTTAATACCTTCATTTGTGCCACAGGGATTTGGGCGGTTTGCAGACAAATTAAATATTCTCATTTGCTTAGGAGTGTTTGTGGGGCTTAAAGTAATTATACAAAGATTTAAACAAAACTGTCTGCAAAGCTTTTCAACAAATAAATGCATAGATTGAGAATTATTAAACATGGGACACAAATCAACATGAGGTATTGGTCTGATGTTGTGATTTAAAAACGATCAGCAGAATAAACATCATGCATGTTTTATCAACACTTTTATATCCCTTAATTTGTCTGTGATTAAAATGAAACTCCAAATTAAAAATAGTTGGGACAACTATTTAAAAAATCTCATTTTGATGGTGTCATATAAAAGCAGAAGATGGTGCAAAGGAAACATATATATTGAGACTGATTCATAAAATAATTAACTAAATGTTAAAACTGATGCCAGCAACATGTTTCAAAAAACTGTAAAAATATGTTATACTAAAAAATCACTTTGAGCAACACCTTTATACTCTTTTGGTAAATTTGCACAAGGTTAATAACATGACTGGGTATAAACCTGGCACTCCAGAGACGCTGAATGTCTCAGAGGTAAAAATATGAGGAGATTCACCACTCCATGAGACTGCGTTCAACTTCAGATAAATACTTCAACCAGAACCAGCATATTTTTGACATATCATTTAAACTGGTCCATTTTCAGTCATGTGAGCCATTATTAGTTTGATTTTTTCATCATTTTAAAATTTTGTTAAACAGTTAAGTATCATGAACATTCATATTCCTCTGTGTGATCATTTCCAGGTCTGCAGATCGTCCTGAAGTCGATAATGAAGGCCATGGTTCCTCTGCTGCAGATCGGCCTTCTTCTGTTTTTTGCAATCCTCATGTTTGCTATCATCGGCCTGGAATTCTACAGCGGCAAACTGCACAACACCTGCGAGTCACAGCCTGGCATACTGGGTACACACACATGAAGCACGCAGATAAATTGTGCATATTTTATAAATGTTAATGAAGTGTAAGTTTGCAGATGTAAAAAAGATCAGCGCAATTACAAACATCTCCTCTTGTGACTCCACATGTGACTCACACATCTCCACAGGTGTGTGTAGCCAATCATATCATAGTTATATTTTTCATTGTTGGATCTAATTTGATCTGAATTGCTCTTTCAAAGAAGGAAACAGTGTCAACACCTCTGTTACTCACCGAAGGGAGCAATTTATAGAAAGCGTTTGCTATGGTTTTGAATGATTAATAAATTTAAACAGTGGAAGGATTAGTTTATACCTATTTTTCATAGGTAACTGCAGCGCTAAACATAAAACCAAAGAGTCAATGCTGTCATTTGATACTGATACGTGTGTTTGGCATGGATTGAGCTTTTTGTAGTGCCTCTGTAGTTGCACTCTCAATAAGCTGCACCTGGTGACTCGATCAAACCGTGCTGGAAGTATTTTCCATCATAATTAAAATCAACAATGTGATGCAGTACAATACCTCATTGTACATTCAGAGCTTCTCCTGTCACACTGAAACTAAATGGACGGATAACAAAGAGACTGAAGAGTCCGTATTATGTCACCGAGCGCTCACATCACTGTAAAAGCAGACACTCTGCTGTGTTGGAGAGTTCTTATTGACTTGGATTCAGTTTTTTAAGTACAACGTGACATTTGGCCAAAGTTCAAGGCAATGAAATCATTGTAGCACAACTCAGTTGAACAAAAGTGACAGTCATGTAGGAAAGTTTGAACTTTAAAAACCATTTGCATGAGAATAAAAGACGTCATCTGCTCAGATTTTGTGCGTCTGTATTTTATTGATTCCTCGAAGTTGGTGTTTATTTGGTCAGAGAATATGTTAATACTGAGTTTGTTCTTCTTTGTGTTCAGCAAATGAGACGGTGGACTCCTCTGAAGTGGAGTTTCCATGTGGCGTGCGTCAGTGCCCACCCAAATACACATGCAGTGACACCTGGATCGGCCCAAACGACGGTATCACGCAGTTTGACAACATCCTGTTTGCTGTTCTCACTGTCTTCCAGTGCATCACCATGGAGGGATGGACCACTGTACTCTACAATGTGAGACAGCACACACACAAACACATCAGACACATACATATCCGTGCACTTGTGCTTTTCCGTGATATTTCCCTCAATTTGTTAGAAGTTATTGGAGTGCAGCAGTGATTTTCTACAACTAATCAATCAATTTTTATTTATATAGCGCCAAATCACACATGATGTTTTCCAAAAGAGCAGGTCTAGACCTAACTAAGACTCCATTAACTCAAACAAACTGAAAGGGTCTTGGGTTCAAGCACACTGGTGGATACTGATTGGAGGTCTGCAACCCCTGTAGCCCCCGTCTGCCAAAGTGCCTGTGGTTCAGGGACAGGGAGTAGGAGAGGTGAAACTACAAAGTGGTTTCTTTATTCCTGGTCTGCTGTCTGCTTGCCAATTTCATTCTTTCTACCCTGAGAAATGCATTACCTGCTTCTGCTGGCTTGCAAGACCTGAATAAGCAACAACAACAACAACAACCCACTGTCGCGACTGGTTACAAAATATGGCACACCTGAGAACTTATTACTGATGCGATAAGGGTGTAGTGCCTGTGGACATTTTTGTACTTTCCCCAAAATAAGTATGAGGAGAAGATGAAAGTGTGCTTTTTGCCCAGAATTAAACACCTAGAGCTAAGAGTGCGTATTACTTAACCAAGGTTTCAAACAGTATCAATGCAATAAAGATAATTGTTTTTTATATTGCAACCAATAGTAGGGGTTTGTCACCAAGCTTGACTGTAGGAGGAGGTAAAGATGGATGGCTAAGGGCAGCACAGACCCGCCTTGGATAATGAAGCAAAGAGATTCCCCAAAATCTTGACCTGATGGGCCATTTGCTTTATTAGAGGCAGAACTTATGTTTAAATCTATTGAGCTATTTCGACTGTGCTGCAACAGTTGGCCAGTATTTGCTTTTCCATGTTCACATTTCCATTTTACGTGAGCACTTGAGTTGTTGTGTTGGACAAAAATCTATTTCGGTTCTAAAAGCTCCTGTGGGGGGGCTCTTGGTCTGTATCAATTTTTGGCACACAGCAGTCTTTGCTTATTTTGCTTGTGTATGTGCTGTTAGTTTTTATCGACAGAAAATATCACCCGGCTTTTTCTAAAAGTCAAATACATTACTTATGGAGAACTTCTGCTGTGTAACTTGTAAACAAAAAGCTGTATCAGTAAAGCGCTTGGTCCGACACCTTCCTCCCAACCAGTGGTTCAGATATAATAGCTGTAAAGAAATATATCTCTTTCACTTCTATTAGTATAAAAAGAGATAACAATATTGATTTCAACTTCATCTCCCTAAGATTGTATCTCCATGTTAGCCACCTTAGTTGAAATATCCTTTATATCTTCAAAGCAGTGGTTCACACAACACAGCAGTAATAAAGTTGTATTTATGTAATACTAAAATGGAAAATGGTTTGAAAGAAATGTGCAAGAGAAAATCTGCTCAGAGAGTGAGTGCTGTAGCCAGACACAGAGTCATTTTCTGCTATACAGTCTCTGTCACATGGCGATGAGATGCTGCAGCGTGCTTTATAAGTGTCTCTGTCAGAGTGGTGGGGTTAGGCGAGCAGACAGTATGGAGACAGGAAGGCAGCAGTGGCAGGTAGTGGTACCATCTGCTAATTTGATATACTGCATCTGCCGCCTGCAAAGCCACCCAATAAAACATGTCAAACTGTGTTCACACTTTTCTTGCTCAGAAAGAGTCGCTGGAAAATCAAAATATACAAGTATTCATACGGGGATTGGGTTTCTAAAAGCTTTTAGAGCAAGTATTCAGCTTTTGAGGGTCGCATCGATCCATTTCTTAAGGTGTGAGGAACTCGTGTGGAGTTTTGCCAAATCTGGTTAAGGAAAGTTTTAATTGAATTGAGAAAACAAAGTGACAACTTTATCTTCAAGGACAAACACAAAATGTTTCATCAAGTCTTTAGCAAAAGGGTTTTAGTATTAAGATACACAACAGACAGCAACAGTAAACAATGTGAAACAGTGTAATCTGTAACCAGACTCTGCCTCTGCCTGCTCCTACAGTGTGTTATTGGGATAGTGAAGGTAGAAAGAGTTCAAACTGATTGTATTAAATGATTTAAAGCAAGGGCGTAGAATTGGGTAGGGACGCTAGGGACATGTCCCTACCAATAATCAGCTGCTACAGTGTAGTCCCTATCAATACAACCGCTGTCCGTAGTGTTTAATCAGTGATTATGACACACAAAGGGTTAACAGTCGGTCTATGTTAGAAGTCCCACCTCTAACCTGAAATATCGCTTACGTACATGTGATTGGCTGTCCCCGCTGTCACTACATCTGCCTGTAAAATAGTGACGGGCACGGCAGTTCTTTTTGATGTACTAAATCACTAGAATCAGTTCACTAAAAGTTTCGTTCAAAAGATTCATTTATTGAATCACCAAATCATTCAGTTTTTGGCAGGAGGCGCCCGTGACTCCGACCTCCTGAACTGATGCACAGCTGAACGGTTCAGGGTTCAGTTCAATTCATAGCTTCTGGCAAACAGGTTTGTAAAAATGAACTTGTTTATAAGTCATGATGTTTTAAGTGTACTGTCCTACAGTATGCTATTTATCAGGTCTGCTCGGTTAATTGGGCTCAGTGAGGGATTTGTTCACTAAACATTTAGAAGAATTCACACTGAACATGCACCGTTCCCTCGCTGCAATGATAAGATGCTGCAGGCTTTATTCACTACTTGTTCCATGCTGTATCCTATTGTATGCAAGTTGTTGTGGTGGCAATTTAGCAGTAAAGAATAAAAAAAGTTAGTTTTGTCCTACAAAAATGTAGAGATTGTAGTTCAATGCGTGATTCTTTTACCAAGTGATTCAGGCGTCGGTGCATGCGATCCCTCTTTCGCCGGCTGCTCGCCTGGCAATGCTGCGTGCTACAGCATCTGCCCTGCTAACAACTCAACTTAAGTGAAAAATGAAAGATTCAGTTCTTTTGAATGAATCGTTCGTGAATGACACAACACTACTGTAAAAGTTACCTGCTAGTTGAACTGGACAGGAGGCAGACAGTGCATGTTATCTGCAACCGCTAAGTGTATGTTGTCAAAGAAAAAAAACAAACTTTCAGGAGGACAATTTTGTGTCCCCACCAATGTCAAAATCAAACCTACTCCCTTGATCTAAAGTCATACCAAATAAGAATATACACACAGTGATAAATGACAAATAGGTAATATGACTGCTACTGCTCTTCACTCACTGTGATGATGTTTCCTGTCATCACTGAAATACACAGAAACTTTCTCAGGTTGAGTACTGTTAAAAAAATAAAGCAAACACAGTCTACTCTGTTTCTATATTGGCTTCATACAGTAGCTTCTCCTCCACACTCTTTGTGAGTCCAGAGTAGATCAATAAACACTATGTCTCCGTTAGATGGCCCGCCTGCAATCTGACTGGAGCCTCACCTACACTTTGGTATTTCTGTTTAGCGTTTTACTGAATTTGGATTTTATTTTTGATGTTTCAGACCGACGATGCCTTGGGCCCAAACTGGAACTGGCTTTACTTCATCCCTCTCATTATCATTGGCTCATTCTTTGTTCTGAACCTGGTGCTAGGAGTTCTGTCTGGGTAGGTCTTAATTTCATTTCATCTGTTTATTTTCAGGTTCAAGCTTACCTTCGTTGACAGAGGTTTACAAATCTTTGGCACTGAATTATGATTATTTTTTCACTTTGTAAATTTTCAGAGCAAAACTGGTATTGCATATCTGTGGTGGCCCCATTTTCTATTGCAATCCCTCACATTTTGGTCATTTGTTTATTGTTATTTCTGCCTTATGAGTTGGTATAAATTGTGCCATTAAGTTGCATTTGCCATGATAATTTAGATCACATTATCTATCATGATAAATATATGAATATTTATGTTACTACCTGTGCAAATTCATCTCTTTGCTCTCCTTTTTATGCCAGATTATCAGTGATAAACATGATTATTTTTGTCTTTTTGACTCATTATAAATGCTTTTTCTGGTGCTGGTTCCCTGATGTGCAGCAACAGAAAAAGAGTCATCTTCAAAAGTATTACTCAGTTGCATCATTGATTTTGTACGCCGCCAAGCTAGACTGAATCTTTTGCAAATTGTGCATACTCAGCCTTCAAGTCCTCCCAAGGCTACAACAAAAGGCACACACTGTCCAATGAAAGTAAACTAGCTTCAGCTTTTCAGTCCGTCTGCATTTGTTGTTCAGAAGATGACTCAGTGTTACTTTTTTCCCTGACTGGTTGAGTTGCTAGCTACTGTCAGTCTGAGCTCTGCTGCTTCAGCACACAGTGTCTAAGACTATACAAGTTAATTAGTTTTATAGAAAGGTTAATTAAGGATCCATTGTTATTATCTCCTCAGTGAAAAAAGAGGCCTTGTTTGCCGTGCTTCTTTTTCTCTTCCCCTCTTATTTTGTTGCTGAATGAACAAAGCGAACAGCTGCATTCAAGACAGCAACAGCTTATTCCCCACTAACTGTCTCAGAGAAATGTATTTTGTACGTGTAAGTATAAATCTCTTTTACTCTAAAAGAGCAAATACGTGTGCTTTGGTTTTGGTTTTGCAGGGAATTTGCCAAGGAGAGGGAGAGGGTGGAAAACCGCAGGGCCTTCATGAAGCTGAGACGTCAACAGCAGATTGAGAGAGAGCTGAATGGCTACCGGGCCTGGATCGACAGAGCAGGTGGCTTTAGTCTCAGACACAGCTCTAGGAAACCGAGGACTTGGCTTTGGATTTGAAATGGGGAATCAATATTTCACTTTTAGCTTTCAGACAAACTCTGTCAATTGTTGAACAGAGTTCTTCTGTGTTGTTGTTGTTTTGTTTGCTCTTCCTTGATTGAGTCGTAAATATTGTAACTAAGGTTGCCTGTTTCTCTTAGTGTCTTTGAATTCCTGACTGTGGTTTGCCTTTTCAGAGGAAGTGATGCTCGCAGAGGAGAATAAAAATTCAGGGCCTTCAGCTCTAGATGGTAAGTTAGAAAAGATCTGTCTGTATTTTTCACTGGTGTCATAGTTCATGTTGTCTTTCTGCAATCCTCACTCTGCTTTACCTTCTGTCTCTATTCCACACAGTCAGGTTAACGCTGGCATGTAGTTAAAAAATACTGCCCTTTATATGTTAAAAACTCTTTCAAATGAAACAGATTTTGACAATTCCAAAGTGCTCAGCTTATACAATGATTATGGTAAATACTGATCCCTTTAAAAATGTCCACATTTAAGGTAAAGAAAGCATTAACACTGTTAGCGTAGTGCCATCATGGGGAGTGTTGTTGGCTTTGTAGTGAATGTCCAGCTGTGCTGTCCTAAGTCTCGGCATTGTAACTGTAAGCATGTCCAGATGCTGATGTTAGCATTTAGCTTGCAGCATTGTTAAACATACAGCTTTAAAAAGCTGCTTGCTTGACTTTGGAGACGTAGAGCTCTTAAATTTCACTCCAGAGCAGGAACATATCCAATGAAACCTAATTTGACATCGGTCTCAAAAAGAACAAATGCATGTAGAATACAGTGCCCAGCATAAGTCAGTAAACCCTTATTAAACGTAATGTATTACTCAATATCCAGATGAGCAAAAGTACAATTTCCAAAGTTTTGACAAAGCTGAGTTTAACAGAACATTTTATTTACCAGAAGATGAAAATAAGGGTGATATGGTAACTAAAATTTAGCTTTGCTCCCAGAACTTTGATTAGAGTGTACTCATTTTTGCATCCTGATTTTAAATTGAAAAAAATACTTGTTTGTATGCAACTTCAAAATCAATGGCCCTACATTTGGGGGAGTGTTTTGTTGTATAATCTGACATAGAAAATGTTGATTTTGAAAGGAGACGAAAGGTTTTCTGACAAAACTGAAGGGGTGTACTCATTTATGCTGAGCCCTGTATCAACTCAGGATAATATTGTGCTTCTGTGGTGCATTAACTCACTAGCGCAGATCTAAATGCTCTTTAAAATTCTGAAGACATAAAAAAAAAGTTTTGATAGTGTTAATCTGCCTCTACACACAGACAGCTTAAGTCTCTCGACCCTTTCTACTCTGCTGAACTTTGATCTTTCCTCCTCACTCAACTGGCAGAGCTTTTATTAAATGTTCATTGATTGGCAGCTCTCAGGAGTCTCCCAGAGTGGAGTACAGGTGGTGCATATGGTGAGAACCGCCCTCTGCTCTGCTCTGCTCTCTCCCTCATTCACTACACTACCTCATTTTCACACACACTGCCACTCAAATGCACTTGAGCAAACCCTTGTACACAGACGAAGGAAAGTAAAACATTCTTCAGTAAGTTTCTTGCTCAGAAAGTTTCCAATAGTGATGACCTAAACTAGGTATCGAAGGCAATTCGAATGTGCAGTAAAAATAGACATCTCATGCTGCTGTCATGGAAATAAATGCAGAAGCTCTGACTCAAAAGAAAGGTGGTGCACTGCGGTTGCCTCGGCAACCGTTGGTCTGAAAAGGCAGCAGCATGCATGTGCTTGCAATGTGCGAGTGTGTGTATGCGTCGGCAGGACCCGGTGTTCCCGCCTTTAGCAAATAGTCCTGTATGTGTGTGAAATGGGAGCAGCATTTATTTTCGTACGTGTGTGTTTCTCTGTGTGTTTGATCAGCAGCTTATTAAAAAAAATTCCCCTGACAAATATTGACTGCAAGTAAGATTCAGAAATCACAGGTTACCAGGAAGGTGCTTGAGGGGGGGAGAGGGTTGGAAAAGTAATCATAAACACATCTGTCAGTGAAAAAGGTCAATGCATACTCATTGCACCCATTGCAGCATGTGTGCACGGCACGTCCTGTCCCCCTTCCCGTACAGCAGCACTTGAACGCAGCTCAATTAAAAGTAATGCATGGGCCGTCAAGCCGCCTCTGAGCATGGTTTGCCATAAGAGATCATAAAATAGCAGCAGAAGTTATATATTTAGTTGTTGGATCATTGCACAAACATTAAATTCTCATTTTTATCTCATTCAGCTGCAGCGGTAATAACTTTAACTTTCACCTCTCGGCTAAAACTTCGCAGACGTTCGATTTTCATGCTGATAATCGCCGCTGAGATTTCTCTTTGTCATTTGCTTTATCACTTTCTTTTCTTTGTTTTTACAGTATATGCCACATTTGAACACTGCCTGAGTCTATCTGTGAGTGTTTTTAAATGTAAGGGTGTCCATACAAAAGGCACTTCTCTGGGCTGCGTGCACAAACAACCGGCAAAAAAGTCGAAAAGTGTCCTATAAACACGATCAGGGCAGAAACTGAACAGTGTTTTGTGCTAATGTTGCCCAAAGGTCTGCTCTGTATCACCACCTTTTAGTATGTTCCCTTGGTTTTCACAGGATGTAATGTACATATATGCAGTTTAAACAATTTGTTGTGGGACATTTTATTGTCAATGCGCTTTGATCTGCAGTGTTAAAGAGGGCCACCACCATCAAGAGGAGAGGGATGGATGTGGTGCATCGAGGGCAACCAGGGGAGGAACAATATGGTGACATCTCCTCTGTGGGTGAGTGGGAGTCTGGACAGAAAAATAAAATATGAGCTCATAAAGAATAAGCTTTACTCCAGTTGAACACACTGAGCCCTGCCGCAGCCTTTTGAAAAGTACATTTCATACTCTCGGGCTGATCCCCACAGGCATCCCCATGGCCAGATCAAGTATCAGGAGTGCCAAGCGGGGGCCAACTGCATATTTTCGCCGCAAGGAACGACTCCTTCGCATCTCGATTCGCCGTGTGGTGAAGACACAGACTTTCTACTGGACAGTGCTGGGCCTTGTGGCTCTGAACACGTTGTGTGTAGCAATCGTGCACCACAACCAGCCTGTGTGGCTGTCCAACTTCCTCTGTGAGTCCCACTTTACTTATTGACAAGCGGTCTGACTGTTGATACACGTGTAGCCTGTGACTCCATATAAAGTCAACGATTACATCTCAAAATGACCTCGCTTCTCGTTTCTGTTTCAGACTATGCAGAGTTCCTGTTCCTGGCTCTCTTCTTGACTGAGATGTTTCTGAAGATGTACAGCCTCGGACCACGGCTCTACTTCCACTCTTCCTTTAACTGCTTTGACTGCAGCGTCAGTGCTTTCTCTCCCTATCTTTATTTCTCAGATATTTTGTGTTTGCTTTAGTTTGTATGCAGCATAAGCATCTCTGGCTCTATATCTGTCTGTGCAGCGTTATCTTTTCTCTCTGTCACCCTGTAAATGATGTCAGAATATTCTGAACGCTCATTTATTCTCTGTTATTTTATAAGAGATCCAACTCTATTGCCTACATACTTTCTGAAGAATACATCTTTTTATATCTTGACACATTTCTCCTTAGGTTATTGTTGGCAGCATCTTTGAGGTGCTGTGGGGTTTCTTCAGGCCAGGCACTTCTTTTGGTATCAGTGTCCTGCGTGCTCTCCGTCTGCTGAGAATCTTCAAGATCACCAAGTTCGTACAGCAGCCCTCCTCACTCTTTACCATCTGTTGAGATGCTTCATTTTATTCACAAGGGACATTTCGCTGTTAGGAAGCCAGCAGCCGTGTAAAATAGCTGTGCTGGTGATCCTTTTTTTTTTTTTTTTGTATTTAAAACAGAAGGATAAAACTGTGTTGTAAAAGGAACGTTCAAGATACAGTTTTTTTTCTGTATGTCTTTGTGAAGCAAAAAACCAAGTATATCAAACACTTTTATCATCCAGCTTAAAACAAGACAAAGTATGAGAGAGAACTTGCATCTATACGTGTTTTCCTCCCACTGTTTTCTCATGTAAACGAGGAAATTCAGATGTTTTCTCAAGATGTCAACATCACACCAGATGATCAAAAACGGTATTGCTAGACTTTAGGATTTATTTCAGTATAGTATGACTGAAAGGGCCCCTTATACCATACATCAAGTACATTATACAGATACACTCTTCATACAAATATCAACACTTTAATGTATATTCACACTTCAAATCAGGTAGAGTAATGAACATGCTTTACACTTTACATTAATAATTTACAATAAATCAACAGACATCATTTCTCTACAGTACTGAGAAATAACATTATTCTTGTAAAGTCTCTTCACTAGAGTAATACTACATTTTCTAATTTCTACCAGACAGTCATTCCATATTTTCACCCCTTTTACAGACACACAAAATTTTTTGACATTTGTTCATCCTTTTGGTTACTCAAATAAGACTCAGCCTCTGAGGTTGTGATTAGAGTCCCTTAGTTCAAACAGGTTCTGGACATGCTGCAAAAACACAAATCAAATGCAGAAAGAGGCTAAATTTGCCTTTATGGCATGTCATGGTCTGCGCTGTAACAGCTACCCGCCTTTTATTTCATTCTCTAGATTGCCATGATCTTATTGTGTCATGAGAAAACAGGCTTTCTTATCGCCTGGTTGTGCAGGTGTGTGCCTACTGAGCTGACTAAAATTCAGCTTCACACCAGCTTTAAAATAAGTTTGCTGTTACCTTTTACATCTTAAATTTATTCAAATTTCTTTTACATGAGTATCATTTTGTAATATTTTTGTCTGTTAAGGTACTGGGCATCTTTAAGGAACCTGGTCGTCTCTCTGATGAACTCCATGAAGTCCATCATCTCCCTCATCTTCCTCCTCTTCCTCTTCATAGTTGTCTTTGCACTCCTCGGCATGCAGCTCTTTGGTGGCAGGTAACATCAAATTTTCTCCTCCACAGTCTTTTGAGAGAAATATTGACGTTTTTTTTTTAATCCTTGCATTATTCCACGTAAGTCGTTATTGAAACTGAGGAAAGCAGGAAACTGCTGAGGCAGAGAGACAACTCTAATGAGCGTAGCAGCAAATTCAGACTGTTTTATCTCTCCCATTTGACTGGATGCACAAACCCTGGAGCTCTATTGAAGGGACATTCTCAAACATTAAAACAAAGCTGAAGTAGACTTTGTGGATCGATAGATTTACTCTTCGTGAAGAAGACACAGTTGAAGTCAAGATAGATCGTCCTGGGTTCTGTTTACTGTTGTTTTCATTTTATAGAGACAGTGTGTGAGCTACATTGAGATTTAAGACCCAGACTCTGTCGCACATAGCTGTTGTTGCCTGGTTTCCCTTGAGTCGAAGGCTGTTGCCCACAAGCTGTCACTTATATATATTCTGGCCGAGGTAGACACAAACTAGCCTCCAGAATACAGAGCACATAAAGAAGAGAAAATCATCCACCCAGGGAGGAGGAGAAATTGATTTCTCTCAATCCAAAAAAATAAATACAAACTATACCTGGCTCTGCTTTTCCACTGACTGTATGTGTCATGTCTTTCTCACAGATTTATCTTTGAAGACTACACTCCAACAAACTTTGATACCTTCCCTGCAGCCATCATGACCGTCTTTCAGGTCTGAAAATAAACTCTGACAATTTATTGCTCTCTGCTTCACACACATTTATTACAGCAAATAACAATGTCCAGGAGAGATGATATAGCACAGCTAAGGTTTTCTTCTGGATGGTTTTGTAGATGATATTATGTAGTATTATTGGTGAGTGTTTTTTTTTTTCAGATCCTGACTGGAGAGGACTGGAATGAAGTAATGTACAATGGCATTCGCTCTCAAGGAGGAGTGAAGTCTGGAATGTGGTCCTCTATCTACTTTATCGTGCTCACGCTGTTTGGAAACTGTATCCTTTGTTTTCTGAGTGAAAATGTTTACAGTTAAAGATTTATCATTTATTATACCTAACATCAGCAACTTATATGGCATTCGCTCTCAAGGAGGAGTGAAGTCTGGAATGTGGTCCTCTATCTACTTTATCGTGCTCACGCTGTTTGGAAACTGTATCCTTTGTTTTCTGAGTGAAAATGTTTACAGTTAAAGATTTATCATTTATTTTTAATAGTTTTCTATGCCGTTGATTTTACCTACCATCAGCAACCTATATGTGGACAGAAGTTAATGAGAGTGCACAGTATAGCTAGGAGAGATGCTGACAGCTCATCTCAGTTTCAATCAGATGCAAAACTGGAGCAAACTGCACAGAGCTGCAGACACTGTTGGCATAATTAGTGTGAATAGTAAACAAATAGTGAGGTAAATGATGTCCACGCCTTTGTTTTATCAGTGGCCTCAACCCATTCTTAGTGAGTTTCCCTCTTAAATGTGTGTCTGTTTCCAACCAGCTGAGCTGCAGAGGTTTAAGCTGGATTTTTTATCTTCAGTGGGATCATAAGTGCTGCAGTACTTCTATCTGTTTTTGAGTCTTCTCATGGTTGTCTGGTTGCATTTTCATCTGGTCCTTAACCGAGCTATGACCAGACACTCTGCTAAATGTCTTCTTGGCCATTGCCGTGGATAACCTCGCCAATGCACAAGAACTTACCAAGGTAACAGAAATGAACAGAAGTAAGGTTTTAAAACTCACTATTGTTATAGTTTTTTAAAAACACACATTTTGCTCTTTTTAACAGGATGAAGAGGAAGCAGAGGCTGCTTTTAACCAGAAGCATGCCCTCCAAAAGGCAAAGGAGGTTGGACCATTGTCTTCCTTCATGTCTTCAGAGTAAGTGCTATGTCCATCCACTCTCTCTGCCTAACCAGCTCTGTCCCTCCTGTCTCTGGGTATTATCAGTATAGCATAGCATAAGTCATCCACTATGCCAACACTAGATATGATTTCTGTGGCCTCCAGCAAAGAGCAAGTCTATGATTTGGTTCACTATGTCGACTTACTAATGAAACCTGCACATGCAGAGCATTTGTCCATGAAGGCTAAAGGCTGTCAATGAGGAGCACAGAGATGTGCATTTAAGTGTAGTGCCTCTTGACATAATTTTATGCTGTGAGACATATTACCAGTACGTCTTCCCTATCTAGCCTCGGTCTGCTCCCAGCACTGTCATTGCTTCAAACTGAAGTCAAATGTATGTCTCCATGGTTACTGGTTCCACTCCAAGATGGGAGGTTCTTCGATTGTTGTTATGGAGACAGGGCTACTTTGTGTCAAAATTAACATGGTGTGTCCTTTGTGGTAATGTATTTAAGTTTTCTGCAATGTGGACACTGTAATAGGAGGAGGAGGAGGAGGAGGAGGAAGACAGTCGAATAGAGCGTGTTGATCTGTTGAAGTTCTCTGTATAAAATGTGATTAATTTGTGTTTTCTCAATGCTCAGATTTCCAGCTCACATATAAGATTTATTTTCCTCAGGGATTGTTTGCACACTATTTTCATAGGTGGTGGAGGTGCATGTGCATGCACAAGAGTGGGGACCTCTGTGTGCACGCTGTGTAATAAGAAACATGCGGTTTGTTGCATGGGCATGTGGAAAGATTTGCAAGAAAGCACTCAATAACACGATTTTATGCACCTTCTTCTCTCAATTTTTGTGTTTTATTGCTCTCACTACTTATCCTAGAATTTTCTTAGTGAATTAAAGTCAGAGAAAGAAAAATGGAGATAGTTTAAGAGTAGCCAGCTGAAGGTCAGGCTCCTGTCAGAGCCCATAGAAGAGACTGGAATACCAGGGGGTCATCCAGGCCACCATCGATATTCAGAGAGGACACTCTAACCTTTGAGGGTTTCTGGTCTCATCTCCTGATGTCAGCTTTAAAACCCCAGTGGTCTCTGACCCTGCCGACCTCGGAGAAACTTGCATGACAGCATTCGCTCGAGGAAAAAAAAAAAAAAGGGTGCAGCATGTTGGAGGCTGATTATGATTTCACCCTATAAACGCATGAATCTGGTCGAGCATGATTTAAAGGATGAAAAACAGAAACTACACACAACTAAAATGCTTCTCATGAGCTGTGAAACAAGATTTCCACAGACCTGCAGATTTGAGAAGAGTTTTGAGTGTGTGTACAGTTTTTCCTCCACTGTGAAGTTTTGAAAGCCTCCTCCAAATGCTCTTGAGAGGTGTGAATAAACTGAGTGAACACTCTGGAGCTAGGCACAGTAATTTTCCTTATTTAGCACTTTTAGCATGTCAAAAAAAAAGAGCTCTGAGGTTTGCTAGTGTGTTTGCAGCTGCATCCCACTGTGGTGGTAACTTTGCACAAAGGGTATCGATGTGCGCCCTTTATGCGCTCTTTCTCCCTGTGTTTGCTGATGGAGGCCATCTCTCTGTGTGTTTTTTCCTTCTCTGTACCCATACTGCAGCTCAGACTGTCAAAAATGTCAGTGTATTTTTAAAATGTCTTTTTATCAATGTTGCGCTTAATGTTTATTAATGTTGTTTGATTGCTTCTAATACTGATACCATCCTGTTTGTCGCTGTTTCGCTTAGTCAAATGGAGACACACAACAAACTGAAAGGTCCAAGGATTTGATAAATAGTTTAAAGAAAAGATGTCAACGTGGAAATATCCTGATGCAACAGCTACCACAGCATATAAGACGTGTATAATTCATCTGTGTGCTAAGGAGCGTTGTTTTTCCATTAGAGATTTGAACATGAGGAACGGGCATATAAACAACAAAGGACAACTGATTTGCTGTGTGTCTCCTGGCCTGTTTTGTCTCTGCTAGAAAAAGCACTAATGTCTTGTTTTCAACCAATCGCTCATTGATAACACGGACCACACAAGAGTCCTCGCTCCAGTAAGTAACAGTGTCTGTTTAGCTCTCTGTCTCTCTCTGTCTCTCTCTCTCTGCCTAATGCCTGTCTGATTTTCTAAACACTGGTAAATGTCTCATACTCATCCTGTTAAGTATTCTGTCCACAGTCTGTCCTCTCCTCTGTCCTCTCACGCATAATTCAATTCCACATTTTCTGTTTCACTGACTCTATTCTGCATCTCATTCTTTCTGTTATTGGAGTTTGCAAAATAACTCCTGGCTTGGTTTATATCACCAAACATCGTCACTGATCCAGTAAATTGTTTCATGTTGAGATGAAAACTCCATTCATTGAACATCAGCCCAAAGCAGTTGCTGTGTTCTGTGATATTTATTTTTATGTATGAACATTTACATTCAAAAAGACAAAGGGAATGTAGATTGAAGCATTTTAGATTGAATCAAATAGGTGTAAAAGCAGAATTATGTTACAATCATCGCATTAGGTAGTTAATTTAAAAGTTATATTCATTGAGTTTGACCAGTTTCTTGCTTTTTTATTCCAGCATTTCCTCTTTCTTTCTCTCCTCAGGGGTAGCAGGAGGAGGCGTCCCTACCTGTATAGAAAAAGAGCCATCCACCGCAGCCGGCCCACTTACTCCTGCTCCCTGGACGAAGCCCAGGGTAGCATCAGGGAGGGTCGCCCACCCCCACCACTCAACCCCTCTAACTCTTTCATGTCCAGGAGAGAGAGGAGAAAAAGGATGACCATGTCGGTGTGGGAGCAGAGGACCAGCCAGCTGCGGAGACACCGTCAGATGTCCAGCCGGGAGATCCTGTTCAACAGCCCGAGCGAGGAGAAGGACGGGCCGTCTGCCGCTGGACGTCCTCTGTCGCTGCACCGCAAGGCCATGGAGCACACGATCTCAGGGAGTTTGAAGCGCCTCACTGACCCCTTAGCCTCGCCAGTGAAGAGTCAAACATTAGGCTCCTCTATGTCCGTAGATGCTGCTCTCTGTGGGGACATACCTGAGCCGCCGTTGTCTGTTCTTGTGCCGGAGTCATTGGATCCTACAAATATCCCACAAACAGATGCTACCGGAGCCAATCCTGAGTCCATCACCGAGAGCGGAAAGCTGACTCTAAACAAGAGTCACAACACCATCAGTGAGCACAGGAGCCCCAGACTGAACGGCGAGCGCCAACACAGGGCAGTGAAGAAGTTCAGACCCCCAGATAACCTCGACACACTGACTCCTGAGACTGGGAGTCATGGTGGAATCAGAGGCAGGAGGCATCACTGTGACCTGCAGACAGGCTCCAGGAGTCAGGGGTCTTCACCTGGGAATGGAAGCCACCTGGCAAGTTTCCCACTAAACAGAGAGAGGAGGAGGAATCCAGGGAAAGAAGAGGGGAAGGAGACAGAGGTCAAAAAGGAGGAGGAGGAATCCAAACCGGAGGGGAGCAGGTAAGCTGGACGAACAGCTTCACATAATTCTGATTTTAGAGATGAGAAAAACTGATCAGAGTTTCTCTCATTTCTCTCATCTCCCTGAACATTTCATTTCTGTCGGAGCATTTTAGTTATTGATACTTTTCGAAAACAATTTTAACAAAGTTTTTGTATTGTTTTGTTGTTTGTTTTCTGGAAGGTAGTTCAGGTTGAGAGTGTCCCCCTGTGGTGCTTTTTGTAACTTCTTTTAATCCTGTTGAAAAAATGGTTGAATCCAGATATTGGTTGTCCTAATTTCATCCTGTTCTCAGCTAAGTTTCCACACTGTAACTCAGCATTCATCAGGTAGCATCAACTATACGTACAAACAAAACTTTAGAGGAGATTAAAAAAGAAATGCTCTGTCAGTTGCTGGCTATAAGTGTTATATTTGTACCCAATTCCTGACGAGAACTTGAGTTGTTGTCCCATAAGACCTGACAGTTTTCCTCTTTGTCACGCTGCCTCATTTTTGCTCTATTCATGGCACTGTTACTGTCACACATATGCATATAGTTTCTCCCTATGGATCCAGAAATGTGCTTGTTTTTTTGGATTATTGCCCATGCCTCTTTCAGCTAACTTATGTGAAAGGGATATTCTGGTATAAAATTAATTCAGGATGAAACACACCGTAACACCGAGTCAGACACCCCGTCGAGAGATGAATGTTGCCAACCGCTTGCTTCTCTAGTTAGACTAACTTTAGTAACGACCGCATGATAGCAATACAGAGAGGTACCCGCTCAACCAAAAAGCCACTCTATAGCCACAAATAATGCTCAGAACAGCACCTAACTTCATCAACAGTACATATAGGGTCCCAGCCACAGCACTAGCCACCAAACATCTTTTTAACTTTGCCTGATTTCTTTAGAAATGAGACTAAACACAACTCACCGTCTCTCTTCCAGCAGCCACTTGTTTGCAGCAAGACCTCAGGCCAGTCCATTACAGACTGCTGCGGGGTGACGCAGCTCAAGGAATAACATTTATGATCATTACTTTATCGTGTCCTTGAAGTAATAATCATCATATTAAACAATTTGCACTGCAGACGCGATAGTTCTTCTGCCTTAGCGTCTCGGTCTGATTGCATTTCCATGAGGAAATGGTCGTAAATGTTCTTCCTTGAGCTGCGTCACCCCACTGCAGTCGATGGACTCACCTGGAGGTCTCCGTACAAACAAGCGACTGCTGGAAGAGAAAAGGTAAGATGATGAAGTTAGGTACTGTTCTGAGCATTATTTGTGGCTATCGAGTGGCTTTTTGGTTGAGCGCTAGAGAACCAAGCGGTCGACAACATTCATCTCCTGGCAGGGCGTCTAACTCGGTGTTACGGTGTGTTTGACCCTAACTTAATTTTATGCCAGAATACCGCTTTAATTCATTAATCTATGCGCATCAGTGTTTTTGTTTCTTGCTGCTTTGGTAGTACAGATTCACCATCTCATAGTTCCAATATAACTGTATTACTGTAAAATCCAACTCTCTTTGTCTCCAGACAGGGTCAGAAGAGTAAAGAGGGAGATAATGAGCCAGCAGAAAACCAGACTCACACAGATGACCCATGTCCAGAACCTCCTCAGCAATCAGAGCCGTCTCCTCCTGCCGTCCAAGGGAACAACAAGGAGGAGGAGGACAACGAGCTGGAGCATGAGAAATCTCAGCTCAGCTCGAGCGTCATTATCGACATGCCAAATGTTCAGTCTGCTCTGGAGCTCTCCACAATCACAGGTAACACATCTGCTGGATTTTTGCTATCAGCTTATGCTCGACTACTCATCAGTTTCCACAACCTACATCTTTCCTACAGATGGGTCTAAAACTGGAGGAAAGCATGGATGATCTAGAAATGTAAAACTGCTCCAGATCTGTCAGAAAATATATTTTCCAAATAAATCATAGATGAAAATTAGGTCACGCAGTTTCACCACAGTGTTTCATTTTAAATCTATTGCACCTTGGGTAAATCGTTGCCTCCACAGTTTAGGCATTTTGAGATTCAGTGACTCATGTCATCTTTTAGCTAGCCCCCATATTTCTATGATTCGTCTTGCCACTTCCGGCCTCCATCTACTCTCAGCTGTTATTTTTAAGATAAAACTCTTCTCTGGAAAAGTAAGCTTGTTAGTTTTGTGGCAACTTTCTGCGCCCTCCTTTTATTTCATCCAAAGCACCTATTCTTCTTCTTCTCATCTTCCACTTCTAACACCTTTCTTTTTGCTCCCTCCAACTTTCCTCAGTGAACAACAAAGACCCTGACACCTGTAAATCAGAGATAGAGGAAGCAGAGGAGACAAAGCCTGTTAACACTGTGACGCCGGACAGCATGTTCATCTTCAAACCTGACAACCCGTAAGTTTCCAACACCCTCCCTTTTCACAGGAAGCTAGGACCAAGAGGAGTATTTCTTTATAATTATGGGGGGAAAAAACACCACCGCTCAGACCCTTTCAACTTTTTCACAGAGTTTAACCTTTAAAGTGTTTCGCATCCATCTTATTCAGCACTGCAGGCAGTAGATTTCAAACTCTCTGTTGATGGGCTGTCTGACCTCGGCCTCACATCTTCACTCCACCATCTGCTCTCCCTCAGGGTGCGTCGAGCGTGTCACTACGTGGTCAACTTCAGGTACTTTGAGATGTCCATCCTGTTGGTCATAGCTGCGAGCAGTATAGCACTGGCAGCAGAAGACCCTGTGGCCACCTCATCTGACTGGAATAAGGTTTCACACTCATATATTATCTGTCCGCCGGCTGCAGAGTGAATGACTTTATGAGAGCCTGCATATTCCTACTGATCCTCATCTCTTGAGATATGATTTCAATCACTCGTTATCACTGCCACGGGTCTAATGGCTCCCTTCATCTTCTCTAAGCAGCAGAAACCCCACAAAGATAAAAGAAAACATTACTAACAAGCAGTTCCGTTAATTGTTTTGCACAAGGCTGCTGATATGATTTGATGGGGGGAAGTTAAACCTCCGATGAGCGAGGAAAATGAAGTCTGAGACACTACACAGCGTGATTGTTGAAGGATAGATTAAGCTAGATACTCGAGACAGATTCACTGAAGGATTGCACAGCTTTTTTTTTCCTCCTTAACATGTTCAGATGAGACAAAAAGATAGAGTCTGATTCAGTAAGCACCCACAAAGGGTAAAACGCACTATAAACAACGCAGCAGAACAAATGCAGTCTCTGTGCTGTTTGCCTGTATCTAAATGAGCCGTTATATTGTGGCAGAGCCGACCCATCACTCTGCAAATGAGCTTTATTTCAACAAACTTTTAGTTCACAATCACTTTTTCTGTCTGTCAAGGTGGTGACTGCACCACAGCACGTCTGGCTCAAACTTTCCAATGATCATAATAATGATTCCACCTCTGGGTGACCTAAAAATAAAATATCTGCACCGGTTGTCTGTCAGCATCACCATGATGTAACGATCATTGCGGTAACAGGAGTTAAATCAGTTCAGGACTGTGCCCGACTTCACTCTGGCACTCTGTAATTTTCAGTTCATGGAGACTTTCTGTGTGTTTTGATTGGAGGGAGCTTTTGTTATAAACTTTGAAAATTTGGACAGGTTTGAGCTCTGTGAGGATGAGAGCGCACAGCACAGCTCTGCGCAGCATAAAGGGTCACCTTTTTTCTGTGAAAGTTAGGTTCTTAATTTGTGTGCTATATTCAGGATATGTGTCTAATTTTGTCTTTGTTGTTTCCTGTCACAATTTTACAGGTTCTGAGATACTTTGATTACGTTTTCACTGGAGTCTTCACATTTGAAATGGTTATTAAGGTGAGATAGTGTTTGTAATGGTGTGGGACTCTGTTAGGGCTGGGCGATAAACTGAAAATTTACCAATACCAAAATTTACGACAATAACTGACGTCATTTTGCCCATATTGGTATATTCAGTGTCAAAAAAATAAATAAATAAAAGTTGGTTTTGGATGTGTGTTGGTAGGCTATGGTTTCATGTTGCTTTAAGACACTGTCAGAGACGTGACTCCACCCCTTCCAGTCAGTAACAAAGAGGGAAAAACAGGTGAGGAGATGGAGGATGGTTCAAAAGTTGTAGCAGCTTAAGTAGAAGAAGTTAATGTGAGAGTGGGGTGAGCAACTTATGGAGTGGTTGTCGTCCATTTTCGTGTTATCAAGGTGAACTGCTCAATATATCGTGATATTGATTTGAGGCCATATCGCCCAGCCCTAGACACTGTTGTAATAGACTGATGTAAACTGTGGTTATTGTGCTTTGTTGGGCCATGCAAGCTCTTTATTCTTTAAAACTCCTGTTAGGAACTTTTGGTTAGTGTTGGTGTCTGTGTACCTTTGATCTCTTTACTGATATTTGTCCTGCTTTTTGTGCAAGTGGTACTTTCAAATGAAACATTTCATCCTTCTGTCTGTTAACAATGTAATGTACCACTCATCAGTAATCTTTTCCATGGTAGCTGCAAACAAAGACTACAATTAATCACTTCATCTGACACTTACCTCACCACGGCTGTTTCTAGCATTAAAAAGACAAAATCAAAACATCATAACTGTTCATTATAGTCTCATTTGCATTCAGAGCTCACAATGAGGTAATCCTTTTGATTGCAGCCCATTTGAAAACTTGTTAAAGATCTAAAAGAAGCTCTTTGGGAACAGTGTTCCTCAAGTCAGGAGCTACTCTTCCATCTCACCAGTACAAACAGTTTTGTTCAGTAGTTTAGCTCTTTTTCATTTCATAACAGTAAACCAGCAAACAATATTAAAATTTCTTGTTACTGAAGGATTTGTTTTCCCTGCAGATGATCGATCAGGGCCTGATCCTCCATGACGGCTCTTACTTCAGAGACCTGTGGAACATCCTAGACTTCATTGTTGTAGTGGGAGCACTGGTTGCCTTTGCCCTCTCGTCAGTAACATGTCCCATGAACTGATCAAATTTTCAAACATGTATCAGCCATCTGTGAATTACTGTTTATTCGTAAAAGTTAATTTAAACTCTTGTGTTCATTTCCCTCTATCCTGTTCGTCTCTGTCTGTGGATGATTGCCTCTGTGGACCTGACCATCAGGAATGTCATGGGGTAAAAAAAACTTAAAATTCTTCCTGTTTTAAAACAAACGCCTTTTTAAAAATGCTTTAAAAAGCAGCTTTTGTCATATTAAACATACTGTGATATATACAGTTGGGGACTACCTCTAGGAGTGTGAAAAATGGTGCAGCGCTAACTCTCTGTTTCTTTCTGGACAGAAACAACAAAGGACGAGACATTAAGACCATCAAATCCCTGAGAGTTTTACGAGTCCTCAGACCTTTAAAAACCATCAAGAGACTTCCTAAACTCAAGGTGAGAAATGATTTGGATTCACTCTTCTAAATGTATGTTTTGATTGTGAACAGGCAGAAGGTTATAAATCAGATAAAACAGTCGCCACTTGCTCTCTGCACTCTGTGGTGATAGAAACATACAGTATAGCTTTAAGGTTACTCTTCCTAAATCATTCATAGCTGTGAGCGTCAGATCTGAGAGCAGAGACAGAACAAGTAGACAGATGAGGCGATGAGCCATGAAGTGACAAACTGTGAGCATCAGAGCATGAAGGCATGTTGTCAGGGCTGAGACCCTAAAACCTCCAACATAGTCTGCCTACAGGGAGAGAACGAGGAGGAGGAGAAGAGGTGAGATATTTCAAAGCATTAACGCTCATGCAAACACTGGAAACTGAACAGGGAGACAGAGAGGAGACCTTGAAAGATAAATAAACCGGAGAGGAGATGCAAGGGTTAATAGACAAGGCTGCTCAAGAAGCAGCTTGAGAACTGTCAGAGTGTGGTGACAGGTCTTCATTTGATTGCAGTTAACAAATCATATTTTGTGATTTATCTATTTGTTTAGTTTGTTGACTTTGTTCCTTGAGTGAGGGAGTAAAAATCCATCCTTATACCAAAATAAACAGGATTGCACAGCGCTATGTTAGTTAAAAGTGTAAACACATGCTTACAGTAAGTTCAGTGACTTTTGTGGTAGTGTTTACCTTGTTTTTCTTGTTATACCTTCTTTATCTTACCAAACCAGTAAACAAAGCACCACATTTTTAACACCAGACAGATAATTTAGACAAATTTCCTCGAAAAATGATATTACTGCATAAATCTGTCCAGTTAAAACAAACTATTGACACAAACCGTGTTTGAGAAAAATGTATTTGTCAGTTTTTGATTTAATAGTTTGACTCATGTCTCATTTGTTCACATAACGGAGGTACTTTTATGATCTATACTCCAGCCAGTCAGCCAAGGGGGCGCCAAATGTTCATGATTCACGCTAATGTCTTCCATCTACTTCTAGAAATCTATGGTGAAAACAGCGATACTGGGCCACTACTTTCAACTGTTTACTATGGGTGACTGCAGAAATGTGACGTTTAGACTGATAGATACAAAGATATGTCAGACTTTTACTCCCAAATCTCATATCATGCTTTTTCTTTGGTGTATGTTCAAACTCCCTCAGGCCGTGTTTGACTGTGTGGTGACGTCCCTGAAAAACGTCTTCAACATCCTGATCGTCTATAAGCTCTTCATGTTCATTTTCGCCGTCATCGCCGTGCAGCTCTTCAAGGGGAAGTTTTTCTACTGCACGGACAGCTCCAAGACAACCGAGAAGGACTGCCAGTAACTCTCCCCTCTTTTCCCTTATTCAGTTTTCCTTTTCTTCCTGCATCAGTTTGGTCACTATCATTCTTTCTTTTTTAATCCTTCTTTCCTTTGTTTTCTGATTTGTTTCACTCATTGAGATCTTCTTCACACTATTCTTCCTTTTTTCCTATTTATTTTTCCTACTTTCCTTGTCTTCTCTTCTTTTCCATTTTTCACTGATCATTTAATTTCTATTTATTTCCTTGTTTCTTTCATGACTTTTCTTTTCTTCATTCTCTTTCGTTCTATGCCTTTTCTTTCTTCTTTTTCTCCAATCTTCACTTACATTTCCTGCTTCTCCCAAATATTTTTCTGTCCTCTTTGTTCCTTTTTTTCCATCTCCTTTGTCTTTTGTTGTGTTTCCTTTTTTCTATTTTCTGTTTTTTCTTGCTTGGATTCTCCCCCTACATTTTCCTTATATTGTATTTTCTTATTTCTTCTATTATCAGTAAAGTTCCTGCTCTTTCTTTTTTCTTTCTTTTATTTTGTTTCTTTCCTCTTTTCTTACATTCTTTCTCTTTTAATTTTTTCCATTTTTCTTTCTTTCCCTCTTTTTCTCTCTCTCCAATTTCTTTATTTTTCTTTCTTTCTTTCTGTCTTTCTTTCTTTGCCCTTTATCTTATTTCCCTCAGCCCTAAAGTTTATCTCTGTCATGGACTGACACCTCCTGAAGCATCACCTTTTCTTTCAGAGCTTTTGTGATTTTGCTTTTTGCTTTTTTTTTTTTGTCTCTTCCATCATAACTTTCTTTTCATTCCCTCTTTTTGCTGTCTTCCTCAGGGGTTACTACATCGACTATGGGAAAGATAAGAAAGAGATGAAGAGAAGAGAGTGGAGGAGACATGAGTTCCACTATGACAACATTGTCTGGGCTCTGCTCACTCTCTTCACGGTGTCCACAGGAGAAGGCTGGCCTCAGTGAGTGGAGTTGGAGGATAAGTGCTCATTGTCGTTATAAATGAGAAAACTGCAGAAGCTTTACCTCCTATCATTTCGAATTCTTCAGCCTTGTTTCTTTTATGACCAGTTTAACCTTTTAGCTGATGGCTTCTTCTTCGGTGAACAAGTCTGACCTTTGAAGGAAACATATAATGTGTTTAACTTATAGACTAAATGGTTAGTTTATCTCACTTATATGGTTGAACTTAAACTCAGTGCTGGTACATGTAGCATGAACACACACAGCACTTGTATGTTGCTTTTAAAGAAACTTTCTTTGGATATTCAAGGGTTTCAATTCATGAATGTTTTTTGAAAGGGGTTGATATATTTTCTCAACATCTGTAAAAGTATCGGCATCCCGCTTTCTGCTCCTCCAGGGTTCTGCAGCACTCAGTCGACGTGACAGAGGAGGACAGAGGTCCAAGCCACGGCAACAGGATGGAGATGTCTATCTTCTACGTCATCTACTTTGTTGTCTTTCCTTTCTTCTTCGTCAACATCTTTGTGGCGCTCATCATCATCACCTTCCAGGAACAGGGGGATAAGATGATGGAGGAGTGCAGCCTGGAAAAGAATGAGGTGAGGAAAGAAAGTTTTGCTGTGTCACTCCAATTCAATGATCCTAACAAAAATGTGATACATATTCAACATGCTGATGATGATGTTCTTAGATGTTCTAGTCGGAAAGGGTCATCAGTTTCAAGTCAAAAATTGTTGAAGCAAATGACACCAAAGCGCTAAAAGAAGCCTCCATAATAGCAATCCCATGATGATTTTCTTTCCTTCTTTCTTTCCTTACATTTTCCGTCTCTCTCTCTGTCTCTTGTTCTCTCTGTTTCAGAGAGCATGCATAGACTTTGCAATCAGTGCCAAACCCCTGACCCGTTACATGCCCCAGAACCGGCACACGTTCCAGTACCGCCTGTGGCATTTTGTGGTGTCACCTTCCTTTGAGTACACCGTCCTGGCCATGATCGCTCTCAACACCATTGTGCTGATGATGAAGGTGAGGAAGATCTTTGATATTCACATTGAAGGGAGTGGTGGAAGAACATTTTAACTGATTTCACTTTTACCGCAATGTTGTGTAAGAAGAAGTAAACTTGAGTGATTGATTTAGAGCACAATAACGTTTATGAAACAACAATTATGACAGTTCTTATTGTTATGTAACATTTAGCTCAAAGGAATACTTTGAACATTGGCTATTTTTCACCCTCATTTCTATACAAACACTGCATTGCTTGCCAGTAACATATTTTTAGCCCAGTTTGTGCCTGTTAACACCCCACTTCTAAAGTAAACTGAGATCTGTGTCCCTTAGGCATAGCTGTGCCACTTCAACATACTGTAATCATTTCATTTTCGTCGACTGATGTTTTAAGTTATGTTCCAGCTCTAGGTCACCATTATTTATTTCTCATATCAGTCCTTTCTAAGGTTGTACAGGTTGTTCAGACTGTCAGACAGACAGGCGCGGGGTGACTCAGCCTGTATTAAATATTGATCCATAATGTCCAGGGGCTGCTATTTAGCATGACCTCATTAACTGTGGCTGCCGCCCCCAGAGGAATGACTCCTTTTATAGTGCCGTGGATGAAAGGTACAGAGACTGGAGGACTATTTATGGGTCTGGAGGAATCTTCCATCAACCTGTAGATCTGCAGGGTGTGGGCTGGAGTTCACACTAACATCAGACCGGTGTCAAACACTGCTGTGACCTTTTTTTTTAATCCTCCTCACACTGCACATTTCTTATAGTTTAACCCCTGCTGCCTTGCCGTTTTCAGTATTACTCTGCCCCGCCGGCGTATGAGGCTGTACTGAAGCACCTGAACACAGCATTTACTGTTCTCTTCTCTGTCGAGTGTGTCCTCAAGATCATGGCCTTTGGATTCCTGGTGAGAGAAAACAGGCACACAGAGCAGCCTGAATGTTTTTATTCCTATTCCTGTTTTCAAGTGTACAATAGCATCTCTTCTGTTTTTGCAGAACTATTTTCGGGACACTTGGAACATTTTTGACTTCATCACTGTTTTGGGAAGCATCACAGAGATCATAGTGGACCTACAGGTACTGAAACCTCAGAACTATGAATGAGTATCAAGAGGTTTTGAAATGTTGCACAGGTTCTCAGCCAAATTTAAGTCTGGATGTGAACTTTATCATCCCGTCCCTGTGTAAAACCTTCTCCTGTTTCTATTTTCCAGTTTGTTGATACGTTCAACATGAGCTTCTTAAAACTGTTCAGAGCAGCTCGTCTCATCAAACTGCTGAGACAGGGTTACACCATCCGGATCCTTCTGTGGACCTTTGTTCAGTCCTTTAAGGCTTTGCCCTACGTCTGCCTGCTCATCGCCATGCTCTTCTTCATCTACGCCATCATTGGCATGCAGGTTAGATGACAGATGCTTTAACAGATTATCTCTCTCTGGGGATTATGCTACATTTTACTGAAAATGTTTTCTCTGGTGTGATCAAATCTTCAAAAGTCACAGTGTTTTAAACCATGAACTGTTTTTCTATGATTTTTTTTTTATCGAATGTGTGTCTGTCTGCTTAAAATCAGGTGTTTGGGAATATTAAGCTGAACGACAAGACTCACATTACCCAGCACAACAACTTTAGGACCTTCTCTGGTGCTCTGATGCTGCTGTTCAGGTAGGACTCATCTAAGATTTTTATATGTTGTTGGGGTAGGTAAATAATGAATTGGCTCTTCACATCAACATGCTAATTGTTGGTATTGCTTTTATTTCAACATGATAAAAGCAAAATCTGTTTGGCTTTAAATGTATGAAATGCAGGAAATTGCAGATGGCAGGAAGCCTTCAATAACAACAGAAAAAAATTGCAGACGTCTGTAACATCTACATTAATATTCAAAGGCGTTAACTGCTAAGTCGTATCGCACACACACTGTACCGAAAATGCAGACACTGCTGCACAACTAGACCTCAAATTCTGCGTCTGTAAAGCATCCGGTGCAAGTCTTCAAGCTTTGATTGCACGTTCCAGATGGCAGACAAAACTGTGAATAAACTGTGAGCTGGACTGTTTGATCCCTTACCATCCTTCATCCTCCTCCTCCTCCTCCTCCTTATGGTGTTATGCAATGTCTGTGTGCAGGAGTGCCACAGGGGAGTCATGGCAGGAGATCATGTTGTCATGTCTGGGGGGACAGAAGTGTGAGAAGGACCCAGCAGTATCTACCAGCGTCGACCAGGAGGGGGGCTGCGGCTCTGACTTTGCCTATTTCTACTTTGTCTCGTTTATCTTCTTCAGCTCCTTTCTGGTAAGAAAGGGAAACTGCAGAGTGAAAGAACAAACACCCCAGTCTTTGTTTCTTACTTTAAAAACAAAGCAAACTCCACCTACCATAACTAAACATGCCTGCTCCCCCCTGACTGTACCATGAATTTTCTGTCCAGATGCTGAACCTGTTTGTTGCGGTGATCATGGATAACTTTGAGTATCTGACGAGAGATTCTTCCATCTTGGGTCCACACCACCTGGATGAGTTTGTTCGGATCTGGGGGGAGTATGACCGTGCTGCCTGGTCAGTGCTGTATTTTCTTTTACTGCTTTTTATCTGAATTTATATCAGTTAACATACAAATGGACAAGCCTAAATGAATTTTTGAAAAATATGTTTTAAGACATTAAAGACTTTTCAGTTTCGTGATATATTAACTGTTTGTTTGTGTATTGAAATAACAGCTACAAACTGTCTCTAATGTAAACAGCATTTTAGGATTTCTCGTCTTATTTTTACACATTTTCTTGTTACAAAGTTGAAATCTTTTGTAACAAGCGACAAGTGGACTAAACCTCCTTTTACAGCTCAGGCCCCCTCAGCTGTAAAAAGCGTCAGTGACACCTAACTAAAGACATGTATGTTCTTTCCAGTGGTAGGGTCCATTATAAGGAGATGTACAAAGTTGTGCGCACTATCTCACCTCCTCTGGGCTTCGGAAAGAACTGCCCTCACAGGGTGGCATGCAAGGTTTGGTCCCTGCCCCTCGGTCCACTCTTAACAGTGGGATCCTTCCTGACCTCCTTCTCTTCCCCCTCTCTGCCCTGCTTGTATTTAGGGGTGTGATACTCAGGTCAAAGAATGACGACACTCCAGTCTCTTGGTACTAAGGCACAGGACATCCCCCATTCAGAAATATAAGTGCATAAAATTAAATTCAATTTGAGAAGATTCAGATTAGGATTTTCCAAGAGTTTTTTAGGGGGTTGCGCCTGTCTCTTTCTACCTTTTGGATCTGGTTTATGATGTTTTTAGTCCTGTCTTATGTTGTAGGCAAAGTAAGTATTTGATAGTTCTACCAGATCCAGAGAGGCTGTCATTTCTTTGCTCATCTTGTCTGATATTTTTCTCCTTTCCCAGATTTCTATGCCCTGATGGCAGCATAGAAAGTATAGAACCTGTTTTGTTTTTCCTACTCTCTCTCTCTCTCTCTCTCTCTCTCTCTCTCTCTCTCTCTCTCTCTCTTCCCTGCGTGACTTAAAATAATCCTTTCTTTTGTATCTCCTTCATTCTTGTTCCTCCCTTTTACCCCTTACCCCTTACTCTCTCATGCTTTCTCTGATCTTCCTCCATTATTTAATTCCCCCTCCACTTTAATCATCCGTTTCCCTCCTCCTCTCCCTCCTCTTTCCCCCTCTTTCTCATTCCCATCTTCATGGCTACCTGGCGCCCCCAGTGGTCGTATCCATTACACTGACATGTATGAGATGTTGACCAACATGTCGCCGCCTCTCGGCCTGGGCAAGAAATGTCCCTCCAAGGTGGCATATAAGGTAGATTAAACACCGCAGATTAACAGGCGCCGCAGAGGACAAGCACTGTAAAAGCTTATTTTGTGTGTCACATATTGGAAAAGCAAGGCATTTATTTCTGTTGGTCATTTGATGCAGTATTGCTTCTTGAATCAGGACTTTATAAGCGGATGATGAACGCTCAGTAATGATTTGCCTGTTTTGCTTTGCATCTTGGCAGAAACAATAAGATGTCACCACCTGTTGGCTGATAAAAGTGTATTACAAGAGTCTTTGTTGGAGTTTATATCTGTAAACCAGTCAGTGGCACCAAATCGGAGAGTCACCAGACATCTACATGCTAAATGTTGTCATTTGTCAAAGTGTGTCAAATGTTCTCACGTCTTTCATACCTACTTCTCTGTTTTTTACATGTACCTGTCTGCATGCTCCTCCAGCCTCCGCCTGAGTGTAACATGTAATGAAGTGTATGTGTGCGCTATTGGTTAGCCTGCAAGCATGCACCTTCACTGATGAATGCTAGTCTCCTGCTGCAGAGTGTGTTGTGTGAGTTTTGTCTCTTTTTATAGAACGTTACACCGCACAGCATATCCTGTTTAAAGCTCCTTTTACCCAAGGTCTGGAAAGGACAAATCTAATGATCCCAAGAAATCTTTTCTTTCTCATTATTTCTCCATCATGAGTTACAGTTACAAGACAATGAATTTATTTCTTGTCTTTATTAATTACTTTGTCCTAAAACTAGATACACGTCCTTTCATTCCTCTGTATCACAGGTTTTTTTTCTTTAAACAGGATAAACTATATTAAAAGAAACGTTAAATGACAGTCATAAAGTTCCTGTTGCTGTGAAGCCCAGTCAGGCCGTGGTAGTGCACCATTTTTCAAGCTTGTCATTTATTTATTTACACATCTCTATTAAAGGTTAACAGGTGACCCTCTTACTGAATTTAACCAGTGGATACACAAATAAAGAAACATACTAGCACCCTTATTGATGACTTTTTAAAATTCATTTTTGTAATGTTCATAATCTGTAATCTTTTATCTTAACAATGAGCATTAAGTCATTATGATCAGAGGAACACCATACGCCACCAGAGCCACCCTGGGCTTCCACTTTTGCGTTGTGATATGTTTAGTAATTCTCAATCTGATAGTTATAACTGACTAAAATAATGTCCCTGCTGCCTTTAGAGACTCGTCCTGATGAACATGCCTGTGGACGAGGATATGTCTGTTCACTTCACCTCCACCCTCATGGCTCTTATCCGCACCGCTCTGGAGATCAAGATAGCCAGAGGTTTGACTGAGTATAAACACAGATGCACACACACTTGTTGTGTGTATCGGATTGGATTTCATGTCATTTTGTATTGTGCTACATCATTTTATATCATATGTCTTATCTGGTCTTGTGATACCGTATAAAAAAAACACCATGTCTTACTGCTTTTTTTGTGTCTCTAGGAGGGGAAGATAGAAATCAGATGGACCTGGACCTGCAGAAGGAGATTGGTGTCATTTGGCCCCATCTTTCACAGAAGACATTAGAGCTTCTGGTTCCAATACACAAAGGTAGACTTAGACTTAGACTTTCTTTAATCGTCATTGCACAGAATAAAACACAGCAGTGATTCCTCTCCGCAAGAATAAAAACAATAAAAACGAAGGGTAAAAGAGCAGCATGGTGAGTATTAGTGCGCTTTCTGGAGGTAGAGTGGTAGTGGAATAAAAACAAATAAAAGTGTATATAAAAAGATAAATGTTCTGATTTACACAGAATAAATAGTAAAAACAGGAACACAGTGCAGCAGGGTGGGAGTAGGGGGTTGTATGGAGGGTCAAAGGTGACACCAGCCTCACAGCTGTAGCTAAACAGCACACTAATTCTTCTTCAAAGAAAATAATCCATATCTGAGTGGTAATTAATCTTACATTTAAACAAAGATACATGCGTTTTGTATGATGTAATGTTTTTTTACTCTCTCTTTTTTTAGCAAGTGACATGACAATAGGAAAGATCTACGCTGCCATGATGATCATGGACTATTACAAGCAGAGCAAGGCCAAGAAGCTGCGGCAGCAACTTGAAGAACAGGTACCTCTGAGCTTCTTCTCGATGATATTTCCATGACACATTTTTCTTAGTTTTTCCATTTTTTTAATCTCAAGATTTGTTTACATCAGAACCCTTCCCACTGAAATGTCAAGAAGCATTTATTGCAACACCAAATTTGTAAGACTAAATTTTGATCCGATCACCAGCTTGACATCTTCAGTAAGATCAGGAATGTCCACATTAGGAAATGTTATTATGGTACTTCAAGTATCGTTCGTTTTAACTTCTCGGTCTCTTTCCTCTTCTCACCATAGAAACATGCTCCCATGTTCCAGCGTATGGATGCTTCCTCTCTGCCTCAAGAAATTCTATGCAATGCCAAAGCCCTTTCATTCCTCAGGCACAGTGCTGGATCTGCTCTGTAAATATCAAGCTTGAATTTATCACTCATATTTATCTACCCATTGTGTGTTTGTTCAAAATGTTTGGAAGGAAAAATCCAAAGTCTGCTCACCAACTGTTTTTCATCACCGTAGTTTACTCTATGTGTGTATACAAAAAGCTGTTGTCTGCGTTTTTGCCTTCAGCACCAGAGGAGGTTTTATGGCTCTCAGCCCCATCTCTCCCCAAGATATGTTCCTGCAGCCGCTCTCTCAGTCAAGGGAGGCGAGAGAAGAAGAGGAGGATGACGACTACCGTTCACCCTACCACCCCTACCTCCACCCACACCACCACCACCACCATTTACACACTCTGGTAACTACAAAAATGTCATGTCCAGTCTCCATGAGCCTTGTGAGAAATAAGTTAATCTGCTATGAAATTAGAAGAAAGGTTGAACTTTTTGGGGGATGTTGTACACACGTTGCACATGGTCACACTGCTGTTGTTTTCTGTAGATGATAAATAATATGAACATCATTGTAGAGAGTTGGTTTCAATAAATGTCTTCAGGGGGATCTTGAAATGAATGAGAAAATATGATCCTATCACTGTAAATGTCCAGGTGCCTGATGTATTGAGATATAACCAAGTGATGCAGCAGGCCAAGCAGGACCCAACAGATATAAAATCCCCCCAGCGGACAGCATCTATCAGAGCATCCTCAATGCCCAGGCTGGCTGTTGACCCACAGGTAATCAGGATTGTTTACCTTTATTGAAAGTGCTATTCAGTCTCTATTAAATTCTGGGTGGGAAAATGCTTTGAAATCAACAGGATGCTTAAACACACACATATAATGCTTCTACAGTCTGTTGAGTTTTCCTCGCACATACCTTTTTATTAGGTATTTGTTTTTGTCTAGGTTTATGTGGCTGTGAGGAAGTGATATCTGGTAACTTGAGTTTTTCTTCTCTCTGGTTGTTTTATGTGTGTGCAGCCGGGGGTGTCGGCTGATGATAAGCTGATGAAGCGTTCCTTCTCTACCATCGGAGACCAGTGCGTGAACGGTCTCTGGCAGGAGCAGCACTCACTGGAGAGAGTCAGTCCTGATGACACGTATAGACCTCGTCAGAGGAGCTTCAGAGGTCACTCACAACAACACATCACACCATTTTAACACCATTTTAACGCCAGTTTTGCACTCACAACAGAGTTCAACCCTGAAAACTTAAATTTATAAAACTCCAAAGAAATCACTTTGTGAAATGAACGGAGCACATGTACAGATTCTGCAGAAGATTTCAAGTAAATGTGCATGAATTTTAGCTGTTTTCATGCGTGCAAATACAGATATTTTGCTGCACTGATGTCATCGCACACTGAATCTCCTGCATAATTAAACTGAAATAGAAATTAGAACTTAAAATGAGAAGGTTCATCGTGTGTCAGGTACCCATTTTTATTGAATCGGGACATTTTATGACGGTAATTCAGTAAATGAAACAGTCTCATTACAGCAGCTTCTTTCATTTATATCTGTAACTGATATGGAATAATACCGTCACAGCCAATATAATGAATTTCAATAAAACACAAGTTATTTGTGCTGTAATGAAAAAAGTACTCGGTAAAGAAACCCATCCCAGTATGTCAAGATCCCAACATCCTCTACCTATGAGTTACACCCACCACTTAACTCACACTTGAGCATGGAAATAGCTGTGCAGCAAAGCCAGAACATAACCAGGGTTTTCAAGTGAGCACTGAGCACCTCCTTTCATGGGTGTTTTGTCAAGTTATGCCACTTCATGGAGGTTTAACAGGTTGCTCTTGTACTAACCCCTTTAAAGGGCAAGAGGCCGGACTTTCCATCCTTCTTGTTTATGAGGTTTACTGCCATCTCCAAGTATCACTTTTTTTCCTCACATATGCCTCCCCCTCTGAGGAAAACACTGTAGATACAGAAAGACATTTTTCTGTCCCAGAAGTCAAAATAAACCTCCTTTTCTTCCTGAATTAAACATTGGTACCTACATTTCCTTCAAGCCTTTTTAAACTCAAATCTACACACTTATTTAGGTCCCAGAGTCAACCACAGGGAGACATGTAGTCATGAAAGAGGGAGATCAAAGGAACGGCGCCATCTACTGTCTCCTGATATGTCACGCTGCAACTCTGAAGAGCGCAGCCGCGATCCGTCATGTGAGGGTGGACAGTCCCGTTCACCGAGTGAAGGACGGAAACACACCTTACAGAGACAGGTAAGAGTTCGACACGATAAAAGAAACACAGAAGAGTTTTTGGTTTTATGACCCAGTGGTGTTTGGTTTGCGTTGAAGGTGGTTTTGTTGGTTTATGTGATCTTGACTTGTGTGATCCGCAGATGAACACATCAAGCAGCCCCTCACATTCAGCCGCAGATTCTGGTACTCCTCGTAATCGGCGGCAGCTGCCACAGACCCCGTCTCGTCCACGACCATACATCTCCTACTCCCCTCTGGTCTGCCGAGCCCACACCTCACCTCCACCAGCAAGCTCCTCTGAAGGACAGACCCAGCCTCAGGAGGGCCCCAGTGGCTCCACAGAGACCTCCTCGAAGAACGACAAAGACCTCCTTCAGGGGTCCTCCAGGGGTCAGGTTTCCGGACCAAGCCACCCTTCTCCTCACCGCTACATCTCAGAGCCCTACCTCCCATTCCACGAGGACACCAGCGGTGAAGGAGGGGACAAGCAGGACACGCTTACTTTTGAGAGTGCCATGGTGACCAGCATGGGTCGGGTCAACGCCACGTTCTCCGCCCCTCAGCTCAGACACTCCTGGCAGGTTCCTAACGGGCACTTCCGTAAGCAGTTTAACCAGACAAGTCCGGCTGGAGCTAGAGAATTGCTAAGTGACACAGATGAGGATGACCGCTGCTAAAACAGAGAGGAGATGAAGTGGATTCAAAGAGAGACTGGGCACCGAAGAGGCTTTGGCTCCTCTGAAGCTCTGAGAAACGTTGTTCTCAGCTCCAGTAGCATAATAAGCAGGACTAAACTGCTGTTTGACTGGACACTTGGTTGCCACTCTGCAATGTTTTTGTGTGTTTGTTGTAGCTCAAGAAAAGCTACATGCGTGAACGTGTGTGTGTGTGAGGTGTGTGTGTGAGTGGGGGTACTCTTAACAGAGAAACTTTGCCAAATCAAGACAACAGCAGACTGACTGTGTAAAAAGTCGAACACTGCAGGCGAAAACAAGTTGCCAAGCCTTCCCACGTATGTTTTGTTGTTATTTGAACAAAAAAAGTGGTGAAACATTGAACCAAGACGTCCAAATCTCTTGTGAATCGAAGAAACTGATAAAAGTGCGTTTTGTTTATGTGAACATAGAGGTAGCATGTACAAATGTTATACAATGAATGTATTTTAGCTTTTAGTTCCAATGATCTGGTCTTTTCCGAGGGTTGAGTTTAGCCTTTACTGAGCATAGTTGAGAGTAGCATTAAAACAGGGGTTCTGTCAGAGTTTTTGAATTTGCTAATTAATATTCCCACCATAGACTGTATATAGAATGGACAGAGTCTGCCTCCTCGCTGGGTGAAGCCACTCCGAGAACAGCACCCTCTGTTGACGGGCTGCAGTATAGGTCATAAACCCCGCCTCCGCCAGCAAAGCTTATGGAGCTGTGGACAAACTTTAGAAATTTATTACACAGAACACAAATTTTTCTCCCCCCTGCTTGCGATGTTGACATGTAGTCACAGTAAGACTGGTTTGTGCCCAAGTCCTCTTTTCTGTGAAGCTCCATTTTTAAAAGTTATTAGGGGATTCATGTTTTCTTTGATTGACACCTGATACAGCCTATGGGCCTACTGCGCAGCTCTGGTTTCAGGAAATGAAGGAAAATCCAGGAAATACAGAGAGCTTTTTGGCTTCAAATCCGTATACAGGCGGAAGGCGGAACCAAGTTGTCCATAGTATATACAGTCTATGATTCCCACACAGTTCCTGTTTGCTAATACAACAGTATCCACATGGTTCATGGGCATTTTACTGTCAATTATTAAACATAGGATAAACAGAAACACCAGTTTTAGAGCTTAAACTGAGCAAAACCTCAAGTGATGGTTAGTTTAATTATTTTTGTTCATTGAAAACGATGACGGTATTCCCTACAGTGAACCAGCACAGTGCAGGTCTATGTTCATTTAGTGCTGTGAAAAAGAATTTGAACAGAATAAGTGATGTTGTGTCTCAGGTTAATGAACCATTTAATTTGTTGTGTAAAATTATTTTCTGAAACCTTCTGGAAACATGTTTGTCGAAATGAAGACTAGGTGAGCAACGAGTTTGTCTCAACCCTGTGAGTCAGACGTGAAAAGGCCATCTGAGGAGACTCTCTACAGGCTACTTTCTCTGACAGATTTAAGTCTGTAGGGAATGGAAGTTCAATCCCTCACATGTCTTTGCTGGATAAATGCTAATGTTGTGTCAGAGAGGTTACTGAAGCCATTTACTTCCCTTACACAGAGCCAGAAACAATCTTCAGGATGTGTTGCCTTCTTTTATGTGATAAGAAAAAGCGTCAAGAACTTATTGTTCTTTTAACTTGCGAAGCAACATGGATGCTTTTAAAAACGAGGAACCACAGGCACAGAATGGTCCGTCCATAGACTGTATAAGATATTTTAAAAAGGCACCAAGACTTCACCTGATGGTTTAAAAAATCCCCAACAGAAACTTTCAATTTGACATCCTCTCAACTTGTCTACTTTGATTTTTAAGACATGAACATGTTACTCTAAGTGTAACTATATTTTACCAAATGGACATTGTGCGGTATCTAACAAGATGTGAAAGCAGGGATTGAGAGATGAAATTTGTTGGAACAATTTTGAACAACTCGAGTGAGAGGTGGGATCGTTTTCTCCTTGGCTTCTCGGCAAACAGTCAAGTCTCCCCCTGCTGGACAACTGAAAGACAGCAGCTGTCAAATTAAAACATCACTTTTTAAACCAGCTAGTTTTATTCTAATGCAAAGTGTGGAGGGATTTCATAAGGTTATTAACAGGTTGTTGTTGTTGTTTTTTTGCTTCGGTCAGTAGAAACACACATGACCATATCCAGACAGCAGCCAAGTTTTGCCAATATCACCTCCTGGGAAGCTAAAATGTTGTTATGGTAATGGACTGCTGTTGTCTGGGTTGAAATACCTGACAAATAGTAATCTCCATTGCAAAGGAGAATAAACAGGGAAAATCTGGAGGGAGACCTGACTTTGCTTCACGGTAACCAAAGCTTACAGACATGAAACAGCTAACATTTACCAGCCACTTACGAGGGGTAGTTTTGTGATAAAGTTGTTCATCTCTAAATCAGCGGGTCAAGATCAGGGTCTACATTCTGAGATGTGCTTGAGCTGGACACCCCAAACCGCTCCTGTAGGCTGCATCCAACGTTGTATGAATGGGATTAGGCAATACTGATGGGTGCTTTACATAGCAGCCTCTATGAATGCGGTGTTAATAGGTTAATATGATGGGAAGCAGCAGGCTGATAGCATTAGTTGTTGAGTGGTGTTGTGTTATGCATTCACCAGTAAGCAATGAAATGCTAACTATAGTCAAATATCAACGTACAAGACCTTGAGCATGATGTTCGAGCAAAATGGCTGCTGTGTAAATATGGTGAACACGGCATTTCCTGTGCTCCATAGTAATGGGTATTTTTATGTGCATGATCATGATTTCAGTGATTAAAATAGATCTGTGAGCCAGATGTGATTGAAAGTTCTTTTTAAAGTTCTTCTGGCTTATAAAAGGTGGAGCAATGTTAATGATTTTTCTGTCCCAGCATTCACTGTTTCACTGTCAGTATCTTTTCACATAACAACTTAATCCCTAATTTGTTGTTCTATCGAAGTATGGCGTATATTTAGGTCACATGCTGTTGTGCTAGTCTAGTGTGTTGAGTTTGACAAGTTTTTGAAATGTGAACCTACAAGTCTACAGAAGGAGAGGTCAAACTCACCAGCTGGAGTCCCGACTCAGGCTCATCACCCAGTATGTTTACATGATGTTTTGAAGAATTATTCATTGCATCCGTCTGACTAAAACTGGAACTTTAAGACACATGTTAACATGTTAGTCCAACTGGAAAGCATTCAGTCAAATATCTTGAAATAGTAAAAATGTGCCAAGAAAATGTGTTTCAGGATAGGCTTTCTCTTCTCACACTCAGGTTTGGTCCAGAAATCAAACACTAAGTTGGCTTTACAAACAAAACCACAGCAGAGGAGGTGTAGAGAGGACAAAAGTAATGACACCGCCAGTGTGAGAGAAAGAACTCTGGATGTCCTGGACTTAAAACAACTTTTTAGCAGAGGAACTTCCTTCTAAATGCGTCCTAAAAGACCTGACTTATACAGTGTGTATCAGTCAGGATCAGGCTCCATCATTTAGTTTATGGGACCATGCTAAATGTTTACATTGCAGCGCAGGACCTTACCTTGATGCCTGTATGGAACAGCCTAATCTGTGCCTGGGGAAACTCACCAAAAGAGCTCCCTGTCAAGCCTGGATTTCATAGATAGAGGAGCCTCCTGGTAAATATGTAGTATATAAACTGTGTAAAATAAACCCATTTGTCATTTACTGCATTGTTTATATTTTGTTTTCAATCATGATGCCTGTCCATGACTTTGACAAAAAAAAGTGTTTGGGTGAAATGTATCTGTTGAAAGGACTATTAAAGGGAGAAGACATGACTTTTCTGAAATGAATGATGTTACTACTTTGAAAATATCAATTTCTCATTTTGCAAATTAGGTACATAAACTACAATGAATCTTATATTTAAAACAGTATTAATGACAAAAACCCATACTCTGAATTGCAAATAAACCAACTATAATGCATATTTAATGATTAAAAAAAAGAATGACCTGGTTTGAACTATTACTGCTGGCAGAAATTGAACCCAGGTCTATGCTGTCTTGAACAAGGCATGTTTCAGGTGACCTAACTAGCCGAACCTTTTTTTTAAATAGGTTTTTCCCTTTCAAAATAAAGGCATTACCAGGTGAGCAAATCAGGTGCACCTATTTAAAGGAATTGCTTGCATCTTATGAATTGACCCAAGACTGAAGGAAAATGTGTGTGAAACAATGATTGCTGTTTACCTGGTGAGTATTGGTGACATGTATCTCTATAGGAAGGAAAGTTTGTCAGCAACATAAGAATGACCACAAATAGCCACTCAACAGGAGAGTAATGACTGTGAAATTAAACATAAGTGAAACAGATTTTTCATCGGGACTATTTTACTTGTTCAGAGACAAGGCCATGTGCAGCTGCAGTGTTTCTGTTTGTCTAGGATGTTTCCTCACAATTTTAAGGCTCAAAGGACTTCAGCGCTGAAATTGACCCAGACTGTTAACACACACAGAGAACTGCTGCCGTCTGAATTGACAGTTTTGTGATGGAGTTTACGTTCACACGTGAAGCAGCTCTGTGGTTAAAGTCACCAGTCTTTCTGCGACACCACCACTGTGGGTTTATAATCTATACAGATGCCCGTGTCTAGTGAGTGATTCAGAAAAAAAGGTGTCTTTGGGCCAATGTACAGGCGTGTGTTTGATGTGTGTGGGGGAGTCTTGTATACGTGAATGTGTTAACGTTTGTGTGTCAGTTTTCCAGGAGACCTGAGTGTACCGTTGCGTCTGTGTAGGGATCAGTGGCGGTAAGAGGTGATGACGCTGCTGACTGGGAAACGGGATGGACTCTAGCACAAGCTTTACCTGTCCATCTCTCTGTCCAGGCTGGAGATGCGTCTAGACCACTGTTTGCACGAGAGTGTCCTCTTGTGGCAGGGCAGAGGACCACAGATATGCATGCCTCACGTTGTAGGGAGGGGCTCAACTTCCTCACCACACACCCTTTACCGTAAGCCCCAACCTCACCTGACACAACCCTTCTCAGGCTTCTGATCTTCATGCTACATTCCTCACCCTGGCCACAGACCTTCCCTCCTGACCCCAGAAAAAAAAAAGTAAAAGGGGGGCTCAATGTGAAGTTCAATGTCACATAAACGTAAAAGGAAATGTTTTCAGTTCATTTTTAGTCCCTAATGGAGAGCCAAGTCTATAGCAATACATGCAAGATTGTAATATCATCAATCTCAAGAACTCAATTAAAAATGTCCATGCAAAAGTGCTCAAAGAAGGAGATACAGCATGTACAGTTTTTACACATGGATAACTCATGTTAGAGGCACCTTTTCAGAAATTAAATCACTCTCAAATTTTCTCTACCTTATGTTAGCTGATAACAATACCAATACAAATAAGCTCAGAATTGGGATGAAAAAAAGGCAGATAAGAAAAAGATTGGATGCTCACTCCTCATTCCACACCCTCATCAGTGACGGCTGTGTTTTACTGTTTCTTCTTCACCATAAATATGCACAAGTATTAGTCTGGATGTTTTGAACTACACAAAAACACTTATTTTAGGAAATTATAGAATGTAGTTTTCGTAATATCAGAGGATTTCCAGTGGAATTTTTGGTTGCAATTTGTGGGTAATTTTGCAAAATTCAAGAATCTTTCATTGGAGATTCAAGGAATTAGATTAACAATTATGGAATTTTCAGTTAAAATTTTGATCTCAAATCTTCTTACTGAGCAATAAACGGCTATTAGACGTCTAGGTTTTTTAGACCTAATTTCAACCGTCTAGATTCTGTATATTTTTAGATAGAATTTAGACGTTGCATTTTAACCCATTATTCGATAACTATTTATTTCAAAAAGCAACTGTGAGTTGCATAACTGATCTCCAAGTACTTAATCAAAATAATTATGATAGCCGTTGAGCAATATACAGTGTAGTATAGATATAGCCCAGATTTAGACTTGGTCTAAACTTGGTCTAAATTTAGACATCTGAAATACGTTCATTTTTAGACCTGTGGTAGCCTGACCAGTCATCTACACTACAATTAGACATCTATTAGACCTCTTTTAGACCAAAAAATGCTCAGTGGGTTTAAGTTTTACTAGATATGTTGGAGAACCTACAGGTATTTTTGAGAAATTTCAGTGAGGTTTAGTTATCAAGTGGTAATTTTGGGAAAGCTTAATTAACTTCTTTGCAAACTTTCAGGTTTTTGACTCAAAACTTTTGTAATCTACCATTTAATGGAATTTTGAGAGAACTTGAAAGCAAACAGGTGAATTTTAAACAAAACTTTTTTTCTATATAAATTTAGGGATACTTTTAAGGTTGTTAGAGTTGTTAAAATTTCAATGGGAATTTTTAGGAAGGGATCTAACCAACTGGACACAATGATACCCAGGAGATAAAACAACTCTTTATGAGTTTTCTTTAATAAGTGGTGGATGAGACTGGGAATATGACTCAGATATGTATTTGAGACTTCTGGCTTAGTCCATTTATTTCATCATCTCTCAGTGCTGTACTGTACTGTCAGTCCGGACAGTCAAGACTGTACTGGGCGGGGTGTGTGTTTTTCCAGTGCAGCCCCAGAAAGAGTGTGTGTAGAGCGGATACAGTCAGAAGAGTCCAGAAGTTTCCTTTCTCAGAAGCCATGCAGGGTGCCGGGGTGCTGCTACTGCTGCTGTGCTACGTAAGTCTGCACATTTCTATTACTGTTCTGTTTAAGTGTTGCAGATTGAGATTCAATTTCTCCAACTTTCTGGGAACTTCAAGTGACATGTAGAAGCAGAACGACTTTGTTTATCAATTATAACTAGAAGATGCTGTGCTCGAAAGTATGTTCTGCATAGTCAAGCTATTCAGGCAATTCAAATGTCCCTTAGAGTCTTCATTCATGAGCTCCACTTAACTTTCTTCACTTTTATAATAACTTCATTCTTGCATAAAATGGGGTTCAAGCAAGTTTTTGTTTTGTCTTGTTTTAATTTTTGTGTAATTCTTGATTTTAATTCTGGCGGTGAAACACTTACTCTCTGTGTGCTCTTTGAAATGTTATATCACCAGTCGCTCAAATATTTATGCATCAGATTTGTGGGATTCTTGCATGAGCATGCGAGAGGTTAAGAGGTAGGGGGAAATTTTCACATCAGTGAGTAAATCTCATAAAGTGCCTTGTAAAAATGTCCCACTCTTTTTCATCATTGTAAAATTCAAGGTATTGCCTCAAAAATGGTTGTTTTCTACTCTTCCTTCTTGAACTAATAGAGGAGAATATTTTTCACACCACAATAGCCATAGTCAAGCCAAGTACCAACTCAGAGATCCCAATCGTTTTTATTAATTTCTCTTTCTTTTAAATACTTTCTCTGTAGTAAGGGGGACTAAAATGGCAGAATTATGCAATCAAATGCAGATGTTGTAAAACTGAATTTCCTCCTTTGCTGTAGATAGTGATCTGCTACCTCTGTGTTCTTAAATTGCTTTTTGCAAAGTTCAATAAAACTGTGAGAGTTGAATGTTTTTGGTCTTTGTGCCCCCTAGTGGTTGTATCAAGCACACAGCAGGAGCACAGTAGTTGCACATTGTGTATGACTAAGGGAGTTTTGTATGGTTTTGAAATTGGCATAAACTTATTATTGGTTACCTTAACACATTGTGTTCGGGGAGACAACCAGTAAATGATTTCTGGGAGGTCTGACTCTAGGGGGCAAAGCCAGACCGTTTTGGCCAAACAGGAGAACTGACTTGTGCAGGGCGTGGTGTGACGTTTACATGCACAGATGGGGTGTGTAATCAGGTGATAGTCAATTGTAACCTGGATGAATGAGAACTTTGCTGTTTCTCAAAACGTTGATAATTTCTGAATCAAGTGGAAATGTCTGAAACTGAGTGCACTTCAATTCTTATCCATGTCAACATTGTTGCTTTATGTCAGTTTATGTGGCACCACAAAGGTTCTTGGGCCTAAAATGTTTATCTAGTTCTGTTCAGTAAGTTGCAAAATACTCTTGAAAATGATCACAACAAACAATAGTGATAAAACATGATTGTGAAACTGAAAACACTGTCATAATATCTCATATTGCCCACTCAAGAGCACCCATGAATGATTTAGGTTTATTAACCCTTTCTATTGGTTCATATCTACTTAAAGCATATACATTGAGAATCATAAGGATGCTACATTCCTTTGTAGGTTATATTTTAATTAAAAAAAGTAAAAACATATAAATGGCAAAACATGTGGTAACATATAAATCTTCTTCACTTTAAAACTTGAACTACTCAAAAAGATTTATGCCCAAAGAAAGTCGCAATTTGAGGTACTAACGAAAGTGCTATCTGTAAATGCAAGAAAAACTACAAAGTGTACATGGTTGTTTAAAGACTTGGGGCTAATGCAATTTTTCTGATGTAAACCTTTCCTAGGAGGTAGGCACTATGGATGATGAGACCATTCAGCCAGTGATAGAGGTATCATCAAGACCTGAAAAGTTACCTCAAGACACGATTCCTACTGCTGATTCCTCTGAATTTACAGCTGGTCTGGATTCTTTGAGCAGCACAACAACCCCGAGGGAGGAGGTGACACCAACAGTTAGCAGTAAGGAAGTAAACAACCTCAGAACCACCGAAACACAGTCTTTCTCTACGACAGGAAATGATCCCCTTTTAGATGTTCACCAAGACACATTAGGCACAATTACAGACCTGAGGGGCACAGAAAGTAGTATCATAACCAAAACTCCTTTTGTCCAAACTCATCAAACTGTTCAGTACCCGAGGCAAGACCATCAACTCTCTGTTACAGCAGAGGAGCTCTCCAGAGCAGATGACTCACCTGCCTTTGAAAACATGGAGACGGCTGTTTCGAGCCCCAACATTAAACCTGAGAACCCAACAGCTCCAGGTGTCTCATCAGGAGGGACCGGCAGGGATGAAGAAACTACAAGTACAGAAAGATCTTTCTTTAATGGATCACATAACTCATATTTTTCCACTATGCCTAGTCTCATCTCAGGTCCCACATCAACAGAAGAAAACACATCACTCAACCAATCTTCAACCAAGGACACTGCTGTACCTGTGAAAGATTTAGCCCAAAACTTCAGTGGAAACACTAACCAAACAGAGGTCCAGACGGGTTTTGTTTTGGCTGGTAAGATAAAAGAAAAAGAAGAAACTGAAGAAAAGTCAGGGTTTGTTACACCAGGGAAAGAAACACCAACACAAAAAGGATCAGTTGGTGTAGAGAATGATAATGGGAAGAGAAGGGGTAAGAATATGACAGAGGATAAAAGTGCAGAGAATAAAACAAACATCTCTGTGGAGGACAATCTCACCTCACCTGATTGGATCATCCAGTCTGGTGCTCAAGACTCCTTCATACAATCAGAACTTGGACCTACTCAGAAGAAAGGTACACCAACAAATCAACCAACTACAACCACGAGGAAACATCACAGCGCTGGATTCAGACCTGGGATCAGAGGTCAAAGGGTGAGCTATAGTTTATATTTAACAGTGGCTGCTTAAGCTGACTATGGCCTTTTAGGGATAAGATGTTGTTGTTTGTGGTGTTGGTATACATAATAAAACATATAATTTATGTAAAGTGACATTAAGTGCAAAGTGTTGCTGGTGTTGAAAAGCATAAACAAATGACAAAGGGAATTATAATCATATTTGAATGCTATTTTTACCTCACTTTCTGCCATTACATTGGATATAATTGAGTTATTGTGGAAATGATCTGATGACCGAGATGGAAACATATATCTGTGTCAATATTAGCACCTGGACAGCTGTGCAACTTTGTTTACATTTGTGTGTGAGAGAGAGGCAGTGGATAAATGGAAGTGTTTCCTCAGGGCAAGCATCCTTCCTTTGGCTATACTTGGGTACTGTAGGCCTAAACTTTGCATTCCAGTAGTTGTCACAAATATTCAACTCCAGATTAACCAGAATTTCAACCTGAAACAATCAAAATATCCCCACTTTACTGTAGTTTCATCTACTGTCAGGGCAATCATATTGTATCACTATATATTCATTTTAATTGTTTTTCCAGAGCATGAGTTTGAGCAGAGCTGCAGACTTAAGCTGATTGTTTCACCTGACCTTCTATGCAGGGGTTGCAGGGTCCACCTGGGCAAACAGGACCACCGGGGCCTAAAGGAGACAAAGCAAGTATTAAATAAAACTTGATAAGATAAATTTTTTAAGTACTTAAATAAGTGTCAAACCTAAATTCCAACTTTTCAGCGTGAATTAGCTTGAAATGCTTTGAGTGTGGATTAGGTCGTTGCTTTGGCTAATGTCTTGATTTAATTCATGTTCTGAGTTCACCTCATGTGTTACTGAAGTCTGTCAGAAGCTAGCAAGCAGGAGGAAAAATCTGCCAAAATAGGCACTCAGCTCAAACAGCGTATCCCTCGGGTGAGCTACGCAATGTTCGTGTCAATCATAGAAAACATGAACCCCCAAATAACTTTTAAAAATGGAGCTGAACAGAAAAAAAGAGGACTTGAGCGCAAATCAGTCTTACAGTAACTAAAGTCAACATTGCAAACAGGTGGGAGAAAAATGTATATTCTGTGTAATAAATTTTTAGAGTTTGTCCACAGCTCCATAAGGATTTCTAGAGGAGGCAGGATTTATGACCTATACTGCAGCCTGTCACCAGAGGGAGCTGTTCTTGCGGTAGCTTCACCCGGCAAGGAGACAGACGGCGTCCATTCTATATACAGTCAATGGTAGTTAGCCAATCTTAAAGTGATGCTAATAGGTAACAGGTATATATATATATATATATATATATATATATATATATATATATATATATATATATATATATATATATATATATATATATATATATATATAATATAGGTAATAGGTCACATTCAGTGAATGTGAGCTCTAATTTAACTGAGTGAATGGACTTGGCCACAAAAATGCTTACCTTGTTTCACATGTGATTTTTGGTACACGGTTTTTACTTCACAACACAGTCACTTTCAAATAAACTTCTAATATGTAATCCTTTGTTGCCGTGTCACAAGACAAACCATTTCTTTTTGGACCTCTACAGTTTCAGCCTCCATGCAAAACTAAGATTATTTTATAACTGACACAGGTTAAATTAAACTGTTCTCCAAGATAAACTATCTAAGGCGAAGCTTACACAACCCAATCCTTTTTAAGAGCTCATTTGCATCAGCTTTTATGGAATTCTTCTGCTCTCTAGTGGTCAAAAGGGCGTAATGCAGCCTTGACAGAGTAAGACAGATTCTTATCTCTCTTGATGTTTGTGACTGAAGATGATGTACCATAAAGCTCAATATTTCCAAATTGAAATGAGACAAATAATCATCTGTCTTCTCAGGGTTATCAAGGGGTTATGGGAAGGACTGGGCAGACGGGTTATCAGGGCCCTGTTGGTCCTCCTGGGATGCCTGCCATTGTTGTCTTCAAAAACTCTGAAGAAGAGTGGGAGGCTTTCAAGGTAATTGCTGAAGGACCTGCATCAGTAAGCATTGTTGACATTGTAGTTCTAACTTTTTCCAGATTATGGTGAAAGTCTGAATACTCCACTGCCAGAGTGATTCTATATTTTCTCAACAAAAAAGTAAAGATTCAACAACATGATTGCAAATTTGATCAGATATTTAACTCAAAGTCCTCTTTCATCAGGTGGTAATTATATATCCAACAATTTCCTTATTGCAGTGGATGTTCAGATTTACAAATTAATAGAAAAACTTCTGTCATATCCTCCCAGAAAAAGAAGATATATAAAAAGCTGGTTTCCTCTTGGCCGGTAGGTGTTTGTTATAAACCTGGAACCGTTAATTTCATCCAACTTGTACAAGAGAGCTGAAACCCAGTGTGTTGGACGCATGCACAGCTGCTGGATTTCAACACACCAACAAGTTGTTGACTCTGATGAAAAAGAAATAAATTTGACATGCATGTATTGAGGAAACGATGTGAATGACTCACAAGACATTGGTTTGATTTTTTATCTTTAGAAACTTAAGGGACAACCTGGACCGCATGGACCTCAGGGAGATGACGGACCGATTGTAAGGAGCCAAAATATTGTGACTTACTGAAAAAGCTTTAAAGCTCAGACATTTTATCTTATCTCATCAAAACCACGTACAACACAGAAATGACAAAAACCCCTGTGACTAACTTTGTATTCCAGGGGCCACCTGGAATCACCGGGAAGCAAGGAAGAAAAGGAGTTCCAGGAAAAATCGTAGGTATCTCCAATTCATTTCAATATTTTCTTTAGTGACATATGTTTCATTTGTCTTTAAGGTGACCTTTTCATGGGTTCAACATTCAGAGAGGAGACCCTAATCTTTACTGTTTTTGTTTCTGCTGTCTCTGTAGATGAGAATTTAAGTCAGAACTGTGACCTTTGCTGATCAAACTTGCCAGAAGTTGCTTGTGAAGTTGAAGCTGAAGTGTGTTAAACAACGGGAAATAATAGATAATAAGAGCAGTAGCCTGGTTTAAAACACTGCTCATGAAGCTACATCAGGCGGTGGTACTCATAAGAGTTGATTCATTGTGATGGTTTCCTGGGGTGATTCAGTGGGTCTCAGTTTTCCGCTGCTATTGCCATGGTGTAATCAAATGGCTGAAGTAGACTGGTGCTGTATTTTGTTAAAAATTGTGCGGATTTTGGGTGGAAACAAGGGTACTGAAAAGCTTTTTGGATTTGCCATGCAGGTATGTATGCATCATGGAGTCACAATATAAGACAATATAATCTTACTGAGAAAAATTCTTTTTCATCTTCATTACATCTTTTCACAACAAGGACACAAAGCGAAAAGCAATAAACCAAAATGTGGCAAAATAAACTAATGAGTGTGCCATATTTAAGGGCAGTCCTGGACCACAGGGTATGCCAGGTCCCCAGGGTAGACCTGGAAGAGATGGGACCTCAGGGCAAAACTTTGATCCAGGTTCTCCAGGCTTTCCAGGTGAACAGGTAAATCCATTATCATGGCTGTACTTTCATATAGATGCTATTTTTCTTGATTTAAGCTTGAAGGTAAATTTTGCCTCTGAATATTCAACTGCAGTCCCATTTCAGATTGATAAATGAACTTTTTGATTGTCCCTGCAGGGTCCAAAAGGTTACAGAGGAGAGAGGGGCAGCAAAGGGGAGCTGGGTGAGTGGGTAAGAGTTGCCTAGATTTCTAATGTTGAAGAGATTATTATTATTATTATTATTACTATTACAAGCTACTGGTTTGTTCTGTGTTAAGGTATAAACATGAGGAGCAAGATGGCAGCTTTTGTGAAAAGCAATATCTCCTTCTGTAGATATAAAATGCTCATTCTAAGTTAAGGCAAACAAAACAATTTTTATGAACCCCTTTAGGGCTGTCACTGCGTGCTTTTAAGATCTCTACATGAGTTTATAGGAGTTTGTTTAAACTTGAGCCTTGTAAGGTGTCCTATACTTTTTAGTCATCTTATTAGATTTATGAGTACTTTTCATCACCAAATTGTTAAACAACTGCTAAAATCTTTGTCAAAAATGTCTCTCAGTTTGTTAAAGCCACATAACTGACTACTAAGAAAAATGTAAGTTGTAACTACAGCATGAGACCGGAGCATTTTATTTAATTATTTGTCTTTTACTCTTTCACTTTGTTTTTAGGGTTATCAAGGGGAGTCTGGACCACAGGGAAACAGAGGACACAAAGGAGACAAGGTCTGATTCTGCTTATCTCACATAAACATATAATCACACAGACCCTCAAATACCCAGGTGGATGGTTTCTGTGATTCTAATTCCTTTTTTTGCCGTAAACAGGGGAACAAAGGTGTCACTGGAGTCATCGGTGTTCCAGGTTACATTGTAAGCTTGAATGACTTTCCAGTTTAATGGCACAATGTTTTGATGACCTGTCATCATAAGATTATTTTTAAGATGCTGTTTCAAATACAAAAGTCTATTTTTTTTATTCAGTTCAGTATCCTTTCTTTACTTTTCAGGATGATTAACAATTTCAACTAATTACCAAATGTATGACAAAAATTCAACATTTGAACTGCTCTGTGTTTACAGGGACAGTCCGGAGCACGAGGTCCTCCGGGGTTTCCAGGATCCACAGGGCCTTTGGTAAGATTAAGATGGCTAATCCTTAATTATTAACATTCATACATATTTACAGATATAACTCTGTATTTTGACAAACATAAATCTGATTTTTTTTTGTTTTAAACATTGATCTGATTTTTTTGTTTTATCATACCTGTATTTTTTTTTTTTTTCTGGCAGGGAGACAAAGGAGCTCTGGGCTTTGGTGGACCACCAGGCCCTCCTGTAAGTTTGTTAACAAGATAATTAAGTACAGTCTACATAAAAATACTGGAAATTATGACACTTGAATCATGAGCTGTTCTTGTTGCAAGATAAACATTAATCTGTTTCCTCTTCAGGGAAAAATGGGCCCCATAGGGTTAAAAGGTGTCACAGGAGTCACAGGACCTCCGGTAAGCTGTCAGGTCAGATCATTGAGTTTTTTGTCCCAAACTGACTAATCAGAAGATATTTCTATAATAATTTACCATAAATCAGGGTCATCAAGGTGGAATGGGTGCCAGGGGTGCTGCTGGATTGCGGGTGAGAAGACCCTTTTTGACTCGTTGTCATTAAGAGCAAATTAAAAAAAGTTATTAAAGTTACTTTTAAATGTCTAACATACAATCCTGTATGTGTCAGGGAGAGCCTGGACCTGATGGATTGGTTGGGTTCCCAGGAGTCCGTGGCCCTCAGGTGAAACAAAACCTACTTTCTAAAATAAGAAGAGATATTACTGACTGCTTTTTATTGCATGACTGTGTCAAATCCTTGATCTTGATTTCTCACTGCAAAGTATCATTTCATACTATCAGTCTACTGTTTCTTGTTAGCCTGGTGTTTAAGACAAAAAGATCTTGTGACTTTAATGACGTAATTTACAAAATTAAAGCTGGTGCATGAGCATTGAACAGAACTGAAGTGTGAAAAAGATAATGTTTCATAATCAGTGGGTTATGCTACTGAATCACATGCTTCTTACTTCACCACCAGTGAAAATTTTCAATTGAATATGAGTAACAACAGCTAACATTTCTCATGTAGTGGTAATAATTTAATTTAGTCATGAAACATAATATGATACTTTTCACTGGACAGACATTTCCAACAAAAGCTGCAGAATTAACGATTACTATACATGCTGTTAAAACTGCAAGTGTAGGAGTAGATTATTTTTGAATCATTTAAATTCATGTAAAAAATTCTAACATAAGTAGTCATGTGATGAGTAGGATACCGTAAAGTTAACAAGTTGTTATGAGATAAGAGTAGTGGCTGTCTCTGAAGTGTTTTTTACATACTACACAACAACCACACTTTTTAGATCTGTCAAATAAAGAAAAGAACATGAATATCAAGAAAAACTTCATAAATGTAATTTTCTTATAGGGAAACCCAGGACCAGATGGACCTGCAGGTCCAAAAGGTGACCCTGTGAGTGCACAAAAGAACAAAAAATAGAAATAAAACTCATGATTGCAGCAGTGCAGATGTGTTTTAGTGTAGCTCTGTTCTCTTACTTGTGTGTGTTTCACCAGGGTGCTCCCGGAGATGAGGGGGAAATAGGGGAACCTGGACCACCTGGACTTAATGTATGACTCAAGGACATGCATCAGGTGTGTTATGATGAATGATTAATGTCGAAGATTAAGAAATGTTTAATTTTCTCATTATAGGGAGCCAATGGAAATCCAGGAGCGCCTGGACCCTCAGGTGACCCAGTAAGATTACTTAAAGCAGTTTCAGTGTTGGTTGCAGCTAAATATTTAGAAAAATTGATAATACTGAATTCAGACCTTACATTCTAGACCTTACACTAAATGTGACAGTGTTTTTCCTGTTTGTGTGTGTGTTTGTGTGTGTGTGCGCACGTTCCTCTACCAGGGAGCCAAAGCAAGACGGGGTGAGAAAGGTGATTTAGGGTTCAAAGGAGACTTGGTGAGTTTATTTTTGTCTTTCTGTCTGTTTAGTGATTCATCATATCATTGATCTGATCGGTTGTCTGATCATGTTTTTTTACAGGGACCACCAGGCCCTCCAGGTAAACAAGGACTTAAGGGTCGCCATGGCCCTTCAGGGCTTGAGGGACATGATGGACCAGTAGGGCCACCAGGACTTATTGGACCAAGTGTGAGTGAAATTTACACAGAAACAGTGACCATTTTCACCAGCGTGCTTGTGATTATTGCCTTTTGTTGAGAACTTGTTCTGACTGTTGCAGGGGTCCGATGGCATCATGGGAGAGCAAGGGAGGCAGGGAAAAGATGGACTGAAGGTGAGTTTTATAAAAGTTGAAAAAAAAATCACTTTTGATTTTTAAAAACTGCCAAAATTTTGTTTATTTGTGACTTAATCAGTGTGCATGTATGATTGTGTTTTTCTAGGGTAATAGAGGGCCGTATGGTGTACAGGGAGTTCCTGGGCCTCGAGGTGATAAGGTTGGAATACAACTTAAATAAATGAGTACTAACTTCACATGCATAGGTCATTGATTTTATTTAAAGAAAGCAGATTATTGTCACAAATGCTCTGACTTGGCTCCAAAAATAAGAAACTGAAGATCTGTTCGTATTAGTATATGGAGCTGTAAAAGGAAATACTGTTACAAGTATACTCTGGTGTTCAAAAGTCTAATGATACACCTGAATCACCATACTTGTGTCAGTATGTCTTTTAACATAGGGTAGTGAATGAGGTGACGCGTTGTTTAAGTTACATTTGGAAATACTTGTAAAATATTGGACCTAAAGTCAGATCTCCTGCAGCAGCTTATAGCCATAATCAACTGTGATCATTTTTCAATTTCACAGGGCCGGGAAGGCCGAGCTGGATTTTCCGGATTGCCAGGTCCGATTGTAAGTGAGCATGAATGGGGATGGCATTGGTTCTTAGTAGGTGTAGATCTACACCACTGATGAGGTGTTGCTCTCTTTTTGCAGGGAGAGATGGGAAAATCTGGAGAGAGAGGAAATGAAGGAGAACCTGGTATCAAGGTTCCTATGTGACTTTTGCACTTTATATGATCATTCATGCGACTAGGATGTTTGGTCCAAATGGATAATCACTGTTTCCTTTGCCTCAGTGTTTTCATCATGAGTGATTTATTGCCCTCACTTTTAGTTGTCTTTAAACAGCTTGAACTGAAGTGAATCTTGGTGTTAATGCAACAACGTGCTTTTATACTGTATGTTTCTGTATTTTAATGTAGGGAGTATCTGGTGTTCCAGGAGTGGCTGGACCCAAAGGCCTGAAGGTGATCCGAAAATAAAATTATTGAAATTTTAAGTCCCAAGAGGATGAACCTTTGTTGAAATATTTGTTTTTTTGCTCAATAAATTAGATATCACCTTTTACTTCAGTAAGGAAAAAGAATTTGAAATGTAATCAAACCTGTTCAAACGACTCTTTGTACCGCTGTAGGGACTTCAAGGTGTCGGGGGTAACAGGGGACAGGATGGACCTCTTGGAGCGTTGGTAAGACCAGCTGATAGTGTTGATATTTCTGTCTTCCTCAAAGAGCCCCTAAACTCTGTAAATCAGTGATTATTCTGTCATCCCATCCCATAACTTAACAAGCCTCGGTTTACATCCCATAAATTTATATTCAAAGGCTTTTTTTTTCATGATCCAAATTTTTCTGACACTCACTTTGTGACATTATTAATGTAGTAACCAGCTTAAGGGCAGATAAACAAATAACTCTTTTTTTCAGGGATCTAATGGTGAAAATGGAATAAATGGGAACACTGGATCTCCAGGACAGAAAGTAAGTTTACCCCTCTATGATAAATTCTGAACCGGTAAATTTGTCACAAAAGTCAAACTAAATGTTTCCACAGGGCTTACCCGGGAAGACCGGAGCTCTTGGCCTCCAAGGACCTGTGGGGAAGAGTGTGAGTGTTTATCTCAAACAAGTGAATGTTACTCAGTAAGTCGTTCTGTATGAGTTGTTGGCGGTGATGAAATATGTTGATTCATCTATTTAAACCTTCATGTCAACTGACAGGGAGAAACTGGCAAGAGAGGAGCAAGGGGTCCAACAGGAAAGCCAGGAGAGAGGGTGGGTTCAAAACTGCTTTCTGGTTTTGGCTATTTTGGCTTTAAGTTGCTGTATTGCCCCAACACAACAACAGTAGTGGACAATAATTACCATACCATGCCAAACTATACCATTGTCTATAAAAGGCCATTGGAGGAGGGGGAGTAGGGCACAAATGCCGATCGAAACAGTAGCCCCACAGGCTAACCACTTAAATCACAAGCGATAAAGGGAGAGGAGAAAATAATAATCTGAATGCACAGACTTCCTATCCAAAGAGACAAAGTGAATAAACAAAAACCACTGCTGCCGAGCTGACTTGAACTTCTTTATCCAAAGCACTAAGACTGCCAAAGATACTCAAAGATATAAAACAGAAGAAGGGGACACTAAGACGTCAGGGGTCGACAGCCCAATAAAAAAAACAGAGGACAAATCTTAAAAGTAAAAAGTGCTTTTGTAGACACAACTCAAAGAGACACAGAGAGATAAATCCTCTCACTATCTCTACTGGTTAGACAATGAGTCAGCACCATGCGCTGAAGTTCAGGGGTTTATATCAGCTTCAGTCACGCCAATCAGGCACTCAGACTCCTGACCAAAACTCTCCTTATACTCAAGTGAATGCCCTCACAACAATACAATATTTGGTCCCTCTGATACAATGATTGTGTAACGTAAATCAGGAGAACAGTTTATGTCTGTTTCAATATTTTCCCACCCCTGCAACATGGCATTACAGAATAAATTATTAGAATGATTGAGAAATAAGTGTTTCCAGATTGAGATGAATTATTTGTTGGTATCTTTTCTTTTACCAGGGAGTTAAAGGTCAAAAAAGCCCAGTTGGTCTTCCAGGAAGTATGGGCCCAAAGGTATTTATTTAACTATACTTTAAATCAGAATATAAACAGTAAATGTCACTACTATGAACTGTATAGGTTAAGTTTACTGTAATTTCTGTTTTTAAGGGTAAGAGAGGTGAGGAAGGACCGAGGGGAAAACAAGGCAGCCCAGTAAGTGAATATTTTGTGTTGTTAAAATTTAATTGTTTATGCATATGTTACAAGTGGTGCTTATTGTTATTTTACAAGTCATTCCTTTAGATTATAAGTTCAACACTTTGCCTGCTGTCTTTCCTAACTCAAGTTTTGCTCTCCTTCAGGGCGAGAGGGGCATACCAGGACCAAAGGGATATCGAGGGCCTCCTGTAAGTAGTTCTCACATGAAGTCTGTACATGTCTACCCATCAATCAAGAATCAAATATAAAAAGAAACTTCTGAACATTGGTGCACTACTGGCCTTGTGGTTAAAGTGCCTTGTGTTTACAGGTGTCTCTCTCCTCATTTTCTGCTCTCTGCACTGTCCTGTCCACTCCAATAAACACACAAAAAACATGAAAAAGAAATTTAAATGAAAATCTTTTAGTATCAATATAAATCATTTTCATGCACCTCTATGCAGATGATAGTCACCTCTTCTTCAGGCCCTAAAAGCAAAATTAAATCAAGTTTGAAGATTTATGGTCCCCTTTTTCCCTCTCTGTCTCTTGACTTCTTCATTTTCTTGTGTTTATTGAACCACTTAAAAATTTTACAAGAAAATTCTCATTTGTACTGTGAAACACAAAAAAATCAATACCTTTTTACAAAAAAGAGATAAATACCACCTTCTGCCATCCAGGGTGTTCAGGGCAACATTGGCCCATGGGGTGAGGTTGGTCCCCGTGGTCCTCCAGGTGACCAGGGGCCAGTAGGACCAGCTGGCCCCTTTGGAGTAATCGGTTACCCAGTGAGTCTATTTCAATTGTTTTATTTGTGAATTATAAACATAGAAATGGGGACCTGTCTTGTTTTTGACTAATTAAATATTATCATGTCTCCTTCGCACTTTTCCTGAACAGCAGCCTAATTTTTCAGTTCACAACTTTTATGTCATGTTGACCAGGATGATTAAAACTCAAACCCCAGATCAAGATGCAAAGTAGGCTAAACTAAAAAAAAAACCAAATCAAGCCAAAAAGAGAGGAGTTGCATAATTGTACAAAATGACTATGACGCTGACCACTGCTTACATATTTCTACCTTGCTATTGAGACAGCTACTGCTTTCCTTAAGTGGCTAACTTTAAAGACTGAGGGTGTTTATGCCAATAAACCACACGAGACAGACAGTGTAATTGGGGCAAGGCAGGAAAAATCAAATCAAGTGTATCAAAGTGCTAGCCATGAAAAAGGTCAAATTTCACAGACTTTGAGTGCTTTGAGTGTTATCCATTCACTGGCCTGCCTCCTGGGAAAACTGCTGACTGAATCTTGATCTCATTAATGAACAAAACATGTCTTTCTTGTCATTTTTGCATGGCATAAGACTTTTCTCTTCATGTTAGTCAGCAGATCAGGTCAGCCTAGGTGTCAGGATGCTGGTGCGGGCTGTAGTGCATGAAACCCCTCTGTGTTTTCATCCTGAATCTGAAGTATTGTATATTATTCAACACCAGGGGGTTTCATATTAGTTTTTATTATAAGTGAACTCATCCTCGACACGAACTGTTACAGGGTATGTATGGCATCATAAAATTTTAGGGGGTTTTATGGCTGCTTTACCTTTTTTTCAAGATGGCCAATAATCTACTGTTTTTATCACTGAATTCAGCACCTCTCCTCGAAGTAACATTTAATCCTTCTGTTTCAGAAATACTTCAGAAAATTCAGAAAATAATCAATTTTTATGAAAACTTCAGAGACTAAAATATGTTTTGAACAGAGCTGCCCCCTAGTCTTCAATGAATAATCTGAAATTCATCATGACATAATACTTGTGCTACATATATCGTAAGAACTGTGACTATGATGTGATTATGTGAACGATAGTTATTTCAAACCAAAAATCGACACAAAATAAATGAAAACAGTATTTATGCATGTTATCATTTAGACAATCACTGGCACATTCAATAAAATATGTTTTCATCCACATCAGTTTATGATTTAAGCATCAAAGTTGACGAGTCTTTTTCCGGTGTCTTTCAGTGTTTTATATGCCCACATGCTGTAAGACTTGGTTTGAAGGCAGCGGTAAGAAGTAAATTCGTTTTTTTGATGCTTAACTTTTAAGGGTAAAGATGGACCTCTAGGATCAACTGGATCAGCTGGTGTCAAAGGAGATAAGGTAAAACTTTTCTATCAAAAAAACAGTTCCAACCAATTTTTAGCTTGACTTAGCAGCCAAAGCTTCTCCCCTCTACTGAGGCTGAAGTCCTCCTCACAGGGATAACAGGTTCAGTTCTCAGCCTTGATCCTTTAGTGTGGGTCTATTCCCATGTTTCCTGTTTCTGTTCAGCTATTAAGATGAAACACCTAAAAATAAAAAAAGAGATAACTTAATTGAGACAGCATGGTGATGGGATTTTTTGTGCATCCATTTTAGAACCAATCAGTTTTATCATCCATAACAGGGCTGTTTCAGTTTAGTTTTTTTATTCTCTGTTATCTTCTCAGGGATCCAGAGGAGTTTTGGGTCAGGAGGGGGTTGCTGGTCTCGATGGTGAGGAGGTAGATTGATTAGAATGTGTTTGTTACAGATTGAGATTTTTTTTTTCATTGAACTTAAATCAAAGGTGCTGTGATGGTTTTTTCTAAGAAATAAAAACGGCTGATGGCCCTTTGTCCATTTAGCTGACCCTTCAGAAAGACACATTTATGTCATGATTTATCATATGCATAAGCAAGCCCATGCTTTTATGTTCAGGGTCCAGCTGGACTGAGGGGATCAAATGGTCCAGCTGGGCTTAAAGGCAGCTCTGTGAGTAAATGTGTGTTAATAAACGTGTTGTTTTTGTTACATTTATTGAAAATCACTGTTAGGGCTACTGTACAACATATTTATCAATCATCATCTTTAGATTTTTTTTACCTGAATCATAAACTTGTTTACTGTCTCAGGGGGACAAGGGAGGCACTGGTCTCCCAGGACAAAGAGGGCCAAAGGGAGCTGAAGGCAATAGAGGCAACCAAGGGCCACAGGGAACAAAGGGGCCTCCAGGGAAACAGGTGAGCCAGAGTTATTGAGATTAGTGACTTCAAGGAATCCTTAAAACTTCCTAAGAGTTTCTGCTTGATTGTTTTCCCCATAATAGACAAAGCATTAATTTGCGGCCTTTTAAGCCTTGATGCCTAGATTCATACAGCAGACTTCTGTAACCTGTGTGCAGTTAAGTTTTGAATTGTGAATTTGAAAAGCCTTTTTTGTGCAGGGGTACAGGGGTGCACCGGGTGACAGAGGAAAATCAGGTGTTCCAGGACTCAAGGTGAGTCATTATGTTCAGTCAGCCTTACCAGGCTAATGAGGATGTGGTCAAAATCAGCAAAGTGAATCCTGAAAGTTTGGCTGAGAGTCTGAAATTTGTGATAACACTTTCACAGGGTGGGCCAGGTACCAGAGGTCCGTCAGGCATGGCTGGACGTTTTGGACCAGGAGGAAACACGGGAGTGACAGGGGTCAAAGGTCAGAAAGGGCTTGAGGGACACACTGTGAGTAATGCAGTTGGATACCTGATTAGTAAAAGGAAGTCTGATGAAGGCCTGGACCAAATTTGATGAATATATGATGTTGTGCTTCTTTCTTTACATTTTTTATGTCATGATATTTTGTCTGGTTTTAGTCGAGTTTTTAATGTTGATCTGCTTTTGTTGTTGACTTCAGGCTATCAAAGCTGCAGTTTAGTATTATTTTATCTGGTTCATACTTGCCCCTTGTGTCTTCTCATTTCAGGGACCACCTGGCAGTATGGGTCCTCCTGGACAAATTGGGCCATCAACACCAGTATGAGTTATTAAACTGGCATGAGGGTTAAATGTATTTATGACTGATTATTCAAAGGAAACTCCAAAGCAGATATATATCCTACATCTTACAGGATAGTGTTTCATTTAATAAATTTTAATATGATATTAAAGTCCTCTGCAGCATGCTACTTATGAAACATTTCAGTCTTGTGACAGAAACACATCCAATTAATTTGGTTATACTTCACTAAAATAGGAAAAAGTATTTTTAAAGTATGATTTAATATTTTTCATGCACATGTGATTGATAGTCATAATGGCTGCTGTACATAATGAGTAGTACTAAATACATGTCCTAATCCCAATTTATTGTTATATTTGGATTCAATGGTCTCAATTATTACATTTTTTTAAATATATAAATTCAGATGAAAATTCATTTTTCTCAGGGTTTGCCAGGTGAGAGAGGTGTTGAGGGTAAGACTGGATCTCCTGGACTGAAGGTATGATGTGTTATGTATGTACCATGATGTAGTTAGGTTGGTGGCTCTGTAAGTTAGTGCAGTAAGAGTACTCTACAGGAGTTCACTTTATAGTTTTCATGCTGTCTCTGCTTCTTGTTTTGTGTCGGTAAAACTCAGGGCAGTCACGGTGAGAAGGGGAAACTTGGTCCCCAGGGCATCAGAGGAGACACGGTGGGTTGTGTGTTTCTTCCACTGGGCATTATTTAACTTAATAGGCATATTTAATGCCTATCAAATATGCCTTGATAGGCATATTTAATGGTTGCAAAGGATGTCATTACTGTGACAGTGATTCTGTGTATATTTCCTTAATATACAGGGAATCCGGGGTGAAATGGGTACAAAAGGAAAGCCCGGGGCGAAAGGGACAATGGTGAGATGTTTCCTCTCTCCAGAGCTGGGTTTACAATATTTTTAGATTTGGAGTTCATTCATTTACTGTGGCTCAGTGGTCTGGCTTGTATCCGCTGAAAATCTTAATTATTCATCAGTGTGATTTTTCATGAAGGCATCATTCATATGTGCGACTGCTTTTCAGGGGACAAAGGGACAGCTGGGCCCCACTGGCACTGCAGGTGGCAAAGGTCCTTCTGGACCTGCTGGACCTCCTGGTCTCCCAGGAATTAAAGGGACTCGGGGACCAAAGGTAAGAGGGAGAAATTGCTAAACTCAGATAGAAACTTAAACCAGGGAAAAACAGAAGCTGATGGTGAGCATAATTTCTCTATAAAGGGGAAAGGTGCCCTACCTGGAAATAAAGGAAACAAAGGAGCGAGGGGACCGGCTGTGAGTCCAATATACTCTTTGACTTCAGTTTCCATTTACTTCATAGTACTCAATGCTTTTTTCCTAGGCTGCACTTTATTGTCTCATTAAATGAAATGTTTGCAGGGAGCAGAGGGCCAGCCGGGTAAACCTGGGCCTGCAGGAGGACGTGGAAAACCTGCAAGTGCCCCCTTTTGAAATTGAAATACATATGCACTGTATATTAACAGTGTTCTGCTGCCTATGATTTCAGTTCATTACTTCAACTCACATTAAATCAAATGTAAACCAATAACCAAGCATTGGTTGAAACACAAATTGTTGATAATAATAATAATAATAAGTTTTGATGTTTTACAGCAAGAACTGTCCTGATGTAACAGTTTGTTGCCTTGCTGTCTTTTTCTCAGGGCCTCAGTGGTCAGGATGGGTTACTGGGTGTCGAGGGTAATGAAGGAGATCCGGTAAGAATTTGTTGCATCATTACAAGTAAGAATGTTGTTCAGCATTTTAACTAACCCCCCCCACCTCCACTGCTCATCTCAAAGGGTAATGCTGGTTTCAGAGGAGCTCCTGGAACACCTGGAACACCTGGAAAAACAGTAAGCTTCAAAATAGGCATGTAAAATAGGACACCCTTTGAATGTGGGTATTTTACATCTTTTGAAAACTGCATTTTTCCATAATGATGTATTCTTTAAGGGTAAACCTGGTACTCCTGGGATCAGAGGAAACACTGGATCACCAGGCTTTAAGGTATAGGATTATTTTTTTTAATTCACTGAAATGTGCGCTCTTTTTTTGCAGTATCTAATTATCCAATAATATTTGTGTATTTCACTGTGTCATTTTGCACCATACTTACTCTCAGGGTAAAGCTGGTCCAAAAGGGAAACAAGGGCCACCTGGACCAGTGGGGCCTAGGGTATGTAAGTTTTGTTCATCAGCTTGATAACAAGATTGATATAATACTTCAAATCAATTTTTCTTTTAAGTGTCTGCGTCTTTGTCAATACAGGGTATTCCAGGACTTAGAAGAGAGAAAGGCGAGTCTGGAACAACTGGCCTAAAGGTAAAAGTCAGACTCAAAATTCAGGACATTAACACACCTAACACTCATGGCTTCTCACAGCAAAGATACCATGTCTTAAAATGTTGTATATATCTTTTAATGTTTCTTTGTCTTTTATTTCAAGTATATACCAAATTTCATATACTGTCATATTTCTGCGTTCATAATCTGCAGCTGTTGACTAAACAAGAGAGGTTTATTCTAAAATCTGTACCTTGAAAACAGTTATCTCCAAAGGCAAAATATTCAAATGTGTTGGGTTCAAAAGTGCAGAAATCAACAGAGTCTAAGAATTATGCATGGTTGGTGGAGGAAAAGTTGTAAGCTGTTCTAATCTTCCCTTACAGGGTCTTTCGGGTGACTCAGGAATACGAGGACGAATTGGGCCACCAGGGCTAAAGGTCAGCTAATGCTAATTGAAACGTACAATCATTAAAGTTGGAAAAATATAGGATCATTGTCATTCATTTTCCAGGTTTCTAACTTTTTTTCAGGGGAATCCTGGTTTGCAGGGGCTGAAAGGTCAAAGAGGTCCTAAAGGGAAGCAGGTAATGTCTGTTTAAATGTTGGTTTGACTTTGTTTTGAAGAGACAGCAAATCGTTAATCAACTGATTAAATTTCACAGGGGGATACTGGTCCTCGTGGTCCTCGTGGTCCATATGGGCCAAAAGGCGTCCTTGGACTCCCAGTATGTTGCCTTGTAATTCCATACAAAAAATAGTTAACTGATCCTTTTCACTTGATTTATCTCTTTTCTATTCTTTACTTCAGGGCCAGGCTGGAAAAAAGGTGAGCAACTGTTTCTTATTTCACTTACGGCTCATGCAGGCCTGTGGGTCTTCATGGTAATCTAGTCACAGATTAAGACAATTTTATTCAGCGTGACTCTATCAAAACAATTGTTTTGGTCATTTAAAAAGCAGGTTATCAAACCGCTGATGGTAAGGAGTATCTTCTCTCAAGTTGTCTCTGCTATTACCTTGATTGCAAAAATGTGAGATAAGTCTTTATGTAGAGTTGTCTCAAGTTGAAAGCTGATTATATTTGGGTCTTTACAGGGGATGAAAGGTGTTCAAGGCGGGAGAGGACCTAAAGGGACAAAAGGAGAGCGGGGACTTCCAGTAAGAATTTGCAAATTGGCTGAATCATACTTTAGAGTTTGGATGTATATAAAATCAATAGCAGAGAGGTTATAACATACACTTTACACAGAGTCACTTGTTTTACAGGGAAAGCCTGGTGCACCAGGCAGGCACAGAAAGCTGAAGTCAAAACCACTGCCAAAACCAGCTCAAGGAAATAAGTTAAGACCTAAAACAGGACCAAGTTCAAGATCTGGTCTGAAAAATGTGCTGAGAACCAAACCAACACTCAACCCCCAGAGGCAGAGCAAAGGAAAACAGAGAGTATGTACAGTTTACTCAGTTACATCATGTTTACAAGTTGCACTGTTCTTGTGTCATGCTACACATCCTCGAAGCTGTGTCATGTGTGACTGACTTATTAGCTCACAGGCTGCATGTGATTCCTTTATAGCGACCCAAGAGATGGTCTGAAGGAGACGACTCTGAGGATTTCTACAGCTGGCCTTGGGGTACCAAAGACAACCCTGCCACTACCTGCTATGAGCTGGGACTCATACGCCCGCATCTGACTGATGGTTAGGGTCTTTATATGCTTTCATCCATAGGATGATTTCAATGTGCTTGGGAGATTACATACTTTTTTCTCCAAATTAAGTCTGTGTTACCCATTTTAGGCTTCTTTTACATGGATCCCAACCAAGGCTGTCCCTACGATGCTGTGAGGGTTTTCTGTAATTTCACAGCAGGAGGAACGACCTGCATTGACCCTTTGCAGTCACAGGTACACATTTTTAGTGTGAGGTATCATGTCAGTCTCTCCTTTGCAACTAAAAAACAGCACAAGATGATCCCATATATTCGTCATATGAAATACTTTTGGCCTATAACAGTGGTGGTCAAGCGAGACTGCCCACTTAAGACTATTTTGAATATCACAGAGAAACAGTGTTTGCAATGTGATAGGTTTTTCATGAAATCAAGAATAGGGAATAGCTTACATAAAGTCTTCTTCGACCCAAGGCAATGTGGACCTAGATCAGACTGTACAACTGAAATTCTGAGAAAGCATTTTGGCCAGACAAAAAGCACTTCTGGGTGCTGACGAGAATAACGACTTCCCTGTTTTTTCAGTCTGCTTCACAAGTCCTGAATACTGAAGTATTCAAAGTGAAAGCAAACTAAACAGGTTGGCACAACACTGTTTTGCACAACTGAGGCTTTCTATCGGTACCCAGATGGGAAGTTTTGGGCACATTTTAGGTTGTTTATTTGTTGAGCTTTGCAAGCTTTGCATGATTTTATATTGTAACTATCAAGGACACTTACACAGAAGATATATTAAAAGTCAAATTATAATTGAGGCTGAGTTGGTGAATTAATTATCAGCACAGCTCAAAGTGACAGGAATAAGGCTGCCTGCGTCATAGCCAAGCTGGTATGAGAACAACATTTACATCTCATGTGCCATTACTGAAATTTCCCCTGGGAGGGAGAAGTGTTCCTTTCCATAGTTTTTATTTATGTATGTTGTGTTGATTTGTCTATGTTGATGAAAAAAGTAATATTTCATCTTGCAGATAAAATTCCTCTTGGAACCAGAGAGAAAATCATCAGAATTACCCGTTCAATGGTTTAGTCAGCATCATGGCAGAGACAAGGTATGAGTGTCATATATTTGATTTTTTTTACTGCTAATCATTGAGCACAATATTTGAAATCAGCAGGCCATTTCTCTGAGTTTTATGAAAGGATTTCTGTCTCTGACAGCTTGAGTATGCTGGTCTGGATGTTGTTCAGCTGCGGTTTCTGCGGTTACACAGCCATAAATCTTTCCAGCGCATGACAATCAGCTGTACAGGAAACTCCGGTTTGGCTGGCACATCTAATCCATCCAATAGAAGTATTCACCTTCTAGCAGACTCTGGTAAAGAAATCTCATCTCACCTTATCACTGTGTCCAGCAAAGGCTGTGAGGTAAGATGACATGATAATACTGTTGTTAAAAAAAACAAAAACAGTTTTGGTCAGCTTACCCCCTTCTCTTACTGTACAAATAAACATGTGACATAAATGTGTTTAAAAATGACACAGATTGTCAGGCACATGGCAGGTTGTCATGGTGTTGTATTTTCAGTTCAAATTCATCCCTGTTATGTTTAATAAAAGAAAAGAATAGACTTAAAGCTGAAATAAATCAGTTATATAGCAGAAGTATGAATATATCAAACACGATCTGAGCATTTCATCTTCAAACAGTGATGCTGAATGTCTTTATTCAATCCCTGATGTAATATAGACAAATTTTGCTTTATCATTGTAATTTTGCAATGTTATTTGTTATGAAGGCTAAAGATTTTTTTTCTCATCATTTTATAACAAGCTGCCATGTTCAAAGTGTTAAGTCACTGAATTATGTAACAAAGACCAAATGTCCCCTTCATATCTCTTCTGTCTGTTGTGCAGAGCGAGCTGGTTGTGATGGTCTGGGGAAGCACAGAGCTGCATCGAGGTGATATGGAGTTACTCCCTATCAGAGATCTGGGTTTAGACATGACATCACTATCCCTGCTTATCCCTGAGGTCACTGTGTCTTTGGGACCCCTCTGCTTCTTGTGACCCTTGAAGGATGTGTGTGTGTTTTGGGTGTGTGTGTCTGTGTGTAAGTGACCTCTGTAAATATCTGTTTCTTATAAAGTGGACATATGATAAGTTTGGGTTGTTGCTATGTTTGTTTTTTTGGTTATTTATTGAATTGCTGTATTCTATCATATTGCGCATTATGTAAATAGTTATTAAATGTGTTATGTTGCACCAGTGTGTCCAGTGACTGTTTTTTAAGGCACAGTGGAATCGCATCATCATGAAGGGCCTTGTTATGAGAGAAAACCCCTGCAGCCAGGCAAAGGCCTCTGTTCAAAGGTTGATATCATATTCCATGGTGTCATTTACGATTTTCTTTTTCGTAAATGTACTCATGTGTCTTCCAGTTAATAGTATTTGCTACAGTAAAGTCATAAGATGAGTCTTATTAGTGATGAGCACACACTGTAGCATTCACAACATGTTAGAACCCATTCATGGAATTTAGAGTGTATTTCCAAACAGTGTACATTTATGCACATAATTAGCATGAAAGCTCTTATCTGGTCTTAAATCTGTAGCATAAAATTTTAACGTGAACTAGTCATGCACGGAAAGATTATATGTAAGCTTAAATTGATTAAACTTAACCTATATAACCAGTGGTTACATATGTTCACATGCATCTTTCCAGCATTTTTTTTTCTTTTTGTTATCAAGTTTTGATAAGTTAAGTTAAGTTAATTAAAATCATGTGCGTATCAATGTACGTGCACACGGAATATTATTATTTTTATTATTATTATTATTATTAGTAGTAGTAGTAGCAGTAGTAGTAGTAGTAGTATTGTCATTATTATTATTATTATTATTATTATTATTATTATTATTATTGTTGTTGTTGTTATTATTAATAATAATCATAATATTAATAATTATTATTATTATTTTCATTATTATTATTGTTGTTGTTATTGTAATCATTATTATTATTATGAAAGCATAAAAAATGAAGATATAAAATAAATAAATAATAAAAATACAAGAGGCAAATAAATAAAATACATATGAAATAACACAAATGCAAAAGGAAAAAAGTGCCATTGAAGTATAACCTAGTTAGATCTATCAAATGGTTAGATGTTATCCATAATTTGCAGTACACAGTAAAAAAAAACCAACAGGGAACATAAACCAAAGAAAACAGTACCATAGGGAGGAGCATTTGTTTTAATAAAGACTGAATTACCAGGAAGGCGAAACTTGGTCCAGGACCTTCATTGATTGTCTTTTATTTACAGTTACACTTACACCAAGGAAATGATGGCAATAGAGGTGGTTTGAAAGAAAAAGCAGTGATAAAGAACTGCATAAATGAGATTAAAGACACATTTTATTCTGTTTTGTGTGTAAACTGAAACATAATTTCACATATTTGCTCCTTTGACTTATTTTGTCATTCTTGAATAAAATTACACCAGATTTCATAATCATTCCTCATTTTCCATCTTTTTTTTTCTTTCTTTCTTTTTTTTTCTTCTTTTCTCAAACTCACCGTAACCACCGGTGTGTCGGGTCTGATGACAGACGACCAACCGTGTGGGCGCTGGTGACGTCAAAAGGAGGAGAGACTTTTGACCAATCAGCGCCAGCTTCCCTGCTCCTCATCTCTCCCTGTTAATACAATGGGAAAGGTGAGCGGCAGCCCAGATTGTAGCGATTAAAGGAGTTATACATTCACTTCCCAACGTCGGCGGTGGACTCACAGAGAAAGCAACCGGCGGAAGAAGCGAGTAGGTACCCGAGAAGTTCATCGTTATCATGTTAAGTTTCCGACAATGTCAGTGAGTGTTTCTGTCAACCTGTTTGCTCAGCTAACCACAGACGTCAATAAGTTGGCTAATTTGACTGCATGTTACCTGAGCCTGCAGCTGTGGGGGAAACCGGGTAGAGGCGAGACGATGAATTAATTTCAAACCACGTTGTTGTTGAGCTTGAAGCTGTGTGTCAGCTCATGAGTGACTCTCCGTCTGTCACAGTGTTTTCATTAAACCAGCCGGGGGAAGCTAGCTCAGTGTTAGCTGTTTTTCCAATGCGTGTCTGCGGCATCATGTGAGAGTGATTGCGGTTGTCAGAGAGGGTTTGCTTTGTCTCTCACTGAAAATACTGTGTGGAGGTATTAGGAGCAGCAGCATTGTATGTGTCCCTCATTCTCGTTTTTGATTATTGTGATTTTTTCTGTCTGACATGGATTTATTTTGTCAAATTCAACTTTCCTCTTATTCTAGGATGGAGCATGACAGTGTCCTCAGGTCTCGCTCCAGAGCTACTCCTCAGATGCCCACCTTTCCTGATCTTGATAGCTCTCTGGAAGGGGAAAATAATGAGGAAGAACATAGACAGAGAAATGGGGACGCTCATCTCACCAGCAATGGTAAGAAAATCCCTATTTCCTCATCAGCAGAGCCCAGACAGAGGACAATGACCTCTTGTGACAAATAAGCTGCAGATTCAGTTTATACTAAATTTAGTCTTTACCACCCTTTTCAGGTTATATTATATACAGTAATATAAAAACTTAGTTTGTTATATCTTTGAAATCCACACTGCTCTCACGATTACCCTCCAATTTCAAACTAAATCAAATGAATGCCTTTATTTGATCACGCTCCACGCTCCTGTTTCTTTGAGCAATTATGAATTCAAGCAGATGTGCTACATACTAATGAACAAAGACCAACAATTATTATAATTATGATGTTTTTAAACTTTAAGGTAGAAATACAAAAAACTTTAAAAGGCTCTTTAAAGTATGCCTTGATATCTTCAAATTGGTAAAGGATACATGTCCTATAACAAAGATTACCAAAAGTATAGTGGAAATTCTTGACGCTCAGAAAACATCCTAGTAGACATGTGAAAGAATCTGCATTTCTACAACAACATGCGTGCCGGCTTTAGCTTCTCAAAGAACGTGATTTTATTATCCGTGACATGCAAACCAATGAAAGCATGTCCCGGTTGATGCATGTTGTGCGATGTAAGGAGAACAGCTGTGGTTCACCTGGTTGTGAGTGATCCATACTTCAAACCTTGCTTCTTTTTTTCAGAAAAGGAGCTGAAAAGATTATTTAAAGGACAGCTTGACATGTCTCTGGACTAGACGTCTTGTCTGATGTCTATCTATGTAAAGTACTGAAATTTGAACCTGAAAAAAGTGAAGACATAATGCTGACCAAACTGCTATCCTGTCATTAATCTGTTTTATTAACTTCTTCAGTCCAACATCTGACTAGATGGGTGGTTTGTTACTGCCCCTTGTGCGTCTGTATGACCTCATTAACTTTCCGATCTTCATCATGAGACATCTGGCTCTGCTGATAACCTACAGTGACCCTGTAATCAATCATCTGAGTTTGCTCAGCTTTGTGGACAATAGAGTTTAATTGCTACTCGGTGTCAGAGGTGTGTCTTTTTTTTTTTTCGCTGTTGCAATCGTGGATTTCACCATTAACTTCTGCTATTTCCTAGATTATTTTTACAGGGCTCTCTCTGAACCTTGTCAAATATTCTTCCTTAGTGTATTAACCGCTGTCAAAAATGAAAGGTTTACATTGTAGGTTTTCTCATTTATTAAAAAATATATAATGAAACATAACAGCATGAATTGATGTCAATATCTATCAGTTCAAAGTCCTGTTCAATCACGGCGGACAGGCAACTCTGTTTGCTTTGTTTCTAATTTAGGTGTGTCAACACTTATTTGCATCATTATTTAATGGTGGATGATGGTCAGTGTATTAACTTTTGTTAAATAATTTTTTTAATTGTACACTCTGTTTGAAATTACAGGTAAAATTGAAGTGGAGCAGGTGATCAGCAAAAAGCTACAGCTCAAAAGGAAAGCAGAGGTTAGTACGTCTTGTGATTCAGAAAAAGGCAGAATTGAGCAACTCTTGAAAAGAGGAAATGGTATCAAATTCAACTGACATGAAGTTTCAATACAAGTGATCTTAGAGTCACACATACACAATTCAAAATATAACATAGTGTCTGTGTTTGTAATGTTTTTGTTCATTTTAGTACCTTTTGAAATCAATTTTCGTATCGGGTTTATATTATTATGATCCTCTGCTACACAAAATTCTTTTTTTTTCATAATTTTTATGATGTAAATATCAGATGAGGTATAAAATGAGGTGTTTTACTTGTTCTTCTCCGTAAGATATTCTTACAGTCTTTAACCTATGACGCATTTGGTGCTTTCAAGTTGTCTCCTAAAGCCTACAGGCTTCTCTTAAAATAAGCAGTGCCTTCTGTGTATTATAAAATTATTGTTTTATATAAATCACACCGTCAAAAGACACGTCACAATACCAACACACAGCTGCATAGAAACGTTTTTTTGGATTGGTCTTCATAGAAAAATGTGATTATACTGTTCCAGTGGTGCAAATGTATTCTTCATTACAAGGCCATGTATGCTGGCCAATGTGTAAAAATGTTTGTCAGTCAATACAATTTATTTATTTATTTGTTTGTTTGTTTGTTCGAAGTCTCACACGCTGGTCAATGCTTAAAAACTAGTTATTTTCAAGAATAAATCCTCTTTAAACAAATGAATACAACACTCCTCTAAGGTGATGATGCCTCAGTGGGCTTTTCCAGAAAACCTTTTTTCTGTTTTCTTTGGGACTTTTTCCCAATAGCAGTGCAACTAACTATGGATCTCCACTGCCTAACACAAACATATTTGCTTGACCATGTTTTTATTCAAAATATTTTAAATGTTTTGACATTTTCTGGTACTCTAATATCAAAACTCATAGGTTTTTTTTTTGTTGTTGTTGTTGTCCTTTTTTTCTCAGTACCTGAAGAGTGACCTGATACGTCAGTTTGACAACCAGGTCAATGACTTCATGGACAGTCTTATTGAGGAGTCGGCCAGCCTGGAGTCTGCACCTCTACCTGCTGTCTTTTCACCTCGGCTGTCAGATAAAGAGAGGAGCAAACTCAGGTGCTGCCTTACAGCTTCTCTAATCTATCAAAGTTTATGCATTAGTAAGTTGCAGATTATATAAGACACGTGGATTTGAGCTAATGTGAGCAAACTTTCTCAATCTTCGTACTTTCATACAAAATGAAATTTACTAGTCACTCACTTTCTGTTTTTTTTTTTCTTTTTTTTTTTCCCTTAAGGCAATTTCGGCCTCCTCATGGCCAGGGCAAACAGTTCGTCAGTCGCAGGTCCCTCTTAGAGTAAGTGTGCGCATTGATATGAATGAGGTGTAAATAGTACGACATGACAGCATAAGTGCATTACAGCATTTATGGATTGCAGTGCGCTTTTTTGAGAATTTATTAATTAAATTTATATATATGTATAATTTTTTTTCAGTGAGCTGTTCGAGGTTAACCACATCAGGACCATTTACCACATGTTCATCGCGCTTCTCATTCTTTTCATCCTCAGTACATTGGTGGTAGATTTCATTGATGAAGGCAGGTAATGTGGAGGATTGCTGTAAATAAACCTTGATTTAATTGGCTTTTAAGTTAAGTCACAAAGTTAACATCTTTTTTCTGTCCAGCTTTTGTTGATACTGTTACTGTCTCAGAGATGTACTGTGTCTATTTTGCTGCAGGTTGGTGCTGGACTTTGACCTGCTAGTCTATGCATTTGGACAGTTCCCTCTGGTGGTGTGCACATGGATTTGCATGTTTCTGTCTGTGTTGGTGGTTCCCTACTCCCTGTTCCACCTCTGGTCACAGACTCAGTCTGGGACTTTAAGTCATCCCTGGTTGTACAGTTTTCTGTTCGGCTCTGTATACCTGCTCTACCAGGGTCTGGGTCTGGGATTCCTGCCTACGTATGTGGCAGTGACTAACAGTTTGCCACCTGCATCCAGCTTCATCATCATCCTGGAACAGGTAGATCACTCAGTATGGCTCTGTGAAATTACACCACCACAACAATATTGAAGAAAAGATGAATCATACATACTGAGAGATGAATCGCTGTGGTGAGAGCGCCGTTTTCTAACGTGTCTATTTCTAGGTGCGTCTGATGATGAAAGCCCACTCCTTTGTCAGAGAGAATGTACCAAGAGTCCAGACCTGGGCAAAAGAAAAGACCAGTATGTAACTCATAAGATGCATTCAGTGATTTTCATCCTTGTTTTACCTCTCTGTTCATTTGTTTTGACATTTTCTTTTCATTGCCACTAACTTCTGTCTTTTCACGATGTCTTTGTTTATCTCTAGGCCCCAGCCCTGTGGTCCCTCAGGTGTCTCAGTATCTCTACTTTCTGTTTGCACCCACACTCATCTACAGAGACAAATACCCCAGGTAAACAGACCTACTGTAACTATCGCTTGTTTATTGTGTTATATAGTAGTTCTTGTGTTTAATGAAACATTGTTTCTCCCTTAATGCAGAAATCCAGTGATAAGGTGGAGCTACGTGGCTACAAAGTTGCTCCAGGTACCAACTTAATTAGACATACTTCAATATGAAAGGAAAAGATGTAAGTTTGTTGCACTCATAATTTAAACAATTCCCACCGAACAGGTCCTGGGCAGCCTGTTTTATGCCTATTATGTGTTCGTACGGCTCTGCATCCCTCAGTTCCACAGCATCAGTCTGCAGCTGTTTGACCTTAAGGCCATGGTCCTCTGTGTCTTTAACTCCATCTTGCCTGGTAAGATTTACCCATTTTACAGCTACCCTTCCATACTCCCCTTGAGTACAAGTTCACTCTAAATGAGACACATAAGCATACTTTTTAAGATAGGAAATGTTCTTTTCTCTTTGCAGGGGTGCTGGTTCTCTTCCTGGGATTCTTTGCCTTCCTCCACTGTTGGCTTAATGCTTTTGCTGAGATGCTCCGCTTTGCTGACAGGATGTTTTATAAGGTACTCGTGCTGTCACTGGTTGCTCCAGTTACATTTGAATAAGGTTGAAATATGACACTGAATAATTACATGATTTTAATTTAACATCACAGGATTGGTGGAATTCAACTTCTTTTGCCAATTATTATCGCACTTGGAATGTAGTGGTCCATGACTGGCTGTATTATTATGTGTACAGGGACTTCCTGTGGGTGAGTGAACATCGGTGTGAAAAGCCATTTATAAATAAATTTAACATATTTTCCAATTTATGACTGATTAAAAAAACAAACATGGATCATATGAACTTGTCTGTTTTTCTGTTGTTGTCTTTCCAGATTTCTCAGAAACGTTTCAGACCAGCAGCCATGCTGTTTGTGTTTACAGTGTCTGCAGTGGTCCATGAGTACATTCTTGCAGTCTGCTTTGGCTTCTTCTATCCTGTGCTCTTCTGCCTCTTTATGTGCTTTGGAAGTAAGACGAAAGACATTAGTGCTCCCAGAACAGACAAAAATGTACTGGCCCTTCTCAGAATGTTCGATTTTTCATCTACTTCCTTTCTTACAGTGATGTTTAACTTCATTCTGCATGACCAGAGGAAAGGTCCCATCTGGAACATCATCATGTGGACATCCCTTTTCCTGGGTCAGGGAGTTATTATCTGTCTGTACTCACAGGAGTGGTATGCCCAGCGCTACTGCCCCTTGAAAGAGGTAGCATCTCAAGTTTGTTTGGTTGTTTTTGTGTCAACACAAAGCTTAGATTCAAAATAATTTTAATGATATTCTTGTGATGACATCCTTTATTTCAGGCTTCTTTCTTTGAGTTACTGAAACCTCGCTCCTGGAGCTGTGTGAGAAGCCCTGTGTTGGACTCGGACAGGCTGTGATCTGCATTAAGACTACCTGCTCGGGCCATAACTGATCAGTACACATTTGACCAGACTTTCTGTTGCCTTTCATAACATCTGGTCTTTCATGTTTGTTTTATTTAATTGCACTTGGGCGTGAGACGTCCTTTACTCAAACAGCTGAGTCAAAGTGATGTCATGCTCACACATTTGTTTTCAAAAATAATCTCGATTGCAAGTTCACATGAAACCATATGTGAACACTTTTATGTTTATGTGTTATTTATTTCTCAGATGTATTCCCTCAATGCTTGGCTTTATCAACTATGACTACTCCTTGTGCCAATAATGAAAGGGGCAACCATGACATGGCAGCTGAATACAAACATTTACAATGAAGGAACAGTTTTAATATTTAAAAACTGTCACAATTACTACACACAGAAAATTAGATAGTTAAGACTCTCGAGTTCTGTTCACTGCCAATAACATTTATTTAGTAAAAAGGTTTGTATAACCATTTAAGAAGCTGTGGCCTCAGCTCAACACTGAGGCGAGAAAGAAGAGTTGCACTTGTTGTGGTGATGCAGTAGGGAAATTATTTTATGGGAATCTGAAATTTTGAGTAGTTATTTTTTTTTTACAGTGCTTAATGGCTTGGAAAAAAATACTTTCCAAACCCCCAAGTGTATACTTACTTTTCCCTTTATCTCCAGCTGCAAGAATGTTGGGTATTCATTGTAAGTCATGACACTGAACTCTATTTCGATAGGGAAAATAGAGAAGGTTATCATGCTGAGTGAAATTAATATATTGTGTGTTTGATATGTCTTCATGATTTTTTTTTTCAGTTGACACATTTCAAGTTTGGACATGCTTTATTTTGTTTTCCTTACCATTGTGGTGCGTTAACTATTAATATAAAGGTGAAGTCACTACGGAATAATAACTGATACTTTTGCAGCTGGCTGCTTAAATGTTATAACATTGAAATTATACTTGATTAGCAATAAGGGCTACAGTCTGAAGAGTACATTACACAAGACAGTATTTGGTTTAAATCACACAAAGTTCCTTGAAAAAAGAAATCTATATTTTGTCATACAAGTGGAAAAAGGAATGTGTATGTTTTGTGTGTTTATGGATCCTGTGATCTTTGAATACTGTGTTTACACATTTGTGTATTATTGAGGTAATAATATCAAAGCTAATGCACTGTCAATGTTGCCAATTCTGATCTATTGCAGTGCTGAGAGGATGCATTTATTTGGTAATCATGAGATGCACAGCACAACACTAAAACCAGCAATGGAGAACATTTCCAAAAACTGTATGACCACTGGGGGGCTCTGTAATCATAGTTTTTACTTCTGATCCTCTCCCGGCTGAGTTAGGCTGTCAGAAGCAGGGGAGACTTTCAGCCTGTGTCTCTCATAGGCTTTATATTGAGAAACATAATTACCAGCAACCTAACTTAGTTTTTAGTTGTACAGTAAACAGCATAGCTAATGGGGTACTTTGTGGAAGTGAGAATGCCTATGGTTTGAATTATCCTTGGTTGTCTTGGAGACGTTGCTAATGAGGATATTTATAAAGTGAAAAGAGTCGAGCAGCAGAAATGCTGCTGTATTTGAATGAAATATTTATTTTGGGAGAAGATTTTCCTACTTAGTCACATTTTTGTGTTCACTGGAATGTTTTTTTCTGGCCATGGAAGTCTGATTGTGTCAGGTGACAATTTTACAAGTTTGTATATTTTGGGTCAAAGACAAATGCTTAATGTATTCTTTATCGACACATATACTATGAAGAATAAAAGAAGTATGAAATATGAACCCCTTCTCTGTTGTCCAACTTCTTTGTGTCTTCTCCAACTAAGATCTGTATATTATGGCCCATATTACAGATGTAGAGTATTAAGCTGGTCATATTTAGATGTGATTTACATATGGGAGAGTGGGGTAAGATGAGCCATTTTTCATATTTCGGATTACTACATCAAAGCAATCATAGTTTTGTCTCTAACTAGTATATTTACATATATTTTAGGATGTTGTGCATCCCTGCAAACCAATGAAACTGTCTTGATAATAAAGCATGCCAAAAAAAAGTGGTCTCCTATGGTCAACTTACCCTGTGTATGGGGTAAGTTGAACCATATCTCCACAGCCCCCGCACTCTCCATCCCAGCCCTCCCTCACCTTCTCTCTCCCTAAATAACTCACTTCTTCACATTCATGTGTATTTTTATCTATTATACGCTATTCAACCAGTACAATATATTTTTTTTATTATTGCATATAACTGCTAAATAGCTGTTTTGTACAAAGCCATTTAAAAATGAGAATGCCTTTAAGTGATTCAGAACATTCACAGCTGTATTTTTGAAAAGAAAAAGTAACACATTTCAACAATCTGAACTGAAACTCTGATCCTCTCAACAGACTCCGTTACTTTCTCAGTTGAGCCTCAACTTATCCCAGAACTACTATGATGACTTTATTAGTCCTCTGAGCTAAAATTGTGGACTTTAAAGCAAGGTTTTTTACCTCATGTTGTAGCTCATAGATACCACCATTGATGTATAAAACATATTTAAAATGATCTTTTTTGGTCTAAACATAATTCTAATAAAACTTACGACAGACTCAATTCATTTTCAAGAGTAAAAAATGTTTTGTTTTGTTTTTTTTAAATAAATGTGTAACCTCTTCACCCATGTGTGTCAAACCTTCACAGACTCCATAAATTGATGCCCATCTCCTAAATACTTTGTCACATGATAAATTTCTTTTACCATTTCCAAGCAACAGTGGGTGGCTCAACTTACCCAACTCTCCCCTATAGGAGAACGCATAATTCAGCATATTTCAGAGGAGAGTGGACTAAAGCTACAGTGCACAAATTTGTTCTAGGGTCCTATAAATCCTTTAGAAAATTAATGGATTTTGGGTTGGACTATTTTTTTTTAGAAAAGGTTCAAAAGTTTATTTACTCTGCCTTATCAGTTGCTGGTGTTGCCCGTTTATAAGAGTGCAAAGACTTTAATAGTCATTAATCTATGTCTTATGTCTGCATTTGTGTTGCCAAGTCATAAACTGAGATTTGTCGAATAAAAAAAAGCTTTGGTTTGTTTTCGAGGACGCAGGAACCGGTGCTCAGAGGCTGTTGGGACCCGGCTGGTAATGGTGAGGTGGAGGCGCACGGTGACAGGGGGGATCGCAGTGAACCCCCCCGCCTTGTGCAACACATCTTCTGTTCTGCGGTAAAGATGGCGGCGTCAGAGGGGGCGCGTAGCGGCCGGACAACGGTGAAACGGCTGTGAAAAGCTCCATATCTGACCGTAAATCCCTCGCTGGGTGCCACTTGTGTCAACTCGGATAGTATCTGGACCACCGGGATCAAGAGAATCGCTGTCACACGCTGGGGTTGCGGTTTTATTGTTAAGGCAGGGTGGGTGGGTTTCACTGATAGCTGCTAACGTTAGCGATCGGACTCGCTAAACGAGCTAATACGGGCTAGTTAACGTTAGCTCCTTGAGGAAGAGTGAGGAGGGGATTGAGGAAGACTATTCGGGCCAGGCCGCTCCAGCTTGAGGTAATGTGAGCCAGAGGTGCGCAGAGAGAGGGGTTTGCTCGCATCGTCCCAGACGTCCTCGCATCAAACTACCGGGATGGGACAGCAGGTAGGCCGCGTCGGTGAGGGCACATCGACCGGACTCCAGCCGCCACAGCCCCACGCGCCCCAACCGCACCAAGGGAAGGGGAACCGGGGGAGCGGCGCCGGGAGGAGACCCCGAGAACCCGGCAGCAGCACCGGGACACCGCCGGGAAGAGCTGCTGCAGTCAACGTGCCCGACCCAGGGATCAATATATTCGTGCAGCATTCAGGTAAGAAACATAGACACATTAATAATAAGACGAGGTGTGTGTGTTTGAGGGTGAAGTGGTCCGCTTTACTTTGATATTTGTTTGGTGCTCTTTAGCCGCTAGCTGAGTCTATGCTAGTTTGACAACGACGCGTTAGCGGAAATAGCTGTTCCACAAAACCACAGCTTTCCATGAGTGATAAATGAAGATAATTTGTCTGTTTGAGTGGAATCTGATAGGATGTTGTCGAGTCAAGAGATGGATATCAGAGTTGCTCAAATTTGGCACTGTTATCGCCGTATATTGGAGTCAGTGTGCGTGCTGCATGTGACCCAGTGATCCCGAAGGAGAGACAGTGTTTTTGTGAGTCTGCCTGGAGGATCATGACAAGAAGAACTTAGAAAGTAAGCTTTTCCTCTAAGGCGTCCATGTGTATTACTTGCTTTGATAAACAGTGATTCGTGCCTCAGGAGGTTGAGCAGCAATTCCACCCCATTAACTCACTATAGCAGCCACCACAGGCTCACATTACAATAGCTTGTGCTTTTCACATGCTCACTTACATCCTCTGTCTGATTGTGTCTACTGTTACAACACACTCAGCAAGCTGACTGCAGACTTTGGTCCTGGGGGGAAGTCTGTGTGAATTATTTAAGTCACCTTCTTTCATGACATGGATAAAGTCATGTCAAAATCAAAGACTAAAGCTCCTCTTGTATGATCATGTGTTATACCCATGCGTGATAAGTGACTTCTTCCGCCATGTACATAACAGATCACATTAAACAGAGGTGTGGCAGTCTCTCCCATGTTACTGCCTCGGCGTAATAGCCAAGCATTGATAATGCTATCTGCTCCGTGAGTCATGAAAAATGACCCAGCAGTAACCTCTCCATGCCCTAAATGGCCTGCCTCCATCCTCCCTTTAAGTATGGTTTATGAGTGGCTGACATGGGCTTCCTACTAATGGCGATGACAGGACGCCTACCGGGTGATGTGTATAATGTCATCACCATAATGCGCTCAATTGTAGAAGGGCTTTATTAGTTAGAACTAGGGTTTGATTTGCATGTAGGCATGTGCCGATATGAAAAATTTGATATCACGATATTGGTGGCCCAAAATATCACGATTCACGATATTATCACAATATTAGCGGATTGCTTTTAACGTTATTAAAAATGGCAAAAAAAACTGCGAATTCCCCTCTCTGTGCACAGCATGACAACAAAACGTCCATACTGCCAATGAAACCTTTTTAATAGGAGTATACAGTCGAAGCGTTTCGTCATTCTCAGTCTCTGACTGTTCTTGGTCCGGCTGCATCGTTACGTTGTTTGGAAGTGAGAACGTATGCGTCAACTTTTTTTTTCTTCTTCAAACTGTTTCCAGTTCACAGAGTGGACATGCTCCAACAGTGCTTTGGGTGGCCGCAATGCATTGTGGGTTGCCACACATTTTGTTGTAAAATTTCTTAATTTCTCTTTTAATGTTCCTGTTTTTGTGAGGCTGGCATTAATGTACGTGATTCGAGAGTTTGTTTTGGATTTGGGACTACTTTTGTGGTGGTTTGTTTGTCCTTTTTGCTACCGAGGCTTTGACACCGTGGGTAAGACTACAAGCGTGTTAGGTTGGTAAGTACTTGCCCTCGCTTGCCTCTGCTGAGTGACGCTGCCACTCGTCTTTAAACTATAACTGTGGAATGATTATTACAGTACCCTACGATTTTATCATCGCGGCCATTTAATATCTCATATCGCGATTAAATCGTATATCGGCACATCCCTATTTGCATGGCAATCTCAAAGTCACAACTTATTTTCCCAGACATCTCTGTTTGTCTGTGATCTTGTGCTTCACTTAATTATAAAATTTGTGCACAAACTTTCTTGTATTTAGTGTCTTTCTGCCTGCAAATGATCCTTCTGTCCTCCAGTGGAAGGTCACTGCACATGTGCTGCACTGATGTAGAACTACTGGCATAACTTAGCTTGTTTCCACTGATGTCCCAGCACTAATTTTGCTGTGCAAAGACACACAGAAAGTGCAAGCTTGGGTAATGGAACACATTTTCAATTCCTGGCTGCTTCATCTGAAAAGTAGCCCTCTTCTGCTTGAAGTACATGTACAGTCAGACAGACCTGCTAAGTGCCCAACCACTCAGCGACTGCATCATCCCGTTTTCTCCAGCATTCAGGCAGGAGTGGCTTTTTTTTTATAGCAGCCAGGATGCAGTCACACAGAGCCGCTCCTGAGAGACTGCTACTGCTCTTCAAAGCACACAATAATAGAACAAAGATCCTTAAGTGAGCAAGCTTGGTAGTGTGCACTCAGTCTTATACTGACTATCAAAGAGACCCTTTTTTAAGTCATACATAATTGTGATAATAATGCAGCGTCACCCGATTCTTACCTGTCATTGTTGTAGAAACTTGAACAGTTTCTGTTTGAGTCACTTATCACCTTATATTTTATTTAGCTGGTTATTTCCCTGATAACCAATTTAGTGTTTAGTTTGTCAAATGCTCGTAAATAAAACCCACTAACTACGTTAAACTACTAACCTCTTGATCAAATAGTTACTGCTGGATGAAACGACAAAAAGCATCAACTTAATTTCTGTGAAATGATTCGATAATTTTAGTTTTAGTTGAACTGATTCAGCAGTTTTATTATAGTTCTGCTGGTTTCACAATGACATCATGTGACAAGGTCTCGTCCAGAGGAAGTCCAGATAAGAGGAACTTCATTGATTCCCAGCAGGGAACTTTAAAGTGGCACATCAGCAAAAGGAAGTACAAGCTTTCCATTTAAAGAGATCAGAGCTCAGCTTGTTAAAGTGGTTTTAATAATCCAGTCTCATAACTGCTTTATAACTGACTGGCGTGGTCCTGAGGCTAAATGATGCCCTCTTGGTATGTAATTGAAAAGTGCCAGTCTATGAGGAATGTGTTTTTGTCTGTTGAACTCGTGCCTGTGGGTCTCTGCCTGTCTTTTCAGTAAGTATCAGTGAGCATCATCTTTGCACATGCCCTCACTAAAGTTTCTTTCACTTAGTCATTTCAGGAGGTCAAATTAGAGGCTGGAGGACATCAGTGTAACTGGTAATAAGTGTCTCTTACCTGATGTCATTTCCCTTTAATTTTTCCTCATTTATCATTCCCTACTACAGCTTTTGGATGTTTTATTATTCATTTCCCAGTTTAAGTAAGACAGATCTTATCCCTTGTGCAGGTCTGCAGTAGTTTTTTTTCACTTCCTCTTTGTTGTTGCCTCTGCCAGGTCAGCTTCATAAAGTCTAAGTTAAACAGGGACAGACGGAGAGCACCGAGCCTTTATGCTGATCCACCAGTTCTCCACGATCATGAGTATTGAAAGAGGTGGAGAATTGGTGAATCAGTGGCAGACATATATTGATGGCTCCACCCCTTAAACCTCGTTAGGAGTTCAGAGATCTCCAGCAATGGGCTCATTTACTTCGCACACCGCAGCAAAAAAAGAGGGAAGACAATTTGCTGAAACCATGGCTATCGTAAGATTTCACCACAGTGTTTTTTAACCCATCACACGCTTTACCTTAAGCCTTTCTCAACTGAAACCTTGCAGATATCTTGTTCAGTAGGAAATCTATCAATTGACCTGGTTGCAGAGAGCGAGTAACTACACATCAAAAGGTGTAAAAATAAACAGTGAGCCAGCTCATAGAAATGGGGGCAGATGAGTGGATTCAAACCGCGCTTGGCATCAGTAGTGACAGTGAATTTAAGCCAGCCGTCATACCTAAAGTGCAGCACTGTTAAAGCCACCAAGAGGAGAGGAGAGGAGAGATGCCTGGATCCAGGATCTGAGGACCTAAGCTGATTTGCATCATGGGTGAAATTAGATTAGAGACAAATCCACTTTTCTGTGGACTCTATGTGCTGAAACCCTAACCACGGAGATAAGTCACACTGCAGCTACTGTGATATCTAAAGAAAATGGACTTCTGGGTGCCCTAGCAGCTATGAATGAGATTTTAATCAGCTTTAATAGATACTATCCTGGAGTGAAGATGATCTGTTGATAAAAACTACTTAGTTAGTGACTGCTATTTACCACTAGGAGGAGCCATGACCACACCTCCTCTGGATGTAACAGTCTGGAAATTGGGGCAAAACTGACAAGTCTAGTAGTATGTGAGTAAATCTGTTTTGATGGATGTGTTAAGAAAGTGCAGTGATTCATGCAGATGATTTTAACTCATTAAACATAGTTTATGTCTCAGACTGCAGGGAGCATTGTGCACTCTAATGGTTGAGTGCTAAATAATTAAGATCTCACTGTGCCTTTGCCCTCTTCACAAGCATGACCTCCACCTCTACCAGCTGCCAAGCCTCCTTGTCTCTGACCTGATCTTTGCCTTTAGCCCTGAAGGCTGACCTGCTCAGCCCTGTCTCTTTGAATCCTGTCTGCTCCAACAAGCCTCAATCTCAAATCTAGAAGGTCCTTGAATTCATGATTCCTCTTAGCTGAATGTGCCACAATGTCATCTTTGTCTAATAGTAATAGTAATATATTTGGAGAAATGTTGGGAATAATAGTAGAATGGGATTTTTCTGAAACTTGAACACAGCTGAGTTTTGTGTTTGTGTTTTGTTGTTGTGACTGCATGCTTCGACACCAACACTCTTAGTTTCCGTTTTGAGCTTTTGCATCTGCTATCATTCAGCCTTCTGTTCCTGAAACCACAGCCTGGGTTTTTAATCTCTAGTCTCCCCTCAGTTTCTGTGGCTCATATCATTGAAAACTGAGAAGTTATCAGAATGGTTAGTGATTGGCTGTGTAGATGATGAATTCATCCCTTTCATCTGTCAGCTTAAAAACACCAAACGTTTTTTGCTTCAGTAGAGAAAGGTCTTGCCAAATTGTTGAAGTGGCTTCTGGTCAAAGTCACAGTTTTCACTCTGAAGCCGCGATGGTGCAGCAGTGAAAAAAACAAAACTGATATGAGCTAGGAAAAGGGGGGCAATTTCTCTGCCAAGCTAGTTAAGCATGGATTCGCTTCCAGGATCAGTCCTTTGCTGCTGGCATTATCATTGCTGCTTATCTGCTGGGTTCCAGGCTGGAGACTTGGCTTGGAACGTGCTGTTGCGCACACTTACTGTAAACACCCACACATGCATGCTCATACATACACATACTCAAACACACACACTAACACACACACACACACCCTCTCTCTCTCCCTCTCCCTCTCTCTCCTCAGTTTCTTTCTTTCCTTGTCACTCTAGTTGTAATGGTGAGAGATTATCTAGTATGTCACACTCCCTCAGTGTAATTGGCTGACAAATGACTGGTCAATCAGAAAACCATAATCCAGGTTCCTTGTGGCACCTCAGCTATCCCATCTGATGTGTGTGATTATTCTAAGAGACAACTAAAAGTTAAAAAGTTGAGCCGATGTTTACAAACCAAAACTGGAGCATCAACATCAGACATACCTGTGATGGCATCTATATGTAACCTTTTGAGGGTGCACACATTAGGCAACAGTTGGAAGAGGTGGATTTTGGCATGGTTCAGTTGCTTGTGCATTTGCGGTGAAGCACCTGATTTTATTTTTCTTTCACCAGAACGATACACATCACATCGACATAGCAGTGCAGAGACAACAGCAGAGCATGAGAGCTGTCAGATGGTCCAGTTTGCTTTAGAAGATGCAGAAAGAAGCGTCCCCCTTACTTAAAACAATTAGAGAGGAGACAGTATGAAGATGCCTGCTGTACTGACAGAAGAAGGGTACTCACCTTTTAACACACTCAGAAGTGAATCAGTACAAAAAGACATGATCAGTTGCTATCACGGTCCCCGACAAGTTGACCAGGATGAAGTTAAAAGAATTTACACCACATTCTTACAGGAGGAATAGAGAGAACTCCGATGACTGTGCTGGTTTCTAATCAATGGACTTCAATGTGAAAGATTCAGTACAAATGAACACCATTTCAGGATATTCTAGGGTGGGACATATGCATTCTATAAAAACAAATAAAAACATATAGTAAAATCATTACAGAGCTCAATAACGCTCAACACTGGTACATGGTTAGAAATCACAATCTCTCAGGCCCACACTATCCTATGTCACAAAGTCAGTAAAGTTATGGTCATGTTCCACTGTTGTCTACTGTACAGTGATTCTTTTAAGTTGAAGTTGAATACATCACACAGTCTAAAAAATCCATGTGTATGTCTATTTATAATGTCGGTAATCGTGCTCGGTGCAGGCCAGCAGGGGAGAGGGGTTTGGGGGACAATCATACCATGGCATGCTATGAGTCGGGTTATCTCGTCCTGCTGTGAGTGGAGTGCACCGTAAGAGAACATATACTGAATTGTCTTGGGTGACTTTGACAAAGTATCATAATATAGTTGGTGGAAATGAATTGGTTTCGATTCAGTTTCTACACAATTTCCACACTGCATTTGGTTGATAAGATTACACTGGTTATTATTTTCAAAATTAATGTCAAATTTTGAGGAAAGGTTGTTGCAGTTCATGAAGGAAATGTCTGTTTTTCATTCCAAGTGATGAAATTTACCATACAGCCAACTACAATGGCATTGAGGGTCTTGACAACATGAGGGTCTCCATATCATCAGGCTCTATTGAAAAGTATCTTTTCTTTTGACCCTGGTCAGTTCTTTAAACTGAGCTCACGTAAAGCTTCTTAAACATCGATCCAGCAGGGTTTAAACACACCAAACAGATTAACTGTTCCGACACCGAGATTAGTCCTTTCCTTCTTGTGTAAATCTCCACTGCAAAGACAGAAGGGGATCAAGCAGGGTGCAACGGGAACACACCTTGTAAAAGTTTGGGAGGTAGCTGTTTTGATACACACCTTCGTTAGACATCGTTCACATTTGTTACATAATACACTGGACAAGAGCGGGCAGATTTGCTGTCAGGACCCTGGTCTGACTCCAGATGTAGTCATGTCAGGTTAATGTTTTCAATTCTTTGTACTTTTGTGTACATTTCTGCTTCGCTAACATACCAACGGCATGTTTCACAAGAGCTGAGTGGTATTTTGTGAACCTAGATGCTTTGTATTCTAGATCAAACCGAGAGAGCAGGATAACTTCAGGTTACTGTCCGGTTTAGTATTTACCATATGTGTGAAAATGGCCACTCCAGCATCAAGCCTTTGTATACCATTCATTCTCTTGCTGTCACATAAAGGACTACTTAACATTGTTGCCAGCACATCTAAAGGGAAGCACTTAGAGCCCATTATTAACCCATAACAAGCCCGGAGAGAGGCAGGGCAGGGTGAGCTATGGGTTAGAGCTTCATTCCTCTCCATTCCGGGATGATCCACAGGCCCCTCAGGCCCACACTGGTGTTTGTCCACTCCCGCACTGGTGTATTTCCATGTAGGCGGCAGACATGCAGGCTGTATGGATAGAGAACATTCACAGGTGTTTCCGGCTGCGGCCTGTTTGTGCATGTTCAATTACTTACTCAGAGAGGTTTGCAACACCAGGATGTGTTAAAAGACTGGTCTCATAGATGGAGGCAATTGAATCTGACAGTGTTGACATACACGAGTTAAGGCCGCAAGGCAAGTTTTAACATGGATGAGGTTACCAAGTGGTAAGTGTATAAACTCAGTGAGTGTTTGAGAATATCTGTGGGAGGGGTTTGCTTGGGAAAAATGTCCTTGTCCTTGCAAACAGACGACCCCCCCCCCACCCACCCCATCCCACATACACACACACACATACACACAGACGTGCTTGTGATGTTGCATTAATGAGGCTATTGTTCTTTGTCTGGTCCTCATGAACATCAACTGCCTCCGGTCTCTCCTCTCCAGCCTAAGATTCACGATTGTTTGTTTCTCAGACAGGCGGCCTTTAAGTACTTTTAGTGATATATGGGGCAAAGTTATGCCTCTGTACATTTCAACAAATACTTAAACAGAATGGATGAATCTTAAAGGTCTTAAATGTGAAGTGCCTTACTGAAATCCTTTTAAACCCCCATTAGACAACTGAGAAAATTTAAATGTATTGTTGTTGTTGTTTTGGTATTGATACATTTTCTTCATGTAAGAACAGTATGAAGTGGATAAAGTGGCTAGGTGGAATATTCAGTTGTCTTCCAATCAGAAGTTGGATGTGCCATTCTTGCTTTAGGTGTTGGAGTGTCCTGAATCAAGACACTGATTCCCAGATTGCTTTGAGTGCATCGCCTGCAGTGAATGAATGGGACTGGTTTAACATGATGGGCACTTCCTAGGCTTTCTCTACCATTGGTTTATGGTTGTGTGAGTGAATGGAATCATGTAGCATGAAGTGTAAAACAGCTCTGTGGTCAGAAGACAAGAAAAGCACTGTATCAAGACAGGTCCATTGTGCTGGACTCTGTTTTCCAACTTAACATCAAAATTTCATCTAATGTCCACTAGGACTGGGTTGAAAAAAAGGTTTTTAGATTCATATTGATTTTTTTTTAATTAAAATGTTCAAGATTACTTCATTTTATTCAAGATTGATCTTTTATTAGAAGTTTTTTTTATCGACAATTCAGCTGAAAGTATTATTTCTGCTATTAGTTCTCTAAGACTCCCTTTCATCTTCAAGCAAAACTGGTTCTGTTGCTGAAATATCCTCGATTCAGGGAATCAGTGGTAACACCCACCCAGCCCTAATTTCTACTTACATATGCATCAGTGATTGGATTTGTGTCCTGATAAAGAAGTTTTCTTGTTTCTTTTGCGACAATTTCTCCTGTTTATTTCATTGAGTGCTTCTTTAACTAGCTCAAAAGTGAGCAAGAGCTACAGAGACCCTAATATCACTGTACGTTTACAGTTACTGACTTCGCTAATTTCTTCCAGGGCATCATTGATAAGTCCCATGTTATCATGTTTATGAAACCATTTGAAAACAGTTAGCTATATAAGTGTACTTTTGAGTGAATATCAGAAGGCCTGTGGTTACTGGTATTAGATAACAACCTAATTAAGATGTAATCCTCCCAGAATTCAGACATCTTTGTTAATATCAATGACTCTTCAGCTCCTCTGTCTCCTGAGTCCACCACAGGATCTGACTGGGCTTGTCCTTTTGCCTTATGTAATGTCTTGTGTGTATGGGTCTCATCCGCATCATTGTCTCAGGTTTTTTGTCAGGGCTTCCTGCAGGCAGCCTGCCATCCACTCCTCACCGCTAGCACCGCTATGTGCTCTCCAGAGTTATTTCTGGATGTCATGCTGCTATGTTTTGTTCTCCAACAGCTAAAAATACACACTTACCTCGCTGGTCACAGGCTTCAGATATGATTTGTATTGTTTTTGATAAGGGCGTGTGAGTGTTGTTATTGTGTTGTTTAATTCAGTGGCGTGAGGCGGTGGGTGTTTGAGTGAAAGCTTTATGGGCTGGTGGAGTCACAAACCTCGTACAAACAGCTGCAGGAGAGGCAACCGGGTAGTAGGATAACCAAGGAGATAGTGTCACCATTGATGTGTGTCTGCATGTTACATGTGTGTGTCTTAGGGCCAGGGTCACCTCTGTCCCAGCTGTCTTATGGGGCAAAGGTTTAGCATGCCCCTCAGACTCGCACATACCCTCTCTGCTCTGCTCGACACAAAGCCGTGGTTTCTTCGGAGCGTACATGTGCTACACTTGACAGCGCACACACACTCGGAGGCACCCGCACGGGCACACGACATACCCAGAACACACCAACTGCCTCCTCAATCAAATCGTTAAGCACATGAGGTTCGAGTCCATCCAAGTGGAACAGCATCTTGCTTTTTTTTTTTTTTTCCTGGCGTACGAAGGATTAGAAAGCAATTTAAGAAATATGATCAGCTTAAGGAAACTGGATCATGTTTTGAAAACAATTGGATGCAATTAGGACACTGGAGGCTCTGAACACTTCGCTAATCTGCGTTTGAGCTTCTCTTTGTGTCCAAGTGTTTGTCTGGGGATGTCTGGGATTGTGATTCCTCAAAATGGGACGTTTGAAAAGGGCATGATAACTCCATTTCATTAAAAACATTCCTGAGGATAGCGCTGCTGGTGGGATATGTAGCTGTGTAAGAGGAGTGCTAACAGTTGGCCCAGCCTGGCTGCAGCAGTTGCAGCCATGCACATTTACACACATTGACTCACACACAGAAGAAAAGCGTGGGTCAATACGACCCCCCCCACCCACCCTCCTACCCTTTCCCCTTGAGGGAACAAGACCAACCATCTGCTGTTCGCCACAGCGCTGGTCCAGGCCTCACACTACACATAAACAACACACACATGCACACACACGTCACATCCATCTCAACTTCCCCCCCCAACCCCTTCTCTTCACCACACAGCTTTCTCGCTCCCTCTCGCTGCCACGTTTTGCCATCTTTTACTGTGCATTAAACCACGGAGAGAACATCAGTCATGGGTGTCTGTGCTCTTCAGATGGACCTTGGAAATCTTGACTCCCTGAGGCCACATCAAAGCTAGCCGGGAGTTCCCAGCAGGAGGCTGCCAGTCGCTACTATTACTTCAGAGGTTTGCGAGGTCTGATTCAAGGACGACGTGGGCAAAAACTTTGTCTGGGGGTCTCCATCTCCCTCAGACTGCTCTACATTCAGCATTGGTTCTCACGAGTACAGAGATGCTTTAGAGACGTTGCGTATGCTTCCCTTGATTTTTTTTTTTTTTCCAGGAGAATGAACATTTGCGCTTTTCAGTCTCCATTGCCTGTGTCCACATAGACACAGTCAGATCTTAAAACAGCAGTTTAAAGTCAGCACTGCGGATCAAGGAAGCCACGTTTTTTTTTTTAATTCTTTTTGTGGGGGATATTGGGACCAGTTGGTGACCAGACCAGGAAAGAAAATGTACTGGGAACTGTGGCTGAGCCAGGTCACAGCTAGTGCGGCGCTGCAGTGTATGCTAGTCCAGAACAAAGGTGGGAAAACCTTTTATGCAGATGTTTAATGGACATGATATATCAAACTGAAATTCGAGCATAAGAGATGGATTTGGAACGTGTTTCTTTGTACATTGGTCCAGCTTTCATCTGCACGAGTGACATGTGCTGGCCACATGGTGTGAGAAAACAGTGGAAATGCTTCACTCTTGCTACCTTAGTCTTCGTGTTATGACATTTAGACTTAGTCAAAGAGGTGCAGGGTTCTTTCTTGATGGAATGTAACCAATTTATTTAATATTGTCTGGTGATAAAATGTTGTCTGGCAGTTTTTTTTCTCAGTATTCAAGATAAAAAAAATCTGAATCCATGCGAGATTGAAAATCTGATGCTAAAAATTGAGCAAAGTCATCTTTTCATAACAGGTTAAACGGATTTCTCTTTAGTTTGGCATTTTGACATCACTCCTAAGTGTGTGAGTCTGGTTCTCTGTTTAATTTCATGTTTACATTTTTACAGTATAAGATATATAATGAAATATGTTGTGTTGTCTGAGATTAACAGCTTGTTTTCAGATTTTAAAGACTGTATCCCAGGAGTGCTGGTGCTAGAGTATCTGTAAAGTCTGACCTTGTTAGTAAATATAAAACAAGTTTGGAATGAATTATATCAATGCCTCACTGCTTACTTGGATTACAACAAAAGAACCAGTGAATCGTGGTTCAAAGAATAAATCATATTTAAGTAGTATGTTTGCTAACTAGTGACTGTCATCATAATCCAATTTATATGAAAAGAAATAAGGGGTCAGACCTGCCAGTGAACAGAATATAGTACAACTGCTAGAAGAGAAAGGAGCTTATGAATCAATTCTCCTGTTAAATCTCTGCCCATGTGTGTCGGTGGAAAACTCGTACTTAGCCAGATTTGAGCTTCATGATCTAAAAGCTGCATAACTGAATTTTGACCAAAATATAAATCAGTGAGCAAGATTCAATGTTACAATAAATGTATATCTTAGTACAGTGGCTCTCAAGTCCAGTCCTCGAGGCCCACTGTCCTGCATGTTTTGGATGTTTCCCTGCTCCAACACACCTGATTCAAATGATCAGCTCGTTATTGAGCCATTACAGAGCTTGATAACGAGCTGATCATTTGAATCAGGTGTGTTGGAGCAGGGAAACATCCAAAACACTGTCTTAGTAACATGACTGAGGAAGTTCACCTCTGATTCACTTTTCTTACAAATATGTAGATGTATCATCTTTGATTATTGTCTCCATATTGTTTTTATATTACTTTTTTCACTGTAGTTTTAAATACAAATACGACTCGACACAATGCAATCCTAAACAGTCAGATGATAGAGTGAGAGAGTTGTTAGACTGCAGCTGGTGGTCCGTGTCGACACAGAAGATAATTAAATCCTTCTGTATGCTGTGAAGTTTGTTGCGCTTCAGGTTCCCTTGTCACTTTTTGAGCCTGCTCTCACTTTATTTTGAAGTAAAAAGACACACGTTCTGTAACAAAAGCTCGAATGAATTCCTCTCTGTAAAAAGTTGTCTGTATCACAGCTCCCTATCTCCATTCCCTCTGTTTCACCACCCTGCTCTCCCACCCGCTCAGCAGCTGTTCAGACATGCAGGGACTTTGGCAGCAGCTGTTGACTGTAGCGCATGTTAGCTACGCATGTACTTGTTCATCATTGTGTGTCCGTGGGTGTGTTGTGTAGCTATGGTAATCACTTGCGAACTATGTAAAGAGAGAGAATCTCGCTGTTCTCAGTGAATGTTGCTCCTCCCCCTTTCTCTTTGTATATACACTGAGACAAAAACACACCCACCTCAGATCTCACCTGATTCAGGCTAGACACAGCAGGCCTCTGTATGAAGTGGTAACAGTTCTCTTCAGCGAGTGGTTTGGTTAAAGTAATGCTTTTGAGGTGCCTGCAGGCAAACAGCAGTTTTGAGGAAGAGTGGGCGGCTTTGAGCGGCCATCATCTCCAAACGGGGCTAAGTCAGGGGAAACCGCCTGGACAGAAAGGTAGACCATCTGCCAAACGGACGCTCGGGATTATGGGGAATTTAATCCCACTTTTTGGCTCCGGGACATCATCAGTCTTACCCTCTGCTACCCACACAAAATTCCTCTCTCAGTCTAATGCTTTTCTTCTCTCCCTTTCTCCTTTTCCCCTTCATGTCCTTTCAGAAGCTCTCCACCGGCCGTTCGGCCTGGACTCTGCTGCGCTGACGGAGGCGGTGCGCTGGAGCTCCAAAGAAAACCTACTAGGGGCAGCCGAGAGCGACCCAAACCTCTTTGTTGCACTTTATGACTTCGTCGCCAGTGGAGACAACACGCTCAGCATCACCAAAGGTACCTTGTTTATTGTGTTTTTGAATATCTCTGATTCACTGTCAGTTAATCCAACAGCTGATTAACAAATGATTGGCGTAATTATGCTTTTATTTCTCATCATTTGGTGGACAAAGACTTGTAAAACTTGTTCCCCAGTCCACTCATCACTCAAGGTTGTTGCTAAGCTACGTAATCATACTCCTGTTTCAATTAGTCATTGATCCTCCACCCCTCCGGATGGAAAACGGTTGACATTTGTTGCGTCAGAGCAGAGGGATTTCCTTACGTACTGGGGCGACTCATTGATGTCATCCTTGTGGGCATGACAAGTGATTGGCAGGTCAGCTTCTCTGGGGAAGAGTGTTTTATGAGTAAAAGTGCGGTTATGCTATAGGAATGCGGTGTGTCAACAGAGCTGCTACTACAAGTTTACCCTGTTATGACATCATCAGGTATCGAAGCCCCAGCCTTTGTCACCCACCCTCCCACACCTCAAATTCCTTAGAAACATTATGCTTAATGTTTCACATCATTTGGAGCCAAGAAATTCTATTCTTGATTATCGTCCTGTCCAGATGTGGGACATAATGTTAAGGCTTTCAGACAGAGATGAACTGATCAATTTTTTTTCCGATACTGATACCTGGGCTGAGGGTATCGGCTGATATCCGATACTGATCCAATACTGCTGTTGAATGAGTGAACTGTATACCTTGCCCTGTGACTGAAGGCATCAGGCTTAACAAAAAACGGTAACAAATGAACACAGATATAAATTCATTTAATATTATTTATTAACAGATAACAAATCTGCATATTAGCACAGAGCAAAAAGAAGTAAGAATTCCATGTAAACATTCAGTGCAAACGGATAGACAGACATAGAATATAATAATAATAATAATAATAATAATATCTTACATTTATATAGAGCCAACAGAATCACTGTGTTGCTGTGTATGATATTAATTCAAAGAAGAATGGATTGGCATCATTCATCAGATATCCAATCCAGTTAATTTGTCAACATTGGAGCTGATATCCGGATCGGTGCATCCCTACTTTCAGAACGGTATTCCCCTAAAAATGTGCCATAGTGTGTTACTGATCCTTCTTTAAAGCTTCCACTGTACAGCGCAGGATGGAAATGCTGCTTAGACCCTGACTCATACACTGAATCTAGGATTTCTGCCCACATGTATGCAAGCACATGTGCACTCCCATGCTCCGTGCTCTTTCCTTACTCTTCGCTACAGCACATGGAGCCACCGCAGCATGCCTGAAACCCTGCAGTAATATGGAATATGTTCAACTGTAACAATAACAGGTGGATGCCAACAGCAGGCAGAGGCTGAGCACAGAGAGGGGCTCAGCGGGGTGTGTCCAGAGCTGAGAACTGCCTCCATACTTTGCCAGACCACGCCAGAGTCTTACTAAAAACTCAAACGACTCAGCCGACTGTTTCTTATCTGTTAAAACTTAAACTGAGGAGACAGACTGAGTGGTTGGTGTCTTTGTGGGAATAACCATCACTTCTTCGTGTCACCCTGTTCATGTTAGCTTTGAGTGTTAGATTTTTAAAAGCCTGGATACATGTTAGAAGCCTTTTTTTTTACCTTCACTTACTGTTGGTGCTATTTTGTTGAAGACATTATTATGACCAATCATGGAAACAAACAGCAGTAAACATATTGAACTGCGGTTCTGTGTGGAAGCTGCTGTCACTTCATTCATCTGTTTAAGACTGTGACACAGCTTGAGCCTGAGCTGAAAAATTGATCCTAGGTCAATATGGCGCTGCAGTGATCAGCCAAATACATGCAGCCACACGTTGCTGTTGGATTGCTTTGTAATTCCAACCATGGGTTTCCATCGAATACTTACCACTGTGATAGCTAAAATCCCGTCTGAGTATTATAAACCACTTGGAGTCCCATAAGCCTTTAATCACGTTAATATGTTACTAAACCTGGATCAAATTGAAATGTCTCAGCAGCATCTAAAGCTAAACGCCTTTACAGTCAAAGCCTCTTTTCTTTACTTAACATGAGGCAGCGATTCAGCCTGAATGGTAAAACTCCCATGTAGTTGTCATACATGCTAAAATACTCGAGGATTTAAGACTTTTGGGAGGAGAAAAACGTGTGAAGACAGAAAGAAGAAATGGAGGTGCAGGGGCAGGTCTTTCTCTCGAGCTTTTCTGTCCTCCGCCCTCCATCCATCCATTTATCTAGCTGGCCTGATATCTGCTTCATTCACCGTCTTCTTCAGCACACCCGCGTCTTTGCCTGTTCATGTCTCCTGACCTGACGTCACACAGAGAGAGCGGACCAAGTCTCTACTTGCCTCGCTCTGCCTAGCCCTCTATGACAGATATGCAGTTCCAGCTCTATCATTGTTCCTCTGCTTTTGATTCAGTTTCACCACATGACCAGTTTCTCCCATTTACGACCTCTTATTAAGGCATTATGATTGAAGATGTGACATAATGAGAAACTTGATTCTAGCTTCTGTCTTTTTGAGGATTTTGAAATCAGGACAAATCAAATCCTCTTGCAGTAATCTTTTGTTCATTTCTAAGAAAAAAAAAAAAATTTAATTCTGATCCCTCTTTCAGGTGTTAAAATCACTTAAATCACTGGATCAGTTCTCACAGGTTGCTCTTCCTCTGTCCAGGTGAGAAGCTGCGTGTTCTAGGCTACAACCAGAATGGAGAATGGAGTGAAGTGCGCTCTAAGAACGGTCAGGGTTGGGTGCCCTCCAACTACATCACACCAGTCAACAGTCTGGAGAAACACAGCTGGTACCACGGGCCTGTGTCACGCAGTGCCGCAGAGTACCTGCTCTCATCCCTTATCAATGGCAGTTTTCTGGTCCGGGAAAGCGAGAGCAGCCCCGGGCAGCTTTCAATCTCTCTGCGCTACGAGGGCAGGGTCTACCACTATCGGATCAACACAGCCTCTGATGGAAAGGTAGAGGGAAATGAGACTTTTAGAGAGACACCATTTTCTTTCGTTGGTGTTTTAACCCACTCATGATTTCTAAACTCCCTCCTCCCCCGTAGGTGTATGTGACATCTGAAAGCCGCTTTGCCACCTTAGCTGAGCTCGTCCACCACCACTCAACCGTAGCAGATGGCCTGGTCACCACCCTGCACTACCCTGCACCCAAATGTAACAAACCCACAGTGTATGGCGTGTCACCTATTCATGACAAGTGGGAGATGGAGCGCACAGACATCACTATGAAGCACAAACTGGGAGGAGGCCAGTATGGGGAGGTGTACGTGGGAGTGTGGAAAAAATACAACCTCACTGTGGCTGTGAAAACATTAAAGGTAAGAAGACCGGCTTTGGGATGTTTGATTTCACAAACTGAATTGTGCAAAAAGGATTTTATGATCTTGATGATTCAGTCAGCAGCACCAGTGTTTCTGTAGAGTGGCGGCATGCGCAGAATGATGGTTATAGATTGCCCCCTGCTGGTGGAATATAGCCATTACATCTGATTATCACTTCTGATGCAGAGTGCATTCAATACATAGATGAAATTCCTCTGTCAGTCATTTTTAAATCCCTCTTTTTTTCCTGCAGGAGGACACTATGGAAGTTGAAGAGTTTTTGAAAGAGGCTGCAGTCATGAAGGAGGTGAAACACCCAAACCTCGTTCAGCTGCTAGGTTGGTATTTACACACACCACTGATTTAAACCAGTTTCAATACAATATTTTTTTCAGTACTAAACAATCCCTTTAGTTAGCTTTGATTGACACAATAACTGACAAAAAAGTCTCACCAATAACCATTCATTTCTGCTCTCATAGGTGTTTGTACGCTGGAGCCACCATTCTACATCGTGACAGAGTACATGCCGCATGGCAACCTGCTGGACTACTTGAGAGATTGTGACAAGGAGGAGGTGAACGCTGTTGTGCTGCTGTACATGGCCACACAGATCTCCTCCGCCATGGAATACCTGGAAAAGAAGAACTTCATACACAGGTAAGGGAATATAAACAAGGTGTACAGGAATACAGGGTCATACATGAACGCACAGAGAAGTCTAATTTGTCCCACTGTGTTTCCTTTTCCGTCTCTCAGAGATCTCGCGGCGAGGAACTGTCTGGTTGGGGAAAATCATGTTGTGAAAGTTGCTGACTTTGGCCTGAGCAGGTTGATGACTGGTGACACCTATACTGCCCATGCTGGGGCCAAATTCCCTATTAAATGGACTGCACCAGAGAGCCTGGCATATAACACCTTCTCTATTAAATCTGATGTCTGGGGTAAGACAAAAACAAACATTTATTGTGTTCATTTTTCTCTTGTAAGTTATTTCTGTGATGCTAATGTCTGATCCTTTAAAAATGTCTTTGTCACAGCGTTCGGGGTGCTGCTGTGGGAAATTGCCACATATGGTATGTCTCCATATCCTGGCATTGATCTGTCTCAGGTCTATGACCTCTTGGAGAAAGGGTACCGCATGGAACAGCCTGAGGGATGCCCACCAAAAGTCTATGAACTCATGAGAGCATGTGAGTAACATGTTTTTTCTTGTTTATAAAGTGGATTCAGTTCAACAGCAAGAGAAAGAGAAGACAGAGTTTCTTTATTATGCCTTTTTTTTATCCCCTTCATACTGTCTTAGAAATTTCCATCATGTTATTAAAACAAAAGATATGGAATTACAGGGTTCATAAGGATTTATTTTACTAATGATGATATGATGACTTCCATGTGGTAACAGCCCCCTTTGACTGTCTCTCTTCCAGGCTGGCAGTGGAGTCCACTAGACCGTCCTTCATTTGCAGAGATCCACCAAGCCTTTGAAACGATGTTCCACGACTCCAGCATCTCCGAAGGTATTGCAGCATGGATTTTTTCACAGCTGTCTTAGAGATTGGCTCTTATTCTTTTTATAGTATAGCAAGAACACTCTCTCCATCTATGTGATGTCCCTGCAGAAACAATGCATATCAAATATTGTCAGTAAAGTAGAAAAAGGATTTATTATTAGAATGTAGCTTTGCTTGAATTTTGATCATGACGACCTTCTAATTGAGTTTTTCCTTTTTTTGTGTGTGTAGAGGTGGCAGAAGAGCTCTGTAAGACAGCCTCCACTGGTCACTGTGGACCTCTGCACTCTTTCAGCCACGACATGCCCCTGTTGCCTTCAAAATCTCGCACACTCCACAAGCACACAGAAAACAAGGAAAACATCGAGGGTGGACTTGACGGACGGTCCGACCACAGCACGCACAGTCACTCAGGTACAGCCCGACATGCCTACCTTGCTGCCAACCAGTCAAATGCACCACATTATAATTCTGCAGGTATACGGGAGGTCAGCGATGCACAGAGCACATTGCAGCGCCGTAGAGCCCGCCGCCTGAGAAGAAGAGCCGTCATTTTCCTTCCCAACTGACCACTTCTGCAGGAACCCGACTGACATCATCCGGTGTTGTGTCTAGCCCAGGCGTCTTTTAGTCCTGAAGTATCATTAAGTTCCCCATGTGCATATCATTCAAAGATTTGGGTATTTCTGTCAAAACATAAAAGAAATTATCGATGTCAGACCAGAATATATGTATACTATATCAATATTTATAAACATGTAGTAGCCTAACCACTAGTCCTTGTTAAATCCACATGTTCATCTCTTTTTTTGTCCTATATCTTGCATTATTATTGTCATTTCCCCGTCAGTACTTAATTAGACTTATGTTTAACCCAACCCTGCAATTAAATTTCCAACAATGTTATGTGTTGTTTGTCTTTTTTGTTTGTTGTTGACTATTTATTGGTTTATTTAAAGAATAAAAATCTGTCTTGTTTGTTTTTCTGTTCTTTTAAGTCCTTGTCGTGTCCTCTGTTTGTCTTTTTCCGCCGCTGTGTCCAATTTCTTTTCTTTTTTGTTTGTGTCTTTGAACTTCAGTTATTTTCAATCATGCATACATTACTCATAACCCAAAAAAAGATGTGATATTTATAAACACAATGTTGCACAATGTCATAAAGCACAAAACTCAAGTGAAAGATCAAAGGGAGTCTATCTGATGCCATAAACCAAAGTCCTGACCTTCTTGCTTTATATGAATGAGTAATATCTGAAATTTGGGTTGTGTGTGTGTGTATAAATATGCAAGCATGCAAAAAAAAAAAAAGGTGCACTTTTCTCTTGATTTGCTGGCCAGCACAAAAATAAAGACATATTTCCTGTATGAGTAACAGCTCCCCTCATGACAGGGGTTGGGCAGTATCTGATCAGCATGTTTGAACAAGTCCTGGAAGTGCATTCATCACCACTGTCTTTTACAAGAGAAATTTATGACTTGTTGAATCAGTGCATGTATATGTCTGACTGGCATGTCTTAAAACTTGTTCCTTTTTTTCTAAAATGCTTTTTCATTATTCAGAAGGTTTCTCAGGGGAGTAGAGAAAAGCTTTAAGAGAGAGAGGAGGAAGAGTCTATCTCATCCCTGCAGCATGGGATTGATTAGAATGAGTGACATAAATGTATAGGCAAACTGAGAGCAGTGATCTGATGGTAACCTGTTCCTCATGAGATATTAACCAGCCTTTTTACAAAGATGTCTGTTTCTTTTGCTTCTTGTTGTGCTCCATGGATTTACAAATCCTCTCTTCTTTTTCCAGGCTGGGCTTCTTCATTGTTAGGCGGGGAGGGTCGATCAGGCAGCTCCCCAGCCTTGCCCAGAAAACAGCAGCCACGAGATAAGTCCTCTGTGGGCCTTCTAGAAGATGCACAGGATATGGGCACATTTACGAGAGACCGTAAGACTGGCTTCTTTAGCTCTTTCATAAAGAAGAAATCGTCCTCCTCCTCATCTTCCTCTTCCTCACCATCCTCTCAACTCCAACAAAACCTCCCGACACCCCCAAAGAGGAGCAGTTCATTTCGAGAGATGGAAACGCAGCCTCATAAAAAATACGAGCCTACTGCTGATTTCAGCGCCCCTCCACCCTTACCCCAGTCGGACAGTCTTGGTGGTTTTTCTGCCTCTCCTTCTCACTCTCATGGGGAACCCGCCCAGGGTCAGTCACGCTGCTGTGGGGCTGCTTTTGGACAGAAACCCTCTAGTGGGGGACTTGGTTCGCAGGTGTCCAGCGGCAGCAGTTGGAGTGGGCTGGCTGGATTTTTCACACCTAGACTTATCAAAAAGACCCTGGGGCTACGGACAGGAAAGACAGCCTCCTCAGAGGAGGGTGGAAGTATATCTGGAGGGCCAAAACCCTTTCCTAGGTCCAACTCTACCTCCTCTATGTCGGCCGGGCTGCCAGACCTGGAGCGAATGGCTCTGACTTTACCCAGAAATCGCAGCGCTAAACCCCCTCTGGAGAGGACTGCCTCTACAACATCCCAGCCAGAGAACGGGGCTGCACGGCCCTCAGAAACTCTGCTGCGGAGGATGGACGAGGGCACTGCACAGATCAGGGAAAGGCCCAAAGCCAAGCTGCTACCCAGGGGAACTGCTGCAGGAGTGAGGGTGCCAGGGGTTGGGGGGGAGGTGGGGGAATCAGACAGTCTTTCTCGGTTGAGGGAGGGCAGAGAGGAGAGCCAGGGAGGTCTGGACAGGCAGCAAAGTTGGCCATCCCCCTCTAAGACTCCTAGTTCCAGTGCTTCATCAGCTGGTGCACCAACTCACAACCACAAAGTCCCAGTCTTGATCTCTCCCACTCTGAAGCACAGCCCAGCTGATGTGCACCTTGTCGGGTTAGACTCTCAGGGGAATCGCTTCAAACTGCTGTCCGAGCACCAAGCAGAACGGGACAGGCCGCGGCTCGTGAAACCTAAATGCGCACCTCCTCCCCCTCCCACCCTGCGCAGCCTGCAACACTCATACAGCGGCGATGGCGAGGAGCAGGTAGTAGGAGCACCTGTGGAAGTAAATGGAGACACATTGAAAGGTCACAGGTCAGGGCGGACGACAGGGGGGGTGACGACGGGAAGACCATCAGTGCCACCACCACAAGTGCCTCCCGCATCCTCCTCCTTCTTACCCACGTCCTGCTCTGCTACAACAAACACAACTCCCACAAAAATGGCCAATGGAGCCACCACCACTGCCTCTTCCACACACACAGCGGGCTCCAAAGTGGCTCTGCGAAGGACCAGACAGCAGGCGGAGCGCGTGCCCCTGGAGCGGGTCAGCCGCGAGGCCCTACTGGAGTGTGCCGAGTGCCTGAGCAGCGTGCTACACGCAAGCTCAGAAAGCCCCGCCAGCAGCCAGGTGCTGGACGCCGGCCATCAGCTGCTCGACTACTGCTCAGGTTACGTGGACTGCATTCCTCAGATGAGGAACAAATTTGCCTTCCGAGAGGCGGTGGGGAAGCTGGAGCTCAGCCTTCAGGAATTGAGGGCCTCGTCGTCTGGAGGCGGAGGGCTGAGCAGCATGGGGTCCAACACTGTACTGGACAACCTGCACAGCTGTATAAAAGAGATTAGCGACGTAGTGCAGAGGTAGCCACTGTGACGCCAACTGTCACCTTCAACTACCCAACAGATTGCTTTGGTTCCTTTTGTATGTTTCCAGTTTTATCAACAGATTTTGGGGGATGAAATGAGAAGAATCTCTTCCGTACCTCAGAGAAATCACTACAAAATGTAATCTTTTCATTGTTTACAGACAACCGTTTCATAAAACGCCAGTGTGGACACTAATTTTGCTCTGATCTGTACATATTGAGAAATGTTTATTACCAAATGTGGTTCTATCGTCACCATGAAATGTTAAGACCCGCGTCTCTACCTGGCAATGTGGAAGGCCTCTTTGTTAAATTAATGTCGAATGTGTCAGCTTTGCGTAGCCAGTTCTGAGGGTTTATAAAGTCGGAGCTCATTTTGCTCATCTGTCAGTCCGTCACATATCGAGGGAGGAACATGCTAGCTAATCCCAGATTATACTGAGAAAGAATGCTTCACTGTTTTGACTGAAGCCTGGGCAGTGTTTCACAAGTGAGTGATTTATCAGGTCGAGGTATTCAGATCAATGTCTAAGGAACTGAGCGACCATAAGCCATTTTTAAGCCATTCAGCGTGGAGATGAGTGAAAATAACATTGGTATTAGGATTCAGTATGATTCAAGGTTATGGGGTCTCAACACTTTTTAATTTTTGTGCAGATGTTGTTTTTTCATTCAGTAGATTGTAACTTACAGTATTTTTAGGCACAAGCTTATAAATTCAGCCAAACCTGCTTGTGTTGCGACAGATTTAAGCCTCGTTTTTAAGAGTAACCTTTAGAGACTAAACAACTCTTCAGACACTGACATTCCCATGTCCACACAAGGTGAGACTGTTAAGAAGAGAACTAATAATGGGATCATTTACATCATTGAAAGTTGTGTATGTTTAAAGCATGTAAATATGATCAAATGAAATGTTGACTCACAGTAAAACCAAATACAGGCTAATCATTTTAAAAAGATCAACATAATCTATTTTGGTTTTTCCCACATAGCTAAAGAACAGAAATTGAATGTGGGCTATCTTATCATATGCACAGCATTTGTCTTAGCTACAGTGACATATTTGATGTTCACAACCTGTCACAGTGCCACACAAAGGGGGGTGGGGGGACCCTAGTACCCCAGCCCCCTAAAGCATTTCAATATTGGTGTCCAGTTGTCCTTGCACACTACATTTCTTCCTTGTATCATGGAGTATAAAAGAGCGAGGGGTGGGGGAGAGCACAGGGTAGCACATGAGCAGGTGAACTGGGACAGTATTTCTATAAGTGTCCTTCTGAGTATGGACAGTGCTGGATTCCCTTTAGCCTTGTCATGGCCTCAGTGCCTCAAATACTTTAATGTATGAACTCTGCGTAATGCAGAGACTTACTTTACATGAATCACACAGTACTGATCTCTCAACAAACTGCAGTATGTCTTCAGCACATGAGCAATTTGTACATAATTTGATTCAAAGAAAAAATGCTTTTTTATAATGTCTATGTATGAACTTGAATTTTAAATTATTCCTGTTTTTTTATTAAAAGCACAGACCTATTTTGAGAGAAAGTTATGTAAATATTTGATTTATTTCATATACAGGAAACAAACGATTTATGTGTGCTTTCAACATAAAGAACATTGTTTTTGACTGAAGAGATGTATTGCAAGACTGAGGCTCATCCAACCAGATCTGAATATCTGCTTTATGAATGTATTATTCTTCCGTTCTGTATCGGTCGAATGTTCATCTGCATGACTCGTTGATATCTTATGGTGCCATTAATTTTATTTTTTTATTTATTAGAATATTTTATTGGCCCAAACTTTTTTAATTTTGGTCACGTCAATATTTCAGTCTAGAACAGCTGCTCTGTTTTTTGAGCACCAGTAAACTGTGTACAGAGACACATATCACAGATGAGAGGATTTTCTTCACTTTGGCTCACACCTTTATGTACACTGGATAAGGCCTCAGACACATCACTTCCTTTAAACATGTAATGACACTCAATGTAATCTGTAAACACTGCAGGTCCATAACACTTTCAAAATGCCTGTTAATGACACTTGATTGATTACCAAGTAAACTTGTTTCCTTGTGAATTTCATGTCATTATAAGTTATTGTGTGTCAATATAAATGTCCAGTTTCTTGCCAAACAGTAACCTTTCAGATTAATTGACGACTAATTTTATTCACTGTGAGTTTCGAGTAACACAGACTGAAAAATGCCATCATGCTTTTTGTGATTCTTGGTGCCTTTTTGTGAAGAAATCATTTATGTACAGAACACTTTCATCCCAAAAATTCACAGCTATGGCAAAATCTATCATAATTGTTTTCTCATTTCTCCATGACATCTTGATAAGGGAGTCACTACAGCATACATTTCTTTGATTTGGATGTTGAAGGTCAGATGCAAACTTGAAACCAAAAGGTGCACTTTGTCTATTATGAATCTTACTTTAGAAACAAAGGCCATACGTTAAAGGCCACAACACTGTTAGTTTAGCCACACCTGGTTAGATGTCTTCTGTAACACGTCTTCTGTAACACGTCTTCTGCACTAAACACAAGCTGCTCTGTTGTCTCTCTTTTTTTTTTTTTTAACTTGCAAGGACGCCTCTCTAAAATAAATATCATAAAAAATACCTAGCACCAGTCTGGCCTCTTTTCCTGGTAGGTTTCAGTTGCTTTGTCCTGCCACTCCCTGCAGCAGGTGTTCTAAAAAGCCTTATCAGCGTGAAAGAAAAAGTGTCACCTCACAGAATCAAACACATTTCCAGTCCTGACTTTTCAAAATAAAGTTGTAGACTTTAAATAATTTGATAGCAATGTTTTCCCACATATTCTCCCATATCAATATTTATCCTGACCACAAATTTCTGCTCATTCTCAGTCTTCTACATCATCTGTCTTTATGTTGCGTGCATCTATTCTGTATATCAGTTAAATTTTTCCTCCAGTCTCCCTGTTTAGGAGAACAGCTCTGAAGAACTGTGTGTACACATCATTATACCAAAGGCCACTTCTTCAGTTGTATGAGTGCAATGTAAACCAACGCATACAGCAATGAAATATGTGAATCTAAACAGGGCAAAGATGTTAACATTATCTTTTTTTATTGTACAAAACATATATTTTGTGTTGTTTCAGGTTTTTTTTATTTAAAGTTCACGTTATATTACTGTGAAGTTTTGCTTATCAGTGTTAAGCCTATTGTAAATAATAAAGATATTGATGAGTACTTTTTGGTATTTGGTGTTGATTTTAGGATTTTAAAGATATGCCAAGTCTATGCAGGCTGGTCCTTTAAATATATGAATGGCACAGTAATTAGATATAACTTGGAAAATGTAAAACAGTACACAAATGATTAGATTTTTTTTTTTTTTAATTAATAACTATTTGGGTAAATTTAGCATGTTCTACATATTTCAACTTTAGACCCATTAGCTGCAGTGAAGCATATGTAAATTAACAAATTTTTGAACCTAAATATTTTACTTTAAATAAAAACTAACTGTATAGTGCATAAATAGGAAAATATAATATCTAAGTCTTTCTTCTTGTTAATTTTACCCTTCCTGCTAGACTACCTGCTTTCGCACAGTTTACAATTTAACAAAACCCAACTTGCAGGGTTATTATAAAACCATGGTCAACTTACCCTGTGCATGGGGTAAGTTGAACATAGGAGCGGGGTAAGTTGAGCCGTATCCCTGCTACCAGCCCTCCCTCACTCTCTCTCTCCCTAAATAACAGATAAAAATACACATGAATGTGAAGAAGTGACTATTATACACTATTCAACTGGTACAATAATTATTTCTATTATTATTGCATATAACTGCTAAAAAGTTGTTTTGTAAAAAGCCATTTTAAAATGAGAACATTTTAAAATGTCTTTAAGTGATTCAGAACATTCACAGCTGAATTTTTGAAAAGAAAAGGTAAGACATTTCAACAATCTGAACCACATGATCAATTTATTTTACCATTTCCAAGCAACAGGGGGTGGTTCAACTTACCCTTTGGCTCAACTTACCCCACTCTCCCCTGAAACTGTATGAGTCAGATATATATTTCATTGACTAATTATTTTATTGATCAGGGAGTACTATTGTTTATGCTTTGGCAATATACTTCTGAGTTTCATTGCTATAAAGGTCAACTAAATTGAATTAAATTGAACTGAATTGAATTACTTTTTCCATTTGGCTTCACTGTGTGGGGTGCACCAGCAGCATCCTCCCCGTGACGCCTGCCCACACCTTATCCGACTCCTCCCCAACCGGAGCGTATTGTAAAGATGGCGTCCATCATGGAGGGGCCGCTTAGCAAGTGGACCAACGTTATGAAAGGTTGGCAGTACCGCTGGTTCGTGTTGGACTACAATGCCGGTTTACTGTCATACTACACGGTAAGTTGATCCCCATGGTGTATAAAGGCTTAACTAACATGTTAGGTGTAGTGGAGTGTAAAAGTGGTCGCTGGCTGTCAAATCAAAGTAGGATAAAGGCCTTGTGTTAGTCAGGAGTTGGGAGTCTCAGCTGGCACTGAAGGCAGGTCCACATGATGACGGACTCTTACATTGACCTATAGGAATGCTCGTTGAAGACCAACAGACCAATGAGATGACAGTATTTTTCTACGCTTCCGCTGTTGTAGTTAGCCAGCTTGCTAGCTGAAATCCGAGGGGAAAAAACTAGACCTACTAAAACGTTGTTGAGAATAGTTTGCGAGATAAGTTGGGAAGGGGTAGGTTAATGAATGTTGCTTAAACGACTCGTGTCCCCTAAACTCCTTTTATAAGTCTGACATGGATGGCTTGCCAGCAGCAAGAGCTAACAAAATCGTCAAAGGAGAGTGTCCCAGTTCATCCCTCTTGAACTCACCGGTGTTTCGGCTGTATATGTATCCATGTTGGCTGACGACTTTAAGTCAAATGTCTCGACAGTTATCCTGGTTACAACAGGTGTTAAAACACGAAAAGAGTCCCCATGTCAAATATCGTTATATAAGTATTTAGGGAACAACAAGATGCGTTCACGAGTGATGTTGAAATAGCTGATGTAGTCGATACGAGGACCACATTTGGCTAAAAGTCGCCAATTAACAGGGTTAACAAATAGACCGAAACACCGGCAACCAGGTCACTGCTCTGTGGTTCACCGTGTTTGCCAATGTAAACAAGATAAGATGCAGTCACTGTTAATGCTTATTCTTAACACTAATATCAGCTTTAATTTATCTTTTATGACTCTACAGAAGTCTGAAGCTGTTCTTCCCTCAGATACCTTTATAGGGATGGCTCCCTGTGTGAGAATAAAGAAAGTTTTATTTTTGGACAGATCCCTGCTGCTACAGACAAGTCTTGTCAGTTCAGTCCCAGTTCAAACTCTGACTGGCCTGAAAGCTAAATTCATTGTGCTCAGTGTTTAAACCATGAGATAAGAAAATAGAAACTAATGTCTAGTCTTTTGGTGACAGCATTGTTGCAAGAATTATTGGACTAATCGATGACAGCAAAGCACTTAAAGCCCTCAGTTGGTATCTGACAAGATTTACCTTAATTTTATTTACATAACTTGATAGAAGAAGTACTTTTTGAAGGTCAGCCATACATCATAGTAGTTTATCATGAGTTACTCATTATAAGTAGATTAAATGGGGTTGAAGAACTCAAGTTAGAGTGTCTGCCTTTATATAGACTTCAGTCTAAGTGTTTCTGTCTTCTATTTTCAAAGCACCGCTACATCTAAATACAGAACTAAAGTTTGATTAGATCACTCACAAGTTGAAACTTGTCTGTGTGGTTTCTGCTCAGTCACTTTTTGTGCAACACTGTCAAAAGTCTCAGAGGTGATGTTACATTTTTCTGTCTATAAGAAAAACAAACTTGATGATAGCTACAGTCTTGGACGTCTCACATGCATGTTGAACACTGAACTCATCATTTTGAAAGTGCATCTCTCACTGATATCATTAATGATGGCTTTGAAAGCAAAGTGACTGAGTCAGACCACTCAATGTTATTGAGGCATTTTTTGTTTTTGTTGTATTTTTAACAAAACTTAACTACCAATGAATCTATTCAACCATCCAGCACAAACATAAATTTAAGAAAATGTTACTAGACCTAGCTTGACATATGCAAATAGTGATGCCTAATCTCTGCTATTATTTGCTTATTCACAGTCAAAAGACAAGATGATGCGAGGATCCAGAAGAGGCTGTGTGCGACTCAGGGTAAAGTTTCCATATATGATTAATAAATGTGTTATGTGCATGATTGACTGAGCTGGCCTGAGTTGACAGGTTTGTTTGTTTGTTTGTTTGTTTGATTTAAATAGTTTCCATACATTAACATTTTCTATGTCCAGAGTAGAGTTGAGTCTTATCTCATGTTGGTATGTGTTGTCAGTGCAATCTCTCTGTACAGTATAGGGCTGGCCCACCGTACACTGCATTGTGCAGTTACTATAAATAGGTGAGATAAAAGACCCCAGTGTGAAAGGTGAATACAGTTTTCTGCACTTGTGTACACAACTTACCCATCCTGCGTTTTGAAGCTGTGTAAGCACAGGCTCCTTCTGTGTCTGCAGTTAAAATAATGTCCACTGGGTGGTAGCAGTTTCACTCTTGTGAAACTGTTGTTGTTGTTGTACTACTTCTAAAGAGGACACAAATAGAGGATCTTTAATGTTTAAAGGTCTGAAACAGTTTGACTGTGAGATTGAGCTCTTTTTCTTGAAAATCTAAAATGTCATTTTGCTTGAAGGAAAATTAAAGAGGAGCGCACACAGAGAATCATATATTGGCTTAAATTGTCAAACTACTAAACATTTGTTTTTCTGTGTGTGTTGACACATCTTTGCGGTTAGTCAGCTAACTGAAGTAATGTTATGATCACTCTCTTTACAGCTTATCTGACCTTTTCTGAGCTTCTTGGCTTTTTGCATAAGGTGATAAGGGGTTGGACTTTTCTTTGTCACCAAACTTCATTAATCTCCAACCTGCCCAGTGAGTGCTGTTAGTGTTTCAAAATCATGATGATTAATTTTCCTTTTTTAAACACCACTCCTTTGTGATACCATAAAGCTGTGCAGAGTACCATGTGAATGTGTCATGGAAACTCAACAAAGGGAGGAACTATCTCCTGTAACTACTGTAAAAAAAGAGGATTCAGTGCTCTGTGTGGACAGGTAGTCATGTGCTTGAGGTTTCACTTCATGGTGGATCAGTAAGACACCTGCATGCTGACATGAGAATGTGATCCATGGAGCTGTAAAATGAATCTTTGTCAATAAAATTAGGTTGGTTTAAGAGTTATATTCAAGTCCCTCTGAGAGTCTGTAATTAAATATTGATTTAACGTTTCTGTTATTAGTAGTAGCTTACACACTGGACAGCCAAATGTGCTCTGTTTGTGGTGTTCCTCACAGCTCCTGTAGTTGGTGTCTTTTATTATTGTCAGGTTTTGCTCTATGAGTCACACGCCCTGTTTCTGTTGCTAGGAGCTAATGTCCCAGCTAGCCAGCAGGCCGTTTCTCTGCGGATCTTTTTCTCCTGCTGGCTGCTTGCTGGCTGTGGGTCCCTGGTGTCTTTCTTTCTCCACCCTCCACTGCCTCTCTCCTCCTTCTCTTTCCCAAATCCCACCTCTTCTTCCTCCTCCTCCTCCTCTCTTTTTCACTCCCATGTTTCCAAAAGGCTGGTATCAGATATCTGTGTGTTTGAGAGAAACACAGATTAATTGTGTAAAAGACGCGATAAGGTAAGAGGAGATTGAACGTTGTAGAGAGAGGTCACAAAAAAGAGGATGCAGAGAGGAACATGTGGAGAGCATGAGAATAGAAATGGAAAGTGGAGCATGACGTGTCCCCCCTCCTCTCTTTCTCGCTCTCTCGCCCTCTCTCTCTCTCACTCTCTCTCTCTCTATTTGCCCAGGGAGCTGTGATCGGCATTGATGACGAGGACGACAGCACTTTCACCATCACTGTGGACCAGAAGACTTTTCATTTCCAAGGTAAGACCAGCCCTTTACCTTTTAGTCCTCCTCACTCCCCACGTTGCAGCCGCCGGCTCTCTTTCTCTGCAGTCCATCCCTGCTCTTCATTTCTCCCTCACTCTCTCCCTCACTCACTCTCTTCATCTCTCACTCCTCTTCCCCTCCCTGCCTCTTAAAGACTTGGATTGGTCTGCTCTAATGCCAGGAAACACATGCACGCAGGCATCCACACAATGTCAAAGCGTGTGGTTTGCGACTTCGCTTTTTTTTAACCCTCCCTTCCTGCAGAGCTCTGTGAAGTTGGACTGACACATTTTTCTGTAGATAAATGCCATTTGTTCCACTTCAAGCTTCACAGATTCTTCTGGAACAGCAAGAGCAAGTAAAGCGTTTTTTTTTTTCCCACTCAGTCCTCCTGACTGTGGCTGAGGAGGAAGATAACTGCTTGTGTGTCTCTGCAGTCGAGCCTCTGGGAATAATGAGGGAATACTGCTGAGCTGGAAGCCAAGCTCAGGTCTTTGCCGCTCTTCGACCTTTGCTACATCACCACTGCCGCTTGCTTTCTCCAAACCGACTCACTTCATAGGGACAGGATTGGCTACCAGCTACAGCATCGCCCCCCCACCCTCCCTGTCCTGCTTCCCCCTTCCCTCTTTTTTGACAGGGAGCTGCCCAGTCCACTACACTGCAGACACTTTTTTCGCGCTTACACACCACCAGGTTTTTAACTAACCTCCTCCACCTTTCCATCATCTCTGTCCTTCCATTTGTCTTTTTGTACCCCACCCCTTTTAACCCTGACAACCCCCTCCTCACACTTCCCTACACCACCCACCGTTCACCTCCTTTCTTGAGGGTCACCAGCCACAGTCCATGGGCTCCACGCCCCTCTCACCTCCTCCATGCCCTCTCCCATGTCTGTGTTCCGAAGCTGTATGCTGTGGTTCTACAAACGCAAGGGTAAGGAGAAAACTGTGCACGTCTCGTGGTCTGCATGCATGCCAGTCCCGGGCAGAGAGGATCGAGAGGAGGCATTTGTTTGTTTGTCTTCTGGGATGTGCAGTTTTAGGGTGGAGCAGTCTGCTCTATAGCATTCGGGTGTATACTGGTTTGTTATCAAGGTTCAAGGACAGTACAACATAAAGTCATGTGGTCTGTCAGCTGTCAGCGGAGGAAGTGTTAAGAGAAACATGTGTGCAGAGTCCTTAATCAGACAAATGTTTGAAGAGAGTCAGTGCGTTGTTCAGGAAAGGATGTTTGTCCTGTTCTTTACAAGTGACGCTGGTTTGGCTAAACGTTCATTCAATCTTTGTTATTTTTCCCTTGTGATTGTTCATATTATTTGACCATTTTTACAAAGAGGTTTTCTTGGAAAATCTAAATTGCATATAATATCTTGGGCCTGGTGTGTTCTGGGACTTTGTGTACCAAAGTTAGCCACCAGCAGGAGTTGCTGTGCGTCACAGAGCCTAAGGTGCATTCAGAGGATTGATTTGTTTACTCATTGTCAATCAGTTGTTCGTAGAAATTGTGCTGAATTTGCTAAGAGTACTTTATATCGCATCACAAGGTATGGAAATTGTATTCTCATCGACTGAGCCAAAATTTAAAGCAAAGAAAAAACTTGTTCATGTCCTTTCTCACTTGAGAAGTTTAAACTTGTACAAGAAAGCAAAAAGGATGAAGATGTGTAAAACTGTGGTCCTGCTTTACTAAAGGTTTCAGCTTAACTTATATCAGCTTTATTAACAGTGTTTATAAGTAGCATTGTCTTTTACAAGGTATACTTGATTGTCTTTTTTTTTCGAAGAGGAAACAATGAAATGGCACCTTAGGATGCATCTACTCTCCAGATACGCCGTCAGAGCTCTTTGTAGTCTCATGTTTCACTACAGCTGGAGGAATGTTTAGAAAATAAGCTTTGAACTAGTGCTGAACTCTTGATTCAGGACGTATCAGCTGTTGGTGTGGATATTAAGAGTGTGCACCGGATGTCAAGCTGCAGGAGATCTTTCTGCTGCTGTAAACTGAACCCAGGTCCGGCATGTATAGCAGTCAGTCCCCCCGGGATTCTCATATACCTTCTCTATATGCTCGTGTGCTGTTGTTTTGTATGGGCTGATGTGTGTCTCAGGTTCTGGCTGTGTGATAGAGGGAGTCATGATTAAAGCAGACAGACTGATGCCACGTTTCCTGCAGATCCACAGCTCCTCGTCGAAGTTTGGAAAAAGTGTTGTTTTCTCAGAGTTGTGACAGCTCAGTTCACAGGTTGAATTTAGTTCAGACTGGGCCACTGTGTTAGCCTGGGGTACATCTCTGTACTGTCTTTCTATTTAGAGGAGCATTCATTATTCATCAGCCCCTCTCCCCCGGCGGAGCATCAGAGTTGCCTGAGAGCCCCTTTGCTTCCCATTTTCCTCTCCCCACCACACTTGCCTCCTCTTTTATACAGTAGCTACCAACCTCCTTCCTTCCTCTCTGTCAGACCACCCCGCCTGCTCTTAGCATCAGTCCAGGAGGGTAGACCCTGCCCATGCTCCCTTTGCTGTCTCCAGTGTCTTCTCTCACTTTAATCTCACCTGCACTGTTTTTTGTCATCTGTTTTCAAATGTTCTATGTTCATCATTTTTTCAGGACTACCATATTTAATGAAAAAAAAAAAAACACTACTGAGGTTACAAAACACTCTGACCCCTGTATTATTTATCCTGTACTTCAGCTTTCCCACCACACAAGTTTAGATGTTGTTTTGTTGACACTCTGCAGTCTTGGGCATCAGTGCCTCCATCCTCCTGCAGGAATGTACTGAAACATTTCATCAGCTTCTCTGCAGACGACAGGCTCGGGGAGAAAGAAGAGGGGAGGGATGAATTATTCACAAAAGCCTTTTGGAGAAAGGAGCAGCAGCGTTATATTATAGGAGAACCATTATGTATTATAAAGGGAAATGTTCAAAGTTTTGTACATACTGTACATAAATACTGTGGTGGGGCAGTATAAGCCTAAGGTTTGATGTACCCACTAGTTCGTGTTTTTTCCCGTTTGTCTGGCACAATGATAGTTTGATAGATTTGATGTGTGTCATTTAAAAAGTATCGAAGATAAGGAGCATATAATCAGTCAGCGATGGAGCAGAAGACCACATAATGGCTGCCCGACGGACTGTAGAAAAAGAAAAGTAGAATTTGGATGTGTCTTAAATAGATAAAGGCTTTTGGATCTCCTTGTTGAGTCTTTTTACAAGTGGCTTCATAAACTGTCGTTTCATTTCCTAATTACCTGGCTGGAACATGATGTGACTGTGAAGTGACTCTCATTAAAAACTGAGGGCAGAGTTTCTTCCTTTTCCAAATAGAAAGGATTCCAGGTTGATGTCAATGCTTCTTTTAACTCTATGCACAATTAATATAGATTAGTTGAACAGCAATCAATATACCAGTGGTTCAGCGTTTCATACACATACTTGTTCCATTATCTCCGGTATTGTAACCTTACATCTGTTTGTATTATTGCTGTTGTAGTTGCTTTTCTCTATCCATCTCTCTCTTTCTGCATCACAGTCAATCATTGTCCAGCATAAGTCTGGTTCTGCCCAAGGTTTCTGCCTGTTGAAGTGTCTTTATTGCCACTGTAACTTACTTAATGCTGCAAAGTGTTATACAAATATACATAGATGAAGGTGGGATAAGAGGAGGGGGTGTGACTCTTGTCCCATCTTTGTGTTGGTTCTTTATCATTATGGTATGTTTGCACTATAAGGCGCATCAATGAACGCGTCTATTTTCATACATAAGGCGCACCGGATTATGAAGCGCATTAAGCCAAACAAAACAGTCAGATAAGTCAAACTTTATTTAACTCACTCAATAACTCCACGAGGCTACGGTAGCTGCAGTGCTCCAACAAGCCAAAAGGATTTTAAGTGCGCCTTATAGTGCGAAAAATACGGTACTTCAATTAAGGGGTTCAGTTCACACCCGTATGTGTGTGATATGACTTCACTTAGCAGCTCAGACTGTGTCACACTCTCAAAGGTTGGAAACTACAGTACGTCCTATAACTCCAGAGTGTGTGGTTTCTTGTCAAGATTGTGCAGTTATAAGAGAAAAAAGCTAACTTAATGACTTGTAGACTTTTGCCCCCTTTGTGTCCTTGTTAAATAAGAGAACTACAGCAACGTAATGAGCCCTTTGCACCCATTTGCGGCACTAACCTTGTTATCGGAGAAATTATCTACTTTCTTTCATATTAATTGAGCAGAACATCAGAAATGCTCGCTCTAGATATTTTTAACCCTCTTAGGTTCTGCTGTTTTATACAGGAATCTTATGATAAAGTCTGAGCATCACTAGTAGCACTCATAGATACATGCTGTTACTTCGCTGTAGTCAGAGAGTAGTAGATTCTTCTGTTTATTATAGTATATGCATTCAGTGTGTTCCCCTTTTAAGATATTCAACTGCCGAACACTTCACTGCGTATTCAAGAATGTAGCCGTCATGGTCTCATGTGACTGACACACAGGCTGATGGGAAACATTATAGATCTGTGGAGTCTGCTTTTACCTGCCTGAGTATTTAAATCACGGTTTACATGTGAGCCACAGATTAGGACTAAGATTGAACTTTGTGGCACACAGTTCAGACAGTAGCAGTTTTTTGTTGAAAGGCCCCGTCATGAATAGAGCTAAACAACATTAGCTGCAGTGATCTGTTCCTCTGGAGAGTCTGTTTGGCTGAGGGGAAAGTGAGAGGGCAGCGAGGCGCTGTCTGAGTGGATTGGCCTGAGCCTCGGCTGCCTTTTAATGTCTTTAAAAGCTTTTCTGCTGTAGCACCACTCAGCCTCTGTGCAAGTACAGCCATTCATCTGCTCGACTGTCTCGTTACCAGCTCTATGAAAAATGACTCCCTCACAGGATACAGTTTGCCAGCTAATTTGATGGCATATATCTTATTAAGTTCTCCCTTCACAGCTACAGCTCAAGTGTTCTCCCACTGAGGTCCACATGCGCAGTTAAGCAGAAGTAAAGCCACTCTTCATGCATAAAGTCAAAGTCTTCTGCCGCTGAAGTGTCGTCTATGGAAAAATATGAAGGATCTGTATAAATGCCACACCCTGACCAAGTGCGTCCTGCCTTGGTTGTGTGTTGGATGAGAACAAAATACAGTACCTCTCTGTTGGCCTTTCAAGTCAAGCTGTGTGTGTGAATGTGTATGTGTGTTCCAGCCTGTTGGGTCACTGTTTAATGTCACTGGCAGTCTGTTTGTTCTCTGTCTTTGCTCTGAGGGTGCAACATTGCCAAGCTCCATTTCACACAAAAGTGAAAAAACTCATCGAGAACCCCTAAAATCTGTATCTTCACTCTGAGGAGTCTGACGTGACCATAGAAAATATTAGAGTATTTTTTGAAGCACAACCATCAGCTATCAAAGTTTAACGTGATTTCAACCATTTGAAATACAGCCGTTTTATACAATACTCTAACAGAAGACAGCTTACCCTGTCCAGACCTGTTTAGTCCTGCTCAATATCAGCTTCACTTTAAAGCTCCTGTAAGCCGGTCATGATACAGACTGATATTGATAATGATACTGATGCCTTTTAACTGTATAACCCCTCAAAACAAACTAGATCATCAACATAAGACTGTTTATGGTGCTTGTCATAGTGACTAACTTGCAGACCACCGGAATAGCCCTGTTTATGTTCCAGAGGGCATGGATTTTCAATATGTTTGACTGTAAAAGTTACATCATTTTATGAGCTCAGTTTGGCATCAATGTTAATGTTGTGTTATAGCTACGGTAACTGTGCGGCTTTGTCAGTTGTCGGCATTTAACCTGCTAATGAATCGGCAAAGATTCCTAATGTTGGTACGGTCAACTGCAAAACAGATTGTTTTGATGATCTGAAGCAGACACGTACAGCTGTTAAAAGTTCAGTGACCGTTGTGTCAGTGTTTTGTTACATGTTCTCCAGCCGTTCCTCTTCTACTATTCTAACTGGTGAAAACTAGGGCTGGGGCGTTTCGTCGATGTAGTCTTGCATTGTCTCGGAGTGATGCGTTCAGGGCAGCCTCAGATAAAAGAGTGCTGTATTGCACACACAGATGTTCAAAGAGCCTCATACAGCAAAGCATGTATAATATATTAGGACTTTAACACTAATATAAGTGGACTAAATAAGTTCAAGGCATATTATAGCTAGTATATTTTTTATAACCATTTGTTATTGTTAAAACAAAACAAAAAAGTGTGCAGCATCACTAATACTTATTTGGATGAGCAATTTAATTAGAAATACTCTCATAATTAACTCAGATCCACCATACAAGGTAACCCCTAACCCGTCCAGCAGGCGCAGCAAAAATCTCCCGGATTTTATAACCTAAATGTTTTGTTTTGTTTGATTTCAAGAGATTCTTGAATAAATCATTGAATTAAATACTAATAGGACAAGTTTTTAATTGCTATTTTGGTTATAGTCATTGTTATATTTATCGGTTAATAAAAGATAATTGTTAGAATAATCAATAAATTAGTCGATAGATTAGTCAACTAATCGAAAAAGTAATCATTAGATTAATCGATAAGAAAATAATCTTTAGGTACAGCCCCAGTGAAAACCGCTGCAGTCGTCTAAAAAAATATAAAACTAATAAAAACTAAACTCTCATAAAGATGAACATTAAAGCTTAAGTCAGCGTGATAAAAACTAAGTTCAGTGACAGAAACCATGTTAAGTAAACATTTATTTGACCTTTGTTTCACTTTGATAATTTGACCCATGTTCCATCTGTTAACATGGGGAGGCGGGGTTTATGACCTATTCTGCAGCCAGCCAGTACAAGGAGCTTTAAATCTCTTGGATTTGCATTCACTGAGGATTCACAATCTGTGGGTAACACAAACAAGGTATAATACATCATGTTCGGTGCTTTGGAGGTGTGGCTGAAATCATTATCACCTTGAGTTTTTCTTTTTTTTCTCTTTTCAACCTTTAAATGAGGCAAGCTTCAAATGTGAATGCTCAGCTCAGTAGCTACTAGCTGTAATAAAAAGGAATAGAAAATAAAATATTATCCTTGGTATTGTCTCATCAACTTTAATAAAAACATTGTGTTTCCCAAAATACCTGAAAAGCCTTTTTTTTTTCCAGCACTGAAGCGTATTCGTATGAGAAACCTCTTACTGTCTTTCTGCATTTGAGTTTCAGTCCAGAAGCTGCCATGAGCCCATATGAGTCTGTTTTTGTTTTTCTAATGTGATTTTGTTATCTCTTCTTGGTTCTGGCATCTGTGTTGTTTCCTTCAGCTGTAAAGCAGATGATTGTCTTTTCGAATCCATAACATGGGCTCTTCAAATAAAGCTTGGCTGCTTTATTTTTAAAGTTACATTTATGATGGTTGTGGATATTTCCAGTCAGGCACATTTTAGATAAAGGGAGCTTTGAATCTGCTGTAGAACACACAGCGTCCATCCTTGTGTCCCCAGTACTCATGTCATTTCAGTGTTGGTGCCATTAGTGAATAACAGCTACTGAGGGTGTCTGCATGGAAACATGGAAACTCACTGGGTGTGTCTGTGTGCTTCTGCCCTCAGCCCGAGATGCAGACGAGCGGGAGAAGTGGATCCATGCCTTAGAGGGAACTATCCTCCGTCACACCCTCCAACTCAGAGTATGTAACCAGGCACTTTTCTCTCTATTTGTGCATGCATGTTTTTGTGTTTCCACATCTGTGTATCTAATCTGCTCTCTTAAGTCACAAGCATAAGTCGTTTTGCTGTAGGGCTTGTCAGTGTTTATCAGGATCTATGTGGGTTTTCTATTTACTCTCTGTTGTCCTAAACAAACATGCTGGTTTTTGTTTCGTCTTTTTTTGTCATGCCTGAGCTGTTAGCCGGTGTGGTTAGAGGCCAAAGGTCAACTAGTTTGCAAATGTGAGAACTGTAAAGAGATCATGACTCTCACCCCTGATATCAAAGCTTTTTTTTATGGCAGCTCGGATTATATGCATTTGGGTATTTCAAAAACCATTTGCCATGTGTCTCCACATCGCAGTGAAATGAATCTGACCTAGTCTTTGCATCTCAGTTGTTGTTTAAACTATTAGTAGCACAGTCCGTCCCTCTCGGAACAATTTGTTTTGCTCTGTAGAGCAGTTAGTCAGAGAACAGTCTTGTCAGCAGAAATAGAGATTATGGTGACATTCATGCCATCATAAATTAAGGGTGTTATGGCAACATGTGGCATATTTAAACTGGTGTCAGGACCAGGCTGAGTTTAATAGAACTACCACTATCTCTTTGACTCATGGCTGTCCAGCTGTCAGTGTGTGTTTTCACTTTTTTTATGAATTGTTTTATGTGTATTTTGACCCTCAGCCAGCTTTTTTTTCCTGTTTCTTCTGCCCTCCAGTTTTTTTCCTCTGATCAACCTTATTTCCTACTCTCCTCCCCTAAAGCAAACCTTCCTCCTTCCCCCCTCCCATCACCCACCTCCAGACTTTTCCACCCATCTCCTCCTCCTCCTCCCCTTTCAACCTCATGACCAACCTCTCATTCCCTCCGTCCTCCCTTTTTCTCCTGCCTCTCCCCCCCTCCCCCCTGTGGCAAATCCTTATGACGTGCTACGTGTGCCTGCACACACAGACACATACACGCACTCTTGCGGTGTTTGCGCGCTGCTGTCGTAGCACCATGTGACCCGATGTAACAAATCCAAGACCTGCTTGCTCGATCAACCAAACATCTGCCTCTGCTGCCTCAGCCAATCAGTGAGGCTGTTAATGCGTGTTCCTGTCAGCACTTGCTGCTGCTTTGTGTGTTTTCTCTTCTGCCTGCGTGAGAGGAAGTGTGCCTTTCCTGCCAGGGGAGGGTCCTGGATTAACTCAGCTCTGTCTGCCCTCATACCCAACCAAATGCTCAGCTGCTGTAGAAGGATATACTGTAGCCACACTAGCTTCACTGCTAACTAACTGTCTGGAGACTGCTGTGCTTTATGCTGGCACACTGCAGAGGAGACTAAGAGGAGGAGATTGTTTTCAGTTTCTGTGTGAAGAAGGAGGAGGAGGAGGAAGGGAGGAGGGAGGAAGAACGCTAACTTCATCAGAGCTGCTAGTTCTGTTGCTTTAGGAAGAGAGACAGAGAAGGAGAAAACAGTCATATGTCAGGCTATATAGCCTGATAGTAGTGGTAAAAAAAAAAAAGGTTTAACGCAGCATGTCCATTGGAGCGAGGCACCTAGTAAGTAAACACACACACTCACTCACACACACACACACGCCACTGCACCACAGCGAGGAGAACTTTAACGGCTGCAGTGCGCTGCTGGGGCAGCAGCGTTTTAAAGTGGGTCACCCTGCGTGGAAAGACAAATAGAAAGGGGTGGGGGGGTTGATGAGAGGGCAGTGTGGATTCTGGGGTGGGTTTGTGTGTGTTTTTTTTATGGGCAAGACTTTGCAGGCTGCCCTGAAATATTCCCACTATGTCACGGCTTGACACACATGGTCTGTGTGTGCTGGGAATGAGTGGGAGTGGAGGAGCAGACGTCTGGAAATATTTCAGGAACAGATATGAGGAGAGGAAAACTATGACGTGGTGGTACACTGGATGTTTAAAGACCAACACCCTCCTTCAAACTTTGCATTTTGTGTGTTGACAAAACATAAGTTACTGTTCAGGAGGTAATAATAGGGGCTCTGACTTATCTTTCTCTGCTGTTTATGTCAGCTTCACTTTCCTGCTCTAAATCAGTTTATCTAGTTCCCTTTCATGTAAACCATTGTACGGATGTGACCTGTTAAAATGTACAGAATATGCAGAGTAATCCTTATTTGTTGTAAATGTAAACACTAAAGCTTTATACAACATTTTATTCTCTTACAGTGTTATTACACAGATTGATTTAGGTGTTGGAGGTCATGTGAGGGTGTTGTGTCATTTTGTGAAGACTTTGGTGTAAGATTAGTGGGGCAGACGAGTTAATCATTACTTTTTTCAGAGTTTGAGCGGCATAACTTCACAAAGAAATCAAAGATTAAAAAAAGATGGTCCACACTCTGTATTATAACACAAGCACTCTTAAAGGTTTTTGGAAATCCTCTTAATTATGTTTGGTGTTCTTGTGAATTGAAAAAGGAAACAGCAGATTTTTTCCTACCAGTCTGGATTGATATAATTTTCCAGGCTATGTGAGTAATCAGCAGACAGAGCAATTGCTCACACTTGGAAATGGAAACATACATCCAGATATGTGCACACAAACATGAACTTCTACACTGGTATGTGTTTTGATTGAGATTTTAGCACAGGCTTTTACCTGGTCAGCTATATCCTCCAGTCAGTCATGCCACCAGTGAAATCACCTTTGATCCCTTTGAGGAAGTTTGTCCAGTTAAATGCAGACTGCTGAGCTCACTCAGACTTTGTTCTCTATAAAGCTAGTATGTTTTCTGCTGTTTAATGGCTTTCCTTCACATTCCTGTGAGAACGTCTGGAACAGCTAGAAATGCTTCAGGACACAGCAAGGATATGAGACGCAGCAAACCCAGAGCAGCAGTAGCCCCCAGAACGGTGTGAGAAGAGCTTGATCTGAGAACGGGACTACTCTGGTTCTTACAGCCTTACTTTCAATCATTATACCTTCTCTCGATAGACGTGTTGTTTTGTGCTTTTTTACATGTTAAAGGGTTAAGTTGAGATAAGCCAGATAGCTCGATTATCTGGCTTGTTTGTAGCATATCAGGATTTTTGTATTTTGTTAAGGAAATCTCTCCGTCATCCATACAGTAACCTCCTCCTTTTCCTGTCTTTGGTGTCTCTCAGCGAAACTGAATCATTCTCGGTTTGGTGAGCTTGTGCAGACATAGACAGATGCGTGTCTGTCCTAGCAGTGGTCAAGTAATTACCTTGTAATGGACATTATGTAATGCAATTATCTGTGCCTGAGTTTCTTAATGTGTGTGCAGCCCGTGTTTCTGATTCTAAAGGGGCTAATTAAAAAACAATGAATTTAAGAACTCTTCAGCCCATTTACACACATGCTCATATGTCAGTAACTAAATGCTCTACAGCCTGGAGTTCTTCCTTGATTCGGTTTCGTTGAAGCCTGAAATCTGTTGGCCTCTAGTCAGATAGACAGACCTGCTGGCCTTTTATGTAGGCTCGCCTTTAAACAATAGTATTCATATCTCTCCCAGTACAGTACACTACTGGAAGATTCTCCTGCACTGTTGATGTTTCTGTCGCCCATTTTGTGTAACAGTTTGCAAAGCCTACCTGGCCATGAGGTGACATAGACAAGCTCTTTTTTTTAATGAATGGATGAATACATGAGTAATATAATCAATTGTGGCTGTGTGTATATGTGTGTGTTTCTTTTATTTTTTACTTTGAATATGCAAATACTTACAGGGTGTTTGGTTTGAGCAGGGATGCACTAATCTTCAGCTCTGTTTGTTTCTTCATCCCCAGGAGGCTGAGACAGGATTTGTCCCGAGTGTTCAAGACTTTGATAAGAAGTTAGCCGAGGCTGACGCCTACCTACAGATCCTGATTGACCAGTTAAAGGTAGGGGTTAATGTGGCATCACCTCTTTGCTGTCTCACATCAAGGGGTAATAAAGCCAGTTTAGACAGGTATCAAGTTTATATTTGACTGTAATAAAACCATTTAAATGTTGTCATAAATACTGCATGACTTGCATGAGTTTTTGTCATGACCTGTAGACATGCCTGTTCTCTTCCTTACTGATCCGCACACCTCTTTGATTCAAAGCAGAAGTGATTACAATCAAGATTTGTTGTTGTTGTATGATGATAAAGCAGAAAACAAACTATTTAAAGACGCAACGGCACACTCTCTCAGGCAGAAAATGTCGATGCACATTTTCTCCTGGGGTGTGAAGAAGTGCCACATCATTATCTCCCCTGAAAAGATCCACCTGAACACACGTCAACTCCGCTCCTCTTTTTCATGCCCTCTTTTCTCTCTCTCACAGCTGTTTGACGAGAAGATCAAGGAGTGCAAAGAGGATGAATCACGCAGAGTGAGTACCAGCAGTGTGCTTGCTCTGTCCTTGTGCGTGACCGGCCAGCTGTTCTTACAGACATTAGAGCTGAGGCTAACAAGGAGGATGCAGGCTGACACAGAGCAGGGAACAAATATGATACCTGTCTGTATCGTGCAGATTAGTGAGATCTATCTCCATGCTCTTATTTCATATGTTCATTAATAATTTGTCTTTAACATAGAGTGTGAGAAAGTGAGTTCCCCCTGTATTTTGTTATCATAAAGCATCATGTTTCAATGTGAAAGGGTGAACTCTGATTGATTATTTGATCAGCTGTGTAACTGAGGGACCACCTGACAGATTTCTAATCTTTGTTGATATATGTGCTGAGAATTTTATCTGCCTTTTCAAAAACTTTCAGGATCCGAAGATACACCATTTGCAGTCATATAAATGTGAACAAACCTGTTAAAGTCACATTAGACATGCTGTTAATAGAGGAAGTCTAACTGCAAATATTAACCAGAGTACAGATTAGATATATAGATTTTAATTGATTTACACGAGAGCACTTCTTTAGTTTCTAAAGCTCAAACTAAACAGAACTAATGAGACTGAGTTTTAGTTCCAAGTAAGTTGTTGAGCACACAGGTAAGTTTCAGGATGTCTCAGTGTTTTACCAGCAGCTGTGTGATTCACTTCCTCCCTCACAGTCATGTTTCTGTTCGGTCCCTTTGACTTGTTTGTCCCTGATTCCTGCAATATGGGAAACAGACTTGTAAAGAACAACACAGCTGTTGCAGCTGTTGTCACCTTGGTGTTTTCTACCAGCTGTTCTTTATTTGCTCTTAAACCGGTTGCATCAGCATTTAAAGCTACTGAACTTTGAGTCTGTTTCCCTCGAGTTTGACACTCTGCTTTCTTCTTTTTTTTTCCCCAGAAAATTGAAAATTTGAAAGAGACTACATGTGTAAGTTAAAATTCCCCTCATTTCCTTCTTCCTGTCTTTGAGGTTCGGGGTCATTTCCTTGTAAATAAATCAATTCTGTTTTTGTCTCCTTCTTGCAGAGCATGGTAGAGTCCATCAAGCATTGTATTGTACTGCTGCAAATCGCCAAGGTAAACACAATTCCAGCCTATGTTTGATTAACCTCACTGTAGCTGGGTCTGTCTCTCCACCATAGCCACTGTGCTTGTGAGACCATGTCTGTGTGCTCTGTGTGTTGGCCTGTGAATGTCTCTGGGGTAGTTCCCTGCTTACAGTTGCTATCTGGGTCGGTGGTTGATGAGGGAGTTGCCCAGTACTCGTTTCATCACATGTTCCAATCTGTAAAGGGAAGTGGAGCAATCGTTTCTGCTTCATGTGGTGGTTAGGTGAGATGTGTTGTTGAATTGAAAACTCAACACAATCAGGATACTGATCCAGGAAACATAAAAACTACTCAAAAGTAGTGCCGCCCTGTACTTCTTTGGTCATGTGATGAAAGGATTACTGCATTAGGAAAAGTTGGTGAACATATCAAAGCTCCATGTGATGAGAGGGGTGCGTCTTATTGCTCTGTACACTGCAGATTCTCAGGATGCTTTTTTTGAAATGATTTTTCAGCCTTCCTAAAACAAAAATAGTCTAACATTGTCTTCTCGAAATTTTAAGGACCAAAGTAACGAACAGCAACACGCAAACGGACTTATAGTAAGTTTGATGTTCTCCGTCCATGACAAAAACAAATTCAAATCAAATCAAACTGCTAACTTTTTCTTCTTGCTTAATTCACTCTTCACTGTAGCGTATCAGATAAATCAAATCTGTGTAGTGCATGCCCTCTTATTTGGAAATACTCTCTATCAAGCTCTTTTCCTTATTTCTGCACCACTTTCCTGATTGAATGATCCCTGGTTTCACCTACGATTTGATTCATTATCAAAAGTTGGGTACTGTCTTCTCCATCAGGCTATAAATGATCATTGACAACTTTAACATACATGTTTTTGTAGAGCTGCAACTATTTTATTGCCATTTTATTGGTTTGTAAAAAAAAAAAGAAATGCAAAAAACTAAAAAAAAATATATCAGCCAATGTTTCCTAAAAGCTTGAAACTCCATTTAGCCGATACAGACACTGCTATTTACACACTCTTTCTCTTCTGCAGCCTCCTTTACTGGCTACTTTTATTGTAAAAGTCTGTTTTATTTTTAGAAACAGACAAGCATTTGATCCTACTACAAACTATAAATTCGGCAATGGGGGAAAAAAAGATCCGTGGACTGTAGTGGGGCTTAACATGCTCACAGGACTTTGACTAAAGGTCCAGATGTTGGTGGTGAGAGTAATATGAGTAGCATTAACAAGAAGCTTCTGTGCACGAGTGACGCTTCGCAGTTCAGGTGAGGCTTCATCAGAGAAGTGATGCTGGTCAAGCATAGCACAGTGAGGCTCTGAGTACATCATTAGCCTGTGGTGGCCTGCATCTTCCACCTTATTGAAAGCAATAAGCAATGAACTTAGTGGTTTTTCCTCCCAGCGTCTTTACAGCTGTGGGTGGTCACGCTGTATTTCTCAGCCTATTTAAAAATGACAGTATGGTCCCTAGATGCACTTTAGAATTAGTTGTGTTTGAGGAATTAGTTTTTTGTTTTTTTTTGCTCTTCCTCACATCACAAGCATATTAAACAGCTGTTGTGCTGTCTTTTGGGGACACTCGTATAGCAGACAGGTTGAAGCTTGTTCTTTTGCCAAAAAAGGTCCTGTCATGTGTGTGAAAACAGTTTGTCACATAATCGGCCTATGATGGAAAAATTAGCTTTTTAAGCTTTGATCCGCCTATGCAATTAATTCACTGGTAATATATCGCATCCCTGTAAAATGTTTGATTTCTCTGCAGCAGTAAACTGTCGGACTAGTATAAAAAACTGAAAATATTGACATTTTCTTTATCAGAGAAATGTGTCTTTAAACTGTTCATCTATCAATCAATTTTGGACAATAAACTGTTGCAGCATTACATTCATGTAAAAGATGTGTGTGAATGTTGAGTATGCTTTCGTTTGCATGCCTGAGTCTGAAAAACTGTTTCACTTCACTTCAATAATTTTGAATCAACTAATTCACCATTGATTTATCTTGGACACACACTGCCTGCTCATTGAACCATACAATACAAATAGCTGAAAAAGCCTCCTAGAGAGCACTTGATGTGTTTCTGCAAGTCTCTGTCTTTATGTTAAGAACTACACCAGGAGTTTTGCATGTTTCATCCACAAATGAAGCATAATTTCATCACTCACAAATATTTTCTAAAGCTTTACTAAAAGTTTTTAAATTTATATATTTTTACCACCAACATCCTTTTGATACATAAATGATCACATCGATTTTGTTATGCAGTTGATGAAAAATGCTGTAAAATACTGGGCAGAATAAGGATTCTGATAAAGGACATTTCTCAGTTGAAGGTTTTTCTGTATATTGTAAGAAAGTTTTCAAAGAAGTTTGCGTTAATGCCAAAGTTGCGCAAAAGGTTAAGAAGGAGGTGGAGTAGAAAAAAAAGAGGAAAAAGATCAATGGGTGCTACAGAAACATGGTTCAAACAAAATATTCACTTGAAGACCCACAAAGATCTGAACCACATGTGTAAATCAAATGTCAAAATATAGATATACAAATTAGAACTTTTTGTCTGACTAGGATTTTTTTACAGCGGAAAAGCAAATGTTTCGTAGATAGTAGACAAACACATAGAAGACCTTTGGTGTGATGTTTAAGACCAGTCATGTATGGTCCGTACTACTCATAGGTCTCTGCTGCTCTTATAGCTCCTTTAATCTCACCATCATTAAGTACTGCATCATGTGGTATAAATAGCACAGCATAAGCTCTTTCTCAACATCCAGCAGCACATGTTTCTTGATGCAACAAGCTTTGTGCCAAAGATGTAAGTGCAGCTTTAGAACATGTATGTACGTCTGTTACGCCGTCCATATGTCTGTAATGTGACGCAAATGATAGATGTGCTGCAGACCTGCGTGGAGAGCATTATGTGTGCTTGAACTTGTCATGCGGCGTGGCACTAGAGGATCTCTGATGAGTGCAGAGATCACTGAATCTGAGCCTTTTAAATATCATCCTGGTGGGCAATGGCTGCTCTAAGTATGTTCTGCATTAAGAGCTCTTTACTGCATTAATATTGCAGTTTGAAAAATGTATATGCTGATGATGACGTAACACTTGAAGCTGTTTTTAGCTGTCACTTCTCCCTTGACGACTTCAGGCTTCAGCTTTTGTTTGCAAGGCTACCGTCTGATCCCACAATGACAGGCCACTATTTCTGTAATAAGTAGCCCTCCCTCGTCTTACTTTCATTAGAAGCACGCATTTGAGAAAGCATTAGGCCGTATAGAGAGGAAGGATTCAAGGCAAGAAGATAAGAGAGGTGTGTGTATAGGAGGGCATGTTTAGCAGGAATGACCAAGCTCCTCAGCATGATATTTTCTACCTCTGATCATGACTGGACTTTTGGTGGTGGTGGTGAACAGTTATCGTTGCTCTTATGGTTGTTCTTAACAAAGTGAGAGTTACAGTTTGAAGAAAACCGTCCCACTCTGACCAAAGACAGTGGCTCTTCCTGTTAACAATTTTTTTTAGATGAAGCATGCTCAGTGTTGCATCCTGAATTGTGCAGATCTGTGGTCAAAATGTGTCCATCTCTCTCAAAGTCCTGTATTTTAGCCCATGCAAATGTATATGTAGTCATGTTCTGACTCATCGTGACTGTTCCGGTTAATATGAAGTAAGTTCATCATAACTTGGTGAGAGAGAAAAGATCACAGACTGCAGGTCAAGTTTGAGTAATTATGAAAGCAAAGTCGTATCATAATAAAGATGAAAATAGATTAACAGAAATGCATTAGCATTTTCAGAATGTACCTGCACTTCTTGACTCATAAATAAGATTAAAAATAAAACAATCCAAACCGCAATTGCTTTTTCTTTTTCAAAACTGATCATTCTGTAACTTCAAATGTAAAAGAAAAAGCCATTTGTGATTTAATTTTCAAAATATGACCCAGTAAATATGTACCAAAACTCAAATTAAAATGTCAAATCTGGAAATTCAAACGCAATAATACAAACTGCATTTTCATTTTATTACTTGAGCTGCACATTTCATAACACAATTCAAAAGAAAAACCAAACAGGCAACTGATTTTTCAGTTTCATGTCCGAACTGCGGATAGCGACAGGCGAGCACGCTAATGCTCGCCGATGCTGAAGCACAGTATCAAAAGCATCGCCCCTTGATACTGTGAAAAGTCAGAGAACTATAATTTTGACCGGGTGGCGGCGCTCTCTGTTGCCCGAAAGGTCTCACCGTGCTGGGCAGGAGTTTCGGCAAATGCTTCGGTGTTAGCTCTGGAGCCTCCTGCTAGCTAGCCTGTCACATAGTTTAAATAAAGTTTTTAAGTTGAAGTAAACTTGCACTTGCGCAGTTCGGATAGTGACAGGCGGACATGGAAATGAAAAAGCAACTGCCCGTTTGGTTTCCCTTTTGAATTGCGTCACGAAAAGTGCAGCTCAAATAAGAAAATGAAAATGCAGTTTGTATTTTTCATTTTTCATTTTATTTCTCAGTCAAATTATGCAGTTTTGACTTCGTAACGGAAAAAAAGCCATACTGCAAAATCATTTGAGTTTTCAGATTTGACATTTCAAACTGAGTTTTGTTACAAATTTGCTGGGGCATATGTTGAAAATTAAATCTCAAATAGCTTTTTCGTTTACATTTTAAGTTACAGAATGATCAGTTATGAAAAGGAAAAAGCAATGGCAGTTTGCATTATTTAAAAAAATATATATTTATGAGTCAAGAAGTGCAGGTACATTCTAAAAATGCAAATGCATTTCTATTAATCTATTTTCATTTGAATTATGATGCAAATTTGCATCCATAGAGTAATAGGTTACACATAACATCGACTGGTTCTCATGTCAGAGCAGCTAAGATCCCTGAGGGTAAGTTGTTGTGGAGTAATGGTCGATATGGTTTAGCTCTAGCTCTAGTTGTTTGTGGTGCGCTTGTCTTTTGATTCAGTGGTGCCGGTGAACCCATTCCTTTAAGCTATCGTTTTAGTTTTTATTTGAATGTGTTGTGAGTAATGTTCAGGCAGCTGTGACTGCAGACAAGACAGTCCCCGCAGGTTTTTACTTCAGGGAAATCAAGAGGCAGAGAGTTAAAACATGTTACAGGTTGAGTCTGCAGCTGAGTGGAGCTGATTAATTCCCTTTTCCAGTGGTCGGTTTCTCAGAGTTCAAGAGGCGCTGTTACTTTTTTGCATAAGGCTTCTGCTGGTGTTGTTGGTTTCATATTGATCTGACGAGGATGAAACCTGGAAACTGCGCTCTTTAGACTCTCTCTCCAGGAAATGGGATGGGGGGAATTGATCTGCTCAGTGTGGGGAGCGCATATTTGATTTCGCTCCTCTTGCTGTTGAGTTGGTCAATCCTCAAACTGATCTGAAACGGGTTCACAAGCTGCGAAACTGTTTCCCAGTTGAGGGTGAGAACAAACCTGACATCTGGTTTGAGGGTGAAGGGAAACAATGTGTCAGTGTGGTTGGTAGGTTGGCATATCTAATTTTACATGTGGTTTTTTAGAGCCTGTTTTTTTTTTTTTTTTTTTTAAAGTCTACTGGCTGTACATTGTTAAATTCACCTCTGCAATTGTACTCTTTCCATTTCCCTGTAAATACCCCTTAAGATTAGCAAAGCAGGCAGTGTTGTGGGTGTGCTATTGTTGCTTCAATTGTTGTCGCTTTAAGAGAGCTGTTTTTGTCGTTGACAGCGATGTTGTTTTGATTTGTTTCCCCCAGAGCACCATTAACCCTGTGGATGGGATCTACCAGCCCCCTCTGGACACTCCCGTAGACAACACCACGATGCCAACACAGACCACACTACCCACAGGTTCTACACGCCTAACCTTTTTGCTGTTGATTCGACTCTTAAAACCATGGATCTGTGCGCTTCATTTGTCAACATCTCTACTGACATTTGCAGCGGCATCATTTAGATAGGTTGACAACAGCACCCCCTGTTGTCCATACCCGTTTGAAATAATATGTGCGATCTGCCATGACAGTCACATGTTTGTAAGAGTTATAGATCTCACAAATAAGTTATTGATGTTGTTTAAACGCAGATTCCTGTTTTTCTGTGTACATAAGCTGTAAGGTGATTTTAGTCGGCTGATGTTAGACTACATTTGATGTCATTACTCAGATCTGACTGTATTTTTGAGCTATTTCTGTCTGAAGACTGTGACTAGACAGTTAAAAATGCTGCAGAAATGAACCATGCAAAGTAGGCCAGTCTAATTTCAGTCACTTAATAGACTGTGTAATCCCCTCCACAGATGACGCCTCTGTCTGCAGCCTTTCAGAACATTTCCCAGCACTCTGAATTGAATTGATGCTGCTGCAGGAGTTGATTGTGTGTTGGCTTTGTCTTGAAGCTTTTGTGTTGACACGTGATTTTTTTTTTCTCTCTTTTCTTCTAAAGACACTTCTCAGGTGTGTAAATCAGACCAACGGCCCTCCACGCTACCTGTTGGCCCCGTTGTCACAGTGATGGGCAGTCTTCAGACTCCAACTCCCAACAGCACAGGTAATAGGTCACTCAACTTCTCCAGCTGATGACTGTCATCTTTACAGCTCTAAGGATCCATTTTTAGTTGTCATAGAAAGTCATGCATATTGCACATATCTTAAGGGATATATTTTAGGCTTTTTCTTGCACTCCAAATTGAAGCTTATCTTTCAGGAACTCCACCCCAGGAGCAAAATTAATGGGTGTTATAAATTATTAGGACGCTTTTCCACACTGTGCAGTGCTTCCAGGAACACAAAGTAAATAAAAAGCAAGTGAAGGCAGAGCGGTACATGCCTGTTTGTCTTCTGAGCTGAGGCAGCAGTATGGAAATGCTGCGCTGTGCACTAAAATGAAACTCCTGCATGCTTGAGTGTGCTGTCAATATTCTCTGCAGAGGAAGCCATCCTATGTTACTGACAGATTGATGGTACATTACGCAACCTGCTAGACTGCACTCAGATATGAGCGCATTAGTTGAGCATTTTTGATGTTGATTTGACCAGATATCCTCTTCTATATAAGTGATGAAGAAGACTTGATAGATTGATCAAATCTGAAAGGATGTCACTGCAAGGGGGAACTTAAATTACACTTTTTTTTTTATCTGTCTATCAGGGGGTGGCCCATCTGGCCCCAGCAGCGGTGTTGCCTCGCCGGCTCACATGCCCCTCCCCTCGCACTCAGTGCCAGACTTCTCCTATTCTTCCAGCGAGGATGAGTTCTACGATGCTGATGAGTTCTACCAGAGCAGCACTTCTCCCAAACACTGCATAGAGTGAGTAAAGAAACACCCCGCCCTCCTGCAACCAACATTGCACACAGAAACTCATGCTTTATAGCTTGAAAGCAGCAGCACAGTAATAATAGAATTTAGCCGGTCAGATGGGAAATTTCTGCTCAGAGCAAATATAAATCAAGCTGCCAGTTCAGAAAGGCTTGCAGTAAAATTGCTTCTGCAACCTTTTTCATTTTTTATCCCTTTATCTCTCCTGCTTCCTGTCTCCCCCTCTCTCTATCTGCCCACAGTCCCTCGGGGGCGCCAGCTGCCTCACCCCTCACTAATGAAGGAACAGCGTTGAAACGACCAGACACCACAGAGTCCCTTAACTCGTCCATGTCCAACGGCACCACAGATGCAGGTAAAAGGGAGACCACTCCAGATTTACGCCGCTGTTTTCATCTGGCTGTTTATACCTTCAGCTGCTTCATTTCTCCTGTAATATTACACCCTCCCCGCAGTATCAATGACATATGATTTTATTAAAGGTGGGGTAGGCAGGATCTGAGGAAGTGCCAGTTTTGGGGAGAAATCTTGAATGTAAACACCACCCATACCAAACAGTTTTCCCCTCAGCTCCTCCTCTCCCCTCCCTCTCTGCTCCAGCAAGCCCCGCCCACAAACAGACGCTCCTGCTCGCTCGTATCGTTCCAATTAAATTCAGATATAATGCAGATAAATACTTAAGATAATTACAAATGGGGCCCAGTCAACATGAAAGTAAAAAGCATTGGTTCTACTGTAGATGCCAACAGACTACCAGCAAACACGATGTTTGCAGGACTTCTACAACTAGGATAAAGTGACATAGTCCAGGACCCGAGGCTAACAGTTTAGCGGCGCTACAACACGCAGCAGGTCCTGTTTGACACGAAACACTTCTGTTAAAGACACTTCGCTTACTTTGTTAAAGCGGTTTACCTGTCCAGCAGAAAGGTTACAGGGTCCATAAGATCCCGAAGCGTCCCCCATCAATGTTGACCCGGCTTCTTAGCTCTTGTCTGGTCTACCTCCTTTTTAAGCGCCCGTTATTCCACCAGAGTCTCCGGTATTTACTTTGTTTTCTTGCTTGTGTTGGCAGTCATGGCTAAAGGAGGAATCAGACAATTTTCTGTACTTTCTGGTTGGTTTCTACTGTCTGATGTTGTAGCACGCTAACTTTGTTTGGGCTCCTGAATGACACAGGGGAGCAGCGTCCGCCTCACAACCAATCAGGTTGGGGGAGGCGGGGAATGGATTTGTTTACAGTCAGAAAGAGCGGAGCGCTCTGAAATTTTGAAATGTTGGCTGCACAAACATAACAAAACACAGAGATATCGTTATATTACCATATGTCATCAATAACTAATGGATATTGACTGTTATTAAAAGCTTTTTTGTATAAACACCACAAAAAAGATGCTTCTTTAGCGGATTCCTGCCTACCCCACCTTTAAGTGGTTCAAAATAAGTCTTATTTGAAACATGAATATAAAGAAATGCGAAACCTGTCCTCTGTGTTGGCCCTCAGATCCATTTGACAGTCATGAAGACCGCGACGATGATGGTGATGGCGAGTCTGTGGAGGAGCACAAGAGCGTCATCATGCATCTTCTCTCTCAAGTTCGGTTGGGCATGGACCTCACAAAGGTAAAGACCTCCAACCAGTATAATGAACCAGACTCTCTTCATGCTAGACTTCAGTGCGAGTATCTTTCTTTGTTCTGTCTGAAAATCTCTCTGCACTGTGGTCCTTTTTTTTCCCTCTAACTCTGTGCGAGCTGTTTCTCTTGAACAGCCCACACAGATCCAGTTTTACAGTTTTTCCTCTTCATTATATTTCACAGGTGGTCCTGCCTACCTTCATCCTCGAAAGGAGGTCTTTGTTAGAAATGTATGCAGACTTCTTTGCACACCCTGACTTATTTGTAAGGTAATGGTCCTCTCTCTCTCTCTCTCTCTCTCATCAGTGTTTCACAAAGATATCAAAAAGCATCTGATGCTGAGTAAAAAACAAAAAAAATGTGTTTATGTTGCTTTCACCAGTATCGCTGAGCAGCTGGAGCCCAGGGAGCGCATGGTTTATGTGGTGAAGTGGTACCTGTCAGCTTTCCATGCAGGGAGGAAAGGTTCAGTGGCCAAGAAACCTTACAACCCTATACTGGGCGAAGTTTTCTACTGCCACTGGGATCTGCCCAGTGAAACAGAGGAATCTATCCCCAACACAGTGAGACCACATGATTCTTTGACAAGTGTAGACACATTTGCGAACACTTAACTGAGCAAAGCATCTTTATTTTGTGTTAGGCAGACCTAACCTGTTCTTACGGACCAGTTTTTGTAGTGAAAAGATAAAATGATCACACGTATTATAGAGTTTTAAATGTTGTATATCCAGGAACACTTCCTTTTTAATTCCTCTTTTCCTCTACCTTTCAGGAGACGGTTTCAGACGGTCCTGTTCCCTGGTCTTCAGCCAACAGTGTGCGTTTTGTGGCAGAGCAGGTCTCTCACCACCCACCCAGTGAGTGTCAATTCTTTAACTGTATTCACAACACTGTGAAAGCTGTTTGACACACAGGGTTAGTAAGACCAACACATTTGAAGAAAATACAGTCTGATGCTAACATGTCGAGTTAGCGTATGTAAAACCCCAAAAGGTTAATTTTTTATACACTAGCTCATTAACTATTTGCTGTATTTCTTAGGGCATTTACGTGAACGTTGCCACTTTTCTACAAACCCTCAAATGCTTCTCTCTTTTTCTCCTCCAGTTTCTGCATTCTACGCAGAGTGTTTAAATAAGAAGATCCAGTTCAACGCTCACATCTGGACCAAGTCGAAGTTCTTAGGGATGTCCATAGGTGTCCACAACATCGGCCAAGGTGCAGCAAAGTACTGCTTTGTATGCTTTAAAAGTATAATCAGACTTTTGGATGATAACTTCATGATCGTTCTTCACTGGTCTCCTTCCAGGTTGTGTGTCATGTTTGGAGCACGATGAGCATTACATCCTTACTTTCCCCAATGGATACGGAAGGTGTGTTTTGTTGTTTTTCATGCTTCTGATTGTCACATTCACCTCCAGTCTTAAACATGTGCTTCACTGACCTGAGTCTGTGTGTGCAGGTCGATTCTGACAGTGCCCTGGGTGGAACTGGGTGGGGAGTGCAACATCTCCTGCTCTAAGTCTGGCTACAGTGCCAACATTGTGTTTCACACCAAACCTTTCTACGGAGGGAAGAAGCACAGGATCACTGCTGAGATTTTGTAAGAGAAAAATTATTGACAGATTTAATTTTTACAGTAAAAAAAAAAGATTAATAATTTGATAATGCTGACTTTCTGATGAGATCTCTTCGTTTTTGTTTTTTTTTCAGTGCACCCAATGACAAGAAGTCTTTCTGCTCCATTGAGGGGGAATGGAATGGAGTGATGTACGCTAAGTGGGCAACAGGAGTGAGTCCTTTTCTTTTCTGCTCTTTTTTTCTTTGTGAAATTTGAAGGGAGCAGGAGTATCAAAAGAGACAATAGTTACTTTTGAAAAATGATAGTTTGCAATAAAAAAAAGAGACTGGAAATTTATCATACAGCTTTTCTATCCAAAACTGTTTCAGTAACTCGATTTGAATATTTGATAATACCAAATTCTTCCTGAGCATTAATGGAATTAAAAACAGACATATAAATTTTACTAAAGCTTGTGTACATTGATGTGAAATGATGCAATTATCTAAACTTAGTCGTACTTATCCAAACGTAGTTTTCTTTCACATAAAGGATTCAAATTAATTTATTTTTTTGTTTTGTTATCTGTGATGTTAAAAAAGTTTTCTCCACCAATGCAATGGAGTTGTTTGCTAAAGTTGCATCATTTCTATCTTTAAAAAATGGTAGACCATAATTCATGTTTGGCTGTATTGGAGGAATTTCAGGGAAGAATATCAAAGTAATTCAAAACAAAATGAGTAAATAAGACCGTTTATTGCTTAATGACAGACTTTTAAATTAAAGAAAAGTCATGTATGTATGCATGAATGACTGTGTTTTGTTTGTGTTTTCAGGAGAACACAACTTTCATAGACACTAAGAGGATGGGCATCATCAAGAAGAAAGTGAGAAAGCTGGAAGACCAGCTTGATTATGAGTCACGAAGGTGAGAGCGAAAAAAAATGCTGTAAGCAAGGATCTAAAGCCCTGTGTTAGAAATGATCCCTGTCTCCATGTGTTTGACTTTTACCACTATCATTCATCAGACTGTGGAGAGATGTAACGTTGAACCTGAAGCTGAAAGACATCGATGCAGCGACAGACGCAAAACACCGACTGGAGGAGAAACAACGAGCCGAAGCCAGAGAAAGAAAGGAGAACGAGCAGCAGTGGGAGACTAGGGTGAGACTTAAAATTCTAAGAATTTTAGCTGATCTTAAGTGTCGTAGTTGTCAAATAACTTGCAGTGTAAAATTGCAATTATCAGTCCTAAAAGTAATCATTATTATTTGTTTGTTTGTTTGTGCAGCTATTCCACGAGGACGGAGAGTGCTGGGTCTATGATGAGCCTCTATTAAAGAGATTAGCCTCTCAGAGGCACTGAGAAGACTAAGCACACACTGATACATATGCAGAAAGAAATGCACACACAACAGAGTCTTAATAAGAACTCTTTTGCAAAAACCACTTCTTTTCCAAGCCTTTTCTTTTCCAAGCCTTGGAATGACTGATGATTGAATATGTATGTAAACAGCTTTGCATTTGACTGTAACATAATACAGAAATGAATGAAATCAAATGGAAAAGCATCCAAGATGTATCGTGAAATTAGTAAAGCTCCCCTTCTGATTTGGGCAATGTTGCTTCCACCGCCACTGATAACCCACCACCTGCCAACATGAGACTCAGCAGCACAGAGTGGAGACGAGAGGGTCACGTCTCATCTCACAACCACACCCTCCATCAGCTCCACGGGACGAGCTCGAGCAGCACTTGTTTCCCTACATTTACGCTTTACGGAGGGGGAGGGGCAAGGTGTGTGTGGTTGAAAAAGTTCCGATCAAACAAACCTTGACGAATAAAAAACCACGCTCTACATCTCAGGGAATCCGGTGTCTGAGGAAAGAAAGCTGCTGCCCCCTCTGAGAGTCTGACAGCCTTATAACGGTGGGATGGATGAGTCTTAAAGAGGCGGGGAAGAAACTCTCCGCTTGCCTGCAACTAGTTGTAACTGTTGTTTATATATAGATATACATATGATGGATATATAAAAATATATTCTTTTTTATTTTCAATGCTTTTTGTTTATTTTTCATTCTTGCAATAGTGTAACATATTTGAGAATATGAACAATGGCTTTACATCTTTAGGAATCATTCCATTTAAAGTTAATTTTGACATCTTTTTTTCTTTTTTTTTTTTTTGTCTTTTACACTTTTTCTGTGTTTCAAGTGTTAATCAGAGGCCAAGCCCCACATAAGCCATAGCATCTGAACACACTGATTGGGAGAGTGCTGATAGAGTTGTGGAATATATGCAATATATAGATCATCAAAGGACAAACTCACATGTCCATTATGCCAAAAAGGTTTAGATAAAAGGCTAAGGGGACTTTTATTTGGGCGGAGAACAAACAATCCTCTGGAAATGTTTCCATGTTACCTGAAGGCATTTATGAACAAATGATTGTTTACATATTTCTGGATTGCTGGTCCTTGATGAGGACATCAGGTTGGAGTCGAGACTGTAAAGACATCACCTGGCCTTGTATCCTCTCCGAACCCTCAGACGAGTTGAAGTCTCACTCTTGAGATGTTGGAGGATGAGGAGCAAGAATACAAGCAACCAGTGTAGACTTTTGAAACGCCACTGCTGTTTCAGAGTGCTGCCAGACTCCAGCCTGTGTCCCTCCAATTCAGTTTTCTTGTAGACTTCTTTTTTTTTTTTTTTGTCCAATTCTTTTAAGATAAAGGGTTAAAGGCAATATTTATCTTCCCACATACCACTGCTTTTTGAACCACCATTCATTCTCTTATTTACAGCTACATAGGTTGGAACTACATACAATGATATTTGGATGAAATGCAGAAATAAACTATTTTCACCTGAAATTGCCCATGAATATTTTCAACTGCTGTCACTCAGAGTGAAGGCTTGTGATTTCTTAACATTCAAGACCCTGTAGTCTTGTCTGAGAGATGAAAGAATTCTGTCTTATCAGATGATTTATAAAGGAAAACCTAGTTCTGGTGCTACATGTTAGCGCACAACTTGATTCCTGTACTTGTAGCTGATTGATGAAATCTTCCTTTAAAGAGTGGGTTACTGATGTTACATTTGAAGTCTTGGCAAAGCGAGGAGCTACATTCTTCAGATCAAGATTATATTGGGTGAACGGATGTGTCTCTTTCCATTTAAAAAATTATGTACCATGGTGTTATACCCAAAATATCAAATCAAATCAAACTTTATTTATAAAGCGCTTTTCATACGAAAGGATGTAACACAAAGTGCTTTACAGTCCATTAAAAAAAAATATGTGGCTTTATTTTGAACAACTGCTCAATACAGAGTAATTATTGATTTCTTTCAGTTGATGTAGAATACTCAGTTGAGTCCAGATGGATTTTTATTGATTTTAAAACCACACTCCACAGTTACCTCTACATAGTTTGTCCAAGTGTCAGAAAAGATGTTGAAAACAATACCCTGCGAGAAATCCGGGAAAACTGTTTTCAGATCCTCAAAATTGTTGGCATGAAGACCTAAAATTATCAGCACTGAGCCAAACTACTGTTTCAAGATGGAAATATTTCAGTGACACAAATGACCGGCAGGGGTGCTGCTGACACTTCCCATCCATCCCAGCTTGGTTATTTATAACAACCCAGATAGTGTTAGAGATTCAGAGTGCGCTGAAGAAAAGGCGTAGGGAGGGCTCTGCAGTGATGGTGGCTCAAAGATATCTGGAGCAACCAAACAAAAATATTTACAGATGGTTCAAAGGGCCAGAAACAGGACATAAAGGAGTTGCAGTATTTACCCCAGAGGATAAAGTAATTATCAAGAGAAGAACTATAGATCATTTAGCAGTTTACACAGTTGAATTTGTAGCCATTATACCAGCGTACGGAAGCAAGTTGGGGGGCGGGGTGAAAGGTTGGAATAGGAAAGAAGAGGTTGTGATTTCTCCCATTAGAATAGGACGTTCTGGGTTAAATTAAACACTGCAGAACATAGGATTTGATTGAGAAATCTACAACAGTACAGCATGTTTTATTTGAATTCAGGATGTATGAGGAGGAAAGGGAAGTACAAAAAGTAGCAGCAAAAAGCCAAAATAAGAGTTAGTATAGGAACCCTTAGTACCTTTTGTTAAAGAAATTTCTGTAACACTTTACAATAACCATGATTTATAAATGGTAAATAGATGGTTTATTAATGTTTAATCATCATTTAAAAACAACATATAGACCAATTATAAATGGCAAATAGATAGTTTATTAATGTAAGTTAATAGTTACTTTACCATTAAAAAGCAATGACATTATGATTAAAAATTTTAATTAATTATTAATGGACTATTTATTAAAGGTTTATATAGGGTTTAAATATTGGAGACACCGAAATTTCATTGTGATCTTAAAGGAAACAGAAGTGTGTCACAAGATCTGAGTTTATATATTTTTTTCTTTCTGTTGTTAATAATATTATTTGTCTGCCAATCTACTGCTCGGACTTCCGGTCCAGTAGGTGGCGGTAATGCACCTTCAAACTGGTTGCCAACCATCATAAAAAAAGAAGGAGAAGGAGAAGAAGCTTTTGCGAACTCCTGCACATTCTACCTGCACTAAAAGTTCCCAAAGATAAAAGATAGTTTCCAATTTTCCCCTTCTCCCCTCCTCTGGAGCGAAGGTAAGTACCTTAACCCTACCAAGCACCGTGTCACCTGATATTGCACAGGCAGAAATATTTACCTTTGGAAGCAGAGGATAACATTCACGTTTAATTCACTTTTCTGCTGCTTTTTCCTCTTTTAATGATGATATTTGATAAAAGTACGAACGTAGACTCGCGGGAACAGTAGACCTCTACCGCGTGCATCACTGCGCGTGCCGATGCATCTATTCGCCAGATGTTAACTTTCGACTTCTTCTAAATGTTGTCTTCTGAAGAAGTTATGTGTGTCGGGACACTTTCTAAAATAAGTTTCAGTCGACCTTCACATTTACCATTCTGCTCTTTTGCTCCTAACTGCAGAAAAAATCTGATTATTTGATGTTTTCTGTTTTTTTTTTCTCACCCCTAAAATAATTAGTCTTAATCAATTTTCCAGGATTGAGCTGATGACTATTTGATGGCTTTGATGACGATTTGATTTCTTCACGTTATTGAATATTTTCCTTACTCGTAGTCCTGTGGTGCGGTTTTCTGCCAAATCCTGATAACTGTGTCTTATCCATGTTTTTCAGAGGCAAGAAGATTGCACATCAAAAACAATCACCACCAAATATTGCCATTTCTCCAAGTTTGCAGAGAGGCATTGTGGGAGAGAATTATGTTTAAACTGATGGATAAAACACTGACTATAGGTCAACTAAAATCATTTTGGGTGTTTTCTATGGATGACATAGGCGCATGTGTATTGACAAACTAGTTGATGTGAGTGTGTATATTTTTTTCATCCGATTCAAACACTTAAAGGTTACTTACCAGACTAAAGTCATTATTCATGGAGTAAAGTCATTACTTATGAGAATAAAGTTATTAATTTGAGGGCTGTGGAGCATTTAGATGAATTGTACTTCAGTATAGGTTTCACAAACATGGCGATACTTAATACTGTGGTACATCAGCATTACAATGTCATGAGTATCAGAGCTTTAAAAAGTAAGTATGAGAAAGGCATCTTTTCCACAGGAAAAAAAAACAGGTGGACTTTGAGGAAATCGCTTCTTTTGTGGAGGGGAAAATGTCTGTACAGAGGCTAAATCCGTCAATGCAGCTGTTAATAGCAATAGCATAGGGCTTTCGTTTATCATATGAGTTTAAATGCCATGAGGTGTTGAGGCCTCTGCAGGTGTAGGTCACTGACTCACTGAAATCATCAGGTCTATTTCATCCTTATGAAACCTGCTTTATTTCGGCGAGTGTCTGTCTTCTTTTGTAGCCAAACCATTGGATATCAAAATCCAAATAGATTTTTATCGATTTTAAAACCACACTTCACAGTTTTCTTTTACACACAGTTTGTGCAAACGTCTAAAAAGATGGAGAAGACAATACCAAGTGAGAAAACAAGAAACGCTGTTTTTAAATCCACTAAAAACAATTGTCATCATGAAGACCTGAAACTATTAGCACTGAGCCAAACTACTGTTTTAGGATAACAATATAATTTTCCTCAGTGACACAAATAACCGGCGGGGGCGCTGCTGACAACTCCCATCAGCCTTTGCGACATGCTGTATAAAACAGCCCTGCACCCTCTGACCGCTCCCATTCACTCCTCTGCTGTGGCGAAGGTAACTATCAGAACCAAACTTAGCATTGAGTCACTTGGTATTGCACAGGCAGAAATGACTTATTTATCTTTGGAAGCAGATGATAAGATTCATGTTATATTTGTTGTTCTGTCTCAGTGCTGCTTCTTTTTTTTCCTTTTTTTAAATGCTTTATTTGATGATAAGACGAACTTAAGCTCGCGCTAGCAGCAGGCCTCTACCACGTGCATCACTGCGCATGCTGAGGCGCCTGTTAGCCAAAATGCTAGCTTTTGACTTAACATGTTGTCCCATAAAGAAATGATGAAGTAAATGTTGGTAGGGACATCTGAGTCAATGTGAGGAAATGCCAACAACTCTGACTGAATGGGACACCATCTAAAATGAGTTTTAGTCGACCTTCAGATTTACCATCTGCTCTTGTGCTCAGTAAAATATCTGATAAGGATTGTTTTCTGATTTTCACCTATATGAAGACAGGTCTTAATCCTTTTTCCAATCTTGAGCTGTCTTTTTATTACTGTTTGAGTTTTTTTTTTTTTTTTCATGCTATTGAGTAGTTTTTGCTTATAGTCCTGTGAACTGGTTTTAAGCAGTTTTCTGGTAGTCATCACATGGAAATGACTTGGAAATCACTTGTTAATCTTTGCTTTTACTTATGTTTGTGAAGTGCAGTAGATAAAAGTAGTGATTTCTTAAAGTCCTTAACTGAGGCTGCATGGATGCTCTTTCATCATGTGGTACACTTGGTCGTGGCAGAAAAATGACCATGCTTTTTTTCTTTTTCTCTCACTCAGGTCTTGGAGGCTTCAGAGGTTTGAATGCCAGGACAAGTACTATTGTAAGTTTCTCTAACATGGTTTATTCTGCCTATTCCATGTAAAAGTCGGTGATGATTCAAAGTGTAAGAGTAGTGGACAGAAGTGATTTCTGAGCAATTTTACACTGAGACTTTGTTGGCAAGTATTAATTTTACATTGTCTTGTTCAGTATGGCACTAAATGGTGTTTGTCCACAGGTCCCCAAGAAGTCAAGAACATGAAGCAGCTGATAAAGCCAAACAATGGTAAGGCTTAGTGAACAGGCAGTTTGGGAAATTGATGCATCTCTAGTGTGTCCTGATGCATCTTGACATTTGGGTGTTCTTGGACAACCTTGGAAACAAGATCATGTGGTCGGGACTTGCATTAGTCGAAACACAAACTGTTAAGACTGCACAGTGCCACACCTAGACAAGCATCAGTCAACCCTTGAGTTTGTATGTTCACGTGCTGCTGTGATGACATTTATTTGCTACTCTTGACAAGATGGATGACGATACTCTCAACCCACCAGTTGTTAAGCTGAGGCACAGGATTTAATGTCAAAACTTTAGGTTATTACTCTTCATCGCTCATCTCTGGTTTATTCCCTCAGGTGTGCAGCGCTGGCTCAAACAGATGTACTACATCCACAACAGGTACTAGATCAAACCTCTACTTTGTGTTCTCCCTCAACCAACTGTGAATGATGATCTTGTTTATTAAACAATGGGAATCTCTCTGAAAAGAGTGAAAGAGAACTTTTTGCTGATACAGTGCAGCCTCAGTAACACCTGCAACCTTTTTAAATAAGAATCTCTAAAGTGTTTGTCATTTTTTAACTTGCAGATGATGCAGATACAGCCTTGGATCTACTATGCATGTTCCTGGATCAGTTAAAGGTGAGTTAAATCAAGTGAAACTGTTACAAACCAACAGGCCTGATACAATGATGACTGCATAGTTCAGCAGATGAAACAATGAAGAATAACTGTTGTCTTTCGCTCCTATCTGATGTATCAGCCTTAATAATCATTTAGGCAATCTATTATATTGATTTTATTCAACAAGTTTTCATCTATTTTCAGGAACAAGTGTCTGGCATAAAATGAGGTCTAGTCAAGGTGAGTTTAAAGTACTGTGTACATTTATCTTTGTATTTGATACAGTGATGATTGCATAGTTCAGCAGATGAAACAATGAAGAATAGCTATTGTCTTTCGCTCCTAGCTGATGTATCAGCCTCAATAGTCATTGAGGCAAATCGTAGTATTTATTTTTATTTAACAATTTTTCATCTATTTTCAGGAACAAGTGTCTGGTGTAAAATGAGGTCCAGTCAAGGTGAGTAGGAAGTACTATGTACATTAATCTTTGCATTTGATACAGTGATGATTGCATAGTTCAGCAGATTATACTGTGACGAATAAACTGTCTTTCGCTCCTATCTGACGTGTCATATGTTCCACTACTTCACCCCTTTTGGGAGTGGTTTGGGTACTTGAATAACAAATATCCTGTCTCTCTGCAGACAGACACAAAACCTGGCTGTGAGCACTTCCTCAAAGCCCTGTGTTGGTAAGTAGAGTCTGTATTCTGAGACTGCTCAAATGTTCAGATGTGATGAATTTGAATCAGGTCGCTGATCCAGTTGAGGATATTTTGTCATTTTTTCTGATCTGACTTGTTCAGAATATTTCTTCACTCTTTGATCTTCATTATTTAATTTGATCTCTTTTTTTGACTTTGCAGACCCAGCTGGCGTTGGTAGCATGTGCTGGATGTCACAAAGGCATGGTAAGTAAGAAATGTGACAGCAGCACCTCAGACTCAGTTGACCAATATTTTTTTTTATCTTAATTGTACTTTTTTATTTATTTTTTGTAGTTGACCATCTGGGTCTGAGAGTTGCATGCTAGTTGGAATATTGTAATTAACTAAGACTGACCTGTATGATGACTTGTTGAACACTGACAACAAACCATGGAGTCTATCAATATTAGCTCTAGCTGATCTGGTCAGTGTGCTAATGTTCATCCTCATGTCTGGTGTGCATATTAAACTTATTTTATTTTTGTTTTTCTTAAGGCTAACCCTTTTGCGGTAGAGGACCACTTGGAAGACAAGTGACAGGTAAGAGTTTGGATGTTTAACACATTAAAATGCCTGAGGGTTTGCGCTACCTAGTCTGGTGTACAAGAATTGCAAAGTTCTTGAACTAGACTGGATTGTTTTAACTGAATGTAAATCAGCCACATTACCAGTGATGAAAAGATTCTGCCAAATGAATTGCGTTGATTATAACCCTTACCGTTCCATTATATCTGAGGTCATGTGGTCAATTCAACATTGATTCTGTCCTGCTCTTGGCACTTGCTTTTGATTTTAAACAAATCTGTCTGTTCCCTCAGGAATGTGTCTTCAGCCCTTAGACCCTTGGAGTGAAGTGTCCCACATTGACAATATTGGCACAAGTGAGTATGAAACTGAATACTAATAGTATATTTTCCTGTAATGCAATGTAAAAGATTGTGCTTGGAAAATGACAATTTCATTCCCAGTAGTTTTTAAAAAGGCCTCATAGGTCTCTACGCTAATTGATTTTTATTATTTTTTTCTTCTCAGGTGCTGCATCTTGTATGCTGTTCTTGGAGGCCATTTGACATCTGCAGCTTGAAGAACATGTGAAATGTTTTGAATTATTTGCCAATAAAAGTAAAAACGCATTTTCTTTGTCTGTGGTTGTTTTTTTTTGTTTTTTTTTTTCATTCCCCCACGAACAAAGTGGTACGACTGAGTATTAGGGCCACATTTAGAAAAAGAATTTAAGACTTCGTAATTACTTATGAGAATAAAGTCGTCGTAAAATCATTACTTATACGAATGAAATTGTAGACGATGGCTATTCAAATCTATTGTTACTTTTAATGAGCACTGGCGCTTTTAGATGAATTGAACTTAAGTAGCCTGGTTTCACAAACAAAGAAATCCTTTGGTGTTTCAGCATCACATAGTCGTAAGTATCAGGACATGTGCAAGAAATGCATCTTTCTGCTGAAAGAACCAGGAGGACTTGTAGAGAATAGCTGGTTTTGAGGAGGGGAAGTGGCTATGCAGAGGCTAAATCCCTCGATGCAGCTGTTTATAGCAATAGCCATATGTCTGTAGGCTAACCCAATATAGGTGACTACATGGGGGTTAGCGCCATTTTGAGGGGTGTCCGAAACCTCATTTATATATTCCAGTGCCCTATATAGGTGACTCAAAATTTCCCATAAAGCATTGCAAAATGAAGTGACCATCCAATGGTCACTCACCGGTGGTGGGCATCACGTCATGCATTGCGTCTTGCCATGTAGTGTCCAAAACCTGTGGTGATTGAGTTCACTACATTGTCAGTTTATATGGTGAAACCCCATATGCGGGTTAGGGATTGAGTGATTCATTTCGGACACAGCCTTTGATCCCTTTTGAACACATTTGTTAAAAATTGGTTGACCAATGCCTCGGTATCAGTGTATATGGTAAATAACAGTTGGCTTTAAAGTGAAACAGTTTGAAGCAATACCCATGGCCCTCTTAAAAGCCCCCCCTTTAAACGGCTCTGGCAATCCCTCACTGTGTGGGGGAATACATGTAACCGGAAATGACGCCGTTCTTGCTCGCAGATCGTTAAAAACGGGTTTAGCCAGATGGTTGCTTTATTTTTTAACTTTTCTGGTTTCCCTTTCCTGTTTTGCGTGTAGCATGTAACTACCATATTACTGTTTTTGACTGTTAATATCCGACACTCTTGAAAAGTCTAATGACGATTAACGAAGGCGGGCGGAGTCGAGGGACAGCGAACCGCGCCGTACAGGAAGCCAAAACGAGCGCCCCTTCGGTGAAACGGGGAGAGGTGCTCTGGATCCCCCCCAATCCAGACCACCAGCGAAGGTCCAGGTCTGAATAAATGGGACTGAAATATCAAGGAACGGTGCACTTTCTTGTTTTTTCCGTCTAGGACCAGCCTCTTCACCGATGTTTGTGCGGTGGTTGCTCCCCGTGTTGTGCTCTCTGTCTGCAGAGGCTGACTTCTTCCACTTGGACAGCATTTCTAATGTCTCCACTTACTATTTTAATTACATTTATTGCAATATATGGGAGGGAGATTGTCAGCCTAACCAAGATGATGCTACACAGCAAGGTAAGGGAATGAAACATCGCATATAATATTGGAAGATTAAAAATGACTAGTGCTAAAAGAAGCTATCAAAAGCATTTCTGTGATGCTAGTCAAATTTGTTGCCTGTCACGAGACGAACATAATTGACTCTACTCTTATTGCTTTACTGTTTTATAGCCTGGACTATGGCATTGACTTCGACTCATGTTATTCAGTAACAAAAGCTTAGTGTGAAAAGCTGTCTGAATTTGTTTATGATATTGTTGTTGTTGTGATTTTGCTGTTAATTTCAGCAGTTCCCACCAGGGATATCTGGGCAGGTTTTTCTCAAGACTATGTCAGCCTGCTCCATCAGTGGTACTGTAGTCTGGGCCAGTGCTGTGACTCTGGAGACTGCAGGATAACCAACAACATCACAGGTATCACAATCCAGCCTCCTTACAGTTACAGTGTCATTTAGTTCTACAGTGTGTACTCAAAATATTAACCCTTCATTATGCATTTTTTTATGATTTAAAGTGTGTTTTCAGATTCCTGTTTAGCTCACACAGGTTGTCAAAAACTTTTAGTTTCTTCTCCCCTTCAAAAAGAGAATAAAACCTGTTTATTGTTTGCTGTTTTAGTTGTAGATCTACCAGTCAGTGTCCTCCAAGTTCAATTAAACTTGAGTAAAACTTCTAAAATTATCACATCAGTGAAAGAGTTGTATTCCTCATAGTGGTGATATGCAGAGAACATCATTTAAAAGTGAACATTTCTCATGGTTTTTGGTTTTCAATGTTTTACAGTTTTGGACTTGAGAGGTGCATTGCTTTTCTTGAGCTGTAATTAGAGACTTATTCGCTGTTCATTAGCTCCATTTGACATTGAGTATAATACCTAAATACTGAACGTTGTTGCCTTACAGCAGAGTTACTAAGTGGAAGCACTGCACCCATTCAGGAATATTCTTTATCTACTACTATTCTTTAGCATGCTTTCTCCTCTTTGTGCACGTGCAGGTCTGGCAAGGGACCTCCAGACAAAGCTCCACGGACAACACCTTGCTCAGTCTGTGGTTCTGAAAGCCATTCAGGGTTTTATCAATAACCCAGAATCCAACAAACCGCTGACTCTGTCCTTCCACGGCTGGTCTGGAACAGGCAAGAATTTTGTGGCCAGGATCATTGCAGATAACCTGTACCGTGACGGGGTGAAGAGTGAGTGCGTTCGCCTGTTCATTGCACCATTCCACTTCCCACATGCCAGGCTAGTGGACACGTACAAGGTGAGAGTTGCAGGGCCCTACTTGGCGCAGGTTTTGATGTTCTGTGCTAGGATTATGTTGGCATTATTCTTGGGATCCTCTGTTTGCTTCATTAGATGTTTAGTCTGTGTGTTGAAATTTGGCTGGGGAATGGTCTGGATCGATGTTTGTGCGGCTGAATCAAATCAAACATTAATCCTGCACACGCTCACATGCATTGCCTGGTGTTTGCCCCACTAGGTCATAAGTGCCAATCTGGTGCAATTTAAACACTGTTTTGCATAATCCTTACTTCAGCATGGAAAACAAAATGTTGACTCAACATAATTACACAATCTAATTCAGATTAAAAAAGGGTATAGTTCACAGGATTACCTTTAACCTAATTTTTTTTTAAATCTGAGAAGCCCTTTAACCTAAATCCCTCTACCTCTCACTTTTTTTGTTTTGAGTGTTAAAAACTCTCAGTAACAGTTTTACTTAATCCTCCTCTCTGTATCCAGGGCCAGCTGAGAGAGGCAATCCGGGATTTGGTGCTGCGCTGCCCTCAGACGTTGTTCATCTTTGACGAGGCTGAGAAACTCCATCCAGGCCTCATTGATGCTATCAAGCCCTACATGGATCACTATGACAATGTAGATGGCGTCAGCTATCGCAGAGCCATCTTCCTTTTCCTCAGGTTGGTCTCTATAGCAGGAGCATCCTGTCAGATGATTCAGAACCTCAGAGTATATTTCATCTTTGGCCCTGATATTTGGCTGCTCTGTGATGTTTCTCCAACCTACATTTCCCTCCTGAATAAATTGTTTGGTTACTTATCTCCTCTTGCTGATCTTATATTTCTTCTAGAAATATATTTTCCACTCCACAGTTGTGGTCCTTAAGTATTTTACAAGACATGGTAACTCTATGATTACATACACAAAGTAACTCAGTAAATATCACAGGACATTTTGTGAAAAAGATAATTTCCCTTTTTATAACACATTTGTCTCAGTAATGCAGACAGTTTTAATAATCAATATTTAGACATCATGAAAATACAGCTGTCAATAATTGAAGAGATTTGACGTAACGCTTTTTTTTTTTGCATGTTCTCTTTCTCACCACAGTAACATTGGTGGAGCAACAATCAATGATGTAGCTCTTGACTTCTGGCACTCTGGTCAAAATCGGGAGGACATTGGCATGGAGGACTTGGAGCATCGGCTTCGAGCTGAAACTATGGAGTCTCAAGGTACACTGCAGATGTTAGATTTGAGCCCTCAGCTGGTGACCAGATGTTTAACTCTCTATAGTGGTCTTTGGAATTGTTTACTTCGGCTCTCTGCCATTTGGCCTGGGTGGGAACTGATGTATCAATTTTTCCATGGTTGCGGAGGTGGTGTGAGGGTTGTTCAACTATTTTAACTTCTTTGGGTAGTCAGAATAGAGCTGCAAAGAGAAGAGATCTGCAGTGCATCTTTATTCCTAGATTGTTGGTATAATAATCCCTTCACAATCTGTCGTAAAATCCATTGATGATATCATTTTCTTATAGTCCTCATTTTTCTTTATGGTTGTTTTTCCCAGGTGGATTTGCTCAGAGTGAGCTGATGTCAGGCCACCTTATAGACTTCTTTGTGCCATTTCTGCCTCTTGAATATCGGCATGTCAAACTCTGTGCACGGGACGCCTATGCAGCACGAGATCTAGAGATGGATGAAGCTACACTGGATGAAGTCGCCAAGGCGATGCTGTATGTGCCCAAAGAGGAGAGACTCTTCTCAGCCCAGGGTTGCAAGTCCATTCCCCAGAGGATCAACTTCTTCCTTCCCTAAAACAAGAGACAGACAGACAGAAAGAAAGAGAGACCTGGAGGAGGTGTAAGAACGTTTTTCCAACCCATGCAAACAGAGCCGCAGAGAAGAGGTGTCTTCTCTGCTCTGCAACACGTAGCCCCACCCACCACAGATGCAATATGTGTCTGTCCAGGTTTCACAGAGAATGCCAGGCAGAAGGGCGGAACTTGTATGAGTGGGTAGAGCAGCAGGACCCTGCCTGCAGACATAAAAGCTGAAGACCCTCATCAGGTGCAGCTGCTCTTCCTCACCTGCTTGGTGTGAATTCCTACAGTACAAACCCTGGGAATTGAAGAAAGACGCACACATGGGGGTAGAATGTGCCATAGAGGGTTACTGATGCGTTGCTGTCACACTGTTTATGTTCGCAACATATTTTTATGTTTAGATAGGGTCCTACTTCATGTGTCATTATTTGCATGTCAGACATCATTCTTTTGTAAGCGTTGATTATTTATTTATAAGAATTGTGCCATTATTTTAGCACTTGACCTGGCCAGGTTATTTCTGTGGAGGTGTTTCAATGCACATTTTGTGGCACAGTAAAACATAAGGGAAGACGACTGTAGTGCAGACAGTGTGGAATGTGAACAACTAATGAATATAGGTATGTGGTTCAAATTTGACAGAAATGGTAGATTATAAAGTGTGTTAAAAGCAGTAAATCTTTGTCAGAGTTTGTGTAAAAAAGGGTTAATGACACTTGGTTGAAATATTTTTTAAAGATATCAGTTTGATTATATTGTTACCTGACACATATCTGGGTTTCATCATAGTTCTGTGTACACTGCTGTGAATTTAGGGAAAGTTCTCAAATATAATTTTATAATTTCAACCTACTTTATCACTATCGTTTCATCACTCACTGTCACACACTCTCACCTGGGCCTGTGTGTATGCTGAAATAAAAATTGACACTTAAGTCCAAACCCACAAAATCTGTTGCATTTTCTGTCAAAGAATGAGTCGTTGTAATATTTTGATATTTAAAGCTCCTGTGAGAAACTGTAGATTTGTAAGGATTTTGTCACCCTTTTTGGAGTTGCTGGTTTTTGCTGATTTTGCATGTGCCGTTAATGATTACTGACAAAAAGTCTCATTTTATTTTCTCTTAACAGTGAAACACATCACTAAATATGTTATTTTTTTCTGTAAAACTTTCTGTTTTATACTGCTAATCGTCTGACACTTATGCCCCTGCCAGTTGTGTCAGACATTTAAAATCACATCCCAGAAACAGTCTTTCTTCTTTTCAATGGCCATGTTTCCTTTTTAGGACCTAAAGACCCATACATATGGATTTCAGTCCATTTAACAACTAGCTAAAACCATAGACTGAACATAGAATCCTTGCTGGGTGAGGCCACTCACCCAGTATAGGTCATAAATCCCGCCTGTGCCAGCAAAGCTAATAAAGCTGTGGACAAACTTTATACATTTATTACACAGAACATACATTTTTCCCCCCTGCTTGCGATGTTGACATGTAGTTACTATTAGACTGGTTTGTGCTCAAGTCCTCTTTTTTCTGTACAGCTCCATTTTTAAAAGTTATTAGGGGGTTCATGTTTTCTATGATTGACACCTGATACAGCCTACAGGCGTACAAGGATTGCGTTGCTCACACGGGAGATACGCTGTTTGAGCCAAGCATCATCACAGTGACTCCCTGCAACTCTCCCGCCGAATGCATACAGTGCTACTGCGCAAGTGGTGGAGTACGTACAATGTTATTGCCCAATGTTGGTTTCAGGAGATGGAGCGAAAACACGTAATTAACGAGAGCTTTTTGGCTTCGAATCTGTATATTGGCAGAAGGTGGAACCGAGTTGTCCATAGTATACACAGTCTATGCTAAAGACACATACATATGAATTCCAGTCCATTTAACAACTAGCTAAAACCCTTTACTGGAGCTTTAACCTTTCATCTGTACATTTTATTTTATAATGGAAGCTTATCCCGTACAATGCAATGAAATTAGCTAAAAAATATTTCAACTTCTCAGCTTTGATTTTTTTAATTATTATTATTATTATTGTTATTATTATTATTATTTTGCTTTCTGCCCTTTCAAGAGGCATACTAATGAATTTCAGTATTTGTAAAATAATGTTTTTTAAAACATCTGTGAACAACAAGACTGATTTACTTCGATTTATCCGTATTTCTTGCGATTTTCTATACATGATTCATCGCCGGCGCATTGCCCCCTCTTGGGCGTGTATCAAGCAAACGCGTGGTCTGCTTCCATTGGCGAGAGCAACGCTCCATCAAGATAGTCTCTTCTCCCATTGGCCAGAACAGAAAAGGTTTCCTGATTGAGGACAGGGGCTGACATCCAATCAGATTCAGACATCTGTTCCGAGGCGAGAGGAGAGCGGCTTCGGCGTCTCAGCATTTTTCACTGTATCATTACTGTATGAGAGATTAGACTGACTAATAGCAGCTGCTGTGCAGTGTAGATAGGTAATTTGAAGTTACCTGTATTTGGATTGTTGTTTGTTTGCATTATTATTGAGCAGGGGGGTCTTGTCTGGCACAATGACAGTCCTGTCGCTGCTGTTGCTGGCTCTGTCGGCCGCATCTGTGCTGGCCGAGTCTACTGTGTATCTCCGAGAGCAATTTGAAGATGGGGGTGAGGTCCTTCACTTATAATCATGCCGAGATTGTTTCGTTGCTATTCTTTGGTTTGCATTGCAAGTCTATTAGATTAAAACGATGGTCAAATTAAGAGGCAGAACTGGTCTTCATGTTGGGATGTATTGGTATGATTGTTAGGGATGACAAGTTCTGATTTTACACCCATCTCTTTGATGCATCATTTGCCTTCTGCTCAATTTCAGATGTATTAAGTCAAAATGAACACCATTTGTTTTTTGACCCTCCCATCCCTCATTTCCTCACCATCCTCTTCCCCACAGCCATCATCAAACCCTGTCTGTCTACCCATCCCCCATTTGCACAGCCCACCCCTGGTCACCCACTGTACCCCTCTCCTTAGCAGTCGTATTATCTTTGGACTCCAGTCTTAAGGCAGACAGCGCATGGAGTCACAAAGACTGGTCCTTCTTGGCAGTATAACATAATCCCAGAGCTCTTGCACTGATGCATCACCAGTGGGGGATTGGCAGGTTGTGAGTGACTGAACCTCCACTTGTTTTTGCAGATGCCTGGAAGAGTCGCTGGGTGGAATCCAAGCACAAGTCAGACTATGGCAAGTTTGTTCTGACGGCAGGGAAGTTCTACAGAGATGCTGAGAAAGACAAAGGTGTGTGAAAATGTTAAAACAGTTATCACCATAGACTGTGCAGACTGTCATCACTGACATTGTCCCAGGCATTGAGCTGGGATTTTTTTTTATAATACAGGTGCATCCTCTGTCTCAAGTTTGTTTAGGAAGTGTGATGGGAGACAAATGAATGGTTCTTTTTGAACTTGCTCTGGACTAGAGTTTGGATGAGACAGAGTCTGATTTGTTTGAGATATCCTGCCCAGATGAGAGTACTCTGGATGTAGGAATCTATACTCTTTATCTGAAAAGTATTTGAAATCATCCCACAAAGCTGTCTCTGTAGTACAACCTTATAAGAGACAGATTCAGATTCATAGTTTCGTGAAATAAACTAACTTTAGATGATCTAACTTTTTTGTTACAGGTCTGCAGACAAGCCAGGATGCCCGCTTCTATGCCATGTCTTCCCGTTTTGATGACTTCAGCAACCAGGGTCAGCCTCTAGTCATCCAGTTCACAGTGAAACATGAGCAGAGCATCGACTGTGGCGGAGGCTACATCAAACTCTTTCCCTCAGACCTCAATCAGGAGGACATGCATGGAGACTCAGTTTACAACATCATGTTTGGTAAGTGCAGATGATTTATCAGTGACAGAATGAAATGATATGTATTCTCTTTCACATTTAATCTTTTTTTGTTGTTGTTCTAAACATCGATTACTGGGAGTGCATAGTTTTCTTTTATTAAGATGGATTTAAGATATTTCTTATCCTTTGTCTACCTTTTTTTTTTGCTTCTTTTAACTGTTCACTCAAGGATCACATTCATACTTTTATTTATTTAAGTGTTTAATTGTTTGTTTGTTCAGGTCCTGATATCTGCGGCCCTGGCACAAAGAAAGTTCATGTCATCTTTAACTACAAAGGCAAGAACCATCTGATTAACAAGGACATCAGATGCAAGGTGAGACACCATTTTATTGGTATTGTATTTACTAAAGGATTATTGCACCCCAAGCAAATTTCTCTGTTGTATTTAGACTTCTTTAATTTTCCTAGTTCGTATCGCTCCTGTTGTCCACACCATGTTAAAATGAAAATTTCAAAGACACTTTGCACATGTCCTACATTATAAACAAATTGTATGTAAATTGTGGGGAAATAAAACCAAGTCTGACAGGTTGCTGACATTTCTTTCATGCTCTGCAGGATGATGAGTACAGCCACTTGTACACACTCATTGTCAACCCTGACAACACTTACGAGGTCAAGATCGACAATAAGAAGGTTGAATCTGGCAATCTAGAGGATGACTGGGACTTCCTGCCTCCTAAGAAAATTAAGGACCCCGAAGCAAAAAAGCCAGAAGACTGGGATGACAGAGAGAAGATTCCTGACCCTGATGATAAGAAACCAGAGGTCAGTCTGCTCTAGTCAATCTAGAAATTGTCTGTTTTGTCACTTTTGAGTTTTTTTTTCTGTGCTTAATTGGTATCAAATAGATCAAAATGTTTACAGTACGCCTTTGTGAGGCAGTGCCTTTAATTGTATCTCTGTTGCAGGATTGGGACAAACCTGAAAACATCCCAGATCCTGATGCTAAGAAGCCTGATGACTGGGATGATGAGATGGATGGAGAGTGGGAGCCGCCAATGGTCTCTAACCCGGATTACAAGGTGAACAGAAAATAATGAAATCTGTTTTCAAATCAACCCCTCAGCTATGTCATGAGTAACATTTTAGATAAAGAACCAACAAAAAAAAAGTTTCTTTAGTGGTACTTGAAATATGCAGTATTTTCCACAGCAAGTGGTCTACTTCCATGGAGAAGTTACTCCTTGTTTTCTAGTAAAACTAGATTATCTGTCACTCTGTCCAGGTACACTTCTTGACTGAACAGTTGGTTTGCATGTGTGTGTCTTCTGACATTAACCGTTCTCTCTATGTTTGCTGTCAACAGGGTGAGTGGAAGCCCAGAGAGATCAGTAATCCTGCCTATAAAGGCAAGTGGATCCACCCGGAGATCGACAACCCAGAGTACACTGCTGATTCCGAGATCTACAAATACGACAGCATTGGCGTGATTGGACTCGACTTGTGGCAGGTAAGGAGATAACATCACTTTCTGTCTCCTGAATCAGAATGAGCCTTATTGGCCAAGTATGTGTACACCTCCAAGGAATTTGAATCCAGTAAACTTTGCCCCCTATGTACACACATTTAACATGAAGTGTTACAAAAATGAAAAGAAAATTACAAAAATTACAAAGTATCTACAAAACAAACTAGACATTTCTGTGACCTTTATTAAATGCATGGTTTGCTATTTAATTTTGTGCAGAGATTGTACTCAGGCAGCATTCACAAAAGGGCTCTCACTCTCTGAACTTGCATGGATCACCTGATTTATAATACACATTTTTGCCTATTTTAATGCAGGTCAAGTCTGGTACTATCTTTGATAACTTCCTGATCACCAACGACCCAGCCATGGCAGAGGAAGTGGGCAATGACACCTGGGGTAAAACTAAGGTGAGTTTAATAGTTCTGCCTCAGTATGGTAAAGACTGTATTGATCAAGCCCAATCATGAATTTTACCTTTTTGGAAGCTCATGTCACCAAATTATATTTCTTGATAGGTTTATATGTAGATAAAAAATCTTTAGATGTGTTCATCTACAAACAGCTTTGCCCTTCAGTGGTCATTTCTCACTTCTGCGAATTTATCGTTCAAACATGCGCTGTCTCCAGGATGCAGAGAAGAAGATGAAGGAAAGCCAAGAGGAGGAAGAGAGAAAGAAACGTGAGGAGGAGGACAAAATGAGGAGAGAAGAGGCCAAGGAGGAAGATGAGGAGGAAGAGGAAAAAGATGAGGAGGAGGAAGAAGAGGAGGATGAAGAAGAGGAGGAGGGCATAGAGCAGGAGGAGGAAGAAGAGGATGATGGAGACACAGACTCTCAACTCAAGGATGAGTTATAAACTCTATGCAGGAACTGCTCAGATAAAAGTCTGACTGCCTGTGTCAATGAGCCATTGGAACAACTGCAGTAAGAAATGATGGAGCCTCGTGACTGACACCCGGGGGTGGGGTGGGGTTGGGTGGGATGGGGTTTTTCATGTATTTGTTTGTTTACAAAGCCAGAAAGTGGGTAAAAAGGGGCAACTCTTGCTCTTTTTACTGTTTCCATGTACTACTATTAATATTGTAATAATAGTTATTATTATCATACGAGGAGTAGTTATGATAAAGTGTCAAATAGAATGTCAAAGCAGGAAAGCTAAAGTTGTTATGCAGTTCATGCCTAACAAATGTGTAAATTGTCATTTTTGTTTTGAAAAATCTGGATTTTATGAAGTATGATGTTGTGCTGACATGAAAAGCTATATTCAGTCTGCTGATGATACCTTGAAATTGTTTTGTTTACCTCATGTGTTTCTGTTTTCTCATTAACTTGTGTTTTTTTAATAATTTTTGTAGACTGTCTCATTGTCTCTCTCAAATCTCCTCATCACTCTGATCTTGGTACAATGTCATTATGCAGGATGTTTTGACTGCTCTTATTTAAGTCTCTCCAGTTGAAGCAAAGGTCAATGGCATGGAACAAGGTGTGTAAAGACTGACATACACTAAACCTGTTTTTTGTTTTTTTAAAGCTGCTGTGCATAGGATGGTGAAATGAGATGCTATAAGATTAAGATCTTTGGATAATTTTGTTTTGTATAGTTTACACGTTTACACTTCAACAACACTACTCTAGTCCTCTTTGTGTGTGTGCCACATAAGCTGCTCAAATTCAGATGTACATCAAGAACACTCCAGTAGCAGGAAAGCCTCCTTTCATGTGGTGGCCATTCACTTTAGGTTAACTCATTGATGGTGTGATCACAACCAGTTTCATGATTTCTGATTCTAATATTTCTGCACTGCTGTACCCCAACAAACGGTTCCAAATACAGTCTAAAAGAGGACTCTTTTGTAAAAGACACATTTTCTACTAATGGTAGTAATTAAAGTGGGGAGATTTTAATGTTGCTGTGTGAAAAAACTACATGCAGGAGTTCTGTCCAATAAAAATTACCAGAAGAAAATGAGAAAATATGTCTCCTAATTGTTACTATAGTAGTGTAAGTTACTTGGGAAAAAATGTAGATGTTTTTGACATGTTTATTTTTTACTTTATTTACCTACTCCAACTTTAAAACTGAATCTAAGTGACAGCTTAGTTTACAAAAAGATTTGAGATGTCAGATCTCACTTAAAAAACACTTTAAATGTTTAGCTGTTGTAATTTAAAACATCTTAAAATGATTTTTGGTAATTAAAGATGACTTAAAGTTGTCATAATTTAATAGCAAATATCAAAATAACGCTTTTTCAGGTTACCAATGTACTTATACTCACATTTTTTACATAGCTGTCAGAGCCATTGCTGTTGCTGACAATATTTGAAGTAGTGTCCTCAGTGTGTCTCTTTATTTTAAAATGTTGGACAAATACTAACCATTATGTTTATGTTTGTTTTTTTCACTTTTTGTCAACACCAATTTTAATGCTATTTTCACAGTTGTGTGCATATTCATGAGAAGAAACTGTAGTTCTATTCTTATCACTATTTCTTGAAGAGTGGATAGTGCTTTAAAATTTAGACCACTCTATTATTAAATAAACCAGAGAGAGTATTTAAATTTTTATATTAAAGAAAACTGTTTTCAGTGAGGTGGCCTGGACGATTTTTTTCCACATGACTTTGAGTCTGTTTGAAATCCTTGCTCGAACCTTCACTGTTAGATTGCCCCTGTTGTGGTCCAAGTATTTTCCCATCCTGGCGCTATTGTTAGTAGGGAAGAGAGGGTTAAGTTGAGCCAAAAGGTAAGTTGAGTTGTCTCCTGTTGCTTGGAAATGGTAAAAGAAATTGATTGTGTGACCAAATATTTAGGAGATGGGCATCAATTCGGGGAGTCTGTGAAGGTTAGAAGCACATGGGTGAAGGGGTTAGACATTTATTTTAAAAAAAAAACATTTTTCACCCTTGAAAGTGAATTTAGGCTGTCATAAGTTTTATTAGAATTGTGTTCAGACCAAAAAATATCATTTTACATTTGTTTTATACATCAATTGTGGTATCTATGAGCTACAACATGAGGTCAAAAACCTAAACATAAAAGTCCACCATTTTAGTTTAGAGGACTAATAAAGTCATTATCATTCCTGTTTCCACGAAATCAAGCCCTTTTTAAGTTCATGCATTTTAATACTGTTTCTGTTGCAAGTAGATAGTGGGGTGGGAATGAGGGGTTGAGCTGGGGTTGATTTGGGTATTCTTTTAATCTTGGGTTGGGGTAAAATTGGGTATTCTTTGTTTCTTTTATTCCTTTTTCTGTGTGAAGCACTTTGTGCTACATGATATGTATGAAAAGTGCTATTTAAATAAACACTGATTGATTGATATCTTAGTTATGGGGTAAGTTGATCCAGTGGCTCAACTGAGAAAGTAAAGGAGTCTGATGAGAGAATCAGAGTTTCAGTTCAGATTGTTGAAATGTTTTACTTTTTCTTTTCAAAAATACAGCTGTGAATGTTCTGAATCACTCAAAGTCATTCTCATGTTAAAATGGCTTTTTAAAAAACAGCTTTTTTTGCAGTTGTATGCAACAATAATAATAAAATAATTATTGTACCAGTTGAATAGTGTATAATGGATAAAAATACACATGAATGTGAAAAAGTGACTGTTATTTAGAGAGAGAGAAGGTGAGAGTGGGCTGGGGTGGAGAGTGAGGGGGTAGTAGGGAAATGGCTCAACTTACCCAGCTCCTATGGTCAACTTACCCCATGTGGTAAGTTGACCATAATAGACCACTTTTTTTTGCAAGTTATATTATCAATACAGTTATCTTTACACTCATTTTGTTGGTTTGCAGGGATGCACAACATCTTGAAATATATGTAGATACACTAGTTAGAGACAAAACTATGATCGCCTTGATGTAGTGATCAGAAATATGAAAAATGGCTCATGTTACCCCACTCTCCCCTATAATTTTCTTGTTGAGGTTTATGTTTTCTGTTTTAGTCAACAAAAACCCCAGGCTCCGGTGGCTCCTGTAGCGTGGGTCCAGTGCCAGGTTTTACAGCGGCCCCTGTCTGTGTCTGGCAGCAGCGCAGCATGAGAGCAGTGGGAAACAGAAACACTATGGCTGCCACTCTGTCTCTTACTCAGGTAACAGTGTCTTACAACTCAAATATAACGACAGCAAACGTCTCATGGCTCCTGTCTGATTTGCTCGGAGACATTTTAGTATTGTTAATGAAAGTATGTGGGCTGAAAGGCGAGCTTATCTCGAGCCTGATCCCCCTTTTTGGAAGTTGAGTGCTGCTCTGACTGGGAAAAGTTTCTGCCTAATCTCTTTGGGGACTGCGTAAGGGCGTAGCTAGCTAGCTAGCCTGCTTGCTAACAGCAGTTTGTGTGAAGTGTTGTGCTGTTTTAGAGCCGCTTTGTCAAACTTGAGATAAGCCTCGTTGTGTAAATTGGCTTCATTTCGGCAGGGAGTGCGTATAATCACGTTTTGTGCAGCCTCGTTTTTACTGCAGGCTAGTTAGTTCAGGCTGAAGAGATGTTAGTACGAGATAACTCATGTGTGGCTTATCTGTCATATCTTTGCTCACATTGTTTTTAGCACAAATGAACCAAGCAAGTTTTAACATTATAGAGTTTGTTATGAATTTACAAGATGCGTAAGTGTTGGACCAGTCGACTAACCACTCTAGGGTTGTTAAACCAGGCAAACGTGCTGTCCTGACTGGGTTTGTGGTTTCTGTGACCTTTCTGAAGTGGACTACATATCTGTTAGCTGCTGGGCTGTGTGCTGTCCGCAGTGTTAACATGTGAAACTCCAAACCGATGCTGTCTGTTGTTTTGCAACCCAGTAAGAGGAAGTGAGCTTGGGTAGTCACCAGTCAGCACTGCAGTTACAAAATGCCTCCAACTATTGCTAGCTAAATTAAACACTCCAATGTGTTTGTTTGCTCAGTAAGGAAGTTATTTAGCAGGCAGCTCCCAGAGGTATGGCACAGTCTCAGACCTGTTACCTGAGCCACTGTTGCCTCTATCAACAGAGCAGAACTGTCTGCCACCCACAACATTTCTCTTTGCTAACTTACAAACCTGTGTTGATGTCAGTGGTGAAGCAGGCGGTCAACTTCCCCTCTTGATATTACAAGTGGTATTAATGTGTTTCATTGCAAAGGGTGGATAAAGATTGAGACTCCTTAAACTGCACTGTCCTGTTGAACCCTCTTTACTATAGGGGGGAGTGGGGTAAGATGAGCCAAAGGGTAAGTTGAGCCACCCCCTGTTGCTTGGAAATGGTAAAAGAATTTGATCATTTGACCAAATATTTAGGAGATGGGCATCAATTCATGGAGTCTGTGAAGGTTAGAAGCACATGGGTGAAGGGGTTAGACATTTATTTCCTAAAAAACAACAACATTTCACTCTTGAAAGTGAATTTAGTCTGTCATAAGTTTTATTAGAATTGTGTTCAGGCCAAAAAAGATCATTTTACATTTGTTTTATACATCAATTGTGATATCTATGAGCTACAAAATGAGGTCAAAAACCTAGCATAAAAGTCCACCGTTTTAGCTTAGAGGACTAATAAAGTTATAATAGTAGTTCTGGGGTAAGGTGAGTCACTTTTTAACACTTATATGCAATAATAAAAAACAGAATTATTGTACCCATGTATGGTCAACTTACCCCCATACACGGGGTAAGTTGACCATAGGAGACCACTTTTTTTGGCATGCTATATTATCAAGACAGTTATGTTTACACTCATCCTGTTGGTTTGCAGGGATGCACAACATCTTGAAATATGCAGATACACTTGTCAGAGACAAAACTATGATTGCCTTGATGTAGTGATCTGAAATATGAAAAATCAAAGAATCAGAATGTCCTTTATTGTCATCATACTAAAAGTACAACAAGATTGGAGCACTTCTCCTTTTCCAGTGCAATAGACAAGTAAAAATACGGTAGTAAAAGAACAAATAGTCCTAAGAAAGAAGGTACTGTATGTACAAGACAAGAATTCTACAGAACAGTAAAATAAAACATATGTATGAGAATAAAGTAGAAAGATAAATACTAAAAAGAAATATCAAAAGTAAATATATGTACGTGTGTTTATATATATTTATATATGTACATTTTTTGTATATGTATATGGACAAAAATGGCTCATTATACCCCACTCTCCCCTATCTGTAATGTTTTTCTCTTTGCTGTCTATCACACTCATGTATGGGCTTTCTGGGCAGTGTTTGAGGCTTGTTTTTTCAATGCTCAATTAAAGAATCCCCAGTACAATGACGACAGTGTTACAGCCGCCAACAGTTCCAGGCACACCATTGTGTGTCGCAGAAAAGAAGTTGTACAGGCCACGCGAAGATAAGTGTGTGGACAGTTATCTGGTGGTAGATGGCAGTTGACAAAGCTGACACATAACTATTCTGATTGGGGCAGAGTTGTTTCTGCAAGTCTTCTTCTCCACGAAGACAGATCACCGCTGTACTCATGCTTTTGTTTAACACTCAGTAGATTTGGCAGTTTGTTTGATATGAACGGCCACTCCCCTATTGATTCACAGTTCAATTTTGCTCCACCTGTTTCCTCCTTTCCTGCACCTGTCGATTTAAATGCACCACAACCAGTATAATTTTCATCTATATGGAGAAGGAAATGCTGATGCCGTTCCTGTTCAGCCTAGCTGTAGACAATAGAATAAGAAGAAAGAGGAAAGGGAGGCGTTTAGAGAGGAAAAGAGAACACAGACTTGACTGCTCTCTGTGGAGTGACACCTTGTACTAACTGTCTGAAGCTCACGCTCTGGTTTGTGTCCTTAAGTTAGGGTGTGAGTTAGCAGAAGTGTATTGTCCTGACTCAGTGTAAGACAGACACTATAATTCTCTGGAAAAAGCTTGGGCAAGAAGCTAACAATAGATACCCAAGAAACATTTACTGGTGTCATCAAGTTAATATCTGTTTACTGCTTTTCTTTGCAGTGTATTGTTGTGAATTGTTTGTATCTGGAGTGCTTTGCAGTCGTGGACACCTACAGCTCTGGAGGCGGTGATTCAGAAAAGTTGCAATTTTTGTTGTGATTTGGCGCTATATAAAAAAAATTGATTTGATTTGATAATTAAATTATTATTTGTCGTGTTGCCTAACTCTATATGGTGGTCAGCCTTCCCAAACTGTTCACGTGGTGGAAAAAATGTCACTTTATTTAATGTTAAACAGACCTTACAAGAGCTGTAGGGCAGACCAAACTAGACGATATTTGCACATTTTTTTCTAAGCATTGATTTAAGTCAGCGTGTTAATGTTTCACAAGCAAATGTTTTTCATAGCTGCTGTAGTAAAAGCAAAGGGTATGGGTCTGATGAGTTATGATGATTTGAAGATATTGGTTAAAGTCTGTGTCCTTCATTCTCCATCTGTAATGGATCAGACTCCTTTTCCCTCACAGCTGTCTCGGCTCAAGAGATGAAATGCTTGTGGGAGTCTTGTTCGTCGTTTGAGCTTAAACTACTAAAAGTGCAGAATTAAGAGAGGATTTGAATGTGTTTGTATATTCACAGTCTGATCATTTTGAGTGTAACTAACCACTCAGTCAAATAACTGGGCACAAGTAGGGTTGTCGAAGTTTTTGAGGTGATCCCAGATATGGTATGTGAAAGAGTTTGGTAAACTCTTAAGATTCACTGTTTTTATGATAATATTTATTTCTTTGTCTTCACAGCTTTCCAGTGGAAATCCCATTTATGACAAATACTACCGGCAGGTATGGAAAACATCCTCCTCAAACCTTGAAGTTTAGTGACAAGATTAACCATAAAGTCTTTTATGAAGTACTACGTCTTTCATGTTGCTTAAAAAGGTGCAGCGTTTTGTTTTTTTGTTAGGAATTAGTATCAAAGACCAATTTGAAGATGATTTGACTTTTGTGATCGAGGCAATACTTCTTTTACACTTGAATACACTCTAACTCTAAACTCATCATTGCTGTTTTCCTAATAAGCTGTAGCGTTCTGGTGAACAGTGATCTCTCTTCTCTTCTATCAGCTCTAACCTCTGTGTCCAGTAAAGGAAGTCTCCCTATGAATTATTAATGTTTCCCTTTGCCCAACATGTCAGGGGAGCTCGCTGTTAGCCTCATGAAAGACTACTCACAGATCCAATGTCAGGCTAATCAACTGCTGAGGAAATAGCTTTGGTTTATCACCAGTATTGATTTAAGTGGATCCTCCTCCTTAGGGGAAATCCTCACATATTTTTCAGTAACTTTTTAATTGCCTACGTCTTCCTGATTGAAACTGCACTAAGAGCTTTTTGTATAATGTTTAAAAGCTACCAGCAAATTAGAAATTCATGACCTTTCGTATTGTTGTTTCTTTGCACTCGGATGAAATAGTCTCGGGTGATCTATATATTTTTTTGGCTGTCTGTGTGTAGGTTGATCCGACTGGCAGTGGGCGGGTGGCAGCAGCAGATGCAGCTCTGTTCCTAAAGAGGTCGGGCTTGGCAGACTTGATCCTGGGGAAGGTACGAGTGACCAAAATCACTGTCGCAGCATTTCTGTTCTCTTGTCTTCGCTGTTTATATTGATGGTAATAAATGGATAAGCCGTATGTGTCTCCATAGATCTGGGATTTGGCAGACTCTGAACGCAAAGGTGCTCTTAACAAACAGGTAACGGTGAATAGATGAGTCAGATCGTGCTTAATTTGTCTGTTTAAAGCTCAAAAAGTGTGAATTCTCACTGCAATTTGTCACAAACTGTGTTTCTCCTCAGCAATTCTTCATAGCCTTACGGTTAGTAGCCTGTGCTCAAAATGGCCTGGAGGTGGCACTCAAGAGCCTTAATGTGGCTGTTCCTCCCCCCAAATTTGTAAGTTTCCCTTTTGCATTTCACCACATATTCTGTCCGTCATATAATATTTATTTTCTTGGTAATTTGAAATAAGCCTTTGACATTCTGTGTAATCAGAGGTGTTTATAGCAAAACCTGAACCCTAACCTCTTTTCTACATCTTTTTACTTCAATGCCATCACAGTGAAATATATTACTTAGTTGTTTTTTTTTATGTCCAACTCAGATTTTGGGATCGTACATACTTTGAAAGATAGCTACAATAACTATTTTTATCTCCCAGCATGATACAAGCAGCCCGCTGTTAGCAGGAGGAGTGGCTATTGACATTCCATGGGTTGTCAAGGTGAGGCACATGCAACTTTATTTTTCATTTTCATTCTTTAATGCAAGAAAATAATGTTTTTACATTTGTAGAGCGGTATACTTTCCTTCTCAGTAATATAAATCCTGCATTAATTAAATAGAGCATGCATATATAGACCACATAATCTGGTCTTTTGTATCTTGATCACATAAAATGTTGGTTATAACGACCAGGCTCGATAGAGACTGAGACATTTTTAGCCATAAACACAACTACCTATTCTGATTTCTAATATGACTGATCTGTTTGACACCCATAAAACAAATTGTAATTGTACGGAAAGTGAATTTGTCTTCACAGATGATTCCTTGTAATTTCTTGTGTTGTTCATTCTCAAACATTGCCTTTTGTGCTTCCCTGTGAATGTAATTATCTTACAGAAACTCGGGTACATAGGGAATATGTCCAGGCTCAGGACTCTGCTTTGATTCAGAGTGTATTTACTCAGTTAAATAACTTTTTTTTTTTCCAGCCTGAAGAGAAGATGAAGTTCGACTCCATCTTTGAAAGTTTGGGTCCAGTAGGAGGAATGCTCACTGGAGACAAAGTCAAGCCTGTGTTACTCAACTCCAAACTGCCAGTGGACATCCTGGGCAGGGTATGGTCCCAGAACACGACGCTTGATGATCATTAATACCCTTAGAAATTATACAAGAAGTAACTTGTTTCCAGCTATAAAATGACTTGATCATTATCCCAGATAAGATGTTTTGTTTATATCAAACTGTGTGAATGACAAAAGGAAATCATACCATGCAGAAAATTAAAAAAAATAAAGGATCTGAAATCAAAAATCAGCCGAGTGGGAAAATGAAATCAAAGAGGAAGTGAGAAAAGTAGTGAGTCAGGGTTTTGTGGGAAGTTTGGTAATCATACATACTGAATAATAATGTGTGTGTGTGTGTGTGTGTGTGTGTGTGTGTGTGTGTGTGTGTGTGTGTGTGTGTGTGTGTGTGTGTGTGTGTGTCTGTGTGTCTGTGTGTCTGTGTGTCTGTGTCTGTCTGTGTGTGTGTGTGTGTTGAAGGTTTGGGAACTGAGTGACCTCGACAGAGATGGCATGCTGGACAAAGACGAGTTTTCTGTGGTAAGAGATGCGAAAATATTTTACTATCAGAAAGAAAATCACAAAGATGCTTTCACAGTCTGAAAATAATTACATCCAAATGCGTTTTTTGAATTTTTATATTCACATTTGTTCTGATTTAATCAGTGTGTTACAGTGTTGATCTCTCTGGCATTAAAGTCATATTAAAATAAGCTCTTGTTTAAAGAAAGGAGCTTTTCTTTAGGCATCATCGTCAGGAAATTGTTTGTGTAGGAATATTTGTTTTAACACACAAACTATGTCCATGTTTTTGTGTTAACGTATGTTTTACATGCAGTCTGTGAAGCTTTCATGAGATGGGAAATCATTTCCACAGCCCCGAATGGTGCTGATTCCAGACATTTGGATGTCGAGTGAAGAGTTTGAAATTACAGGATGGTAATTTTTCTCTCATTGATCTTTTTGGCCTTTCCCAGGCAATGTATCTGGTGTACAGAGCACTGGAGGGGGAGCCTGTTCCTATGTCCCTACCACCCCCTTTGGTTCCACCCTCAAAGAGGAAAAAACCCTCCGTGCCTCCTGTGATGCCCCTCTTACCCTCCCCTCCCTCAGTCAAAGACAGTCGCTCCTCCCATGCTGGCTCTAAGACCATGCCCCACCCCCCTAAACCCGCTCCAGCTCCTGCCCCAACACCAGCAGCTGCCCCTGTGAGTACCTGACCAGTCTATCCTATCCTGATCCTGCAGGAGGAGTGCTCTGAATGCTTAATTTCTTAGTACCAATCAGCTGTAACAGAAACATTTAGGATGATCTCAGAGTGGCTAGTTCAGTGTGTTTTTCAAAAGAGAAAGGAAAAAGGCTTTATGATCGTAAGTATGCTTTGAGATACCTCCATGTCCAAATACTATATAAATGTCATCATGAAGCTTCTTTGGTGCTATTTGAGTCTTTGTGTTGCCTGTGCAGTGGGTGGTGTCGCCAGCAGATAAAGCAAAGTACGATGAGCTGTTCAGCAAGACAGACAGTGACATGGATGGACTTGTGTCTGGACCTGAAGTCAGAGACATCTTCCTGAAAACGGGGCTGCCCTCTGCCACACTTGCACGTATCTGGTAAGCAGGCACATCAACCTTCAAGAAAGTATATCGGCTAGTTGTGAAGTTTTCTTTTAACGAGTGCTACACTGTCTTCATCTAAATATCATCGGTCTTTATTTCAGTCTTTGTTCAGTAGTAAAGTCAGGTCAATTTCGTCTCATCAGTGAATCACACTTTTTTGCTTCAGTGACTTGAAATTGAACACAGAAAGAAAACCCTCTGTCTTTGGACCTTTCTTTGGCTGGTAAAATTTCTCTCCAAAAACATATTTTCTTACAAATAAAACTAGAAAACAGCTAAAGGTAGAGTGAAAAAGGCTGACCGGAGACAGGAGACAGGGACATAAATGTTAGAGAGCAGGCGTCTCATGTACGGAGGCCTTGCTGCCCCGGTCTTAGGGTTGATTGGTGTTGTTTAGTGCATGTCGTTCACTCTCTCTTTTCCTATGTTCTCTCTTTCTCTAAAAGCTGCCTGTCAAATAAAGGTAAAAATATGATTTTAAAGCAGTACTGAATCTATGGAGTACAGAAGGTTAATATCGGCTAAAAGAGGGCAAACAAATACGATGATCATCGCATCTGGCGGATTTCATTAGGCCACTCAAATTGGGAGTTATAACATGCAGAACAGGATTTAAGAAAATATATCGAATTTCACTCAAGGTCACTTTCACTAAGAGTTCCAAAACGTAGTCAAGGATGATAAGATGGAAATAAACATGCAATCCCTTTGGTTATTAAATATGATTTCAACTTGTGTGAACAAAATGATTTTCATTTAAACTGCAGTGCCTCATATTGGTGCATTAAAAAAAGGATTCATACAACTGCAGTTAGTGCTGACACATGCAACCAGGCAGTATCAACCCATATGGATTTTATGTCCCCACAGCATGTCGTCCTGTTAATTGGTTTCCGTAGCCACGGCCATGGCAATAAGTTGGCTATCAAAAATAGTGTTCGCTGCCTGAGGTGGGAATCATTACTCTCTTATGTAACGTGTTTGTTCGTGTTCTCAGGGAGCTTTGTGACATTGGAGACATCGGAAAACTGACACGAGAGCAGTTTGCCCTAGCACTTTACCTGATCAATCAGAAGCTGACGAAAGGCCTGGACCCTCCGCAGAGTCTCTCCCCAGAGATGATCCCTCCATCTGACAGACTAAACATAAAGCAGGTGAGTCGGTCAGAGCGCTCTTTGTATATAACTAAATCCTCTGGGTGTCCGGATCATTTATATAGTCTCAGTCTAATATGATAATGTGCCTCAAGGGACAGAAGTTAAGCTTGAACGTCAAAACATTAACCAGAAAATCCTTCATAATCAGGCTGATGATGTTTTATATTCGGAGAAGTAGAACAACAATGTTATTTAGTGATTATAGTTGTTATTTTTAGTTATTAAAAACTATCTCAAACCATATGCTGCTTGTTTCTTAGATTAAACTTTGATTCATGTTGTTTCTTCTGTCCCTTTTGGTCTGTTTGTGAGCTGTACACCTTTTTTTAAGCTTGCAGCTGTGTGTCTATTTATCCCGTTATCTGCTTGTTATATTCATGCCATCCACCTCAGACATGCCGCAGGATAATCTTAAGTGAGTGTGAGTGTGTGTGTGTGGTAGTTGATCAACTTGGTGGCGTCTTGTTACATAGAGCAGCTTGTTGTTTGTGGACTTATCCTATAGAGGTAGATCGCTGACAAGTTTGGATATTTGAAGTATTTTGGGATGAATCCAAGAACACCATATTGGATCAGTGGACAAAAAAAGTTTCAAGTTGTCTTTTTTTTTTTTTTTTTTAAATTCTTGAAAAAAGATACAGTTTGTTCATTTAAACAAAATCGTTGCAGCCTTAATTTCATTAATTTTTTTCCTTTAGAACATCATTATCCTTAAGTCAGTCTCCCTCCCATCCCTGACATTTTATGCCTCCATTTGTTGTTTCATGTATGATTACTGTAAATCTGTACAGATATGTTGCCTGGCTGATGCTTCATCGCCTTTCTTCTCTGATATAATTTTGTCTGGTGTGAAAAATATGTCTTTACCCTCTATTTATGATTTAGGGGTTATTCTTTGCCTTGAACATTGGTCAGCGTTCGTCTTTCTTCGTCATTTAATTCTGTCATCTCCCACCTCTCTTCTCCAGAACAACCTGGCTAACCTTGCAGCTGACTTCTCTGCCATCAAGGAACTGGACTCCCTCAGCAACGAGATTGTGGAGCTACAAAGGTACACTGTTGTTGTTGTTCTTCATGTAGAAACTGTGAAAACTCTCCCAAGTCTTGCAGCTTATATCTCTAGTAATGACAAAAGGTGGCCAAAAGATTGCCTGTAGAGGTCAGACAGCTATTTCCAGAGGGATATAGTTATGTTATGTATCTTTTGACTATATTAAGTCACAGGTGTCAAACTCAAGGCCCGGGGGCCAAATCTGGTCCGTGGAACAATTTCATCTGGCCCAAGAGATCATATTGTATTTGCATTGTTATTGGCCCACCAGTGCGAAGTCTGCAGATTTCCTCCAGTATAATATTGTAAACTTTAGCACCATTATTTAAAATATCCTTAAAAAAACACAAAAATCTGGGACAGTAAAGAGTAAGGAAGATTTTATAAATAGTCAAGAATGTGGGGTAAAAAATAATTGGTATTTTATTTCTAATTTTCAATTTTGAATCCAAAGATTACAAGTCAAACATTACATTAGACTTGTGTCATTTTTATACTTTAGATTCCAATTTATAATTTTTAATTAATATTTTGACCTTTAAATATGGTTTCAACTTTCTCCTTATATATTCGCTCTTTAAAGCATTATTTTTCTATTTTTAATATCATGTTCTGATCTTTTGAACTAATAAATAAAAATAAAAAATAAAATAATTTTTTCTATCTCAGTTTGCCTTTAAACTTTCAAATGATTTTTAATCCTTGCTGTTTTTGTTATATATATTTTGAAAAGGAGGTTGACAGTTTTGGTGAAATGTTGACCCTGTTTGGCCCTCAGGTTAGACCTAAATCCAGATTATGGCCCTTGCTGTGGTTGAGTTTGACACCCCTGTATTAAGTGAAAAAGATGTCTTGAGTTTTGTTCAGCGTCTTAATGTCAGATTCATGAAACACTCTTGGATTTGAATCAGGGAGCTGTCTGCTCTCAGTCGGACCGTTTTCTGTATCCTGTACTGATAAGTCTGGATGCAGTGTGTTTGTCTGGTAGAGTCAGCCTTTTATTGGTTCCAGTCTACAGGATTATGTCACTTTCACACATTCAGACGTTTGTGCCAATGCTTACTCCCACGGCTTCCGAGAAAATTGATAAAACAACACTTGAATTTTTGTTCTGGCCACCAAATGCAGCAGAATTAGCTGGATTAGGCAGCCACTATCAGATGACTGGATGGAAGAGGAAAATGTAATTAGACCATCTATGAAACTTAAAGCACATTTTCACTGCCTGTTTATGTTCAGTATCGCTTCAGTGGAGTATTTCTAGTTCTAAAGATATTTTAACATTTTCAACACAAGCATGTTCTTAAATAGTTTCGTCTATTTTTTACAGGCTTTGGCCACACTTCCTCTTTTATTCTAAAATACATTTGCAGATGTTTTTGCACCACACTTCTTTTTTGTTTTTGCTTAAGTTTCTTTTACCTTAAAATTTTCTTTCTGTCTTAAAAGTCCAATGCAAAAACCTTTCAATCTCTTTGTGAATGATACTCAGTTGTTGATATCAGGCGTTCAAAGTTTAACTCGAAGAGCTATCACAATAGTTCCCAGCTGTGAAAGCTGAGAGTGAGAAGTGAGAAAACGCACACTGACAGCTGTGTGTTCATGCAAAAGGACGTAAAGAAAAGGAAACTCGGTATGACACCGCGATCAGAGCTTCAGACGGGCATCAGAAGAGAGGAGCTTGAAAAGATGATTCATGTTTGTAACTGCTTCAAAATCTGGCAGCAACACCCTCCTGTCCATGATGATGAGGAGAGGGAGGGTGAGGGTGATAATGGGTGAGTGTTAGAGAATAAGAATGATACTCAGGTGGAGCTGACTGATGCTCCACTGCAGGGACATGCACAGTTTTATGTCATTTGATAAAAGAGAGAGAGAGAGAGGATGTAAAGACGACTGAGGATATTTTTAGTCTGTGTAGGAGTAGATGGCAAAGACGATGTTATGGTTTAAGGTTGATGCCAGATCTTTTTATTCTCAGTCGTGTTGTTCTGTGTTTTATAACAGAGCATGTATTTGCATAGCTTAAAGGAAATCACATAAACAGTGAGAGCTTTGATAAGGAGAATACTTTAGTTTTGATTTACATTTACTATAGATTTAATAACTATGGACTCGTACAGCATCAACACTTTCACTGTAGTGCACAAAAGTTAAGCACCAATCTGAAGTAAAAATCTCCCATCGAGTATTTGTGAAAAAGCGAAGCACACATTTTTAACTGTGTTTTTTATGCGAGTTATGATGCATCCCGTTCCACTTCCTCTCTTCTCTGGCGGGGCGGATGAAAGAGTGCAGGAGAGAGGATGAACATTCGTGTGGCACAAATGATAGAAGTTGAAGGTTGGCTCATCATCACTCATCCCTCCTCCCTCACTTCCTCCCTCCATCCTCAAGGCAGCCATCTGCTTCTCACTCCTCATCTCCCACACATTTGACTGAGCCAGCACATGCTCACTTTCTCCATCACTCACCCTCATCGCGCTTACAGAGCCGCAGCTGAAGTCTTGCACACACTCCATTTTATGTTCTTTTTTACCATATCACTTCACACTCACACACCTGCTGTAGCTGCAGGCGCCTCGCGTCCTCTTTTTCCTCTCTCTTTCCCGTGCAAGTGGAGTTTGTGATTTGAGGACATCATGGTGGCTCAGGGAGAGGAGACTTTTGGGGTTCAGGGGCAGGGGAAAGAAGGTTTAGTGGAGAACTGGCTGGGACTGGGTGGGTTTGGAGTACCGGGTCTACCCTCTCTGTCCTCTGTGGCTAAATACTCGTGTCTCTTCTGCTGGGACCCCAGGGAGAAGAGCACTGTGGAAGAGGAGATCAAGGAGAAGGAGGAGGCCATCAGACAACGCAGCAGCGAAGTGCAGGTAAGGTCTCCATGTCTCTCTTTGTCTGTTTGTGGGATTTCTGGGAAGACAAAATCAAGGGCACGCTACATATTTAGGAGAATGTCCGTGAAATCATTGTAATATTGCTGTTGCTACTCATACAAATGAATACAGGAGCTCATGTATGTATTTCAGCGTCTCCTCCATTTTAAATAAATCTCTGGACCAGACAGCAGGTGCTAAAGGAGTCGTCCACTTTTGTTGTAATGGATATACTGGAGGAGATCAATAATACATTTGGCCGCCAGTCTCAGGCGCTTGTTCAGAAACACAGTTAATGTTCCTCAGCAGAGAGGGGAAGGCTGGTGTCCTTGTGTAGGCGTGTCTGTCTGCTCTGAGCCTGAGAGATGGGCTCTATTTTGGGAGCTGATGGCTTAAAGGGCTAGTCTGCCCCGCTTTTGAAGTTCAGTCCGATTTTGGAGCTTTAGGGTGAAACTCAGGAGAGTCTCATGTTGATGTTGCTGAATTTCTCAGCTGCTCTGCAGAGTAGCCTTTGCTGTTGGATGTCTATATTTGAACGTGTTTTGTATACATTATCCTGGAAAATGACTCACTGTCAAGATCCTTGTTACGTCTTTGACGTAGACTGCGCAGTAGTCGGAAAGCCCGAGAATTTGTGTGGCACTTGCGCAATTTAGCCAGGAAGGCAAACATCCGGCACAAACAAACCAAATCTACACTAGGGCTACATCCTGAGCAGGAAAGTAATTTTCAGGTGAAGATATTTACACTAAAAGCATTATTTTGTTTTTACAGCACATCCTCTCAGCTGTAGAAAAACAGGTGACTTTGTGCAAAATCAGAATAAATTTGTACATGTATGATGGGTGTGGAGAGAATAAAACAGCAGTTTTAACATTGTGCAACATGAAAATTTAAGTATGTCACTCTTATTGCAAAAAAAACAAAACAAAAAAAAAAGTAAAAAGATGCTTAAAGAGCCACACACACTCAATGCATATAATCAAGATGCAGGATGTAGGACAGATTACTCTGCATGTGCATGGAGAACTCATGCAATATTCACACACCTCAACAAATGAAGCGAGCTGCATGCAGGTCTTCAGTTAAACACACATAAGCAAACAGTGACAGGAGACAAAAATACCAACACCACCAGCCTCTGAATCCACATTTCATTTAATTGCTAAACATGGATCATTCTCAAGTGCATGGAGGTGGTTTGGCTTTGAAAAGGCGGATGCTGCTCAAAAGACACCAGTGTAACAGAGTGTTCGACTGCTAACTTGTTTCGTCTGCCAATTGAGCACCACATAAAATAAAAAGGATTGGAACCGTTCAGAAATCCACAGTCAAGTATGACACTAGCCAGCCAAGATAAAAAATAAAAAAAAAGCACTCAACAAACTTTGGCGGAGTCATTCTTGTTTACATTAAAGGGAAGTGTCAGTTTAAAATACTCTAGTGTTAGATTTAGTCGGTCTTTGTGTAATACTTAGTAAATCTTGTAGCCAACCTTGCAATGGTTTACTCAAACTTGTGTTGTTTGATTTTAATACCCGCTTTTGTAATTTCAGTGTTTTATTTATTTTATTTTATTACTTTATTTGAAGGCGGTAGATGTGACCAGTGTTTGTTCATTTTTTAACAACAGAACAACACATGTTTTCAGAAATTAAAAATGTTCAAATAAAAAAATATATTCTGGTCACAAGGGGTGGACGATATGGGCTAAAGAATTTATCACGATAAAAGTCCCGATAAACAATATTATAATTAACTCATTCTTTCTTGAGAACCCCACAACCATTGCTCTTGGGTGGCACTTACCAGTTGGAATAGTCAAATAAGATACTTAACCACAAATTTAGGTTGTAGATTATGGAGAAAACTAGTGACATCAAACAAGTCTGAAATGTGAAAACACTTTCAACATTAATTCAAAACTCTTCTTGCACAGAGTGAACAGCAGCAGCAGATCCAAAGTTCGATGTCAGACATACCTGCTTGCACTTTTTTAAGCCTCAATCTTGAAGGAAAGTTTATCACTTTTATGGCGAGATGGCAAAATATTTATCGTGGAGGATTTTTCTGACAATAAATCGTGAACAATAATTTATCATCCATCCCTACTGGTCACTGTTCTCGTTAAATACACGTCAACTTGGCATCAAATTTACCTGTTTAACAATCTGCGTCCCTTCAACCTCGGTGAAATACCCCCTGTCTCTGTGGACTGAAAGTATGATTGTTTTGAAGCACCACTACTCTGCTCATGAGTCACTTCTTGTGTTTGATGAGTATACTGCGAACTTCTGCCCTGGCACAGTGGAGTGAGACAGAGGAGGGGGTGAGATGGCTTACAAGAATCAAAACAAGGTCTCCTGAGGGCTTTCTTTCCTTTGTTACTCATATGAATTGTCATTGCTGCCCAGGTTTGGTCTTTTTTTTTTTCCAACACTATTTCTCCTCTTTGGTTTGATGTTTGCAGGATTTACAAGATGAGGTGGCGAGGGAAAGTGAGGATCTGCAGCGGCTCCAGACTCAGCGTCAGAAGGTTCAGGAGGCCTTGGAGGAGCTGGACCAGCAAAAAAGCACCCTGGAGGAGCAATTGTCTCATATTCGCCAGCAAACCAGCCAAGAGACCCAACTGGTAGGTCCCTCAGAATTATTTTCTTGTACTGCAGGTTCATTTAGTGCAATAGAGAAAAGACATGATACATAAATCTCAGCAAAGTCACACATTTCATCCTGCAGCGTCACTCTGTTAAATCCATACTGGTCAAATGTATCACAGATTTCATCGCTACAGTCGGAGCATGAGGAGCAGGAGCATAAGATCTGTCAGTACGAGGAGGAGCTGGTCCAGGCCAGAGAGGAGCTCCTTGCTCTGCAGGAGGAGAGCAGGAAGCTGCAGGAGAAGGTCCAGGCAGCTCAGGAGCAGCTTACACCTTTGAAAGAGTCCGTCAGGGACTCCTTTACACAAGTTGCACAGGTCAGCCTCATGCTCATCAAGTTTTCTTTCTCTGCTGACAGTGAATCCAGATGCTTGATTTGATCCGTGGTTCTGTTGGTGCCCGATTACTGTCTGTTGTAGGCTATATCAGAACTTTTTCTACATCCAAAGTTGATTCCGTCCTTGTTAGTACTTGCTACTTTTAGGATCTGAAGGTAATTTTTAGACCACCCACTGCCTCCCACAGGATCCCAGTCCTAATGCAACCCCTATTCTTATGTCCCTTACACTTGTCCCTGTCTCGGCTCTCCTAGGTCCAGCAGAAACTGAACGATCTTCAGGTAGAGGAGAGGTCAGTCACTGCTCAGCTCAGCTGGAAGAGGGCCCTGGAAGACAGTTCTCCTGTCATGATGAACGGATCAGCAGGCCCCTCTGCAGAGCTGAACCAGGTGGACCCCTTCCAGCAGGACCTCTTCCAGGAGGACCAACCGAAAGAGCTGAAAGAGGAAGATCCAGTCAGTATCTGGAATCAGCAGACAGAACTTTCACAACAAAAAGAGAAGAAAGAAGAGAAGGAGAAAGATGATGGAGAGGAGAAGGAAGAAGAGAGTTTAAAGATCCCAGAGGAAGAGAAGCAGAAGCCTGATGCCCTGGATGATCTGTACACTAGTTTAGCCTCATCTGAGCTGTACAATAATGTGTCCACGCTCACTAAGTCCCCGGAAAACACAGTGAAGGTAAAACATCCAAGAAGAAAAGCTCTTCAAAGCTCTTACATATCTCTTCCTTAAAAACAGTTCAGAGCTTTTTTCCCTCTTCAGTTCTGAAAATTTAATGAAACAACAAAATGTACTCGATATTCATCTTCTGGAAGTGTATCACACTTAATTTACACATGGTACAGTGTTAGTAAATATAACATAGCCCCAAGATAAGTGACAGTTCATGTTTTCTCAAAACATCTCCAGGAACAAAGTAGCACTACACCTGACGTCTCCTCAGAGGTCACAGATGATGCAGAGGAGTCACCTAAAGAGAGCTCACCAAAGGTAAAGGAGGCGTGTGTCACACAGATGGTAAAAAGCAGGTCTGTGTTGTCTTTGTCTTTTTTTTGTCTTGTGTTGCATCAGCTGAGCAGACGGTCACTTCATCAGTGGATTTGATTTGATCTTAATGTTGCATTTAAGAGCTTACACACGTCAAAGATGGCCTTTAAATATCGACTGTGACATAAGCTCTGTGATAAAATAATGCCAAATCTGATCATAGGTTACAAGATTTAAATTTTGTAAAAATGCAGTATGAATCTATGATCAAACCCGTCCTGACGTTCACTTACTTCTCCAAATTTTACATGTAAACACAGCATTTCTGTTCATCAGGTTTCATCGCCAGAACCAGAGAGAAAACAGGAGCCAGCAGAGTCCCCGGAAACCAATCCACCCTCGTTACCCCCTCAAAGCAGCCCTCAGTCTCAGCCTCCTCAAACTGATCCTCCCTCCCTCCCTGAGATGGACTTCTTTCATTCAGACCCCTTCACTGATCGTGAGTCCCAACAAACATCTCAAGATTGTTTTGATAGATTTAAGAAGTTTTGACTGTTCATTTTGAAGCGTTTGTGTATCTTTAGAGTGAGTGGGTTTCCAGTGTGAGTGGCTAATGGTACCAGAGGCTTGTTAGATTAATGCAATTTGGTCAAAGTGAAGATATGTTTGTTGTCCTTACAGAAGATCCGTTCAAAGATGATCCATTTGGAAAAGCAGATGCAGCAGGTCAGTTCTTGATGTTTGTTTTAACTGATATCTGATTGGCATCTTTCAGCCATAAACCAAAATTAACAACAACGTTCACATCAAGTAACTTTTTGTTTTGATTTTGTAATTCAGATCCGTTCGGGGGAGATCCATTCAAAGGGTCAGACCCCTTTGCTGCAGACTCTTTCTTCAAACAGAACCCCAGCGCAACTTTTTCCTCAGAGGACCCCTTCTCTGCCTCAGCTGACCCATTCAGTACCACTACTGGAGTGCCAGAACCAGACCTCTTTGCATCCAGGCCCAATGACACAGCAGCTGCACCCACACCACCAGCAGCAGCAGCTGATCCAGATCCTTTCACCTCCAAATCTACAAATCCAACGGCAGCAGCTAAGGATCCATTTAGCTCCACAGGGAACAATGTGGCCAGTTCTGACCTGTTTGGGGGCCAAACAAATGCCATCGGGGAGGCAGATCCATTCGGATCTCAGGATGGAGGAGCGGATCCCTTTAGCTGCTCTTCACCTAACTCTGACGTGGCTGTGGTGAGTGACATGGCCACAATCAGGAACCCCAGATCCTTTTAAAAAGTTTAAGGTCTTAGATTGTCTTAAAGGGATATTCTGGCGTAAAATTAATTTAGGGTCAAACACACCCTAACACCGAGTTAGACACCCCCTCTCGAGAGATGAATGTTGCCGACCGCTTGCTTCTCTACTTATACCAACTTTAGTAAAGACCGCACAATAGCAATACACAGCAGACTGAGGAGCCATAAACAAACCTCCACCAAAAAGCCACTCTATAGCCACAAATAATGCTCAGAACAGCACCTAACTTCATCAACAGTACATATAGGGTCCCAGCCATAGCATTAGCCACCAGACATCGTTTTAGCTTTGCCTGATTTCTTTAGCAAAGAGACTAAACACAACTCACCTACTCTCTTCCAGCAGCCGCTTGTTTGTAGCGAGACCTCAGGCCAGTCCATTACAGACTGCTGTGGGGTGACGCAGCTCAAGGAAGAACATTTATGATCATTTTTTCATGGAAATGCAATCAGACCGAGATGCTAAGGCAGAAGAACTACTGCGTCTGCAGTGCAAAATTATTAATATGATGATTATTACTTCAAGGAAATGACAAAGTAATGATTTAAATAATTAAATTTTTTTAAATTAAATTTAATCAATTGATTCTAAATTAATTTTATGTCGGAATATCCCTTTAAAGGTCTTATTTTCTCTTGTGAGAGGACTTAGATTTCAGATGTCAAAGTGATATTTTAAAATTAATCAAATCTACACTATTTAATGTTACATGATTTTAAAATCTATTTTTGTGGTTTTCTTTTTGACACATGACACAAACAACACCTGTTAGATATGTTATGGTAGCTACACAAGCTGGCACTAAGCTTACTAAGCTGCATCCCCCTGATAGAGTGATGGGATGTCACAAAGTCTAGCCTACTCAGGCTCTGTTTGTGTTTTCAAGTAATCCTCCTGATCTGTGATTGAGATTTTCTATTTCCGTCTCGTTGATGTATATCTTTACTAAACTTCATCTCAAAGGCAAAAAGTTTTGCTTTGAGACTTCTTTGTATTCATGGAACAACTGGTTCATGGAACAGTATACAGTGTCTTTACTGTATAGAAGAATTTACAGGTTACCGAGCATTATGTAAGTCAATACATAAAATTGAGCTAATACAACTTCATTAAAATGTACTCCAGCTTCAGCAACTGCAAAAATAAAGTGATCGACACGGCAGTGCATTAATTATTACACTGAAATAATAAAATAGTATAATATATATCCCCAAGTGGGCCATTCTGCACAATAACTATTAACACCCCTTAGACAGAAAACACAATGTGCAGTTTCTTTGATATGTTGAAGATTTACTGTCAGTATATTTTTTCTGGCTTCAGTCCCTCTAACTCTTTTTCAGAAGGACTCAGCTGCATCCAATGACCCCTTTGCTCCAGGTGGCACTACAGTCAGCGCCAACTCAGATCCAGGTATGATGTGTACTATAGTGCCACCTTGTGGGAGTAGATCTTACTGCGGGGTGGTCTATCATATTATCTTTTTGAAGTCCTTTTGTACAAAATACTTGATGAAGAGTATCTTTGACACGCTCCTGTGCTTCAGATCCATTTGCTGCTGTGTTTGGTAACGAGTCCTTCGGAGGGGGCTTTGCAGACTTCAGTGCCTTGTCAAAGGTAAGCGGGGGTTGTGGTTCATTCAGTTCTCTCGTGTTGGGGAGTTTAAACACGCAGAGTGTAGTGTTGAATTTATTGCCCATTGATGTGATGGTGCAAGTATAAACTGTTGCGAAACAGTGAATTCACTTCTACAAGCAGAACATACAGGAAGAGTGTGAGTGAGTTGTTGAGTGCGTTGTGGTTTTTTGGAAGGAAATAGCGGGAACACTTCTCTTCTACTCTCCCTACCCTGCGGAGGAAATATTCACCAAACCACATCGTATCAAAAGTAACCCCAGAGTGTCACAGATTTCGTGTTTTGACCTTCTCTTTCAGTCAAACGGCTCTGACCAGTTTGGCATCAACAATAAGAACCTGTTTCAGGAAGACGGTCAGTCTACCAGCCCTGATGTCCCACCAGCTCTGCCCCCAAAAACGGGTACGCCAACAAGACCACCTCCTCCACCTCCAGGTCAGTACAAGCAATTGAGATAGCAATCAAATGTCTCCTAGCAAAAAGATAAATTTAGTCAAAATTGGTCTCAGAGATGATTTCAGGACTCAGTGCCAGCAAGTTTTAGCTGTTTGAAGTGAAGAAAATTTGTTCAGTTCTTTTCCCCGTGCCTGTTTGCACCAGGTAAGAGATCATCCATCTCCAGAACGGAGTCGTCTGACTCCTTCCAGCGGCGAGGGCACTTCCCTGCAGGAGAATTTTCCTCCTCCTCCTCCTCGTCCTCCCTACCTGCTAAGGATCCTTTAGCTGACCCCTTCGCCCCCTCCTCCCCTCCTCGTCACAACGTACGGGAAGCTGACCGATTTGCCAGCTTTGACAAAGTGAGCACCTCCCTCTCGCCCTCTCCCTCACCTTCAACTGACTCTCAGTAGTCATGCCCTTTTCTCTTTTATTTCCCTGCTAACAAAACACATGAAGTTTTATTCAATTCCAAACACAAAGCAAATGAAGCCAGCTTTGTAATCACTCCATCCACTGCCATTATTAAGTCCCAAAGAAGCGAACCGATCAGCTGATTTACTTTTCGCTCAGTAGCATGACTTATTGATGCTACGTTTGTTTGTAAATAACTCCTTATTTGGAAGTGAAGCTGATATTAAGTGATTAACACTTGAGTATATGAGTTCGGTTTTTCGCATCCTGTATGCTGACAGTGTCTGTGTTTAGATTTGTACTCTGAATGCGATAATGCCACAGAAAGACGCTCTATATTTGTAATTATTTTTTAATGCTAATGGGTGTTGGGACTGCACTTAATTCCTATGATTGAAGTCACACTCATGGTGGAAATGTATAGAAATGTAAGTACGCTAATAAAAGATGAATAGATATATTACCTCTGCAATATATGCAAAGGAGCAGACCGATATCCTGTAAGAAGTAAATATTGGTGAATTGCATCTTCATGGTTGGCAGTGAATGGAGAGATGAGAGGCTGCTTGTGTTTCGCCTTTGTCAGTACCCCAACTCAGTTTACTGACATCATATCCTGTATATGTGTATATTACTTCTGAATATTAAAATCGTGTTATGAAGGTTAAATCTCTTATTTAATGCACCTTTTTCCTCAGAGACATCATTTCAGGTGCATTTTAAGCGCCCACTTTTGCAAAGTGGTTATTAATTTGTTTGAATAGTAACTGGGCTAACAGTCGATATATTGCTGAGCTTGCACAACAAACGCCCGCAGGAATTCCACTCGCTGACCTTGACCAACATGACGCAGTATGATGCCTGTTGCGTCATAAGAGAGATCCAATACGATGGAGGTATATAGGTCGCTCGCTGTGTTTTAAAAAGCTCGGTGATTGCACAGCTTTAGAAAACGTTTGTAAAGCTTCTTTTAAAGGGGTCTTTTGAGAAGTTTATGTTTTTTGTAAAGACTGAGAGTGGAGTAGTTAAACTAATAAAAATGACATTCTAACAGCACAGTAAAAAGGGGACAACTGTTAAATGTGTTTTTCCACTCACTTATTAAGAAATGTTCAAATATTTCAGTATCTAACACTGAAAAAAAAAAAAGCCAAATCACAGTATATCTGTCGTGGCAACAAAAAAGGAAAAGGAGTCTGTGCATCTGTTGTTTTGGCAAGAAAGAAACCAACAACAGTATTTAACTCTTATCAGCTCTTCTGTTTGTAATACTGCAAGGACTCTTAGTTTGGGCCGACTGTTTTTAAAAGGCAGTTTTGATTCTAGTCTCTCTCCACCCGCCACACGCTTGCACCCTGCATGTCCATATCAAACTCTGACCTGCACACGCTTACCCACCCACCCACTCAAACAACCACCCCTCTGCCATTCCTTTATACACTATTTATTCATCCATGAGTCTCTTCATCCTGCCATCCCTTCATTCACCAGTTCCTCTAACCCTCGTCTGGTCAGCAGTGTGTTGTGGAAAAAAACAAATGGCCTGTATTCTCTCTTTGTGTGTGTGTCTTTACATCTTCTGTCAAAACAAAAAAAGTTTAAATAAAGAGTTGAATCAAGGGCACTATCTCTGGCTTCTATATGCATCCATGACATCACTCTCTGCAAATGCTCAGGTTCTTGAAGGACCAGATAAAGATTTTGCATTTGCTGTTCAATAACCACAAGTTGTGAAGATACTTGAAAATAGCTGCAGGTACTTTTTGCAGAGCATCATATTTGTGAATTTTGTCCGACTGAACAAACCTTCCACTTACACCTTAATAGCATTACTTTAAGACGATGAAGGTGTTGGTGTAATTTGACACTACCTTGTCTCTGCACATTCATATTCATAAAGCTGTCTTCCTTTCAAAGTGGTTAAAAAAGTTGTAAAAAGACATTTTAAAGGACTTAAAATGAAGAGGGTTTGTTGTAAATAATCTAAAACACGTTAGAATACCTGTTTGGTCCTTTCAAGTGCCAGAGGTTTTTTTAAATCAAATTCTATCAAATCACTTAAAACAAAAGTATTAAATATGTGTAGGCTTTCTTTTGGTTTACATTTCAAACACATCATTCATCCTCTTTAGTGCTTTTAGGATCGGTTTATATCTTAAAAGCAGCAGCAGGATTTACAAATGGAAATATACACTTTAAAGAAATATAAATGCATGCTTTCTTCTCAATCCATTAGAGGTTTCTGGATTTATTTTCTTCATGCATGTTTTGCTAAATCATCATCTCTAAAATACCTGCAAGTGAATGTTGTCATTGCTGCCGCCAACTTTCCTTTGCATGGCTACAATCACACCAGATCACCTGTAATTCTTCTTTGTTTGTGTCCTCTCTGTTACAGATAACAATGAATTAGGCTACTGTGTTCTAACATTCACCTTTTGCTCTTGTTGTGAACCTTTAAAGCTGACTTCAATTCACGTAACTCTTGTGTGGACACCCTGATAGTTCAAATGCTTGTTCCCCATGTCGTAGATTGAGTTCATGTAATGGCACACACCTAAGAGAAAAATACAGGTAATCCCTTACTGATCGAGGAGATCACACGTTAATGGTTTGTAGATCACATTTGGTCTCACCATGCATGGATGTAGCTTAGTTTGTTCAGGTTGTCTGTTTAATCCACCCACAAACACTGTGGATCCACTGTTAGATTTTATCTCTCTAATGAAGATCCATTAAACTGTAGAGGGCCTATTTCTATGTATCACCACTGTTAAAAACAGATTAATTGGCTTTAGCGATCATTGATGGATCACTGTCAGCATACGAGGTTAAGAGATAAACAACAAGACATTACAAGCAGTATTAGACTTAGATTTAAACTAAAGCACTCCTGGTTTAAGTATCTATACAGACAGTTTCTGTTGTGGCATCTTCTCCCTTCAATCAGGATGACAAAGATGTCAAAGTGCCAAACAAAGAGAACGACAGCACTGTCAACTATATTACAACAGCTCCAACAGGGCCTGATGTGTTAGGGAGATTATGATGTGTATCTGGAAACACTGGACTCTGTGATACAAATCACTGAAAATCTGTTAACTGTATGTGTTTAACTGTATGTGTTTGTCTCTGTTTGTTTCTCTTTTCCCTCGTTTTTCTGTCCATATGTGGGTCCTTCTGGCCTCCCTGTTACGTGTGTGCGTGTGTTTGTGTGTTTGTGTGTGTGTATGTGTCATTACTCATGGAGCAGTATCCCACAGAAGAAGACATGATAGAGTGGGCAAAGCGCGAGAGCGAGCGAGAGGAAAAGGAGCGACTTGCCCGGCTCACCCAGCAGGAGCAAGAAGACTTGGAGCTTGCCATCGCACTCAGCAAGTCTGAACTCTCCTGAAGAACTCCTTGCCCCTCCTCCTCCTCGTCACTCCCCTTACCTCCCCGTGTCTTTCCCTTGCCTGGCCTGGCCTGGCCCAGCCTGGACCAGCCCAGAAAGCACCAAAGCAAAGTGGGGACTGTATAGGACTGAATCAGCAGCAGCTGCTGACCCCATGAAGAGACTTTCTCAGAACAAACCCATCTCTCAATCTTTCGACACCCGTGTCCTCAGACTCTGTTCTGTCTTCGCTGCGGTAACGTTTTGTCCCATCTTGTATGTCTCTGTTGTTTTGTTTGGAGGGGAGGAACACGAGAAGGCATACAGATGGCTAAAATTGAATTGCAGTGAAGACAGACTTCAAGATTGTCTAATGTAAAACTGTTGCTCTCAGTACCAGGTTACAAATCCTGCATTAACTTTCTAGATTGTAATTTATTTAAACATGCACTCAAGAAATCTCGTCAGTATCCACTAACAGTACTCGCACATTTCATAAAGAACTGCTCAGTCTTGCTTCTGAGGTCATACTGAAAAATTCATGATATTTCTTTAATTAAAAATAGACTTGCTTGTTTTAAACCCCAAATGATCCTTCCAGCTGTGAAATCATGCAAAAGTGGAGGCACTAACAACATTTCGTAGCTGCTACCTTGTCCGCTCAGGTTTCCAGCAGAAGGTCTAAAAGTAAAAAAAATTAAAAAGACAGAGAGATTTTTTTTTTTGATAGACACCAACATTTCTTCATCTCTAACTGGAAGTTACTTGTCCTTTGATATGTGAAATGCATGTGCAGATTTATGAACAAATCCATCACAGCTACACCCCTCTAGCTCTAGATACTTTCACGTCCTCTGATTTTTGTAGTTCATTGTTCAGCCTAGCTTCACCCTTGCCTTTGTTTTTAAATGTTATTTTTGGGGATACTAAAAGGAAGACATCTACATATGAATTAGCATTAAGCATCAGATCACACTACAAGGGATTGCACAAAACTGTGACAGCTTTAACAAAAATTCAACATCTGATGTCTGAGATTGTAATGTAGCTTTTCGAAATTGTATGATCATCCAAACACTTAATCTTTAATCTAGTGTGAAAACTTACACCGACTGTGACTTTTCATGGAGGTGATCTGAGATGAAGAATGTATTATTTTTGCAGAAATGTGGCGACAAACATGAGATCAAAACTAAAAAGTGTTGGCATAACTGAATGTATGAGCACGAAAAAAGCATTCACTGGGGGTTTGGCCGTATAAAAGATGAATTTAAGATTGTTATTAGTTTTTGCAGTCGTTCTAAATTCAGCAGTTTAGGTGCTGGTTTAAGCGCTTTTTGTTATGAGAGATGTATTTTCCCATTTCAAAGGAAGAAAGCTGAAGTTGGGCTTTTTTTGTGAGCATTTGTAACAAATTTGATCTTTTCCAGGTTGTTTTTTTTTTCTGTTCAGGAGATGCTTCCTCTCTTACTCAGTCATAGGAAGCGAAGTCGCAGTCGATCAGCATTTCTGTGAAGCATTTCGTCTTCAGTCTGTACTCTTCAGACTCTGTGGGGATTTAACTTGCAAAGAAGGCGTCTAGCAGGAGGAGGGTATAATGTAAACGCCCACACAGCACTTGTTGGCCAGTGAATTTTTTTCTTCTTCCTCATGCTGGTATTACCCCGTCATTCAACCCTTGGAGTGCTCAGTTGCGATAGACTCCTCTGTTTTAATTTCTTTGTTTTTTTTTCTAATCAAACAATGCACATCGTTGACACCACTGACTTAATCCAACAATATCTTATGTTATAGGCCTTGTCTGATCAAGATATCCCCATATTTCCTCATCGCATCTTTAACTGCTCTGCTTTCCGTGGGTCATACTCCTCTCCCGTTCGGCGTATTTCATATGTAGTAGTTATTTGTAACTCGAAAAGGTTTCATTTGCCTGTTGGACCTTCACAGCTGAGTCTCATGTCATGCTCCGATTCATGCTTCATTCTCTAGCTTCAAAAAGCTGCCCGGCATGTTACTTCAAGTGTACAGACTCCTTCATATTTTAAATACTCAAGAACCACTTGCTATGTTTCTAGGCTTACTCATAAAGGCTTTTTAAAACTCTAATTGTATTTTATTTTGTATTTTCTAAAATGTAAGAAAAAAAAACCTTAATGGGAGGTTTGGCCAGAATATGTTATGCATTTAATTGAAACAGAATAAATATTAAACATGTAGTTTTGCAGTTTGTGTGTTGTCTTCTGAGGAAATCATGTTACTGTTTTCAAAGAACCAGCGATAGATGAAGTTTTGGATCCTTTTAAATGAGTTATAGTTTGGCATCATATCATAAAAAAACCTTTATAAGTATACACTTGTAAAGCGTCCTTGAGTCTCTCAAAAGACACTGTATAAGTTCAAGTTAGTGTTATTGTTAGTGTCAAGAACATCTTCAGTACTGTTTAAGGAGTCTCCATTTTTCTAAGTGCTTCACTTAAGTCATTCAGTTGTTTAGTGCATTACACTAAACAACTGAATACAATGCTACTGATTTGAAGACCCAGCAGTCCATAAAGCAACTGGAATAGTATCTATCTTGTCAAACAGCACAAAAATTATACACACATGTAATAGACTCTGCATTAATAAAACTGTAACATTGACAAAAGTGCCGTTTTCTTTTTAGTACTTAACTGTTTTAAGTTACATACAGCAAGATTTTTACCCATTACTGGGATTGTTTTTGTGCCATTCAACTGCTACTCTTGCTTTTGCAAATAATCTTGATACTTAATCCAATTTCAGTAGGATTATTGATGAAATAATGTAAATGTGTAGGTATTTATTATTCAAAGTGGCCTTTTAAGATAATTATACATCTTTAAATAATATATAATTATGATTTTTAATGCAAATAGTTGTCCATTATTTTATATTTGGATGATGGCAGTGTGAGTTTTGACAAGTATCATGAAAAAAATTCAATTTTTTACTTTTCTATTTTCTCTCAAATCACAAACTTTCTTTGTAGAGCGTTTACTGTGATATAGTTCTATATTTTAAAGAGGAGCAGAGTCATTTTAACGGTCTAATTTCTTTTTATAGAACATTAACCTACAGTGCTTTAAATGAGGTTATAGATGATTGTATTCAGTAAGAAGGGAGACCAGGGCTTGTTGTCACATGGGTAAGTTGTCACATTGCAATTATCTGTGCCACCGGAGGGCGCAGCTAAAAAGTGGAATACTAGTTTTCTTCCTGTACATGGTCAGGGGTTGAATCCTGTCTGAGAAGAGGAGAGCCAATTAACCATTTTGTCCAACCTAAGTAAAAAAATTTAACTTTATATATTTTAAAATAAGCTTCTTCCAGATAAAAATCCTAGCAGTGATACATGTGGACTTGTTAGAGGAGAGATTAAGACATCCTGTCATACCTCATTCATTGTTCTGTTTTAAGATAACTTTAAGCTAGAGCTAGAATTAGCAAACATGGTAGTTTGGGGCAACATGTTTCAGTCATTTTGGGGTTAGTTGTCACATGTTTAAAAGGGATTAAAATTAACAAAGAGAGTCTGTTTATCAGCAGTTGTCATACAGAAATTTTGACTTTATTCTTACAGAAAAAAAAATTGGTTTACAGGAGAGGAGAAAGAGAAGACATGGTCAGGAATTACAAAAGCAAAAAAGAACATGGCAGTGCAGTGCTTGACATGATGCTGAGGGCAGTCAGGCAGGTGACCTTAGCTAATAAATCAATCTGGAGTAAAATAAAGGACTTTAATGTCAATTACAATACCTTGGCTTGGTACTGCAAAACATTCACCCCAGCTGAAATACAGAGTCAGACAGCTCTCCAAACTCCAGAGCATGTTGCATAATATTTTATGTTAACGTTTGTTCAATGACTTTTTCTAGCTCAATGATAAATATTTTCTGTGCCTGACTTTGAAGTTCACGTTCAAGTAAAAAACTGAGAACAACAATAATTTTGTCCTTGTTTTATTAGCTGCAAAATCCACTGTAACATCTTACCCCATGTAGTCAGACAACTTACCTGATGGTGGTGCAACATGTCACATGTTCACACTCTCTATTTAATTGCTTATAACTCTGCACTGACACAAGATATGAAAATGACATGAATACGAAATATATACCTGAGACTTTTGTCTTTCATCTGGTACACATTTTGTTTATATATGATATATTGATTGCAAGAAATATAAAAGAGTCATTTAACTCCTTTAAAATATCATTAAAATCTCAACTAATCATGTCTTAAATACATCATTATTTGTTATGATCATGTTTCTTTCCTTTTTATGAATACTTTATTGCCTTTATCACTGTTTGATGATTAGTTTGTGTTCCATTTATGGATTGATGATTTATGTTTGACCTTTCCCTAATCATTGTACATGTGTAACCTGTCTGTTACTTAGTTGTCTGCACCTTATGCTTTCTCTGATGGGAGTGCAACTTTGTATAAGCCTATCGGCTTCATTCCCACCTTGCACTGTTTTTAATCTGTGCTAAATAAACAAATACAAATACAAGAGTGTGAAAAGTGTGACAACAAGCCCCAGTCTCCCCTACTGCACAAATCTTTAAAATCAACCCTGACACTAAAATAAAATCCGCTTGGAGAATAATTTTATCATCTCACAAAGGTTTATCTTGAAGCATTTCTCTAGTTTCTACTCAAGTCACGTGATCTATGGGGGCGTGAATACAAAAAAAAGACAAATAATAACAAAAAAGAGTAAATAAAAAATAAAAATATTCATATCCTAACTCTGAATGGCTAAAATTCAGCACTAAACGTTACGTATTTATTTTAATTTACTCGCTTTGAGTATCTTGTGTCGCTTTTACTGTAAAAAGTTGTTCTTAAAGCGACAGTACGCAGCGCCTCTGTAAGTGACCGACGTGTCTGGTGTTGAGGGCATTAGGACCATGAGTCGAGCACCTGCGGCAGCCACATTGCAGTGCATTTAAATAGGAAAGTCATTCTGATGATGATGATGATGATGAGGGCAACACACCTTTCCTACGTCAAAAAGAGGAAGACGCAGCAGCTGCTCAGCCTTCAGTCCCGATAGTGCAAACTCAGTGTGAGCTTTTTCCCTGTCTGTGTGTGTCTGTGTGTGTCTGTCCCTTTGACTCTGTGTGTGTGTCCATCCATGTCTTTTGTGTAAACCTGCCTCGTCCGGGATATTTTGCTGTTTCACCGGACCTTAGATCTGTGTGGAATGAGTTTTATCAATTGGAGACGAAGCGTGAAGAAAAATGAAAGCAAAAAGTGAGTAGAAGAAGAAAGCTTTGGAAAATCAGTGCAAGCCAAAGCCATGTCGGTACTTGTCTGTGTTTGTCAGTGTTTTGTACTTTCTGTGATAGGGCTGTCATCGTCGTTTTAAGACCCTCAAAGATCCGCAATAAAGCTCACTATCACCTCTTTGAGTATTAGAAACCTAATCTGTAAAACTCAGTCCTGTAGATGGGTCAGATATGACAAAGCTAAAACCCTTCAAATATCAGACAAAAAGGTAAAAACATGTTTTCCCTGATGATTATAAGAGCTGTACATGGTGTTAAAGGCTAAAGCAGTTAAAGAAAAATACTATGTGAAGATGAGGTTATAGTGTTATGAGTTCTTACTGCTCTTGTATTTTGTCTATGGCTGTCTGTTGATGCCAATCTGCAGCCTGTTAGACAACATTACATTGTTGTCAAGATGATGTGGCCAAGCAGGCTTTCTGTGAACAAGCAGCACTGAATCAGCATTACCTGTTTATAATTTATGCTTGTTCATCCACTGAAATCTCAAAATGATTAACTAAACCTGTTTAACTTAACCTTTAACCTGTTTTCAATCCTCACAGACGCGCATCATTATTATTATCACGAGGAATGATCTGTAAAATCTGATAAACATCCAATAAACTAAGAAGTAAAGACTCAATGTAACCCAAGAGGAGGTTTGTGTGTATTTAATGGGTATGTTGAGGATTAGCATATTCATATTTGCTTTATCAAAGTGGTCACTACTGACAAAACATCGAGTAAAAAGAAGGAACAGTGTCACTCCATACAACCCTTGTTTAGGCTGACGTGTTTCCTTGTACAGAAAATGAACCTGTAACTTACCTGTGAGGACTTATATTACTTATCACACAAAACTTTTGGGTGTGTTTAAAATCTTTGGCTGTGTCTGAAATGAATCACTCAATCCCTAATCCCTAATCCCCATATGGGGTTTTACTTTACAGTTGACTATGTAGTGAACGCAATCACGGGAAGTTTCGGACACTACATGGCATGACGCAATGCATGACGAGATGCCCACCACTGTTGAGTGGCCATCGGATGGTCACTACATTTTGCAATGCTTTATGGGAAATTTTGAGTCGCCTATATGGGGCATTGGAATTGATTACTCAGGTTTTGGACACCCCTCAAAATGAGGCTAACCCCCATATAGTCGCCTCTATAGGGGTTGGGGATCCATTTTGGACACAGCCTTTAACTTCTGCCGAACAAATTTCCTCGGACCATCAGGTCAGATGTCTGATGTCTTCTCACCATCATGAGATTTACTGTAAAGTTCTCTCTAAATTGACCTCTGACCTTTTCACAGGGATGCCGCACAGGCGCAAGACATACCCGACAGTCCAGTCTCCCCGAGCCAGTATGTACACTGAGTACATACAGTCATTAACTGTGAATGCCTGGAATAATCTGCTGTATCACACACAAATAAAACAAAACAGTGCTAATTTTAAGCTTATTAACAGTAAACCTGAGACTTTTTCTCACACCATTTTATTTTGTTTTTCTTTCTTTTCTGACATGGTACTTTACACAAACTGACATTGTTTTCTATTGTTTCTTTAACTGACATAAATGTCTTTTTCTCAGGCTGTCAGTCATAAATAGTCCAGAACTGGATCCTGTCTTTAAAGACCTCAGGTGAGTGAAGCAGCAGTTTCACTTTTCTTTTCAGATTGTTTCTATTGTTTCTTTAATTCAAAGAATTTTCCCCAAAATGTTCATGTAAAGTTTGCAGTAATGTACTCAATAAGTCGTTGTCAGTGAATCACTAGCCTGGGAGTGTCTGCATGTATCAGTGCCTGTGTTTCTATAGCTCTCATGATCATGTTCCTCAAACAATAGCTGCCCTTTCAGCTGGTTTTACCCCTTGAGATGTCCCTCTATTTTCCAAAGCAGACACATTTCTTGTTCCTCTGTTTCAGGTTACAAATACCAGGTAACAACAATGATCCGGAATCAACAAGTCCATCAAATGGGTAAGAACATACGATAAGCTTTCAAAGTCTGATAGAAAAAAAAGTCCCAACAAGAAGTTCTCACCGCTGTTGTTTCTCTACTATTTTAGGATCCTTTGTGACAATTCGTTGTTTTAACCAGATTTCTAGTGACAGCTGACAAAAGCAGCTTCTTGATATATTTGCCATGTGTGGCGATAAAGGTCACGAGACGGTCACTGACAACACTGCTGACCAACAGACCCGATAAATACTTCTGGCAGCAAGAATCAAACATCATCTCTCTCTGCCAAGTCAGGACTAGATGAGAGTGAACAAGTTTCTTATTAAATTATTCAACTCCACATTCTCTGTTATGGCATGCAAAGCATTCATTGGCTGTTTTTGGAAGAGGATAGTTCAGTATGTTTGGATCTGAAGGGGGGGAAGTGTGAATGTCTGGCAAAATGAAGTATAACTTGAAGAACAAAGATTAAAGGTGCAAATTGTGGCACTTGAAATGATCTCTTGGAGCATAAAAATACATACATACATACATACATACATACATACATACATACATACATACATACAAACATACATACATACACACACACATACATACATACATACACACATACATACATACATAAAACCAGTCAACTATTGGCATGCTCAAGGACGAGGCTCGAGGACTGTCGGGGGCCTCTCTTAAATTCACAGATTTACGTTTTATCAGATCAGGCCAATCACAGTCATTTATGTGGGGCAGCTAAAAGTGCTGTGAAGAGCTGTTTTACAAACAGACAAGATGGCTGATTGTTTTAAACCAACCATCACTTTTATTACAGTATTACTTAGTACAATGTAAAACTTTCTGAAAGGTATTAAGATGACATTATCCACCTCTATATAATGTCCTGAGGTACTTTGGTCTGTGCTGGTTGATTAGCTACACCAAGTTTAAAATTAAAAGTTAACTGTGAGCTACATAACGTCGTCAGTCACTCAAGGCTACTTGTAAATCACAGCACTTGACTTCTAGTAAATAAGAACATACTCTCAAAAAAGTCACTTCAATGTACCTGACATTAGATTACAAAAGTTCTGCTTTCTTTCTGAGTTCTTGCCTCTAAACATTGGTTCTCTAGACTTTTGTATCAGCAGACTTGCATATAGAAATTGAGTTTGCGTACTTGTGTTTAAATAAGTGCATGTAGGACTCCTTGCTGAAAGGCTAACATGATTCCACTAAAGCACAGTCCAGACAGATTAGTGTCAAACTCGCTTGTGTATGTAATGATATGCACCATTTGGAAGACAATTAGGAAGATCGCAGTGATTGTGTGCAAAAGAAATATTGCTGATAGGTGTTTTTAGATGTTAAGGGTCAATGTTGAGGGACTCTACATTAGCACTTCACTGTTGTTTTGCCTGACAAACTTTGGAGCTCCAAAAATTATGGTAGATATCCATACAATACACATCAAGTAGGTGATTAGTGCAGGTTTACCTCCGTATCATAAAATCAAAGCTACAATTGGAGAGTGTTAGCATGGCGCAAAAACTGTAAATAAGGGAAAACAGTTAGTGTAGCTCTTTTATGATAACAAAGTTTGCCCATCGAAGGTTTTAATTCTCACAAATTTTTATTCTTTATCCTTACCACTACTTCTTCAGGCTACTTGTTTGAAACAATAAGCATTACATCATAATTTTTCATAGTCACAGCAATAAGCAACAAAGAACAATATCTACAACCTTTCACAGAATAAACACCTACCTTATTTACAGCTGCGTTATAAAATAAGATCATTTAAATATAGATTATTTCAAACAAAAATGTTGTCAGTGCTGTCTATTAGCTTCAATTCTTGTTCTTTTATTATATAATAAGCACATTATATTCTCTTATTGATGAACTGTGGAAGGAAAAGACTGATACCACTTTGTAACTTGGGATACTCAGGGTGATTTACTATGGTGTGATTCATGAAAACAGCAGATATTTTAATATTATCTTATTAAGCTGAAAGCCTACATAGTTTGAAACAGCAACAATCCTTGTTTTTCTGTCGCCAAATCCAATTCTCCTCCATGAGGACAGCAGCATATCAAATCTAATTATCTCCACCTTAAACCCGTGACTCTCTGTGCTCCTCACAGCACACTCATGAGAGATGGAAGCAACAATTACTCTGTTTTTTTGTTAATACTCTTCTGTCTACATAGAGTTTAATTTCCCCTTTGTATCTGTGCTGGTCAGAGTGCTCAGCTCTTGTGACTGCGGTTTTATGAGCTGCCGGAGAGGAGAGAAATATGTGAACTGTGATGAGGGCTGTGATACAGTCACATGACTCCAATCTTTATGCTCTCTTGATTTAGGCGTTACTGATTAATTTTTCGCATATAGGTTATGTAGGCCTATATGTGCTAAGGACTATTAATGTAATATAATAAATAAGTATTTACTGCGTCCCTTTTTGCTCACTTTTGTTGATGTCTATGAACCAAAATAATTCCAACAAACCAGTCTCTAGTGATACAGCGCAATGCTAAAACAACTCATTTATCAATGAAATGATTTGTCACTTGTGTTGATATAGCATCTCCATTAATAGATTCTCTTGTGTGCAGTTTCTTTGTCTCCTGCAATAACAAACCTGAGTTCACAAACTCTGAAGGTATCACCTCGGGTTGTTTTGGCACTTTTCCCTTTTTCTGTCATATTTTTATCCAAATAGTTTATTGATTATTGTAGGAGTATTGCACCCTGCAATAGATGAGATTTTAGTGAACTGAACGACAATCGAATTAGGCCTGAGTGAATGCTACAGTGGGTGTGGTTAAGTGCAGTTTTTTGACTTTGGAAAATGGGACCTTTTCACGGCAGATATTTGATAAGTCAAACCAAGAATAAAACAGCTGTAATTAAAAGCCTGTAGCACTTGTTTAGTTTGATTATGATGTGACAGCTAGTGTTCGATCGCTCCAACGGTGGCAAAGCTTTGGAGCTAATAAAACCAAATGGAGTATGTCCTTTATGAATACGCCAGGAGTGTGTTTGTACATTTCGAAAATCACACATAGCCAAAGAGAGACTGACAAGCAGCAGTTTAGTGTGATGACACACTGTACTTGTGTAGCTATTCTTCACTCACACATTTCACACCAGACCTCTATATTATGAGCTGAATCTATGTGTTCTATTTCTGTACTCTCTGTAGTCGCTGCAGCGTTTAGTCTCTGCCACCGCAGCACACTGGAGCCGCTGAGATTACCTTCTCTCTTTTTTTCTGTTCGAAAACCAAATTTTCTTCTTCTTTTTTCTTTATAGCAGTAGATAGATTTATACCACTGAATGAATTATGGACATTAACTTACTTTCTCTATCAGGCCATCACTCACCCCGCCTGTGATTTTTGTTCCCCTTCTTATTTCCTTTCATAAATAAAAACCCTTAGGCCATGAATTGTGGGCATTAGCTCCACCCCTGATTTTGCATTAACCAATCAGAGCCAGGACTGCAGTGTGTAGTATGATGATCAGACGAGGTGGGACAGCCTTTTCTTTACAAGTTAGTATGTCAATGTGTGTGTGTGTGTGTGTTAGCTGCATCACAGATGGGCTGTTTTCTCCCCTCATGTGTGATAGTCATCCCAATCTTATTAAGATCAGCTGTTAGCTCAGTGAGCGTCCTATCTCCTCCTCCTCCTCCTCCTCCTCCTCTCTCTCTCCCTCCCTCTGTCTCTCTACTTCTTTCTTTACTCTCTCTCTTTTAGCCGCCTGCCTCTCTGCTGCTGCTGCTGCTTCTGCTCTTGTTGCTGCCACTGCTGCTGAGACACACACACGCACACACACACACACCATTACACTGCACTGCTGGAAAGGCCCCAGGCTCCCCAATCACTCCTGCAATTTCCCTTTTCTCAGCCCTCTTTCTCCATCTCTCTTTCGCTCAATCACGCACGCATAGTTTTCCAGATGAAAATGTCAGAGGAGGAAGAGACTCTGTCAAACGGGTAAGGGACTTGCTACTTGTTTTGATGGCGTGTGTTTGGTCTCTGTAAGATGGTTTGTAAGCGTGTGTGTGTTCTAGCTGTGGGAGTCAGGCATGTGGACAAACTTGCTGGGTTTATTTTAGGAGCTCCTCGGCTCTTTTGTGTCACGGCTAAACACTAAGAACAACTTATAGCTGCTGGAACGAATGTGGTGAAAGCTCAGCAAGCCACAGGCCATACAGTAATGCTTCGTCACTGTTAAAGGGGTGCGTGTGTGTGTGTGTGTATGTGTGTTCTGGTTTTCATAGGGACATAAAGGAGGTGTGTATATGAGAAGTTGTTGTGTGCTGAGTGGTTTTCTGAGTGTATGTGTGCCTCTGTCATAATTATCATCTTTGTGTAAGCTGCTCTCTGGAGAAATCAACTCAGGATTTCAGCTGACTTGAAGTTCAATTAAATTACCGGGACAATGCGTGGTATTCACATCCTCAACTTATTAAACTCCTCTCATTGTGCTGGTCATCATGCCCTTATTTATTTCTTAGATTAGTCAGCTATTTTCATATTTAAAGTCAGCGTCCAGTTCTGTGTGATCAATCTGTTGTGTTTCGCCTCAGGTTGTCTTAAACAAGCAAACCAAACAAAATCCTGTCATTCATTCAGTCAGTACAAGCTAGTTATGAGCAAGTTAGTTTTCAGCTCTAAGAAAAGGATGAAGCAAGTGGCTGTTACTCCTGCGACATCCTGTTTTAATCTTCTTTCTTGTTGTTGCATGACCTCAAAAATTAGGCCAACAGGAACGTAGTTTGAGGGCACTTTTCTTTCCTGTACCTGCTGCTTGCTAAGTCCGCTTTTGTCACTTAAGCAAACAACTCTCCAAAAGGCCACCCTCCCTTAACAATTATTGACATATTATTCTAGTTATTTATAAATTATGCTCTTCACCTGAACCAGCCTCCAGACGTGTTGTTACTCTTTGAAAAGTCAGAATCAGAGTAAAGTCATTGAAAGTGAAAGCACACGGGGAAGTATAGTTTTGCCGTAGTCAGCACAGAAACAGTGAGATAGCCGCTAGCTTTGGTGTAAGTATTGAAAATGTCACTACCTGCATTTCATCAAGTCAGCAGAGATCCTCACCCTCCTGATTCCTCATGTTTTGAGTATCTTTCTATATTCAGCAGACAGCCAGCCAGCTAAATTCATACAGATAGAAAACTGTAACAACGCAGTAGAGAAATCTCCAGTTTAATTCGGTCAGAGGCCTCTATGAGCAGACATGTGACTCTGCAGCAGTATCCTTGAAATCAATGACATAAACACACATTCAGTTTGCTTCCTTGTTGCAGTATCCTCCTGGCATTGTTAATGTTTATATTATTAATTCACCTCGGCTCATTGTCTATTTATGAAAGGCACTTGAATATGAATTGTGTTGTTGTAGCTACATGCATCTGTTAATGTTGATTCAATACCATCCCAATGCTGTTATCCTTGAACATTTTGGGCATTCCACCTTCTCTGCCTCAACCAATCATGTCTGATTTACTTCTTCTAAAATTTAAGTATGTTACAGATGTTTTACAGCCTTGTGTATTGTTTTAACTTGAAAAAATACAGCCGTGTAGCAACATTTTAACTATCCAAACTCAACTCTGAAATCACTCTAAAATAAAATATTGGTCCAAATGCACAACTTACAAAACCAAATATGCCGCACTTAAGCTCCTTTCATGTTGCAAGTCGGCAACAGCGCCATAATTAAGCTTCAACATCACCATGATCCCACAAGGGTATATTATGGGTGTCCCAGAGTGTGATTTACTGTGTAGCAAAAAGTATGATACACTCAGTCAGATAGACACACACACACACACACACACACACACACACACACACACACACACAGTGCTGTCAATGCTTCTGTTACTACAGCAGTGGTAGAACGTTATCCCGCCATTACACCAATGTGATTACCATATTGGAGACCTTACAGGGACATAGATATCACATTTTGACCTAGCAAAATTAAAAGGGCTTTGGAAATTCAGAGAACATCAGCAGTCTGTTGCAACACTACCCAAATAGTTGGCTTTACATCAGTCCTGCCTTTGAAGAGGCAAATAGTTTGATGTTTGGGATTTTAGGGTAACACCTGGGGTGGCCAGTGAATGGAAGGGGGGCTATGCCACTCCTTGAGGACCCTCTGGGCACACCCCTGTAAAGACATAAAAAGTGATTCTTTCCTTTAGATATAGATAATATCCTATGTCAGTACACTTCTGTTTTGTTGAGGATGTAGGATGTAACCTGGGCTTAGTGCATGATGCATCAATGATAATGATGTGGCAAAATTTTAGAAGCCGCTCTGTTCCAAGTATGATTTTAATGGTTTATGACACTTAACCAAGATGGGCTTTACCATTTTGTGGCCTTGTTAAAAACACACACTAGATTTACAATATGATACTGATATTCTCACACAAGCTTTCATTAGCATTTTCTCATTATTGATTATTCTTTCTTTTGTCAGTTGTCGAGGTTTGTGCCTGTTCTTTTCTGTGTGCGTCTTTATCGTGTACTCCCAGATGAAGACAAAGTATCCCGATTGTACATGTTTGTCTGACAAGAGTTGTCTTGTGCTGTTTTGAGGAAGCTGGGCTTGCTGCTGGTCATATGGTGAACGCAGCAGTCAGTCACCCGCATGTCATTAGCAAGAACTGAGCCAGTGTGTCTGTGTGTGTGTGTCTGTGTGTGTGTGCTCTTTTTTGTGGTTGTGGTGGGTGTTTGTATATGTGATAAGTTTCCACTGTGTTTCTAATGGGCAGGAATGTCAAGTGAATGCTGTCAATAAGTGGCTGCTGTCATACACATTTGCTATGGCTGTATTAGCTCATTCAATGCTATCCTATTCTTCCAGATAACGTGCATTACTGGCTAACTTGTTGACCTGTGGCTGTTGAAATGCAAATAGGGAACAATTGTCATGCTTACACCCTCAATACTATGAATAATATCAAAATAAAAGATTTCAAAGAGGAAAAATAAACTGCATGAAATAAAAATCAGGGTTCCTATTACCTAGATATATATCTACGGCATTAAAACAAATGAGTTCTTGAGAAAATATGTCATTTCTTCAACAGTTTATGATACAAGTGATTGTAATATCAATCTTAAAAATAGACTTTGTTGTATAAAACAAACAAGTCTCAGTCCAAATGAAGGAAATTAATCAACTTAATGTTGAAGAACATTTCAGATCCATCAACTCAACACGTCCCCTCAGCTCATTATCCTGAATGTTAATGTTTTTTTCTCATGCTGTTCTGGAGAAATAAAACACTCATTTGAGCAGATCCATTACCAGCCCACAGTGAGCGAGATTAAAGAGGAAGAAGTCTGTTGATGAAGGGAGGATCCTCAACAATGGCTTGTGCTTCATTTGGCAACGCTTTATACTCGTCGTGTGAGGATCATGTGCACCACGTCTTGAATACACAGCTGCATTATTAGATAGAATAAATGGAAGTTTGTCGGTTTAACAAAGACAGCTGAGAAAGAAGAAGTATGCAAACAAGCTGGAACACAATCTATCTGAGGATGCATCAACATCTCTAACCTATCTCTTACTCATCTTTATTTTTTTTTGTTGTTTTGAAATGAAGGTTTGTGTTAATTGAAGTACCGGAAGGGAGCTCATGACTTTATTAGCTCAGCACATTTGTGTGTATTTCCTTATATGTGTTTCAGATTTTCTTCTTCTGAAGAAGTAGGAGTGAAAACATTAAATCAAACAGGAATAAACCAAGACTATCGAGAGAGGGCCATTGTGTCTGTTAAGAACAGGGTCCCTGCATTAGACAAAGGGATGGTTGGGTGGGAGGATGTGGCAGGAATTGAGAGAGGCAATGTGGAACCACGTGGATCTTCAAATATGAGTCAACTTTTAAGTTCCATGTCCCTCTGATTCCCTCTGATGTTTGCATCCCTCACCTGTAAAGACTTGTCTTTAACTTGACTGATGACTTTTGATTACTTGTTCACGATATTTCAAATGAAGTTTTGGTCTTTTAAACGTTGAGATGTGTTGTGAGATGATAATGTGCTGTCTTTACTTATCCAGACGCTGTGTGTGTTTTTGTTGTGCAGGTGCTTGCGGTCAGACCTGTCGCTGGCTCTGGAGGACTGCATGGCAGCACTGGATCTGTTCCTCAGAAACCAGTTTGAAGAGGCACAGACCCAACTCAAATCCAGGTGGGAGAAAAACCTGAACCTTATGCTAATACTGCTGCTATTCTCGGCTCTAAAGGGGAGGGAGGGATCACCTGGATTTATGCTTTTACAGACAGATATGACAAAGCAAGAAACAAACAGCTGCTGTTATATGGCTATGCAAGGCTTTTACAGGCTTTCTGCCCAGGTGTGAGGAGGTCTCGTATTATACATGCTGTCTCACTTCTTTCCCTTTATTTGGCCTAGTGGGATATCTGAATTAAACAAAACCATTATCTGTTTTAATTATGACACCTTAGCTTTTCATGATAGATCAATGGATACTTTATTAATCCCTCGTGGGAAATTGCACCATTACAGCAGCTAAAATCACAGTCAGACACGCACACACGCACACACACATCCAACAGACACTTAGGCACATAAAAACACTCAAGACAAGAATTTTGCCAGGAATAAAAGTATCTTACTAATATCTTTTTTGAGGAAAGCATGGTTATCTAAGTGAACATAAACATCTTTTAAATACATTTGTTTTTGGGTTTTGCTTATTCTATTCAAATGGCACAATAAGCATCATAGATAGTTGTGTACAAAAGTCAAACATGAGATTAGGAGAAGGCTGCAATCCCTCTTTGGACACTTAATGGTAGGCTGTGGTACAGGGTCTTGAAATCAGGGGGATAATAAAGTGAGAATTTAGTGAGAATAATTATGATCACTTTCCTCAAAACATGCCGTACAAAAATAAAACTTGAAGAGATTTCAATGTAGGCTGTACAACATTGAGGCAGAGTAGTAAATTGGTTATTTTACATGCTCACTTCAATAAATGACCATTTTTTTTCACGCATTGGGTCTCTAGATTACAGGCCGTGTTATATCTGCTCTGTTAAATCATATTCTTCAATTACTTTGTGACTTTATGAAACAATCCAAGCTGTATCTGGTCACATCCCCGCGTGATGAAGAAGCATAAGTCAAATTTTCCTCTGCTCTTAACAGCAACATTGCACTCCAGGGACAAGAACAGAAACCAGCATCTGGATCAGCGGGTCCCCTGAGTCTTAGAAGTCTACACGCAGATTAACTTTATCATAAACATGTCAAACAGTGGCTGGTTTTCGGTGGAATCCTGCCACAGTGAAGCTGTGGCTCGCGTGTCATTGGATGTGAAGTCGGTAACAAACACACAGGAACTGTAAAATCACCATTTACGATCTAAATAGTTTTGTTATTATTACATGGATTACCCTTTCTGTTCCGATTTTTACTCTCGGAGTAGCCCCCCAAAAAAATCATACATAAAAACATCAACATAAATTTTGACAGCTATTATGACTTTATTGATTTCAAAACCAACAGCCGAACTATCACTTTGACCTGCCACTTATGGTGAAAAATGCAACACCCTCCTCCTGGTTCACATCCTGATATGAGTTTTGACCACTAATACTTGTGTCATCAAGTTACTCCATTGTCCGCTGCTTATTCTCTCGCTCTATTATCAGTGTTTAACACAGTTTGGCCATTATCCTCCTTCTTTTATCCTCGCTCTGAGGCTGGGGGCCACTCCTTAGCCCCAGTTTCGTCTTTTCAGTACTGTCTTACACCAAGCCGAAAGATAAGCTACCTGATAGCCATAACTTTCTTTGTATTAATTTCTATTTAATCTAGAGTGACAGCTACTGTTCACCGTTTATGTTGTTGTAAGTGTTCTAAGTGTTTTTAAGTGGTTCCGTATGTTGGTTTCTCCTCCAGTCAAGTCATATAAAATGGAGGATAATTGAAAAAGCTGCTGTAGCACCCTGCAGGTGCTGTTACCTGAGACTTGGCGCTCTGTCAGCTCTATGGCATCTTGTTTTCTCCAGTAATATCCTTCCAAGAGTTCGATATTTGCTATCTTGTCCTCTTCAAGTGCCTGTTGTTGTTGTTTTGTGGCAAATGGTTGTATCTAGGGGCAACATTTAGATTGGATCAGAGTTTTTGCTTGCTGCACAGTACCTAGAAGGAATGTGAAAAATCTGTTTACTTTTCTATAAGTTTTCAGGCAATCGCTTTTTCTTCTCGTTTAGCTTCTCCTTTGTTTTGAGATAGAACGCGATTAAAGGCTTCTGAGTCTGAATCCGCACTTAATTCAAAGTGAAACCAGACTTTTATGTAGTTCTGTTTGTACAGGCCAAGCAACACCTTCTTTAATTTTTTTTCAGGAGTGCTCTGAAAAGGAAGCTTGAGGCATCAGACTTATGTAATACACTTTAAGGTGTGACAGCATGCCCTTGCTCTGATAAAGGCTCACTGAAAGACTACAGGAACAATCAGCCCCGGGGATGTAAAATACAAACATAAGCTTCCGTATCCTGCTCTGTGCTTGTGTGCGTCCTCTGCTTTAGCCCTTGTGTCCTTTCCTATTCCGTCCTTTGACAAATTTGGGTCACTTTGTCTCTTCCTCCAGTTGGGCTCAGTGTGTCAGATTAATCTCTGTAGCATAAACGTTACACACGCAAATGCACGAAAAGATTGAGTGTCTCTTAGAGAGGGCTTTCATTTTCTTTTTTAACCCTAACCCACTCCTACCTCTTGTCAATTTTGGGTCAGAAATCCACTGGTCGGTCAGTTATATTTTCGCAAAGAGACATGCAGATACAAAAGTCAAAGGTTGCTCCTTATGTTCTTGTCATTCTTATGTTTTAAACTGGTGTGAGAGAGTAATGGCTGAACAGCTGAGGAAGGTCCTGTTTTTGAAATGTACATATAAAATCTTTACTGTAAACTATACATTTAACCATCACTTGAGGTTACTGCTCTAAAATTAATTTATGCTCAAACACACCGTAACAAGGAGTTAGAGACTCCCTCGAGAGATGAATATGGTCGACAGCTTGCTTCTCTGGTTATACCAACTTTAGTAACGACCGCACGTTAGCAATACACAGTGGTCTGAGAAGCCACACACAAATCTCAACCAAAACGCCACTCTATAGCCACAAATAATGCTCAGAACAGCACCTAACTTCATCAACAGTACATATAGGGTCCCAGCCACAGCACTAGCCACCAAACATCTTTTTAACTTTGCCTGATTTCTTTAGCAAAGAGACTGAACACAACTCACCTACTCTCTTCCAGCAGCCGCTTGTTTGTAACAAGACCTCAGGCCAGTCCATCATGGACTGCTGCGGGGTGACGCAGCTCAAGGAAGAACATTTGTGTGTGGCTCCTCAGACTGCTGTGTATTGCTATCTTGTGGTCGTTACTAAAGTTGGTATAACTAGTGAACCAAGCGGTCGGCAACATTCATCTCTCGAGGGGGTGTCTAACTCGGTGTTACGGTGTGTTTGACTCTAAATTAATTAATTTTACACCGGAATATCCCTTTAAATAACTTTAAGAGTTATTTTATGGTTAGGAGGGGGTTATTCAAATTAGAACCCTGACTGGGTGGGCAGGAGTGTGATGCAAAATAAAGGGGTCTTGTCTGGTTCTTAAGGGATTCCTGTTTACCTAACCACCAGGAGATCTGCATCAAGTTGCCTAAAAATGACCCTTTTTCAAGCGTAGACAAAAGTTTCTGAATGTTGTGAGATGTTTGAAAATAATTCATCTCTCTTTTGCTGTGATTTATATCAGCCTTACAAATAACCCTGTTGCTTGTTCCCATGTGAAGTTTTGTAGTTCAAACTATTGCCCATTTTTCAACAGCTATTCCAGTAAGTAACTCATATCCTGTTACATAAATCAATAGGTGAAGCCATCGCCCTTATAGGATTCAAATATTTAAGGCCCAGGTGATATGTTTCCCATAGGCAAGGTGTAACTACAGACTCAACTCCAACACTGTACCAACATGCCTTCTTCTTAAAAACCAGACAAGAGTTGTTTTTTTCTCAGTCAGTACTCAAACCCAGAAGGTATCTAACTTAAGGCTAAGCTTTATTTGCCAGCGCTCTGTTCAAACACGCCGCCAGACCAAGTACAGCTTGAACAGCACAGCCTGACTCTCTCATCATGTTGTCCTGCCCTGTTCCTCACAGCCGTAGCAGCAGGAGGAGGTGTACTGTAGACATATGACGTACAGCTAACTCCTGCATTGGGGAAGGGGTGTGTTCGCTGTTAGTGTCAAAGTTTCATGTCTGTTTTCTCTTCTTATTTTCAAAAATGTGTCACTTCACCTGCAGTCTGGACCCTTTTCTGAGATTTTCACATGAAGAAAAATCATACTGCTAGAGAAAAACTGACTGATTTGCATGTGTGGACTCCCCGGCCATTTCCTCACTTCCTGGTTGATTCTTACACGTGCAGCACTGGCAGCAAGGTGTGGATGCATGCACGTGTTTTGGAGAAAGTACAAGTCAGCTCTACCCTTTTATGGTGAAATGTTTTGGTGAAATTTTGTTGGACAAATGGCTTCAGAATAAGGAGGAGACTTTTGTCTCCCTGAATCGTTCAGATGAAGCTGATTGAAAAATACCTGAATGCTGCTGTGAAATATTTGGGATTCTCCGCCACTTTCAGCCAGGAGCATTCAGTTTACCTCACAGCTTTGTCTTAAAAGGTGTCACAGCTTAAGTTTGGGCTGACATAAGTCTTACATAAGTATGATGCAACTGAATTGTGAGACTGCTGAATGCTGCTCAAGCCGTATCTTCTCCTCCTTTATGTCACTGCTGTAACTTCCTGGTTGTCAAACAATCTGTCACTTGATTCGTATAAGTAATTTTAAAAACCTCAAAGCTTCTCAGAGGAGTTTTTAGCTGAATATAAACAGACTGAAAGAAGCCCATTAATAACAAAACTGACGATTTTTACGTGGCGATTATTCATGCCTGAAACAGCTGTCATGGTGTGGGAGTCAAATAAAAATGATTTCAACTGCACTCTGCTGAAACAGCCTAATATTTACAGTACATGTGTGTCAGAAATGCTACTTTCACATGTACTAGACAAAAAAAGCAAATAGAGATACTCCAATAACAAAACAAACAGAAAGCACCTCACAGGAACTTAAAGCTGACACCTCATGTGTACCATAAAAATCCTGATTTATTGCTGCAGATTTATGACCCTGGCGAAAGAACAACTTCTCAGATGATGCTTTTAAACTCTGCGGCTATGGTGCATTTAGAGTTCTTTCATCATAAATAGGCTGTCTGCAAATTAAAGTAAAACCGAACAGGATAACTTTGGATGTAACATTGAGCATGGTTGGTCACATGAGTCTTCCTGCAGTGAACACTGGCGACACGTCAGATATGCAGACTGGCAGCATTCCTCACTACACACCTCCTCTGCCTTTCTGCTTCAAAGTCAGCATGTGTGAACAAACATACAATGCAAAGGTTATTGCAGAGTACATAAAGTTTTTTAAACCATTAAAGGTGACCACAGTGAGACGGCGTATTAATGACAAGGCTCTGTGTTGTTTTGGTTTCACTGTTTGGTGGGTGTTTCTTTATTAAATACTGGTTTATATCTGGAATGACGAGCTTTACAGCCAGAGCAACAAGTAAATCCACTGGAAAAATGTGTATGACAGAGGAGACTTTGACTCCTCCTTCATCCCATTAATACCTGTAAGAATTCAGTTTAACACAGGGCGTAACGTGACACACCAACAACCTCAGGTATTAATAGACCTTTAACTGTCTTTGGATATCCTGCGCTTTAGCTTTCTTATTCCCTGTAACGTAACCTCTGTGTGAATCGTTACCTCACCTCCTATAAACCAGAAACAGCGCACTGTCGAACTCTGACCATTTGTGGCTATAGTAGCATCAGTGAAAACAATCACGTCTCCTTTTTCTGCAGAACTAAAGACAGCATGTACCACGCTCTGACCTATGCCACGATCCTGGAGATGCAGGCCATGATGACCTTTGACCCCCAACACATCATGGCTGCTGGGAACACCATGAAGGAAGCCCAGGCTATCTGTCAGCGGTATGACTTTACCGCAACTTCTCCAAAATCCAGCCAGTAAACGGTTACAGGGGATTTTGTCAGCCAGTTTGTCCCAAGGCATTATGCTGCGTTCAAGTAACCTCGGAAGTCAGATGTACGAGCTGGGAATGACATCACACCCGAGTTACCAACGTTTCAGTTACCAAATGGAAAAAAAGCAAAATTGGAGGTGGAAACAAGATGGCTTGAATGCAGCATTATATTTGATCAAAGGAAATAAAAATGATAAAGAAGGGGTGATTAGAATATAGTTTTAGACACTCAATTACTCAGGACATCATTATGTCTCTTCTTACTGCTAGTGTCCATTAGCAATATCTTGCTAAAACCAGGGTGCATCCAAACTCACTGACCAAAGGCATGTCGCAACAGTCTGTGATTATTTGTCCTGGAGCCCCTGTGACAGTCTGTCATGGCTCAAACCGACCAGCCCAACATGATAAACACATCCCCCAAAACCATGTATCAGGAGTCATGGCTGCACTTTCACTGTTTTTTGCTGTTTTGACTGAAATTTCATGCACGCTCAGCGCCATAGGGTAACTTCAGCTTGCAGTCTGTCTGTCTGTCTCCACTGACAAGAGGCTGAGTCACTGATTTCAATAGAAACAAGAGACACAAAGAAATGCAGGAGAATAGAGCTGCTGAAACATTATCTTGGCTATTTTCAGCGTGACAAAGTGGCTGATAAATGCTAACCACTGTAAATCTATGTAATATGTAGCAGAGTGAATAAAAGGCTTAAATCCAAGACCAGACTTATTTATCATCTTTCACTTTAACAGATACTTAATAGATAGGGCAGGTTAAGAAATGGACCAAACAACACTCATGGTGAATAATCGTCTGACAGGACTGGTAGGCTGTGAAGGTGGAGGCAAACAAATAGAGATAAATTAAGAAAAATAAAGAATAGCAACATCAATAGATGTAGACTTATGACTATAATGTCCTGTATAGTGGTGAAAATAATACTAGCCGTCACATTATAGTATTGATAACAGTTGGAATCAAGCAAATCCATGACAGGGACCTTCTTTATGACTCACAGCAATATAATATCAGCACCATAACTTATTCTTTATATTTGATTGAACTGTAGATTTGAATGTTCTCATCTACTGTCTGATCTCCGTCCTTTCACATCTGTATAAATAATCTCCACCGTGGTTTTGAATCTAAAAAAAAATCACTAATAACAAATGATTGTTTTGTGTTTCTTTAACCAGGCATCGCAGGAAGTCCACCTTTTCCAAAAACTTCACAGAAGGTCAGTAAAGTCTTCTTAAAGGGTTGAGTAGTAATATTTACAGCAGAAGATTGCAGAAATCAGAAGCATTTGAGCTGATAGTTACTATGGTAGAGTATTATATTAACTGTGTGTGTGCTGCAGCTGGAAGACTGCCCCATTAATGCTAACTGTGCTAATCTTTGGTTTGTCAGAGGAGCTCCACGCGGAGGTTTGCTTTGCCGAGTGTCTCCTGCAGAGGGCAGCGCTCACCTTCCTTCAGGTCAGGAGCGAGATGCCTCTGAATCTGCCACAGCTGCCGACTGAATGTTTGTATTTTTAATAAAAAAATAAACTCTCTTTCTACTTCATCCCCCCTCTCTCTGTTCAGGATGAAAACATGATCAGTTTCATCAAAGGAGGAATCAAAGTGAGGAACAGCTACCAGACATACAAGTGAGAATTTAAATTTCGTCATATCCTGCTTGCATTTTTAAGCGACTTCTGTGTTTGTTATTTCACTCAAAGCCTGTATTTATCTGCTCCTTTTATGTGTACCTCACAGGGAGCTTCACACAGTCCTGCAGTCCTCTGGATACATTCATGGGGACAACCATGGCCATTTTGAGGGTGGTGTTAAACTGGGAGTAGGAGCTTTTAATCTTGTAAGTACAAGGCACAATTGAATTTGGGAAAGTTTGTGGTTACAGAGGATTTTTGTGTGTGTGTGTGTTTCTTTTTCTATGATAGGGAAAAAGGAGTTTAGAAAGTCTCAAGCCTGAGGTCAATTTCAAAACGATTAAAAACAACTGACTGACATTTCATATGTGTTGATGCCTGAAATATGTGTAAGGAAACAGGGGATCTTAAAACTCAAAGACAACAATCAATAAGTTCCTGTAGGTCTTATGCAGACAGATTTAATAATAATCATAATAATACATTTTATTTGTGGGCGCCTTTCAGGGCACTCAAGGACACCTTACGGGGCAATTAAAAGACACATCAGTAGAATAGTAAAATCAATAAAAACACATCAACACAAAGTATTTAATAAAAAGTTGAAACTCTTTGCAGCAGAACATCAAATGCTAGATTTTATGAGTGTTCGATTGTAGTCCTTTAACTCCATTTTTGGTACCGTCATTAATGAGCATACAGGGGGAATAAATCCTGTTTGAATGGACTCCACCCCTGTCCACTTAATTATTAAAAACAAAATTAAAAAATAAATGTTTCAGCTTTTACAAGTTTACACTGTTAAACCAAAATTAGACGTACCTTATTGATTCTCAGTCAAATTTATAGGTTAGATTGAAAGAGGGACTCGCAATATAGGTGAGAATCTAAAACAGTATAATCCTCTTTAGCGTTAATAACTACTCCAGAGATCATTTAAATGTAATAACGAGTTATGTGAAATGTAATAAAAGGTGTGCTAGGTTATGGTTAATGCATTTGCAGAAGATTATCAGTTGTAAACAATAGTTGCATGTAGCTCAGGTTATCATTACAGACTTTATATTACCTGACATGCATAGATTTAAGGTCTAGACAATATATTCCGTATGTTTAATATTTTATTTTACATTGCCGACCAAAAGGCTTTGGTTCTACGTATGTTGTAGTGAGTTGTTTCTCATCTTTATGCTCTGAAACCCTGTGAAAAGAAAGAAAAACACCACTCATGACTCTTGTATAGTCTGATGTTAATTGTAATTATAAGACAAACTTAAAACCAGTGTTTATCTTTTAAAAAATCGCATGATTCCGCTTTGTGTCCCTTTCCACCAGATGATCTCCATGTTGCCCACGCGGACGCTGAAGCTGCTGGAGTTCGTAGGTTTCTCTGGTAATAAGGTAAGCATCAAGAGAGAGAAGTTTGGCAGTGTGGATTGTTTTGAGCTGCGTAAAATTTCACATTTCACCGCATCTGTGATTTAAAGTAAAATATTCCCAGTGGTTCATAGTGAAACCCATGACTCGTGAAATTGACTGTAATTGAATTGCAGTGTATCTGACAGGTTTAGTGAAATCATGATATGAAACTATCTCAGCTGTTTGTATTTATGAGTGGATGACTAAGACAACTCTTTGATTGTGTGAATGAATGACTAACCCTTACCCTAACTCTAACCCCAACTCTCTTGTACATGGCTGTCTTTTAGATAATGATGTGTAATGTTTCACAGATTGTATTTTTTTCTAACAATGACCCCAGTAATTTGGTTTGTGGTACCAGTATACAAAATATTAATAATAAAACTTAATGTAAATTAACTCTTCCTTAAGCTGCATATTAAGTATGTCTTATTTATCCAGTCTGGAGATCCAAGAGTTAATAATCTTGACATAGCAGGCATTCATATCCGGTATATCTTTTATTATGCTCTTGCGAAATTTGCTTATGTCAGTTACTGTTCTCAGTTTAGATTTAGCACCAAAAACTTGAATGTAAATCTTGCCTCTCTGATTTCTTTGCACTGAAAATGTATCAGAAATGCACAAGTGTGTTCTTTCGGCTCATTTATGCATTTCCTCTTTCTGTTTGTGTTTGCTGATGCAGGAGTTTGGCCTTCAGCAGCTTCAGGAGGGCTCTGCAGAAAGCACATTTCGCTCTTTCCTATGTAACATGCTGCTGCTTTGTTATCACACCTTTATGAGTTTCATACTGGGTGAGCAAGCACTCCTACACACACACACACACACACACACACACACACACACACACACACACACACACTCATGCAGCTGGGGTTTTTTGTGTGTCTTTTTTTCTCACAGGGACTGGGGAGGGAGATGTTGAAGATGCAGAAAAACTGCTGCAGCCGTATCTCAAAAAATATCCTAAGGTTTGTCAGTCTACAGAGCTCTTTATTTCTTTCTTTTTTTTTGGTAAATAAAAACAGTTGCATGATTGGAAATTTTCCCGAACATATCATTGATTTTGCTGTTTCTTCCAGGGATCCATCTTCTTGTTCTTCGCTGGTCGAATCGAGGAGATTAAAGGAAACCTGGATGCAGTGAGTGCCCATCATATTATTAAACCCCTCCCCCCAAAAGACTTAGACAACTGCATCAACCGGAAATCTCTCCAACTGTCTTCCTTATCTTTGTCTGTTGCCTGAAATACAAAATGTGAAAAACTCTTGCAATTATTTTCTCCTTCAGATAATCTGCCACAGTTATATTAGACAGATTGAATTGCTACAGCTGCTAAGATGCCATGCAGCCTGGTTCATGTAGACACTTTCAGTTCAAGTCTGTAAAGCAAGAGAACTTGACTGTCTCAAATAGCAGACTCTTTTATCAGACCGTGCTGCCTCTACTAACCAGAAAAAAAAACGTTTTATGAGGAAGTGCACAAAGCTCTTCCTGTGGGTCTAAGATTACATGACTCAAGGAACATAATTTAAAGCTCTGTGTTGAATTTTCAAATGTTAAAACTTCTCCAATAGACTGCACATAAAAAGTTAACTTTTTTTTTTCACTGGGTGAAAATGATGACTTTGCATATTCAACCATTGTTAAGGCTTTTCAACCACTACAACAACAATGAGTAAATGATTCATACACTAAGGATGCATTTGTCATATCTTAAAACACAATAAAGAAACCACAACAGTGAAACTTTGCTTCACTCCCACACACATGGTCATATGAAAAATTTTACAAATTGGGGATTTCTCAGCCGGTTTTATTTTGTGCGGTATTTCCAGGCTATCAAGCGATTTGAGGAGTGCTGTGAAGCTCAGCAGCAGTGGAAGCAGTTCCATCACATGTGCTACTGGGAACTCATGTGGTGCTTCACATACAAGAGGCACTGGAAGATGGCCTACTTCTATGCAGACCTGCTCAGCAAGGAAAACTCCTGGTCCAAGGTGGGTGGCACAAGAGTGGGATTCAAATAAATTCTTACCAAATTATGAGGAGTAAAAGCAAATGAGGAAAAACTTTCTTTACAGTCACATTGGTGAGTGACTTGGGGTTGAGTCAACCCTTGATTTCAAATCAGCAGATTCATTAGAAATCTTATGTGTGAGCACTTATGCACAGAGAGACAAAATGGTTCTAAGTTTGGAAAGAAGCAACACCATAAAGATCTGTACAGTGGTGAGTGTGTTTGAGGCCTTGTGGTTATGACACACTTCTTGTGCAGAAATAGTACTGCAGTCATATACCAGTAGAAAACCTTTGTGAGCAGTCAGCCCCGCTTCCGTTACCTTACTTTTACCTTGCAAACATAAAACAGGAGGTGTATTACATTAGCTTTTAAAAGATATTGTAAAAAATAACACATTAAATTTTATGCTGTTTAGATAGACAGCAAGCCAAGTCAGCATTTTGCAGTGGCTGACAGCAGAGCAAGGCTTGAAAGCAGACCTGAGGTCTGCAGTCCTGCTCTGACTCTTGAAGCTCTGCATGGTTGTAGTTTTTCTCTCCTCATCTCATTTAAAAAACAAAGACAGGATTGCAGTGGTGACCACTTTCTTTTCCACCCTCAGGCTACCTATGCGTATATGAAAGCGGCCTACCTTAGCATGCTGACTCCAGATGATTGTCTAACCTTTGGGGAAACTGCAATTACACTGTTCAGGTATGAAATAAGAGCTTTGGCACATGATTCACTCAGACGTAATTCACTGTGGTATTGTGATATCGTCATCCTGTTTTTCTGGAAGAACATTGGTGTAGATGCTACTGTATACAATGTTATTCCTCTCAGAAAGATTGTGTGGCTTGAAAAAGCCTCCAATAAGAAAACTTTAAGAGATGTAATAAGTAGGATTTTCACATATTATCTACTTACCATTTTTTGTTTGTTTTTATTTTTCATTATATTTCAGGCAGGTTCCAGGGCTGAAGCAGAAAATAGCCGGGAAATCTTTACCCACTGAGAAATTTGCTATAAGGAAAGCTCGCCGCTACCTTGCAGAAAACCCCATTCCTCTTCCTGCTCCCCCACTGGTCAGTACCGTAGGAAGCTACAGACATGTTGGATTTCTTTTCCTGTTTGAATTTGATGGTGTTATTAGATGTTTTGTAATAAAACAAGCTACCCGGTAACAAACGTGGAGGGCTTTTTGCCTTTTTTGGTAGGAGTTTTTCAACAACGATGGTTTGCTCTGCATGATTGAAAGGAGAGGATGAGGTGAAAGGTTTTAGTACATTCAGGGTTTGGTGGATATCTGCTTGCAGAAATCACATTTTCATGCACATGTATTCATGAAAATGACACGTATTTTTTATTTGTATTTGTGTGTGATTTTATGTTCTATAGGAGATGATGTATATCTGGAACGGTTATACAGTCATCGGCAAACACCGAGACCTGACAGAGGGCATGCTGCAAACACTGGAGGAGGCTCAGGCGAAACTTCAGAGCAGTATGCAAAATAATTTAACATCTCTTTGCTTGACAAAGGGGTCATTTTGATGATTCTGATTCTGAGTTTTAAATAATATTTTTCATACTATTATTTAAAGGCAGGTTGCATTTATTTTAGATAATTATGTATCACATAATTAAAATATTTTGAATTGCATTCATTTGTGTTCTTATTGTCCTTGTTGTGTATTTGTCAGGGACTGAGTTCTCAATAGACGATCAGTGTCTGTTGAGCCTCTTGAAGGGACTGTGTCTCAAACACTTGGGGCACCAGGAAGAGGCCGAACACTACTTCACTCTGGTCCTCTGCAAGTAAGCCTCCTTCATATATTCAGAAATACAGATGGACATGTACTGTTGATGCTGTATGCTTAACTAATAGAGCTACACAGGCGTGGTGGGCTGTGTGCGAGCTAAATGGGGACTCTCATAGGTGTTGTGAACTCTCTTATCAATTTAAATTGACTGTGTTCACACTGTCCAAACATTGACATATACTTAAATGAATCCTTTTTCACACTGATTTTAGTGAGTCTCAGATCAAGTTCGACCACTATCTGGTTCCTAATGCTCTGCTGGAGCACGGCCTGCTGTGTCTAGAGCAAGGCAGAAAAGAGGAAGCTATCAAACTGCTTGAAACAGCAAAGTAAGTCTCAAGACAAATGTCATGTGAACTACTGCCTTTTTTTAATGAAATAAAGAAATCATGTACATTTATAGAAAATGGGCCACACATCAGTTTATGACTCTTTTTGTTGTGTTCCAGGCAAAATTACAAGAACTACTCAATGGAATCTCGGACACACTTCCGTATTCAGGCTGCTCTGCTTAAGGCAAAGACCGTGGGCGAGAATGGCACCCATGTTACCTCCAGCCCATAACAGACATAGAAGGGCACAGAACAGCAGAAGCAGCTCTCTGTTCCTGCAGTCCACAATTCAACTCTCAGCACAGCCAAGCTCAGCCTCGCCCTTTCGGGCGGAATATTTTTTTTATTGTCATCTTTTTCATCAGGAAGGTAGAGGAAGAGTGATGCTACTTATATTTGCGTGAGCCATGCTTATGGGCCACTGAAGCTCTATGTGGCCTTGATTATGATGGGTGGGTTTGATATGCCTTCCTCTGGAGTAAAAATGATCATGAACTTTACTTCTTTTTTTTTTATCAAAGAGTGACAAGCTGAGAAATGTGCCTATATTTATGAAACATTGCTTTTAGCTGGCTGGTTAGTCTGGCGCTGTGGCCAGCCATAAATGGCACACTAAATACAGAAAACAAGGTAACACTTTTGTAGTATATGGTGTGGATTACCTCAACTGCTAGCCCAGGAAAAGCTTAGTTCATACCAATGGGCCCCTAATAACTGACATCAACTCCCCTCGGTCAACATTTTGCTGCAAAGCTCTCTCATCTCTTATTATGAAATGTAAATGAGAGATAATCGACTGAATGACCTGAGTAGATGAGGGATGATACATATTTTATGTGTTGACATCATCGTCATCAGGCGTAGTCACTGGTATCTGATTTGACATGAATTGATCTGTTGGGGATTCACTTTCACACTACAACAAGCCTTGGTTCATTAAGTTTCTCAAAGAAAGTAAAAGCTTTATTTTTAAATATTCTCTTATGTTATGAAATGTTGACACAAGATTTGACAGAAAGAAATGATAAAAAATTTACCAGGATTTTGTTTCCAGTGTCACTCACAGTTTTTGTCATAAAAATCTTTGCACAGAGGTATGTCATTAGCCAGCCAAGGAAAGTCTCCGAGGTAAATAAATGGGAGTTACAGTTGGATTTATTCTTTACATTTATATACTATAAATGGCATCTTTTACAAAAATTGTCCCGTTTTAAGAGGACAGATGAATGTGTCTTTTAGAAAGGCAGACTTCCTCCTTTTTTCCTCCTGGTGTGTGGGACAGATTCCAACAGTACTTGAGCCTGAACAAACAGGCCATTCAGGCAGAGCAGCAAAGGACTGCGAGCTTGTCCGCCTGTTGCATCTTTAGTGAGTGCTGTAGCTCTGAATGGCAACCACCAACTCCCACTGCTTTGTGAACATCCTCTTCTACTCCTTTTATCAACCATGCTTGACTAGAACTGCGTATAGAAGGATTCAATGTCATAACCATGATCCTGACATATATAACCTGTGTATGAACAAATTCTTTTAATGATGGGCATAAGAGAAAGGGGTCACCTTTAATTATGTCAGTGTTGAGGTTATTTGAAGGGCTGTGTCCCAGCAACAGAGTGTCCGAAGAGTAGAAACACAGATGGTGTCTCAAGTGTTGCAATTAGACCCCTTCTTACTTATTCATGATAGGAGTAAGGTTTGGGATTCAGTATGACCACTAGGAGTTGATTTCAATGTTGTTGTTTTTTTCAAATGGTGGAGGAAATGTACTTTCATAACTGTTGAAACAGTAACTACTCTGGTATATTCCAGTTAAGAGTCATACTTGATTTTATAATTATTAATCAAGGCTGTTTGTCTTTTCCTTATAGATCTGCAGTTTTATCTGAAAGAAATTCTTGAAAACTTTAGTGAAATTGTAATGTTTACAATCAGAATAATATACCGGGCAAGGCTACTATTTAGAATGAGAATGACATTCCTGTACATAGTGAATGTTTCTATTGTAATTTAAGATGAAATAATGAAACTAAACTAATCTAAAAACTAAACTAATCCCATTTTGTGTTGTCATTTATGCATCACAAACTGAACCACAAAAATGCACTACACACAGATCAACGTGATTGTATTAACAGGATGAAGAAGCAAACCTTGCATGCAAATCCATGAATCTAATCCAGTACACATACAGCAGCCCTCCTAATATGTAAATACAAAAGGCGATGGCAGCCATGGGTCAGAATACTGGGAGTGTTGGAGTAGGCCTACATCTTATTCAATTGAAAACTATCAAACGGGACTTGCAACCGGACTACAGGCTGGTAGGAGACTTCATTAAAGTGTGCCTGACACAAAATCATCTGAAATTTTTAATAACAAAGACCATAGGGGAGAGTGGGCTAAGTTGAGCCAAAGGTTAAGTTGAGCCACCCCCTGTTGCTTGGAAATGGTAAAAGAAATTGATCATGTGACCAAATATTTAGGAGATGGGCATCAATCAAGTCTCTGAAGGTTAGAAGCACATGGGTAAAGGGGTTAGACATTTATTTCCAAAAAAAACATTTTTCAGTCTTGAAAGTGAATTTAGTCTGTCATAGGTTTTATTAGAATTGTGTTCAGACCAAAAAAAGATCATTTTAAATTTGTTTTATACATCAATTGTGGTATCTATGAGCTACAACATGAGGTCAAAAACCTAGCATAAAGGTCCACCATTTTAGCTTACAGGACTAATAAAGTCATCATAGTAGTTCTTGGGTAAGTTGAGCCATAAAGAAGTCTGATGAGAGAATCAGAGTTTCAGTTCAGATTGTTGAAATGTGTTACTTTTTCTTTTCATAAATACAGCTGTGAATGTTCTGAATCACTTAACGACATTCTCATATTTAAATGGCTTTTTTTTTTTTTACAAAACAGACTTTTTAGCAGTTATATGCAACAATAATAATAAAAAGAATTACTGTACCAGTTGAATAGCGTATAATAGATAAAAATACACATGAATGTGAAGAAGTTACTGTCATTTAGGGAGAGAGAAGGTGAGGGAGGGCTGGGGTGGAGAGTGGAGGGGTAGTAGGGATAAGGCTCAACTTACATACATGGGGTAAGTTGACCATAGGAGACCACTTTTTTTGGCATGCTATATTATCAAGTCAGTTATGTTTACACTCATTCTGTTGGTTTGCATGAATGCACAGCATCCTGAAATATAAGCAGATACACTAGTTAGAAATAAATCTATGATTGCCTTGATCTAGTGATCAGAAATATGAAAAATGTCTCATCTTACCCCACTCTCCCCCGAGGCGATGGCAGCCACGGGTGAGAAAACTGGGAGTGTTGGATTAGGCCTGCATCTTATTCAGTTGAAAAACTATCAAACAGGACATGCGACCGGACACCAGGCTGGTAGGAAACTTCATTATAATCTGCCTGACACTAAATCATCTGAAATTTTCAATAACAAAGACTATAATGCCGATTGTAGCCCTCTGTTTACGTTTTGACTGAAAGGTAACGTGATTCAGATCTGATTGGCTGTTCCTGCACGTAGGTGAACGCTGATTGGCTATATCTTTCATGCTCTACGTCTCCACATCACCACCTTGTGGAAAGTCCCTGACAGTCTACGAGGGTTCAGTCAGACAAGAAGCAGCCAGCCTTTCCTTCATAAATGAGGCTGATCGTAGTCTTACTCGCCGATGTGCCTCTACGGGCGTGAAACCCACAGAGTTCTTCTTAATCGGTGATTTGTTTGTGCCAACCGAGTCGATGGTTCCTGGTGAGTGTTAGCTGGTGTTAGCAGACTAGCTCTTTGTGTAGCTAGCTGCTAGCTGAGGGATGTTTTGTTGTTGTTGTTGTTGAGCTGAGAAGCAGCCCTGCCGTCGTCTGGAAGAGGAGATTTATCAGCTGTGTATGGGGGAAAAAAACGTCTTCTTGACACCCTGACGCCCACTCAGATTGTATGTGAAGGTCGAGCGTGAAACCTTGCTGTGAAGAGGTTAAGGTAAGAAAGGACACTCAGAGAGAGAAAGACGGACGAGGAAGGAGATGGGAAACTGTCTGAAATCACCCACCTCGGATGATATTTCTCTGCTACATGAATCCCAGTCGGACCGGGCCAGCTACGGAGACGGTACGGACCCCGACCAGGAGCCACCACCCCCCTATCAGGTACTTTAGCCCAAAGTGTTGAAGCCAAATATCACCAGCTGAGCAGCATTTTTGTGGAGTTATTTCAATCACCATGTCATTTTAAAGTGCCGGTCTAGTGGTAGACAGAAAGTGAGAATACACCAGAAAGAATAAACATAATTTGGGTCTGGATCAGCGTTTGGATCCAATAACTTGTTAGGCCAGGAACCTTAGCCCACTGACCCCTTCATGCCTTGCACTAATCCTCTCTGTTGTCTAAAGAGCCTGTCTCCAGTCATACAGTCTATAGTCAAGCAAAGGGTTGTGGTTCATGTCCTGTCATACATTTAAACTGTATAATTCAGTATACTTGACATTAGCTTACTTGTATAGTAAGGAAGGAGTTTTGGGAAAAGGAGTGACAGGCACAGCCCTCCTTCCTGCCTCTTTTTTAATTCAACAATATTTTTTATTAGTTTTATACAGATATACACAGGAAACACATTACAAACACCCCCTTTCCCTCAAAACCCCATCTACAGCTGGATATTCCTATTATTTTGTTTAAATAACAAATTCTGGAGCTATAACAAAAAATAAAAAATTATATGAATAAGTACATAAATCAAATAAAAAATACAAGTAAGTGCTGGAATTCGGGTTTTATAGATCTTGAAATAAATAAGATGTTGAGAAATAAAAAGTAAAAAGAGAATAAGTTAAATGAACTACTGTGCATCAAGAGAAATACATATGTAGACAAGTTGCTAAATAATGAAAAAGTCCATAAAAGAGATAAGAATTTGAGTTGTATGATTTCAAAAAGAAAACAACTAGAAGAGGAGAGTGCTAATTCAAAATGATGAAAGTTTCTGAATGTGGTCTAGTAAAGGTCCCCAGATCTTTTCCTGTCATTGCCTGAAACCGAGTAACGAATCTTCTCAAGGTCTAAGCAAGACATAAGGTCTTTCAGCTACTGACTGTCCTTCCTGCCTCTTGAAGTGACCCCCCTACCTGGCCAGAAGCTTTGTACCAGCCCTGTTCCCATAAAAAGATCAAATACAAACAGACCAAGCCAAATTGCAGCTGTAAATATTATCAGGATATTGTCTTTCTCTTGTTTTTCAGTTAACACGCTGCTGTCTGGCATGCGTTATGTAAGGCTTTGGCACAGGGTTTGCATGTTACTGGGTTAAGCCAGGCCTTATCTGTAGATTTAAGATAAGTGTTTTTAAAGCATGGGAAAGTAAAGGACAAAATAGGTCATTACATAATGAGAGCTGTTGTTTTAAAAAAGACACTTAATTCTGTGTTTTTCATTCAAAACTGTAAGCAAGGCTGTCCTTTCTTGTTTTCTGTAGTATTTATAACAGGGTTGGAAACATTAAGAGAAGTTTTCAATTTTGAGATCAGTCAGTTTGATGTTTTCTGCCATTTCAGAAGCAAATTTTGTTATAACTTGTTGTGTTATTGGATTCATAAATGCTAGCTTTTTTCATTATATATAGCAATAGAGAGATTATGAAGTCTGATGATAGACTTTAGATTATAAACTATAGATTATAAAGTCCCTTTGGTGTTATTGACTGAAAACATTGATAAATCTTTTTATTTTTATTTTTTTGAAAATTTATTTATTTACATTTATAAAAGAATATGCACCTTTACGAACTCATTTTATTGCCTTGGGTGAAGGGGCATGTCCAGATATTTGGTGTTGGGGTAGCCATACTGGGGCACTGATTTAGGCAGGGTCGGCTTGGGTGTTATTGTCATTACCACCTACTTAAGCAACAATAATTTAAGTTTCATACAAATGTTATATTCTTGTGTGTCATATTTTACTTTAAAATGCACATGCACAGTAGAGTTGTGACGCGTACTTCCCCTCTGCTTAATTCTGTAAGGACTTAAAAAGAGGATGTTTTTCTGAAATCACAGTTGACAAATGGCAACAACAAGAGAAAAAGTCTCAGCCTTCAAACACAACCCAAACTGTCATTTTTATAAACATAGCTGAAGGTTTAGGGGGAGCAGCTGGGATGGCCAATCAGATGTTATAGAGGGCCAGTGCCACCCGTCTGGAAGCACCTGATTGGATTAATTGTATTTTTTGATATAACTATTATTATCATAATTGTGTTCTTATCATTGCCTTAGATTTATCTAATTGCTCGTCTATCATTTATGTAAGATTTAAATTTTTAAGCGTAACTTTATGTCATTTACTGAATAACCATGATCTACCTATTAAAAACCTGTGTGCTTGGCCCTCAGAACAGGATTAGCCCCAGTGAGTGCCTCTACTGTATTTAAGCAAATATTCAGGTCACAGAGGTAAGCATTAGTTTCCCTAAAGAGTATTATCCGCCTGTTTAAAAACTGTCATGGAAAAAAACAGAACAAAACATGAACCCTGCACCAAAAATATCACAAAAAAATAAGGGACTCCTCCAAAAGAAAGTACATTAAAAATCATTATAGCCACAAAACAGTAAGACCTGTGATCTTAATACATGCTTATACAGAGGATCAACAAACTGGGGCAAGTTCATTTTATGCAACATTAAAACGTTCCTGTAACGTCACACAGTTAACTATTTCACGTTCCTTCATAATGATCTTTATCTTTTTTTTTCCAATGGCACGTCACCTGGTAGTTTTATCTGCAGAGATAATTGAGCCAGAAGCTCTTGTTATGCGTCTGTGCCCTGCTCACTATAAGTGTGTCATGTCTGGCTGTCAGCTGTGTGTAATTAGGCCAAAGCAGCCAGCTCTGATATCATAGTGATGGGGTAATAAACAACACAATAATCGCTTTCTTTGGAAGAGCTCTGACGTAAGCTGTCTGATGTGTTGAGAGTTCCTCTGTGCAGTTTGTTTATACTTACGCAGTTTAACAAGAGGGTTAACTGACTAGTTAAAAGCTCTTTATAAAAGGCTCTTTCAGGCCTGCCAGCCCTTCTCTCCCTGGTGACCACAGTAATCAGCACCTTCACCATCTGAACCCAGCCTGAGAACACACTACACATTTTTTGTGTGCTTGCAGATCGGCTTAACGCGATTTGGATGGGCTGTGTGTGTTAGGAGAAGGACTAAAGGCTCCACTATACTCGATCTGAAATTGAATTTGGTATTTTGTTAGAAGCCTTTAAGTATGGCCCGGCAGCACAAATGCCAGGGTTTTCACTGGGGAGGGTGACGTGTGTTATCCATGGTGAAGAAAATGAATCTCAGCTATGAAATCCAGAACAAAGGCTGTATGAGCTCAGAAGAACAATACAGAAAGACAATGACTCCAAACCAGACCTTATCAAACAGACTCAGAGATGGAGAACTGAGAATGCGCTCAAATCGTAAGTTGTTGGAGACAGTGCATTGTAGAACAATGAATGGAACTGTGTAAACATTTTTAACATCTACACAACTAAGATGTGGTAACCTATCCAACCTAGACAACATCTTCAACCACGTGCTCGGTGCATGCAACAATGAATGGCATGCTACACATCAGATGTTTTTTTTACCCTCAGGATGATAAATGTCTGCGGCTGTTAGAGTTGGTCCATCATGTCGACATCAATCAGACTGTGAATCCTAAGAATCCACAGTCAGCGGTGAATCAGAGGAGGATGCATTCCTGCCTCTGGAGCTGATACACTTGCTTGCCACAGGCCTCATTTTTGTGTTGTTGATTAATATAAATGGAGTAGCAATGATCAGCATCTGCAAGGCTCAAGAGCCAAGGGCCTCCAGTCAAATAAAAAGGATGACTCACAAACAGTTAACGAAATTCTTTGCCTAAATTTAACTCATTCTTTAAAACCCGCTCACACAAAAAGTAAGTTAGTATTAATTCTTCAAAAACAGATTGGTGCAGTCGACAGGACAGGACAGTGGATAGAGCAAGAAGTGGGGAGAGAGAGAGCTTAGAGGGACATATTGGAGAAGAGCCAGAGGCTCGAATGGAACCATGGCTGTGCGTGGGGCGCTGGGCCAGTGACGCCCTAATCCATTGATTTCTAAAGCACAGTTTTAAAGTCAAACAATGGGGACTGCCATATTGGAAATGCTGACTCACTTGAACTTTCAGACAACATAGCAAGAAGCAAAGAAGCAGACTTGAGGCAGGTCTTTGGCTCGCAGTTTCAGTGTGCCCTCCCGTGTGTCGTGCCATCCTGTACCCCTCACAGATGTTACAGGCACTTAAATTTGCAATTTAGAAACTGCCAGTGCTGTTACTGATGATTTTGTTGGCTTTTACAGGTCTCGAAGAGGCGTCAGTGCTAATTTCACGTTTCATACTCAGCTAAAAAACTAATGCTGTATGCTGTCATGCATTTGTATACATCGGTATACTGAATTTTGCTCAGTTTTTCTTTAATCTGTCTGGGTCTGTCAGAATCCAGCCTAACAGTAAATAATACAGTTTGTGTTGCCAAACAAAAACTGTGCTCTGTGTGCTGCAATACGCCTCAAAAAGTGTAGCTTACTGTGTCAAGTGCACTGTCTGACTCCCTATACTCAGTAGTGATGCTAATGCAGTCTAAATGAACCCTGTATAAGAACTTAACAGTCCACATACCGGCTAACTTGATGGTCTAGTGCGTGTTACAGCTGAACAGCTGAAGACACCTGGCTTGTAGACACTTCGAGACATCTTACACTCGAATGTAAAATCAAAATAATGTTATCATGAGTGATGCTGTGAGATGGGCTATCATATTTTATTTATATTGGTTGGATTAGCCTGTAAGCTATTTGTGCTCCTAGCATTGTGAGGGCCATAGTTGTGCGTGTGCTCACGTCTGTGAGTTGCATAAAATAGGTTTGTGCCGAGTGTGGTGATTTTGAAAGCAGCTGGTGAGATGAATGCTGACTCATTGCTGTGGGATGGGGCTGCGCGAGATAAGGCACCCCTGTGTGGTTGCATTTGAGAGGGAGAGAGCTTGTGTTTGTGCGAGTGTGTGTGTGTGTGTGTGTGTGTGTGTGTGTGTGTGTGTGTGTGTGTGTGTGTGTGTGTGTGTGCATTCAGCCCCCTGGTATGGCTTGTTATGCCCCTGTCTCCCATCGTAAGCCTCAGAGATGAGGGCAATGACAGGGGTTTTTATTGATCACATTCAGTTTTGGCACAAAGGCTTTTATGCTGCTGTCAGCTAGCTTTATAGCCAGACCTTATTGGCTGGTACAGCCTGCAGACTTCAGAAGATTCACTGTATCTGAGTGTGTTTGTATAAAGCTGAACTCTGTCTTTCTTGATACACTTTTCAGCCTTTTTCACTGTTTGTCTCACTCTTGTGTGAACATGAGGCCTAGAGGGTAAGACTGGATTGAAAATGTGTCAAAGAAGCAACTGCTGCTCATGTCAAAAACAAAGCTGAATCTCCTTTCAGATGCTCTAGCAGAGCAGGAGTTGCACACCATTGACTGTGACAGACGAAAACAACTGAGGAGAGTCTGTGAGTGTGGTACATCCAACTGCACTGCAGTCAGCAGTTCAGTTTAGCTGAGCTCAAAAGAAAAGGATAGAAAAAGTTTGCTTTGAATGTGATTTATATTTAGCTGTCAAACCTGGAAGAGAGACAAGGGAGTACTCAAAAAGAGTCTTTTGGCTTCAATTCAAATTTCCTGCTTTTAGATCTGCATTAATTAACCATCGTGAGCAAGGATCAGTTGCTTTCCATATCAACAGGTATTATATTATATTATAGGGGTCAGTTACAACTTTGGTCTGCTGCTCAAACCACAAATAGGATTTCAGTCTGTTAGAAACACTGTTGCATAACTTTTGTCACCATACACATTATTACTGATGTAGTTCAATGCGAAAAAAAAAAAAAAAAACTAAAACAATGTCCTAAATAAAAAAAAGAATTAGCAGGCCTATGAATTGGCCCATTTCAAAACCCTGACAAGTACGTCACTTCTGGATGAAAAATTAACAAGATGGCCTCAAACTAGAATAAAATAAAATGTCATGTTTGCTGTTTCATAACAGAATAGTTGGTGGAAGTTATTGTTGGGAAAAATGTGCTCCAAAAACAATACAAAGTTAAAAAAAAAAAAAAAACTCCCTGTTTCGGTGTGTGGTAACAGTAATGTGTCAGTAGGTAATTTTAACTTGCAGTGTTTGCCACAGATGTTGTTAAATTAAATAAGATAAGTTGACTTCAAGCCTGAAGTTTCTTATGGCAGTGAAACCCCCCCCCCCAGAAGACGTGTGGCAGATTAACAATACCGTGTCGTGATATGGTGACAAATATAACTGGGGGACAGTCAAGCTAATGTTTATTCTGTTGTCTTTATTTTACACACAGGCGTACAGAAATTACCAATGGTCTACCTCACAGACCGTTGATGACCATTGATGCTAGGAGCGGTTGTGGTTGTTTTTATCATAACATGTGATAACATCAGTCTGCCATGTTGAATTTTATTGGCCAATGCTACTTAAAAACTGATAAATGTAAATCAAAATCAGTTGTAACTATTTCTGTTAATTCAGCATAGTTTCCCCTATGTTCCCTTTTTTTCGTTTGACATTCATTTGCAGTTTATGTGTGGCTTCAGCAAAGGCTTTGTGTAAGCTTCATCATGTGTTAGGTGTAAACACTTTAGCTAATACTCTTAGCCTGCAGCAACACCCCCAACTTCCTGCTTTATAAGCTGATGAAGTAATGTGATACTGCCGTCACATTGTCAGCCTTTCTGTGATCACATTAACAAACACATCCTGTGGTGCTGATGTCCACCCCTCACCCGTCATTGTCTCTTTTACATGCGTTCATATGTGTTCAACTACTTGCCTGTATTGTTTACAGATGTCTGCAGAGGGCTCAGGACTGACATTTCAGAGACTGTGAACACCTTATGTTTGTGGTCTTTGTTTCCTTTAAGAGCATTGTCAGCACAGCTCAGTTTATCCAAAGTACAGCCAAGGCAAGCAGACATTTCCTGAACAGGATATGATCACATTGAGGAAGACTTACAGACACAATGGAGCGTATAAAAAAAGCCCACGATGATCTAGAGGAATTTTTAGTAGTTGTAATGTATCGTCATCAAGCTGTTCTTACAGCAGGTGTTCAGACGGGGGATTTTGCAATGTCATCATGATGCCTGTTTGCAGCCATTGCTCTTCCATACACTATAGCTCTGGTATGTGGGCATCATGTCAGCACAGCTGGGCGCATGAGTTTAAAATAGTTTTCATACTCTAGCTGTCTGCAGGCTTAAGCCACATTTTCTAACAGTCATATCACAGCTTTGGTGGAAATAAAGCAGTAATATTCCCAGACCACAGATATGCAACAGGTTAATTTTACACAATAAAGTGATCAGACTAATTAAAGTGATAATCCACCGAATGTGTGTTTTTAAGTACCAAATACTCAACACTCAAGCAGGCTTAAAAAGAAACCGTTAACTGTTTCCTCATTTAAATAAAAAGAGTCTGTGGTTTGCTAGTAGTTTCGTCGCTGTATTTTAGCTGTTGTTGAACCTGGCAGTGGGTGTTTTCACGTGTGACCAATATGAAGATTTAATACCGAAAAGCCTCAGTCTTTACCTTTCGTGTCTGTAAACTTGCTTCACTACACGCACAATTGAGTCAACATGCACAACCGGGGCAGTTCTTGCCCAAATCAGCATTGTTTACATCAGAGTTGGAAAACTATTGATTATTTATTTGTTGCTAAAATGCAAATACTTCTGTGATTGACAAACATTTATCCACACATTTCACATTGAGCGGTTTGAAAAGTTTAGAGGTGGGATTTATTTTTGGAACTTGTTTTAATTTCAATTCACAGCCATCCTCGTCTAGGACCAAGCAGGCTTACATTAGTGTGTCATAAAGTACCCCGCATTATGATTCACTGACAGTTTTTGGGAGAAATCTCGAATGTAAAATCTACCCCTCCCAAACAGTTTTCCCCTCAGCTCCTCCTCTCCCCTCCGTCTCTGCTCCAGCAAGCCCCGCCCACAAACAGATGCTCGTCCTCGCTTGTATCATTTCAGTTAAATTCAGATATAATGCAGATAATTACTTAAGATAATTACAAATGGAGCCAAGTCAACGTGAAAGTAAAAAGCATTGGTGCTACTGTAGATGCCAACAGACTACCAGCAAACACAATGTTTGCAGGACTTCTACAACTAGGATAAAGTGACAAAGTCCAGGACCTGAGCTAAACAGTTTAGCGGCGCTACAACACACAGCAGGTCCCCTTTTAACAAGAAACACTTCTGTTACACTTGGCTTACTTTGTTAAAGCGGTTTACCTGTCCAGCTGAAAGGTTACAGGGTCCGAAAGATCCCAAAGTGTCCCCTATTATTGTTGACCCAGCCTTTTTACCTCTTGTCCGGGTGTCTACCTCCTTTTTAAGCGCCGGTTATTCCGACCGGAGTCTCCAGTATTTACTTTGTTTTCTTGCTTGTGTTGGCAGTCCTGGCTAAAGGAGGATTCAGACAGTTTTCTTTACTTTTTGGTTGGTTTCTACTGTCTGATATTGTAGCACGCTAACTTTATTTGGGCTCCTGAACGACATGAGGGAGCAGCGTCTGCCTCACAACCAATCAGCACTAGGGAGCAGCGTCCACCTCGCAACCAATCAGGATGGGGTAGTCGGGGAATGGCTCTGTTTACAGTCAGAAAGAGCGGAGCGCTCTGAAATTTTGAAATTCGTGATATTACCAAATGTCATCAATGGCTAATAGATATCGCCTGATATTAAAAGCTTCTTTTTATATACACCACAAAAAAGATGCGTCTTTAACGGATTCCTGCCTAGCCCACCTTTTATCCCCATTTCACCTCGACTCTCTTTACCTCCTGTCTCGCTTGTTGTTCTTGAGGTTAATGACAGTTGTTACAGCCCAGCTGACTCATTCATGTAGGAAGGGGGGAATAACCTAAACAACCAACACCAGCTTTGCTCCTCTCTCTTCGATCCTGCCCGGCACACACAAAGCCACACCCTGCTCTAAGAATTAACCGCATTTCTGCTTAGGGTACTTTTGAGTCTTGAGTCTGACAAGCTACTTTCAAGGAAGTACAAGGTCCCTCAAGCTCATTAATGCTTTCCTACTAAAGGTACAACCAAATACTGGTAGAAAAGTGAAATGTAACTATGATACACCTTTGCTTTTATTTATATAGCTTAAAAACTAGATAGCTATAACTGATAGTGAAACTTCTGCGACCTGCTTTCACTGATGCAGTGAGAGACTTAATGACATCTTGCTTTGACTATCTTTTATCCAACATGACAGAAATAAATGCTGTTCTTGTCCTGTGTAAAAGGCTTTATTTACCAGACTGCCATCTTTTTTTAAAAACCTTACTAATAAGTGTTAATGTGTTACTGACTAACTTGTGATTGTTTCACGTCATTGACTCCTAAATTACTCGATTAAATTTACATTGGTCATGTTTAGAGCTCAGTCAAGACACCTCAGGGCAGAACATGGCGAAACCAAAAAATAACACAATCAAACCACTTCCTGCTGCAATGTTCTTCAAAATGCTACAATTCACAATCCGAAACTCTTCATACCCTCTGTTAGTCTCACCAGCCAAAAACAGAGACCTTTTTGTCAGCACAGTTATGTCCCTTGTTCTCAATATAGAGCCTGGACCCTGTAAGAGAAAGTACAGAATTTCTCCAAAAATCCCTGAGGACGTTTCGGATGATGCATTTTTTTCCTCCTCTTTCATTTTCGTCCCCAGCTGTAGTCTGTGTGTGTTTTCTTTTTTTTACATGGTTGAAAGGAGTGGCTGTTAGATAATCAGTAGACAGTTTCAACTTTTAAAGTTGTTCTGGCTCTTCAGTTGAGATGTTGAAAGTGGAGGAGTAGTGCAGTACCCACGGAAGGCTTCTGTTATTGATCTTACCTTTTATACAATCACTCTTCTATTTTTCTGTTGGAGAAAAAAAAAACGTGCATTTTTATCAACTGTCATGTCAGCTCAGTTTACAGACTTGAATGTTTAAAAAGTCACAACCGGAAGAGGAGGGTGACCTGGGCTTTATGAGATAAAAGTGTTTATTTGAGGTTACAGAAAGGTCTGACCCAGCATGTGGACATGCAGGCAGTTAATGAAGGAGCTCACTTAACAGCATTAGAGTGAACCTGGCCTAATCCCTGACCTGGCTGTGTGATCCTTTCAGTTGCATGACACAAAGGTTTGTTACATGAAGGAGAATCATCTGCAATATCCAGTATACACACCACAAAAAACTGTAGTGAGTGTGTAAGAATGCATGAGCAGGAAAAGAAAGATGAAGGAGCATTCATGCAGACCACAAAAAAGGGTGTGCTGAGTAAATAGAGACCTCTGTTCTGCACTGAGGAGCGAAACACATCAGTGCCTTTCTTAACTTTTCAGTGGTGCATGAATAAGGTCTGAAATAAAAGTCCCAAGACACAAACAACAAAATCAATAGGGCAGAACAAAATTTGTGAAGGTCAGGGTATTTGTATTAAGCCTGTAACTAATAATTATTTATTCATCTGTTCGATTTTTCTTTTTGAGCTTTTTCATGCCTTTATTTAGGGGACAGGACGGCATACAGAGCAGAAAATGTGGAGCATGAAGTGACACGCAAGAAACCAGATCTGGCAAAGGTTTCTGTTTTTGCCTAAAAAATTAGTTCAATATGAATTCTTAAATAAAATCACCTTGTCTTTCGCCTCTCTTATTTATCACTATTTTTGTCCTTTGGCTCTTTGCTCTCTGATGCACAGTTAGCATTTGACACCTTACTTTGATGTGTGCTTTCAGTACACTTTGGACACCTTTGCTTGTTGTTTTTCGTCCCAATGTGTGATTTAAATAATGCTGACAGACATAATGAAAGGCTGAACGTGTAATAAACCATTATTCTCTATCAGTCTGTTCAAACTTAAGACAGGATATTGTTTGTGAATTCTTTGCTTCACTAAATTTCTTATCCTGTGCTATTAGAATCAAAGTCAAGTAAAATAGTAAACTATCTTTTAAAAAACTCACCTGTATGACACTAACAATCAAATCATACAGTTAAGTATTTGCATTATGTACATATTTGAAAAGTCGTGTAAGGTGGGGTTCCTGTATAGTGGCTGTGCTGCAGCAGTTTGGACAAGCTGCTGGGAAACACTACCACCTACTGTCTGCTGCTCTACCCCACAATATGACTGGAAACATTGTCAGCTTGAAATTAGTTATTGATTACATCAGTTATTGACAATAGCATTAGTGTTTCCACCCTGCAGGCCTCATATTTGACTGACGTTATTTCACCGTCAAACCAGGACTGTGTGTACAGTTGTGAAACTCTTAGTCAACTGACTTCTTTCATTCTGTGTTGACAGACTCACTGACGTACTAATGTTTAACTGTATTTCACTTTGAAATCCTATCCTTCCACATCATTATTACAAACCTGTGGTCATGTAATGAGTGTCTATGACATTATTATAGTTTAAATTGAGCTTGTGGTCCACTGTTGGCCTTTGTTTTCTTCGATTGAGTTCACCAAAAAAAAACAAAAAAACAAAACGAGAGCAAGGGTCTTCAGTTTTGTCTTGAAAATTTAGCTGACATGATTGAAAGAGGAACCAAAAATATGAGTGGGTTGTGTTTCCTTTTCCTCTTCAATAACTGTAGAGAGAAATAAACATACGTTTTGGCGGTGAGGTGTTCTGGCGGTGGTAAACCATCAGGATGTGTTTCGAGTATTTTGTTCTAATTTCCAGGGGGTGTCCCTCTGGTGTCTTCTCACACTTACATACTCATTTTGTCCCACTGAGTGTTAGGCATAGTTTTTGTAAGATAAAAAGTGTAAGTCTGACACTGTGTTTGTTTTCTTCCTCTTTCTACAGGAGCAGATTCATGTACCCATCTACCACCCTACACCCAGCCAAGCCCGGCTGGCAACTCAGCTGACTGAGGAAGAGCAGGTCCGCATTGCCCAGCGAATAGGACTCATCCAGCACCTTCCTAAAGGCGTGTACGACCCCGGCCGGGACGGCTCAGAGAAAAAGATCAGAGAGTGAGTACAGAGCCCAGGGGTCCGTTTCACGTAGGTGGTTCAACAAACTCTGAGTTAAATCCTTAACTCTGAGTTAATCTACTCTGAGATAGGAAACTCTGAGTTTCCGGTTTCACAACACCTGATTTGAGTCAGTTTTAGCAACTCCGAGTAGTTTGACATGGAGTTAAGCACGTGCACACCAGATATAAACAGCCAGCATCTGTGGAGCCCAGATTCATTGATCAACCAATGGAAACAGGGAGAAGGAGGGGGCAGCAGCAAGCCAACGGCGAATTACATCACGTTTTTAAAAGAAAGTGCAATACAGCAGCAGCTGCAAAGGAGAGGGAGAGGGCATGGGAGGAAATTGCTGCTCGCGTCAATGCGTAACTTTAAATCTAGTCGTGTGCAATCACAATGACAGACTGTTGCAGGGGAAACTGCTTGCATGGAGCAAATTTATTTATTTTATGTAGGTGCAATCCAGCGGGACAAAAACGCACTTGGCAGCAGCTGAAAATTAAATATAAAAACATTGTGCAAACAGGTGAGACATCCGCATTTTCTCATTTTGATCATGTTTTACATTGTCAAGTAAGTATTAAGTGGCAGTTTGATCCCTTAAAAAATTCTCTTTTCACACTCAAAAATGAATTTTACTGTCTTATGATGTTCCATTAAATAATTAGGAATATTAAACTAACACAGACTTTCACTCAGCAAACAGAAAGAGGGCAGATGCCAGAAAAACCGGTAGTGGCCCAGCAGCCCCACCTTTAACGAAGGCAGAGGAGCTGTAATGTTTATCATTGTTTTCTGTGATTTTTATCAGCTGTTTGGTCGTTCAGGCTGTAACGAGCGTCTTTATTCACCCTCACAGGTGTGTTATCTGCATGATGGACTTTGTGTACGGAGATCCCATCCGGTTCCTGCCTTGCATGCACATCTACCACATGGACTGTATAGACGACTGGCTGATGAGATCCTTCACCTGCCCCTCCTGCATGGAACCCGTGGACGCCGCGCTGCTTTCCTCCTATGAGACCAACTGACAAACACACACACACTCACTCACTCACTTACAGCAGACTGAATACACACACACACACACACACACAATACAATATGCACATAGGCATACACACAACTTCCATCTTGCTAACCTGTTTGTTGGATTAGTGAGGTGGCCTTACAAAGCAGAGACAGTTGAAAGGATTCAAAAAGATTTAGGACGCTGTGTGTGTGTGTGTGTGTGTGTGTGTGTGTGTGTGTGTGTGTGTGTGTGTGTGTGTGTGTGTGTGTGTGTGTGTGTGTGTGTGTGTGTGTGTGTTTGAGTGCCTCAAAAATTCTTCAGCTGGCCTGCTGGACAGGATCGGAGCGAGAGGAGCAAAGCTGGTGGTTTAGATGAAAAGGAAGGAGCTGGATCGCAAGAAGAGGAAGAGAATAATGGGAGGAAGCTTAGGAGAACGGATGATGGTTAACTGATATTATTTAGAAACCTTTATAAGATCTGCTTTTTACACACATGGACACACAAGCGAGCCGAGCTGCACTTTTTCAATTTCCTCTCCATCATTAAAATGAATGACAGAATGCAGGAAGAAGGACCTCTGCCCACCACCAAGATCAAGCTGCAGACTGTTAGTCGGACTGTTGAAGCCTAAATATTATAACATCAATCTACAAGACAGAGGGAGTGAAATTCCAGATGCTTTAGTGTGGCTCCACACAGCTGTCTGCTCCAGAGTCATATCTGCTGCAAAACTGCTACACATGCAGATATACAATTTAAAGACTGCCAGAGATGGACAAAAGACTAGATATCACTTGTTCTTGGCACCCAGGCCTGAAGCTGTATAGATGTCCTCTGAGATGAATAAGTTTGATAGGTGGATTAATCGATTGTCCTGTGGCTTTGTGAAAATCTGTTTCGTGTTTGTTTTGTCAGTCAGCATAAGGGCTCTGTGGAACCAGTGTCTACCAACAGCACGGACATGGCAAAATGTAATACAGTATTTCAGCCGCTGATGTGATGGATGGCTATTGCTGTCAAAATGTTGACTTGGTCACAATGAGATTTCAGACTCTTGTAATCGATTGAACAGTACATTAAGACCAGTTCACACAAATCAGAGATATTTGCACTTCTTAATCAGACTTGTGACAAGAGTTGACCTTGTGCATTCAGCAACTATATCAAAATGATGTGTGTGATTTACGTTTCCTATTTACTCATTACCATTGCACTGATTTATTATTGGATTATTATGTTAATCAAAGAAATTAAGAAATCTTAAATTTGATGGCCTTGTTATTTTCTAAAAGAATGGTTTCGTAATTACAGAACAAGAACTCCAGTACAATGACGCAAAAGACTGGCAGGTGCTGCGAGAAGGACACAGGTCATAAAGACCTAAAGATGGATATTTTGTGGGTCGACGTAACAGAAGATGCTTAATTAACTAATTAATGTGAACAGAATGAGTGTTTTTTTTTTTTTTTATGCTGACATACTTCTCCGTATAGAAACCTAAAAATGATATTTGTTTTTATTTTCCCTCACATCAGTTCAAGGCCTCAATCCAAATGACCTCACGAGGTTGTAAAATGTCTTTCATCCAAGTCACCAAGTTTACTATAAAAGCACAAAGTAGTACAATTATTCAGTCATGTTTTGCTTCTCCCTGCTAATTTCGGCCAGTGAGTGAGTCAGCAAGATTTTGAATTATGCAGGAAATGATAAATCACATGATTTCCCCAACATGATGCAGATCCAACACAGTTTGCAAAAATGCCTTTTGTTGTCTGTTTGTGTGTTTTTACCAGGGTGTGTGTTTGTACCTGGCTCTATGGCCTTTGTGTGTATGTTGCTGAAAGATCAGGTGGTGGAGATGGCAGTCTGCACCTTAATCTTTGCACAGTACTTTAATCTATGTAACTTTTACTGTTGTACATTGTCCTCCATCAGTGAGGTGGAGCCTCATGGCCTTGGGTTACACATGATGAGGGTTTGAATCAGCTGCTAAAATCAGAGAAATCTTTGCGTAATCTGCAAGAAACAATGAGGGGATTGGACACAAAACTATTTTGACTGCCAATGCTGCTGCTGAGCTGTCCTTGTACATGTCATGTCAAGTAGACTACAAATGGTGTGTCAAGAATAATGTTCAGCAACATTGTCTCTGAACTAATAAATAAAAATTGTAAGTGGTTTGTTGTGTCTTCATTTTTTTCTCAGAACAAAGTTGTAGGAGCGGATAATGAAAAACAATCAAGTTTTGTTATCACTGTTTTCACATGGGGACTTGTGACTTTTTTTTAGTTGGAACCTTGTGTCTGTGCAGGTGCTCCGCCCTGAAGAGGGAACAATTTTTTTGATTGCACAAATGCACTGAAAGTTTGGAGCATGTTATTTGTCTTGTTTAATTGTACACTTTTGGAGCCTATGGAAGTTAAAAAAAAAACCATGCCGTTTCAGCAAGGTTATCTCATAAAGACTTTCATTCATCAGATGTAACTTTTTACATGCATCAGCCATTTAACCCCGGTTCAGCAGTACCTCAGTGGCATTAGCGTCGAATTGACCTCTACAACAGTTGCCTCATTGTTCCTGTAGCCAGGATAGCACAGCTAGTTCTTATAAGTGGAAACATTGGAAAAAACAATGGGCAAATATGTGCTGCAGTAAAACATTGTCAGAAGACCTTTTTATAATAGGTAGAGTAAATAATGTGAATACAGAAAAATTCAAAATCTTTTAAGATTATCGTTCCATGCACACTAAAATGTAACATACATGTTTGTGCAAGGTGAATATTTTATGGTTTAATGAAAAGACTCATCATTTGGGTTATGCCACAGATTTTAGAACAGGGCTCATAATTAAAAAGTGCATTGGTGAATTTGTATTAAACACTAGCCAGTGACTGTTTTAGATTTGATATGTTGCAGTTGGTAATTAGAAAAATGTTTTTTTTTTCTTTTAGAAAAAACAACATTAAACAATACTCTGATGCTGATTACGTCAAAATACTGTTAATCTGTGCATCCCCTAAGGATACAACTGCCAGCCCAATGAGAATATTTACACTTATAGTCTCATAACTTTTCATGTTTTAAAAAAGGTATTAATATTATGTTGGATATCAATACAAAAAAATCATTAAGTTTCAAATTGTGGGGTAAAGACGTGTGTTGGAGTCATAAGAGTCATAAGAAAGAGGCAGTCAGTCAAAATGGCAAAAAAAATCATTGGAGAATTATGTGAGAGGATCACAAGATCTACTGAAATGGTGATGTTACTAATAGGCATCTCCGCTGAAGAGCATAATAAACTTACCAAATGGAAATTCCTTATTCTTTGATGCAGAGTGTTTTTTTCCCTGGTCCTTTGCAAAAACCTTGGGTCAGGGCCAGATTTGAATTTCAAAACTTAGGCCATATTTCAAAGTTTCTCATTTAAGATTGAGAAACACTAGTTAATTCATGACAATGGCTTTGTAACATGGCAGCAGTAGAGGAGGATTCTGGGGTACTGGGGGTCTTGAGGAGACCAAATGAGTGTTTTAGAGAGAAGCTGAAATAAGAATTTGCTAAAACACCAATCTGAGAAAAGTAAACAATTACTCAACTATAGGGGGAGAATGGGGTAAGTTGAGCCAAAGGGTAAGTTGAGCCACCCCCTGTTGCTTGGAAATGGTAAAAGAAATTGATCACGTGACCAAATATTTAGGAGATGGGCATCAATTCATGGAGTCTGTGAAGGTTAGAAGCACATGGGTGAAGGGGTTAGACATTTATTTCCATTTTAAAAAAAAAATTCACTCTTGAAAGAGAATTTAGTCTGTCAGTTTTATTAGAATTGTGTTTAGACAAAAAAAGATCATTTTAAATTTGTTTTATACATCAAATGTGGTATCTATGAGCTACAACATGAGGTCAAAAACCCAGCATAAAAGTCCACCATTTTAGCTTAGAGGACTAATAAAGTCATCATAGTAGTTCTGGGGTAAGTTAAGCCATTTGGCCAAGGGTTGACAGTTGACAGTTATTATCAAGACAGTTCTGTTTACACTCATTCTGTTGGTTTGCAGGGATCTTGAAATATATGCAGATACAGTAGTTACAAACCAAACTATGATTGCCCTGAACGCCAAAAGACTGTATTAGGTGTCAACATAGACTGTTTATACTATGGACAACTTGGTTTCTCCTACCGCCTGTTTACAGATTTGAAGCCATATGAAAAATGGCTCAGCTTACCCCTCTCTCCCCTATAATCAAAGCAATCAGATGGACAACATGAAGCCTGAAATTGAGCACAGTGCTCTGACAGTGCTGTACAGCTAACACAAGCCATCACTGAGCTAAAGCGTCACTTGGGTTGCGCTTGAAATGATTATAACCACCACTGAACTTTCTGGCAGAACCACATCACTTTTTCCATTTCATGACTGGCATTATGCTGGCTGACTTATCATACAAGGCAAAGCAACATAGGAAAATTATCCACACCCTCTTTTTCTTTTTTTCACAAAACCACCTTCCAGCTTTGGCTGTGTCCGAAATGGATCCCTTGCCCTTATATAGTTTACTATATGGGGGTTAGCGCCGTTTTGAGGGGTGTCCGAAACTTGAGTAATCACTGCCAGTGCCCCATATAGGCGACTCAAAATTTCCCATAGAGCATCGCAAAATGTAGTGACCATCCGACGGTCACTCACCAGTGGTGGGCATCCCGGCATGCATTGTGTCTTGCCATGTAGTGTCCGAAACATCCAGTAATTTAGCTAAATACGTAGTCAGCTATATAGTGAAATAGACTGTATATACAGTCTATGGCTGTGTCCGAAATGAATCACTCAATCCCTAACCCCTAATCCCCATATACTATATACAGTGTATGGCTTCCAGTCAGACACTGCATGACTTGTGTTGAACCCATACATACACCCTTGTGGTATATCAAAATAAACCAGAGTATCATTCCAAGTGGGCGGTATGTGATTGAGCAGCTCGCGTTTCTCTCAACCCCCTTCACTTCAGAGAGGAAACAGGAACTTTTAGTAATTGCAGACGGTCACAACTTCTGATAAACTGCACAAAGGCATGCCTCATAACGCCTTATTCTGGTTCTTCCTCTTTTTGAAGACGGCGTGTTTACCCGCCACACTAGTTTCACATGTGTGTTATTGTCTCCCTTTTCAAAGAGTAAATAATTGTCATATGAGATACTGTAAATGACTCGTCTGGTTCCACAGTTAAGATCTGGTACTCTTCCTCTGACTGTTGAAGTTCGTAGGTTTCAGAGGAAAACACGTGAGTTGTGCGATTTGGATGGTTTCATTATAAAACTAGTCAAAAGTCTGGATTATTGAGGCAGCAAGATGAGCAGAAACTAAACTGGCTGTTCAAGTTTGATGTGTTCAAGCATGAAAAGAGGTCATGCTTGAAAAGAGGTCAATATCAATGTCAATATCATCTCTTTGATTAGTACTTGTGTATTAGTGTTTACACTGTTTTGATGTTATTCTTCTGTTCTATGATAATGACTTGGTAAGCACTCTAACCCTGGGATATGGGAGTTCACTGTGTACTGTCAGTCCATGTGAGCTGTGCATATAAATATATGTGTGACACAATAATAAAAACTTAAAACTGCACATAAAATAGAGCATGATTGCACATCACATTTCTGAGCTGCCTTACACATTATTGATAAGTTTGGTTCGTATTGCAGAATCAGTTAGTGATAGTTTATTTGCCTTGTGCTCTCAGTTGTCTCAGAATTGTTTATTTGTTTTGAACAAATGAACCATAAAATGCCCCCCTGTTCAGATGGCTTAGAGTAGGATCCGCAATTTGTTATCTGTATTTCAAAATCAGACTTCATGAACTCTGTTGCTTTCAAGGTCAGAGCCACAGTCACATAAATTCCCCTGAAAGGCCCTGAAAGTGCATGAGACAGCAGGCCTGATTTCACAAAGAAACCACATCATGTGTTAGAGAGAAGTGGGGAGAAATGCCAAGAAAGAAAAAAAAGATCTGAAGATGGAAAACCCCTGACTGCACACTTTTGAAATTTAGGTTCAGCTGCAGAAAGTGATTAACAAATTAACAGAATTTTGAGAGCATCAGTATTGTCTGTATATATGCATCACATAAAAAGACACACTGTATGATATGGTATATCTTGAGAGGGTTTTGTAATCAGAAAAGGCTTTACAGCAAATGAAAACACAGTCACATTAAACAAAAAGACGTTTATTGTAAAAGATTCAATCAAAAAACTCACCAACGGTATCAAGCTGTGAGCGAGAAACTTATGACCTTTGGTTTCCCTGTGGATCCAACACATTCCAGAGACCGTGACAACCGGCTGTGACTCACTGACTTCCCCAGAAGTGTGCACTGTATGACCATCGGTTCCACAGTTTTACCAAAAACTGCATCTACAAACTTTTACTAATTCACTCCTTTCAAAGCTGCATGTGAAAGCTGTGACACTGGGCTCTTGTGAGCTAACATGCTTACAGTGCAGAATGAGACACTGCTCTCTGCCCAGGCGTGACTCATAGATATTTTAGCACTGAAGGCCTACCATTCAACCTTTAACACAGCTGTACACAATAACAGTTGGGACTTTCAGTTGCTTGAGTTCCAACCCTGACTGTAGGCCGTTGGAGAGACATCTATTTGAATCTGTAACCGCCCTTGAATGATGGGGGCGCATCATTTCCTTTGCTTTCACACTCACCCTTATCTTTCTCTCTTACACACACACACACACGCGCGCGCGCACACTCACGCACGCGCGCGCAAGGGTTAAATGCATTTGAATACATTTGTGAATGGTGTCCGTTTATGTTTGGACACCTTTCCTTTCTTTTCAGATGAAAGCACCAATGATTTGTTGGCCATATTCATACAAGTAGAGTTATAATCACTTTTTGTGTAATATTTCAGTTATCATAATTGCTATATGGCGGCTATAAATTTGCATAATCTCTGATTGTCCTTGATGTTGTGTTATCCTCCTCTGTTCTACTTTTTTTTGCAGATGTCTATCAATGAGCTTGTTTGAAGTTGAGTTTCTTGTCATTGTTGTCAAGTGTTAGTGCATATAATAATCTGTGCTACAAAGTGTATACTCAACATTACTTACTTTTGATCTGGTACCAATTAAATTCAATTTCATGATTGATTACTCATCTGTGTGGCTTAATTTTGCACCCCCTAAACAAACCAAAAATATGAATCCAACTCATGTAGTGGTTCGTGCACTTTTACTGTTACCAGCATCTTTTAATGAGAAGTTCAAGAGGTCAACTCAGTGTAATGCTCTAATGTACTGTTAGCAGCATATGAAGCTTTAGGGTACAGTATTTCTGAACAACTTGGTCTTATGTAGGCTACTGATGTTACATGGAACTCCAAGACCACAGCGTCATCCTAACTTTGGCTCAGTTCTGTATTCAAATCCAATTCCCCATAAGTTGGTATGCTGTGTTATCAAAAACAAAATATGATGGTTTGTAAGTGGAAAAGAAATGGAGCTCAGTCCAAATTAAGATTTGACATTAATTTTGGAAACCATGATGCTGTGTCCTCTACTTCAAGAAGGAGAGGAACCATTTGGCTTATGATCGGCACACAGCTCAAAAGCCAGTATTAGGGATGCGTGTGCACATCACGGGTAGTGCACTCATCGGGGAAAACCATCAACTGAACCACAAACAGGTTTGGGAGCAACTTGGACTGCCAACTTTTTCAGTGACAGGATATGACGCATAGCAGTAGTTCAGGCAGGTCACGGAATCAAGCTAAAGGCTACAGTCAGGTGATCTTAAGCCAGCCTTCAGTCAGCTGACAGCTCAGGTAATCACCCTCTTCACATCCTATTGGCTAATGTCAAACTGGCGCCCTATTTAAACTGCTTCTCCTGCCTACTCTGCCTGCTGCAACGACTCTGCAACCCACCTCCACCCCAACTCCTCCTGTTTATGTTGTGTCTGATCTTACCAGTGTCATATGTATTGTCATTGACACTTGTTTTGTTCTGTGCTGGGTTTATTATTTATTTATCTAAATCATATTTATTTGCTGCTGCTTCTCTGCCTGGCTCCTCATGTATGCATATGAAAGGGAGGGGAGGAGCTCTCCCCTCTTAGAGCCATTCCGTGCAAGTGCATGGAAGGGCGGGGAACCCTCAGAACAGAGCCATACCACCAAAGTAAAAATGTTTGCTTGTAATAAATAATTAATTTTGACTAAAGTGATCCTAACTGAAATTTCTTTGAGACAATGTTAATAAAAATACTGCATGTATTACAACACCATGGCTTTGTAATAGATTAATCTTGATTCCAAGCATGCCTTCCTGAAGCCCCAAACTGTCCCCCATTATGACAGTTTGGGGCATTATGAGCAGTTAAACCCTTTTATCAGGCAACAACGGGTTAATAAAAACATTTAAAAACAGTTTGTGTGCTGTTTTATCTCTCTCTCTCTTCCTGCAGGTTTTCTCCACTGCAGTAGAGTTGTGGCAGGTGCGGCTGATGAGCAGCAGAATATGTAAATGTGGTCTCTCTTTACATTCCCTCCTATCAGCGCTCCTGTGTGGAAATGGTTGAAGAGTGTGTGACTCATGGTGTGGTTCAGTAGTGGCTGGACTGAGCAGGCCTATGGTGGCAGTGGAGCCTGCAGTGCATTTGCTGTTTTCCTTCATTACCTTAGCCTGTCATTTTTGTTGTTTTGGTGTTTTTCTCCGTCTAGTGCTTGTATTAGGTTGGTTGTTTAACCTCAAAGAATGAACTTTTCCGTTTGATTAATTACCCTGGATGTCGTTACTTAACCCTGGTTCTTTTTTTAACCATTGTCACTACCTTCATCCGCCTTTACATCTTTTGGTACATAACAGCTTTCAGTGAAATAAAGTTTAAATGATAGGAAAACCACCCAAATCAACATTTTCAACAGATAATCCTCATATTTGAAAATTGAGTTGTAGTACTAATACAAGAAGAAATCTTTGGCACAACAAGCAATGAAAAAGCCCAACATCTGCCAAATCCAGTCTGTTCGTTTTACTTTGCTTATCTAGCCGATTTTTTTCGCCATGTTGCCTATTGAATTTTTTTTAAACTTTGAACCCAGTCTCATCTTTTTTGACCACTATCATTGGGATCTACTGGCGGCTGTCGCCACTGGACGCTCGAGCGTACACTTTAAAACACGAATTTGTGTACGCATGCACAAATTGCACACCTGTCAGAGGACACACACGCGCTGGTCTGTTTTTGGATGACATTAGGCCTAAAACAAAACCGAAACTTGGTGGAGTCCCTACACTGCTGCCAAAAATCTGTTTGTGACTCTCTTTTTCTCACCAGCCAGACCCGGCAGCATGGGCGGGCATTGGGGGGCCGTGTCCGCCCACCGAGTCAGCTGTGCTCGCCCTGGGCTAAAAGCAAAATTTTCTATTAATTTGATTTGGGCTTTGTTTTTCCATCAGAGTAGTCATCTTCAATTAATCCCATCTTTCTCGACATGTCAATCACTTCAACCAATCCAATCGATCGAAGGCAACATGTTAGCCAATTACAGGTAAAGGGGGGCGGGCCGCTAAAGTTCAAATATTCATAGAAGGACTCGGCGCGGCAGAAGCCGGACTCGCCGGTAAGCATCGAAAAATGGATATATGAGTTCTTTTGTTTGTCAAAAAAGGACAACTAACACTGACGAGAGCAAGCAGGAAGTAGCGGCAGCGCCACACAGCTCCAGTTTTAGGAGGTCAAGAACCGAAGCTAACTGTCACACCGGAGTAAACATTCCTGCTAGCGGAGGGAGCAACAGCAGCTAGAGAACAGCAGCGAACAGCGAGACCCTCCTGCCCGGAAACGTGAGTGATGACGCCGATGTCAACAATACATACAACTTCGCGGAAACATTACAGCCGCGAGGAACAGCAGCAAGGCAGCTTTGTTGTGCTCCTGGTGCCCCCTAGCTGCTGTACCTCATCCTCTAGCATGAATGTTTACTCCGGTGTGACTGTTGGCTCAGTGCTTAGGTTCCTAGAAGTGGAGCTGTGTAGCCACACCTGCCAACACTCCCGTTTTTCCCGGGACTCTCCCGTATTTTAGACCTATCTCCCGCCCACCTCCCGTATTGTCGCTCCTACCGTGGATCTCCCGTAGTTTGATGGTCCACATTCTTCATGAATCGGATCACTATATTTGTCCAAAGTTTCCAGGTTTCTGCTGAGTCCCACAGACTCTGAATTGATACTTTGACTTTACAGTTTGGGATGATTCAGGTTGGTTTGAGCTGTAAATTATTTAAGCAGTGTTTGTTAAAAAAATTAGCACTTCAATGAAAGGGAAACAAACATCAGATATAACATTTACGTTGATAGTCTTGTACCGTCTTGACTTGGAGTGATGCGTTCAGGGCAGCCTCAGATAAAAGAGATTTTCAGAGAGCCTCATATGGAAGAGAGCGTGTAAAACAATCGAGGACTTTAACACTAATACTAGTGGACTAAATGAGTTCAAGGCATATCGTAGCTATTTTTTGTTACCATTTGTTATTGTTTAAACAAAAGTGTGCAGCTTCACTTATACGTATTTGGAAGAGTAATCTCATTACAAATACCCTCATAATTAGCCCATATTAACAAGGTAACCCCAAAACTGCCTGGCCCACGCCGCAAAAATTCCCGGATTTTATAACCCAAATGTTGGCAGGTATGTGTGTGACCCTGCTCTCTGAATGCCCCTGGCCTCTGTTTTGTTGATAATAAATGAACACAGCACTACAGTCAATGCTGTTTTTTGTTTGCTTTATTTCTATATATTTAAAAGATGAAATGCCTGTTATTGAAAGAAAATAACATTTCAATACTGTAGGAGTGGCCAAGAGCTGCCGATAAGCCTGAAGCAGGTAAAATACAGGTTTAAATAAGTGTGCCCCCCCTTAAATATATGTAATGCCTACCCTCTCATTTGTCTGTCACCAGAACAGACAAAGATGAACACTTAAACGCAATAGAGATGGAGTATAAAGCTTGCATTAATAATAATAGGTCTCCAAACGCATTAATCCTGTATTAATCCCGAGTCAAAAGAGCCGGGTTCACGCACTTCCTGTTAGTGCAGGTTTATTCAGTCACTGTTGTCCAAAGCACTGTTCAGTTATTGAGTCACTGTAGAAATAACGACAGAGCCCGAGGGTGTACAGGACGGCTGCATCTTTTTCCTCCTGCTGTCGATCAGTCTGTAAGACAGAAAAAAAGCCTGTATTTAATAAAGTTATAGTCAACACCATGACATTTATCAAAATTTGCAGTCATGAAAATAATAAATAAGCACAAAATATAGCCTACTTCTTTGTGGAAAAAGATGAGTATTGTGTACTTTTATCAGGCGACATGATTTCATTCAGAAGTGGGCCACATGTTATTTAATAAGCGTGGAAAATGCTAAAACATACCCCATATATGTATTATAAGAACAGAAATTAGAAAGAGTCTGTTGAAAAATGTATAAGTTCTGGAGTAGGCTGTTGTGCTGTCATTGATTTCCCCCGTACTTCTTCAGGTCTCTTTGTGGTCCAGCCTACTCACTGTCCAGCCAATCCAAACCAAATATGCACGTCATGAACGGCTCTGCATTACAGCCCATATTTGGTTGACCCCTCCTCCTTTTTTGTAAGTCGACGCTTGTCTTTACTACCCGCCCACCCTTTACCAAGCCTCGCTCAAGGCCTACAGAACCCCCAAAAGGGCCTCTTATTACAAGGCTTTGAGATAGTCTGCGCTTTGGTCAACAAAAGAGGTCATGGCGTAGTTCGTAACTCCCCAACTTTTGCATCAAAGTTGTGCATAACTTGATCCCGACTATAGGACCATAACTTCCATTACCATTGTAACCTTCTTTGGACAAACCTGATGTCTGTTAAAGTCCCCGCAGCGTCTTTAATGGCACAATAATGGCACATGAGGTCAACACATAATGAGACGTAATGACATAAGTGTACGATCATGGTGAGTGCCGAGATCAAAACACTTTCATTTTCAGGGCTGATAGCAAGGGGGGAAAATCAAACTTGTATTGCCAAAATGATTCATCTAATAGAAACGATACCGTTTCATCTAGTCAAATGGTTACCATCAGGTTTTTTCAGACCGTAAATATACGAGCGAAATATGAGTGTTCAGTCAGATGTGCGCAATAAGACACTATTTCAAACAAAATCATCAAGGAAATTCTGACTGCTGTTTTTACTACTCTACCTCTTTGAAAACTCATAGTAAGCACGACCAAATGAGGTATTGCTGCGTAAAATTCTGAAGCCTCGTTGCCTTGATCCATAGACAAAAGCGGCACACAGCTCACGTCTACAACGTAATGCAAAATGGCTGTAAAACAGAGAAGCACAAGTAGGCTACTTTAAAACTGCACTGTGCGCAATAAATAGGCTTCTTCATCCACTGTTTAAGTCAGCTGCCCTGTTCCAAGTGCGCCATGGGTCAAATATTTAACGTGTTACGATCATTGACGCGGTTAACTTCTGTGCGCAAGGTTTACCATGATCACACATATATCAGAAACGTGGACAATACATCCCTAAAAGAATGGCATGGCGTCTTACTCCAATTGTCTGTTCAAGATTATATATCTGCGCAGTTCAAATTGCAGTAAAGCACATTTCTTTACCAAGGAGTTTATGAGCTTTATATTTTTGACAAGGTGCATTTTCCAGCTGCACTCGGATGAGTACAATGCAGGATAATTTTGGATAAGCCTCATGTGAAAACTTCCTCTAGAAAACAAGAGTATGTCTTTTAACTCGAATATGGAAAAGAGAAAAATTACTACAGGGCTAAATATTTCACAGACTACCCGCAGAAGTAGGCCTACTCGGGAACTTGCGCAACATGCAGTAAATAAAGGACACTTTCATCCTTTTAGATCTTCTACATATGAATATGAACTAGTTTACAGTGTGTTTTTCAACTGTACTATTTCAGAGTCAGATTGTAAATGATCTCTCTCAGTCCCATTTGTGGGATTGAGTAGCTCTGTTCGGTTTCTCAGCAGGTCTGAGGCAGCACTCTCTTGGAGAGATGACATTTGTTTTTGAGTGTTTCATGTTTACTCAATAATCTAATCTATACCATTAAAAACTAAGAGTGCCCCATTTTTTAAACAAATGTAAGGGAATAAAAAGAAAAAGTGCTGTAATCGTGTTAAAGCAAAACACACACGTACTTCTCTTTCTCTCTTACACACACACACACACACACACACACACACACACACACACACACACACACACACACACACACAAAAGGGTGTGATCTAGGTCATAGTGAAGTTCTGAAAATGACTAGGAAGTCGACTTGATCTTAGCCTGAGTGTTTTTTTTTTGTGTGTGTGTGAGTGTGTGTTGTTGGTTTTAATGGTCATGTGTAGGTCTTAAAATTTTTAACAACAAATACTGTTACTTCAATCAATTGACATGGATTGAGTCGACCTGAAGAATTCAACCAGTAAAAATACTTGAGAATTGAAAAAAATGCAAATATGTGCATTCTGCTATTTTATCAATAAATAAAATAAACTCAAATAAAATAAAACATTATTTACATTTTTCTTACTCCCATTCAACAGGTTCCCAAATTTGCGGGTCCAACATGACAGGAAAATTAATAGAAACAGCCCATCATAGAACAGGACAAGCAGCTTTTTTGGAAGTGTGCATCCCAAATAAAATGAATCTTTAGCTAAATACCCCAACAGGCTATCTCTGGACAGTGGCATTTTTAAGGCTGTGATAAAGTTTCTGCACACTAAATGGAAATATTAAAATCAATAGGAATCAGTAATCATTTAAATATTCCTATATTACAATAACATTATAACTTACAACAGTATGTAGTGGTGGTATTTCAGCATTTTGAAGGTAATTTTAGAAGCTCTTCTATCTGTCCCAAGTGTATTGCAATCCTAAGGTTGTTGCGTAACTGCAGTGGTTCTAGGCAGTCAAAAATAAGGGCAGGATGGTTAGATTTTAAAGATTGATAATATGCGCAGTAAGGACCTGGTATATTACAGGATTTAACAAAATTTTTAAACTCTTAATACAGTATAGGGTCATTCAAACATGGCTAGGCACAAGCAACTAGAGGAAAGTTTAGGGGTTCTAACCTGGAAATTTTGAATTTTAAAGAAAACCAAAACTTACCAACAAATAGGCCTAATAAACTAATTGTACTGGACTATTGGACTCAGAACTGTTGCATGATCAAATGGGCCTGATCTGACAGACTACTGAGTTCGAACTGGTCAATCTTTATGTTGTTTTTATAAAAAAAATTAACAAGTGGATAGATTGTCAATAGATGCATGTAACCATGGCCTTTTTGTGTCTTATGTGATACTGGAAAGTTTTTGCAAACTACACGTCAACATTGTTTACTGATTGATAAGATTTAATTAAAACTCTTATAGAAGAAAACATTGGCACAGTATGAAACAAGAGCAAAGTCCCGAATGACTTGCCAACGTTTAGTACTAACCTTAAGTTTGGTATTAACCCCCCAGTCACTTTGTATTTTTTCCCTCTCCTTTCTTACTGTTTTTTTCCCCTTTTTTTCTTGATAATCTCATGCAGCGTCTTTTGGATCAAACGAATACTCTGTTTTATTGTGGTGTAATATAGGACATGCGAAGAAAACCTCTGTTGAGTTAAAATACTATTACTGATAAGAATCATAGAGAAAATACGTTAGGCGCGTCAGTTTGTTTCGAAAAGTGTGTGTGTGTGCGTGCGTGCGTGCGTGTGTCGGCGACTGTAAAATTCGTAGACGTATTTCCCGGAACCAACTAAAGCCCCCTCGTATATATTTAGTAAACGGGATAGTCATAGGGTTAAAATTAAACAAGCAAACAGGTTTTCTAACTCACCACGGGTGGAGAAAAAGCGCACTCTGCATCTCCCTGCACGTTTGCTGCCTCTCTCAGCAACTCCCCGACTAATACGGGTGGTGCGTTCAGGAGCGTCCGAATTTTCTATACTACTGAAAATAACTAGGTTTACAATGGCTTATACGTGAAGGATTTGTGTGGTGGAGACAAAACGACCCCTGACAAAAAGTGGGGGACCCCCCCCCCCCCCCCCCCCTCCCAAACTGACGCCTATGCCCCACCTGCTTAAATGGGCATAACGCGCCTGCTCCCATTTACGCAGATGAATGCGAGTGACTTTGACGGTGTATTATTTGAAAACTGCACAGTATGGGCGCATATAAACTCGGTTTAAACAAACACTCCTGCAGTCGGCTACTTGATGGGATGGGTGTGTTCCACTGCTTTCTAAAAGAGTACAACAGCAGAGAACAATTATGGGCCTTATTGATGAGGGTGAAAGTTATCAACAGCTCCACACACTGTAAACCCAGACTAGTTTCTGTAAAATAGGTAAAGTGTTGTTGATATGTGTAGGGTACTGACATTATTTGATTTATATGTACACTAGCAGTTTGAAGCTTATTCAACTCAAAAAATTGTGTTGAGCCTCAATAATTTACATGCACTTATAGTTTTGAGTTCAATAAGCTTCAAAAATCAACTTCTAGCCTGCACTGTAATCTTGTCTGGAAGACATGTCTGGGCTTGCTGGAAGGAGGACCGTTGGTCTTTGTCTTGTTGTCACGGAGATAGCCTTCCTGTTCTCTGCACCTTATTAAACATAGCTTTATTTACCACAAATATGGACTAAAGGACTGATCTGCAGTGCTTATGCATGGGACAAAATGAATGTTTCTCATATCATCTGATTTTCATGGAGAGCAGAATAAATCATCTTCAACTTGGTGAGTCATTTTCCATATTCATCTGATTTGAAATACATCATTTCATGATCCCTGAAGATTAAAAATTTGTATTGTGTTAAAATTTTGGTGTGTAAACAACATCTGAGAATAATTATCAGTGCAGTCCATGTACTTAGCTTATCCTCTCAATTTTTTGTTGTTTCACATTGCCATTTGGCAGAGGTAGCTAACATAAATTGATACAGATGACTTAATTCCACCTTTTTTTTTGCAAAAGAGCAACAGGATTTTCTCAAAAAAACTCAGTGACCTGCTTTAAAAAGCTAACTAAAACATTTGACTGTAAATATATTTTTCATTTTTTTAAACCATACATGAAGACATGCTTTAGAAATGCAAGTATTATTCTCTTCACTATGAAAAAAGAGCACAGCTTTTCAAACACTACAGACTTAAACATGGAAGTGATGCCAGGACTGAATCCATTCCTTGCTTACATCAGGGTTGCCCATATACAATACAGACAAACTCTAATTGCTATGAAAATATCATTTTATTTTCTTGTTACTGGTAGGATCTTCATGATGCGGACTCATTGGACATTCCAGTAGGCACCCTATGCTTTAAAGAAAGTAGGACCTGAAATCATATAATGGTTAATTTTACGTTAGTTCTATTTTACGTTTATTGTGGCTGTTGTTATGTCCTGTTTTCTGCAAATGTCAATAAAGTTTAATGACAACTTTTGGTGTGATATATTTTTGGGTTGGCATAACTTAAACTTTTGAATTTCCCACTGCGCAATGCCACGTCGAAATGACATCTATTTAACGTATTTTTTCTACGATGAAGTACAAATGTGGATGTCATTTCAACGTCTAAAAGAGGTCCAATAGTGACGTCTAAGTCTTTGATCCATTTTGCACGTTGTGTCGACGTCTAGATATGGTCTTCGGATGACGTCCAAATTCTAAAAGTCAGAGCAACGTCTAAAAAAGGGCCAATTTGGACGTCGAAATTTCTAACCTATTTGCACGTCGCACTGACGTAGATGTGGTCTTTGACGGACTGACCCAATACTGACTTGATCTGCGCGTCTCTTCAACGTCCGATGTTTGGAGGGTTAATAAAAGCCAAATACAGCTAAATGCACGTGAGAAATTTAGTTGTTGTCACTTAAAATAGTGAGTTGAATAGGTATGAATTTTAATACACATTTTGAGTACAAATAACTTTTCTTTTAGTGTATTCACCTCAAATAATCTATTCCATTCCCTTTTGTATTTGCGTTGATTTTACTGAATTACTTAATTGATGCACTCATTACTTAAATCATTAAAGTCCAATCACTTGCCTCAAAAATTTTAGGTAGAATGAACTTTTCCAGGTTTACAGTGTAGAACAGCAGGGGCAGCAACAGCCACAGGCCTTAAAGTTTTCACCCACAGTTAAGTGACTTGAAAAATAAAGGCACGTTGTTTTAAGTGCAGTTTTGTCATTTCATTATAATGGCAGGAAATTATAAATGACATTTATTCTTGATGATATATACAATAAAGGCCAGGGACACCATACTGAAGAACATTTATGTTTAGAAAAGCAGACTGGATCTGAACCTTTGCTGTTTTACTAGTTAGTGTTTTTGATACAAAAAAAACCAAAACATTTTTCACCTAATAACATAGTTTTTCTTTTAAGTCCAGATTTTTAGAAAGGATATTATTTTTTATTAGGGGCTCAAGACTCACCTTTTCAACCAGGCTTTTCACTGGTTGCCTTTTATATTTCTCTTATTGTAAATGTTCATTTTAGTCAAAGTTCTTACTGTTTCTTTTATGTAATTTTATCAATTATTGTTCTTAGTCTTTTTCTTAACTCCCATCTTGGAGGTTTTTTACTTCTTTTGCCCCTTTTACATGGTAAAGAGCTCTTACTTTTCTGTTTATTAAATATGATTTTCTTGTTTTAGTCCATCAGGTTTCATCAGGTAGCCTTTCTTTTTAACATTTTATTTTTTGAAATATTTTATCTCCAGTGTTTCCCAAAGGTAGCGCTTTCCTCCCGTACTTTGTGTGTGTGTGTGTGTGTGTGTCTCTGTGTGTGTGTGTGTGGGTACATGGGTACCCATGGGTTTTATTGTTGTTTAATAAAGCACTTTGAAATATATATTTTTGTCTGAATAGTGCTGTACAAATAAAGTTGAATTTGAATTTGAATTGAACAGCCTATTACTAGACTTACGTGAGCTCAGATACTCTTGGATGAAATTGAAGATGTCAATCTTCCCGTGGTGGAGCGCGAGCTCTCCGGCAGAGTACCCTTGGCCGTTGACAGCTCGGGGGTCAGTGGTATGTTGAATCAGCAGCTGGACCACCTGCAGATGTCCTTCTCGAGCAGCCAAATGGAGCGGCAGGTTGCCTCGCTCATCCGTTAGATCCGGGTCTGCGTCATGGTCCAATAGCACGCGCACGGTATCTCTGAAGCCGTCGCGTGCGGCGTCATGTGTGACGGTGAGATTCAGGACCGGGTCACGCACGTTGGGGTCTGCTCCCGCCTCGAGAAGGGTCTCAACAAGGGCGGTGTTCCCCAACTTCGCCACCTGCACGAGGCGCATAAATATGAGAGGAACAAAGTCAAGGAGAAGAAACTATTAAAGCTCAAGTTCAGACTCTTACGCACTGATAAGACAAAGACTGTTATCATTACAGCCCACTGCATGCTGCCAAGGCGGTGAATTAGTCTGTAGAGTTTTCGCAGTTAGAGTATTTACAGGATTGTAGAGCTTTTTTGGCCTTCTGACCCCAAATCAGAGCTGCGCACTGAATGTTCATTGTAACTCATACTAATCATTTATATGCTATAAAAAAGACATTATGACTCACCGTGATCCTCTAAGCAACAATGGTTATTATCATTACAATATTTACCATTTCTAATCCTGATATAGTGGGCTGTTCATATTTGGCAGTGGACTTTGTCTTGTTCAGCTCCTGTGTGTAATCTATTCTTCAGTAGAAGTTGAGGCAGAAATAAACAACCCTTTTTTCCATTTCCTCATTGCAACCGTGTGTTGACCAAGTACTTTCATACTCTGCAGGGTGAAAATGAAGCGTAGGCCATTGTTTAGAAATGTAAAAGTATATTTCGTCCTTAACAACACAACTGTAAAAGGCTTATTGTAGTTTTAAAACTTTTTCTTAAGACCAGGAAGAGGATCTGTGCTCCAACTATAAAGCTTCTAACTCAAAAGTGAACTTATATAGCCACTAGAATCGTTTTTCCTTTGTATATTTGTAGTTTATTTAGGTTATTTTTTCATAGCAAACGAATTTCAAAACGATTTTTGTAGAAAAACGGTGTTTGACCAAGTAGGCTTTTAGTAAGATTTACACTGCAAAAATCAAACTTTCTTTTTGCCATCACTTTCTTTCTGTCATCCATCCTTTTTTTCCTTTTTCAGTGGAAAATATTTGTCTTATTTATTGAGAATATAAACTTAAATAGTCTATGATTATTTCAAGAGAAAACATGGTTAGGCCGCATCCTCACAGCAGCACAAAAGACAAGGAAGTTAGACATGTGCTTTGTCATGCAGACAGAAAAAATAAAATCCTCCAAAGTGAATGCAGGCTGCATATTTTCCCTCATTCCTTTGACAAAAACGAATCAAAAATCGGTTTTACTCACCTGCAAAGGAGTTCTGTTGAATATATTCCTTCCATTAACATCAGCTCCAGTTTCCAACAAAACCACCACTTCATCCAGTCTTCCACTAGCAGAGGCATTGCAGAGCATGTCTGTTTCTGGCACCTCAGCCATTGTTGAAAAGTTATTTTTGGATAAATAAAATCCAAGTTCTCCGCATGCAGGTATGTGAAAAAAGGGGGGGTATTCGAGGTAACAGTTCAATCCATAGCTCGCACAGTACCGCCCCCCTTACATCATGTCTTACCATGACCCTTCACCAATGAAAAAGTTTCAGCCACATACCACACGGTTAACTCGGGGAATCAAGAAGAAGAAAAGAAGAAAAAAAAGATTTGGGCATCAGTGAATGCACCTCTGTGAGACAGGACTGTGCATGAATAACAGTCTGTCCCTCAATATTTGCCTCACTATCATTTTTAGGTTACACGGCCTCACCCTGGCCTTGCAGCTGTGGAAGCCCACTGTCAAAATAAAAATAAAAATCTAATAGCCCACTTATTTACTCTCAGATATTTGCTAGGTATAATAAGGTGTGGGGCCGCCTGAGCAATAAATGGAGAATAAGTCCTAACCTACACTACCATAAAAAATCTAACTGAATCACACTCTCATGCACACTCAGGCTTAACTATCCAAAATGAAGGCAAGTGCATTTAATACATAAAAAAAACTTTTATATGTATGTTTTGTGATCTATAGATCGGTTTTCAAAGAGAAACTGAAATTAATTTCATCTGTGGTATTACATTTATTATAACATGGCAGCAAAGTGAGAACAACAACTCAATTTCTCCGTGTTAGAGCACCATCTAGCAGCAAAAACACTCCAGTGATGCGATGGTTTTCTGGCCTGATAAAGATGTCGGATTTTATTAAAACATTATAGTTGTACTCTGAACCAATAAATCTTTTATTTGGGCTAAGAATGCAAAAGTAACTTTAGATATCAAAGTTTTAATGTGTAAGACCTATAATGGGGACAAAAAATAGAGATAGGCAACTGTATATGTGATTACAACTAAATTAACGCTATTTTTTTCCTGATATTAATCACTGCACAATCCTCCCAAGTCACCTGCCTTCAAAATAAAATTAAAATTCAAAGTAAGTATGACTTTGCTTCAATGCGCATGCCATTAAACCTCACTTCCCGCTCACTTTCGGGGAAAAAGACGCCAAATTTTAAAAAATGCGCTTTGATAACCGATTACGATCCTCTTATGAAATCTTCTGAGAGAGGAAAAGCAGAGTACCGAGCACAGATCGCGCGATCATCCTTCATTTCTCGGAAGGGAACCTACCCTGACCGTTAATCAAGATCCACGATCCACTTTCACTAGAGCGTCCGAGTACGTGCATCAAACCTGCAGGCTGAACGTCCACATGCTGCACAACACAACACCCGCTCAAATAGACTCACTGGTATATAAGGTCACATGTACGGTCCGTTAGGAGAGGATGAAGCGGTTGAATTGAAGATGTTGTCCTGACAGATCGGCTATGTAAATAATTTTGAAACAATGTCGCAGTGAAGATGTGATAATGTGATTGGATGAAAGAATGGTGACACAACAAGTAGTCCTCTCTCGGTTTCTTGTTACCGTGCCGCCCTCTAGTGGACGGGACTGGGCAGAACCGCCACAGTCTGGTTTAGGACTAGTGTAGAGCCAAAGGTCAGATGTAAGCTATATGTTTTACTGTTATACCTCTTATAGATAATCTCTTATTTTCATGAAAGGAAGAGTTTTTGAAGACGTTTGTAAACGACCTTAAGTGCAGGGATATATAGGCATCAGGCTCCTCTTTTGTGATGTGGGGTAACAGGTAACAGGTGTAATGGATTAGTAAGCAGGTTGCAAGAAGTAGCTGTAATAGGTCAAGACACAGAGTTTTGACGCTGTTGGGTTTTGCCATGCCAGGGATCATTTACAATTGAAATGATTGATAATTTCTTCCCTTCTATCGCTCTGTTTAGTGTGCAACAACTTTTACACTCATATCTTGTGCTGGCTACCTCTTGTCCATCAGGGCATAAACTTCAAACCACACAGAAATAAGGAGTTTCCCTGTCATATCTAGTTCTCCAGTCATTGTTTGGCCACAGGATCAGACCGAATAACTATACCGCCAGGCTTAGAGTCAGACTTGGCTGTTCTCAACCCTGCCCTATAGGGGAGAGTGGGGTAAGATGAGCCATTTTTCATATTTGGGATCACTACATCAAGGCAATCATAGTTTTGTCTCCAACTAGTGTATCTGCATTTATTTCAGGATGTTGTGCATCCCTGCAAACCAACAGAATGAGTGTAAACATAACTGTCTTGATAATATAGCATGCCAAAAAAAGTGGTCTCCTTTGGTCAACTTACACCGTGTATGGGGTAAGTTGACCATAGGAGCCAAGTAAGCTAAGTCGTATCCCTACTGCCCCCTCCCTCACCTTCCCTCTCCCTAAATAACACTCACTTCTTCACATTCATGTGTATTTTTATCTATTATGTGCTATTCAACTGGTACAATAATAGTTTTTATTATTATTGCATATAACTGCTAAAAAGCTGTTTTGTAAAGAGACATTTTAAAATGAGAATGCCTTTAAGTGATTCAGAACATTCACAGCTGTATTTTTGAAAAGAAAAAGTAAAACATTTCAACAATCTGAACTGAAACTCTGATCCTCTCATCAGACTCCTTTACTTTCTCAGTTCAGCCACTGGTTCAACTTACCCCGAAACTACAATGATGACTTTATAAGTCCTCTAAGCTAAAATGGTGGACTTTTAAGTTTTTGACCTCATGTTGTAGCTCATAGATACCACAACTAATGTATAAAACAAACTTAAAATGATATTTTTTGGTCTGAACACAATTCTAATAAAACTTAGGACAGACTCAATTCACTTTCAAGAATGAAAAATGTTTTTTTTTTTTTTTCAAATAAATGTCTAACCTCTTCACCCATGTGCTTCTCACCTTCACAGACTCCATGAATTGATGCCCATCTCCTACATATTTGGTCACATGATCAATTTCTTTTACCATTTCCAAGCAACAAGGGGTTGCTCAACTTTTACCACTCTCCCCTGGTCTTAAGTCCAAAATCATTTGCTTGTCCTGTCCTTCTTTGCTGGGAAGATTGATTACGATTTTGACCAATAAGCCTGCCACATGCAGAAGCAGCTATTACAAATAACACAGTGATCCATGGGGCCAGTCTCCTATTATGTCTCCAATATAGTCGGTGCCTGTAGCGGCTCTGGGCCCTTGGTTTGCAAAAACATGGAGAGCAAAATGACTCTTAGGGTCACGGATTTGCTATATTTGCTCTGTAAACGCTTGAGACCGTTAAAACTAAAGGGTTTTAATATCAATGCAGTTTGTTGTCCGTGTGGATTGTAAATTTCAAGTTAGTGACACTGCCATAAGACAAAAAACGTCTCACGTACAAACCTACACACTAATTTTTTCATCACACAGGAAAAAAACTTCAAACATTAGGAATAAACAAAGAGGAATACGGTTCAACATCTTTTCTGATACGCTAACTTGAAAAACAAAGAAGTTAATCCTCGTTTGACATAAGTAAACGGTTTTTACTTATCTCACGTCATCGGCTCTGCTTTTACGACACATACGGGCGCTTTACGTCTCAGCCGTTAAGCAATGGAGATGACAATACTGATATGAGATAACTGAGCACTGAAACGCTACTTTCAACAATTTTGTCGACCTGAAGGCGTTTTATTCCGACAGAGCGTGATTCAGCCACTTTGCCAACCTTTCGCCCGTTGTCACGGCAAAGTGAAGTATTTAACTCACACTCAGTGTACCTCAGTGAGGCGAGAAAGCGACGAGAGCCAGTGGAAGAAGAAGAAGAAGCTTTTAGCCAGTCATTGCTATGGCCTCCGAAAGCGGCGAGAGCAACATGGACAGAGAGATGATTCTGGCCGACTTTCAGGTGTGTGTTGTTTGTTCATCTCAAATATTAGCTTCAATGCCTCGCACAGCGTTGTGGTGTTGTTTTTGGCCGGTGTCAGCAGCAGTACACACGACCTGACCTGAGCTGAGCTTTTCTCTCAGAGGCTAACTCGCTGAGCTAACTATCTGACAGCCTTGTTGACTAGATCCTAAATATCATTATGAAGCTGTTGCCAAGCTAGCCAGAAGATCCACTCAAAGAGAACCAACAACCACAAATGAATCCCCCATGATGTACGTATGTTTGCCTGCATATCATGCAACGACAAGATAGGAAGCTAAAAGAAGAGCTGCGGTCTTCACGACACACTCAACTTGTTGTTGTCAGGTGTCTCTATCAGGAGTTAAAGCTCTAACCAGGCGGCTGAATTTTTTTATCCACATGCCAGTATGGTGCATGTTGATATTAAGATTACTCAAATACATCAAGTACACCGACCAGCCTCAATGTGTCAGATACCTGGGGAACCTGAGAGAGAGAGCGATATTGTTTATACGATCAAATATACAAACAGCACAGTTTTAGACAAGAAATTTACCTATTTTTGGAGATTGAAAAAGAGTAGGTAGAAGTTATTTAGCTTATTTGTACCTACCCTCATTCCTTCCAATTCGTTCACTTTTTACATGTCTCTAGAATTTTAGATTTTCTTAAGTCGCCAAAAGTAACCAAAGCTCCAATGTCTAACATGAATATGTAACAAATCAATAATACTGACACAAAGACCTTATATGTACATATATACACCCATACCTACATATATACACGTATATACAGTACATGCCAAAAGTTTGGACACACCTTCTCAGTCAGTCTTTTCTTTATTTTTTTATATGACTATTTACATTGTAGATTATCACTGAAGGCATCAAAACTATGAATGAACACATGTGGAATTTTGTACTTATAAAAAAAGTGGGAAATAACTAAAAACACGTTTTATATTCTAGTTTCTTTAAAGTAGCCACCCTTTGCTCTTGATGACAGAAGTACTTAGTGACTGTTTCTGTCATCTGTTTTCTAACCCTGACAAGGCACACATGTGAAGTAGAAACCATTTCAGGTGACTACCTCATGAAGCTCATTGAGAGAACAGCAAAAGTTTGCAGCGCTATCTGAAATATAAAACATGTTTTCAGTTATTTCTCAATTTTTTCTGAAGCACATGATTCCACATGTGTTTATTCATAGTTCTGATGCCTTCACTGAGACTCTACAAGTTAAATAGTAATGAGAATACAGAAAATGCATTGAATGAGAAGGTGTGTCCAAACTTTTGGCCTGTACTGTACACACAAATATGTGCTTCATAGATATACCTAGGAAACTTCACATCTCTCATTTGTACCATACCCATATACAATATAATAAGTGTGACAAAACGAAAATCACTTATATAAGTATTTTCTGATCATACTTTGCTTTAATTTACTTTTAAACTGTGCTATTGTTTTGCTTTGTTTAGCAAGCTGTTCCATAGCTTTACCCCCATAACAGAAAGACACATGCTTTCTAGTGTTGTACGAACGCCTGGTTGTTTTAAATTTCGTTCCCCTCTTAATACATACCTGCCCTCTCTTCTACCAAACATTTTCTGTAAATTACTAGGGAGTAGATTGTGGCTTGCTTTGTACATTATCTGTACATTTCTAAATTCAACTAGATTGGCAAATTTTGATACACAGTTGACAAACAGTTCATTAGTATGATGGAAGAATCCTACCTTGTTAACAGTCCTTATTTTAGAGACCTCCTACATCTTTAACATTTGCTGACATGCTCAGACAGGTGATAATTATGCCTTGAATTGATTGTTAAAGTTGTGGAGGGTGTTGATGTTCTGGAGTGCTTTATATTGAAAGACTTTCCTCATATTTTACTTTTAAGTGGATATCTTTCAATTGAACACACTCCAGTAAATCAAATCAAATCATCAAATCAAATTTTATTTATATAGCGTCAATTCACAACAGTCCTCATCCCAAGACGAGCAGGTCTAGACCACACTCATTGTTTGATGAATTATCAAGACCCAACCTAAGATGGGATTTGGCCCATCTCATCTAACATAAGTAACAGTGGCAAGGAAAAACTTCCTTTTAACAGGCAGAAACATTGGGTAGGACCAGACTCTTGTTAGACAGCCACCAGGCCGCTGCTGGCTGCTCCAGTACATCACCACCACTCACCATGTCATCAGCGATAAACGGGGAGTACAATAATTACCTGTCTGATATCATGTCAACAAAAGTGAAAAATTAAAGCTGCTTGAAAGTATTGCTTGGGTATCCATAATGTAATTGCTGGTTAGTGTATAATTCACAGATTTTGGTCAAATAGCCAATGCAACACGCAGACACTATGAAAATATTGCTGTGGATGTTAGTGTGAAAACAAATATGCAATCTTATAAGATAAACACAGAATAGATCTATTACCAAGCCATTGCTGCCTTCCTCTATGACACTTCTCATTGTTAGTTCATAGGGCTCAGACTCTTTTAGTCCATGACCTTACCCAAGTCAAGTCTCTGCAGGACACAAACCCTTTCAACTTTTGTACCTTATTCCAAGGACCCAAATAAGGTTTACTTGTGTCTGAGCTTCTTATCCTCTCCATTTATGCAATAGATTTTTGTAGCTGCATGAGATTTTTTTTGAAAGACACATCAGATACAACTTGGCACAATGTATCCTTATTTTTTTTGGTGTTACTTTGGGAGTTTAGATAAGCATTGGGACATTAAATAAGTAACAAAAGTCAACCTGAAATAGCAATGTCTTATAAGTAATAACAGCAGTTATAGGTCAAACTAAGTAACTATCTGGCATACAAACAGGTTAAAAGCCACACAATGTTATAAATATCTCTGATCTTTCCTGCAGTTATTATTAACCATGAGGAAACTTGCACTACCTTGCCAAGGGGAAACAAAACAAGCATGTCAGAAGACACCAGAAATGAATGTGAAGTAGCATCCAACAGTAACATAAAGCAGGCATGCAGCACTGTGAAGAAAATGATTCAAACACTTATATTAGACGATGCTTCATATAATAACGCTGACTGTAGAATATGATGTCTTGGACTTTAGATTTTTATACCCTAGTAAGAATATAAAGGGGTGAATTTGAGATTTGTTAAAATGTGTGTATCCTGAACAACTTTGCAGTAAACTAACCTGTTTACACAATGCCACATGTTTTAAGCATGCTCCACCAAGATTAAAATATATCAAGTATAACTCAAAGGAAATCAGTGGCTTTTTGTAACATCACTGTGTGTGGGGCTTTTGCCACAACTTTAAGTTTTGCTGATATGGACAGTGGAAGAGTAGTTAAATTTATCCTTTGATGTCTTTCTTTCATTTTGTTTCTTATTTTTCAGTGAAGTGTATTTTCATGTTATAGCAGATCAAAATGTTTCATGAAAAAAAAAATTCATACAATGCTTTCTCTGTGTAATTCTTCTCTCCTTGTTTATTTCCCTCCATCAGGCTTGCACTGGAATTGACAACATTGCAGAAGCAATCACTCTGTTAGAGCTTAATAACTGGGATTTAGTGGTAAGTTCATTATCTGCAGGCTTTTGGGTTTTGGTCTTTGACAGGCAGGACATCTAGAGAATGAGTTCAAGAGGGCAGTAAACATCCAGTGAGGAGCACTCCCTGTTATTCTATTATGACCAAAGCATTCCTTCATTTTGGCCTGATAGATGTCTTGTTACTTAAGCAGTGTCTCTTGACCCTTACTACCTTTCAGTGCAGTGACAGAAAAATATGTCAGAGGAAGGGTGTCATTGGGTAGAGAGACACTGTAAGAGCAAAAGTCTCCTGCCAGGTTTGTATGAAGTCATGATGAGTCAAAACGAGGAAACCTTTACCTCGCAGTACATGTCAGAAGGGGTCAGACTATAATTAGACCAATGCTGGCGGTAGTTCAAAGCAGACGGCAGCAGCACTCCAAGCAGTGGCAGGACAGATGGTGGGGCCTGGAATCACTGCACCTGTAAATCTAATGACTTGCAGTTCCCCTGCAATGACAGGTAGTTTTCTAAACAACAACCAATTTAATGTTTGGATGTAAAGTTGAAAAACATAATTTATAAAAAGATAATCCACCAAAGATCTATATCCAGTAGCAATATTCTATGTAGGATACCATTTAGTGAAGTCTAACTCCGTCTAAGATATAGAAATTCCTGTCAAAGTTTGCTCATGAACTCCTACCTAGCCAAGTGGTAACCTTCCTTGGTACATTATTTCAAGGGGACCAAGGGCTCTCTTCTTTCCTAAAAGAATTTTTTAATCCACAGAAGGTATTGGATAGAGGAAGTATTTTATAGTATTGTAAAAGTAAAAAAAAATTAAAATGGGGTAGAAGTTTAAGATTTAATCTAAAATGGGTAGGAAAAAGGAGTAGACTGTTTGTTTTAACACTGTTCTACTCATATGTCTCTTAAACTAAATCCAAATATGGAACTCAGCCATCATTAAGGTGATACCCCCCCCTGTCATTCATGCAGTATTTCCTCCTTTCAACACTAAAAGGATGTGACTGACCTTATTTAGCTTGTTTTGCTGTGATAGTAGTGAGTGTTCGAGCGTAATCCAAACAATTGTCCATTCAAACAAAAGCTCAGGGCTGACAGTGTTTACTGTCATGTTTGTCCTTTTAGCTTTCTTTGTGCTCATCTGCCTCTCTGTTTGAATTCTCCATCTTTCTCTGTCACAATCTGAGGTGGTGAAGGTGAAGCCTGAATGATATTTTTACTAAACAAACAAAAGGATTGATGGTGATGGTCAGAGAGTAATAAGTCTGTCCCTGTTACAGAGTAAATCTAACTCATTGTTTACTTTGTGCAGTCTTGTCTTTATATACATGGGAAGTGTCCCTGAACCAAAGTTTATTGAAGTTTAAAGATACAAAGCAGCGATCCAAGTTATTGTTTGAAAAGAAGGTTGTGTTGTAAAATCTCAAACTTTTACAAGAAAAGGACAACTCTATTACATCCTGTAATATACTTCTCCTGTCATCACAGGCAGCCATCAACGGGGTGATACCACAGGAGAATGGGATCTTACAAAGGTAATGCCCACATTGACGTATGTTTTCGACAAATTTGTGCATCAGGTGACCTCTTAACTGTAAATTAATGTTACCTGTTACCTAGGGGGATGCATAGCTAGCTATGTGACGAGCTTGTATGTGACTTAGCAGCACACTTTTGTCTTTTTCTATTGCAATGCTTTTATGATGATGTGATGAAGAAATAAAAAAAGAAGAGTGAGCCAGTGCTACTGTCAGCAGCTTCGGTAAAGAGCAGTAGGCCTCATTCACCGTCTGTTCTTAAACATTGTTCTTAAAACCTACTCATGAAGTTTGAAGATGATTCTGACATTCACCAATTTTTGTTTTTTATCTTAAATTTGTTCCTCGCTGAGAAGAGAATTGAAGAACACTAATGGGCGTGCTTATGCATATTTTAGTTCTGATATGTCAGAGCAAAGTTATTGTTAATAAACCATGGTGTTTTCCTTCATTTAGTACCATAAAAGTTTTGAAAGACATTTACATATACACAATCAAAATGCAGTCATTCTTGCAGAGTTTGGTTTGAACTGCAGAGTGTTAAATTATAAATATGAAATAGGGACTCAGACAGGATAGAAAGCAATCAGTATCAGACCAGAATCAGCCGTTATGTGGGCCTACATGCATTAAGTGCTCAGTATTGATCTTATAAATGAAGATTACAGACAAAAAATATAGGCAACAACTTCAATAATATATGATGAAATGAAACCTTATTTTCACCGATAATAACTTACCCTTACATACAGTTCTTTAATAGCTAATCTGTCACGTGTCAACATTATTTTTGGTCACATCTTTTAGAATAAAATCACTGTCAAATTATCTTGACTATGAGTGAAAAATTTGAGACTAATGTGTCCTGTCTCCGGCAATTTTAACCTCAGAATTAATGCTCTTGTTTCATTTCATCTGGTGTGTGTCTTGTTCTGATTATAGTGCAGTGTTTTTGATGATGGTGTTTTTAGATATCACTTCATTCACTACTGGGGCTGCAAAATATTAACAAGTAATCTGTACTGCTTGTCTGTGCTTCCCCCCAGCAGCACTACCTCAGTTACAAAACAACTAAACTACCTTTTTACTGAGCGGTCGGTTTATAGTTTAATGTGCACATTTGTATCTTCACTTCTGGAGGTCTTTTTCTGTAGGTCCTGTTCTTCTTCTTCTTCTTCTACTTCTTTGTGTACTAAGCACTCAGCACACAGCACAGGTTCATCCAAAGGAATACGCTTATGCTAATTGGGAACATTGAGCACAACCTTCAAACTTACAAGGACATCAAATTCAGCATTTTAAGACAGACACAAACAGACACATACAGACACAAACACTTCTGCTGTTAAAGAACCATTCATGAACCCGACTCAGAATTCTCTTTGACGCTTTCTTTAGGATAAGTTTGAGAAAATCAAGAGGAGGTGTTGGTGAATGAAGCCCTTTGTGCCTGTGACAGTAGTGTGAATCTACAGGCAGACATTCAAGGAAAGTAGCCACTAAACAGTGCAGGAAATGTGAGACTGCAGCCTGATTGTATTAGCAGGAAACTGAACTCCTCACCTTGGTAATGACCTGGCAATGTGAACTTGCAGTTGAGCGTCTGCCCTGATGTTTCCATGGTCTTAGATTTTACCTTGATTATAGTGAGTATGCTTTGTACGGGACTTCAGCTGTGTCGCCTGCTTCTTTAATGAATGTTACCAAATGTAAATGTTCAATCTACAAGGAAGCCCCGTTTCATAGATACCCTCAGTACTTGTTCCTACTTAATGCATAAACAGATGCTTTCAGGTCACTGCTTCAGCTGTGGATTCTATTCTGCTGTGTGATAAAGAAATAATATAAAAGACACTGCAAGCTTTCTGCCAGGAGTGGAGTTGTGAACAGTCTCTGGGTTGAAAAGGTTTCTTTAAGAGGCTTGGAAAGCTTCACTTTCCTTCAACGGTTAGTTTACACTCATGAATGCATTGTGCTGATCTGAACTCACCCAAACTGGAGACATTATGTGAAACCGTTTGATTTTGTGTACACACTTTGTGCACAGGCAAGCATGTAGCTAAATGTGGTTCAGGCCCCGGGGCCATGAGAATATTGCGGGCTTTTCTGGAGGGCACGCATTGCTATGAATGGAGGCTGGCTGGCAGCGTGACCAGCAGCCAACATATTTACTAAGTGGCTGGCACAGCTATGAGTAGGCTAGAGTTGCCCAGTGAACAGACTCTGATGACGTGACATGAGCTGGAGCCAGTTGGAGGGTACTCCAACGCTGCTGCCTAAAATCCATTTCCCTTGTGTCCTCTTTAGTAAGGAGGTTGGGAATTATAATAAGCTTGCTTTGCTCATCAGCAGAAACCCTCAGGGCATTTTCTGGTCGGACTTAGGGGGGGAAAAAAAATCTGAATCTTCTGTTGAACTCCCTCACTTGTCTGACAGTTTGTCCGTGGGTGAAGGCCTCAACTGTTTGGTCTGTTTTAGGACACCTCACAGGGGAACAGTGCCATGTAGATGTAGGGCAGCATGGGAGTAATTCCCACTCAGCAGCAATAGACAATTTAACGGTCTTCTGTGCTACTGTGCCAAGTTTAGTTAGAAGTGCACTCAACTGTTGTGAACGCTCACCCGAAAAACTGTTTTTTTTCTACAGATGCTTAAAAGAGGTGTAAGAGACCCTGTGACAAGGTCTCTCTGTGTCTGCTTTCCACATAGTAAACTTTTCAGATGGTTCATATTCATTTATTTGATCAATGCATTTACTAATTGATGGGGTTTAAGTCAGATAACCCCGTGTCTGTGTGATCTTCTTTAAAACACTGTCCACTTTCATTTATTTATATTAAATGTCACAAAATTGCCTTGTAATGTAATTAGACGCCTTTAAGTGAATTTCTCACCCCATTACCTCGTTTGTGGAGGTTTTCTAGTTGTTAACCGCCAGCCTTCACCTCAGGACAGTGACCCCCTCCAGTATGAGGGGCCAAGGAAAATAAAGCCTTTGTTATAAATCCTAAGTCTGGCACACTCTCTCGTGAGACAGTTGCTGCTTGCGCTTCAAGGAACAAAGAAAACACTTGTTCATGGTCAGGAGACAAAGACATTATTTACTATGTTGTGTTGAACGTAGGTCACACACTGAGGAAGCCGCACAGAGAATATCAAGATGAAAAATGAACAAAAATTGCAGAAATCATTGTCAGCACAACATTCTGAGTTTTTACTGTTTATATTTGCACAACGATCACCCACGCCATTGCTAACTTTTCTACTTTTCTACAGTAACTTTTCCAATGAGGCCAGCATGTATGGACCTCCAAGCCAATCAGAAGCAGCCGATGCAGCAGCAGGAGGCGCTGTTCCTCCTCCCTCCTCTTCGTCCTCATCCTCCTCCCCTCCATCATCCTCTGCTTCAGCCTTTTGTCCCAGCATCTCCTCCTCTCGACACATCGTAGAGCGTCAGCCCCGGATGCTCAACTTTAGGGTGGAGTACCGGCAGCGCTCTGTAGAACTGGTACTGGAGGAAGGCAGCACAGTCGGTGAGCACTGTCACTGACATAAGAGACTGTGTTCAATACTCAACACAATAAACTATTCTTACCATGCAAAATTATTTTTTCCACATGTTTTTCAAATGTCTTTTACAGGAGAAATCAAACAAATTCTTGAGACAGAGCTTGGGGTCCCAGAGTCCAAAATGCAGCTGAAAGGATGGAAGAGTGGGGATGTATCTGATAGTGTGAGTCTATGAGCTGTTTGTCACAAACATGCAAATAAAAAGATAAACAGAACAAGTGATGCAAGCTAAACCTAAAAAGTTGAATATAATTATACTGCTTTTTCCCAAGGAATAAATCAGTGTCTCCAAAATAAACATTATACAATGTTTTTTTTCATGTCTGCCTTTGTGCATGTACTGCATTTTACTGTAATTCAGTTTTGTGAGATTCTGCACAAATTTTGACATCACCCAGGTTTCCTATTGAACAATTACAGAATAGAGTCAACCAGACAATTTGGTCTGCTCTTTTCTAAAGTTACTGAGCATCAGAAAACAAAACAGGAATGAGAATTTTTCCAGTTCTACCAAAAAAGTACATCATCACAGGCCTTAACAGAATCTTGATTGACTGAAATAGTTTATTTCAAACATGTAAAGAAAAAAACATAAAAAAATATATCCATAAATAGATATATACATATGCATACATATAAATATGTATACACATACATATAAATACATGAAAAGAACCACAAACATTCACACAGGCAGATATAAAAAGAAAATATAGAAAATAGAACGCACAAATCATTTCAAACCTATGTGAATTCTGTTAAAAAAGTTTCATCATGTGTTCACAAAAAAATAATTGCATCCTTGGTGTAAAAAACTAACCTAGTGAGTGAATCTACTGAAGTTTTATCTTTGTGTGTGTTTGTAATCAGACGGTGCTGAGAAGTTTACACCTGCCAAGGAACAACAGCCTCTACGTCCTGACCCCAGAAATCGCTGCTACTGCCAGCACCAGCAAAAACAGGTACTGATTCTTCCATTAGCAGTTTCAAAATCACCTTTTTTTTTACACCTACACCTTTGTACTTTCTCCTATTCTGCTCTACATAAGCTAGAATGCCAGAGTGGCCTTTGGAAACTTTAGTACCTAATAATGAACACCAGATGGCGATCTGTGTCCAGTTATGAAGAGGATGTGTCCAGAATACAGCCAGTAAATTCACTGGAATATTTAGAGACATTTGACCTGCTGGTGCACACTATTTTCTCATGTCTATTGTGACATTTTGAGATGAAAATCACTGCTGCTTTCTCTGTGTGTTGTGTCAATAGTAATTTTCTCCTTGTTCTTTAAGCCTGCTATTGTTGCTAAAGGTTGTAAACCATCTTACATAGACTCTGTATGTGATATTGACCCTTAATATCTATTTCTGTCCATTTTCCTAGACATACCAGCCTGACACATTAGTGATAGCACCTACCAACAATAGAGGTTTGTTGAGAAAGCTTGATGAGGCAGATGCACTATTTCTAGAGGTTGTTCTTTCCATTTCGGGGAATACGTGGCAGTATTAGCAACCTTTCTTTCTGAAATGTCAGGCTGCTGAGTGGAAAATCAAAGCGGTAATACAATCACTGGATTGAGCATGTGAGTGTCCTTTCATCAGTGTCTGGTAAACAATGTCCAAAGAAGTCATATTTCTCTCTTTATTGCACATGTATGTTGGAGACTGACTGCAGCCTTTCTTATTTTTAATTTAAGAATAAAACCACCAGGCAGGAAAAAAACATACCTATATAAGGACACATTCTCGCCAGTGTGAAATTTACTGTATATTAAAGATTCAGATTTTAATATTTCTTGGTATTCTTGCACGCTGTAGTTGGAAGGCTTTAATTTACGGTGCATGTGTGCGCATTTTCTGGCTGTCCTTTTGTGTGGAGTAGAGACATTTCCAGTCCAAATGAAGGAGAAGAGAACATACCGTGCTGCTCCTGTAATTATTAAACGGGTGGCACATATTTAGAAGCCCGTTTTGCCCACAATTAATCTGCCTCACCCTGAGTGGTGATCACAGAGGGGACTTCTCCTCCATGAAAACAAAAATAATCTCAGAGAATGAATTTTTTTTATTTATTTTTTTGGCATTTGGCATTCTGTTGAATTCTTCACTTTTAACATTAATACATTTTTTTTTGTAAAACAAGGTGTACTACAGACTCTTTTTGAAAATGATCAGTGAAATTTTCAGTTGGCAATTTTCTGTGAATTTTTCTTTGACACGACGCCCCTGTTGGTCCGAGTTGTTTATCGTTGTCTAAAACGGCTTCAGTTTGTTTGTTGACTGTGGATTTCTAAACAGAAACTGTACTGTTACTCTCCCCACACTTCCTCATGTTAGCAGCCAAGCAAGCATCCACATGTCACCAGAACACTTGTAAAAGAAGTCATTTGGCAGTTTGCCGCATTGCCTGCTAGTTGGGCTAAGTGGTAGTTATATTGTGTTGGCAGCTAATGGCCCTCATCTTCCCAGTCTTCCCTCCCCTTGCTCCCTCTTCCCTGCCTCTCTTCGTCTTCTCACTCCCCCCCCCCCCGCCAACTGCTGGGTCTTTTTAGCAGCACCGTTGCCATTTCTCTAAGTGTTATCGATATCATTTTGGGTGTCAGGAGCTCATTATTCTGTGTCAGCTATTTCAGTGGAGGACAGTTGGGGCTGAACGGAGTGTGGTGGCCTTCTGTGTGTATGCACATGTATTTGTGTTTCAGTGTGTGTGTGTGTGTGTGTATTGTGACCCTGTTGTCATACTGGGAGAGGATAGGTGAAAGATCACAGAGAGCAAGGGGAAGCAGTCCCCTGTAGCGGGACCAGACGAGCTGTTAGTATGCAGTAAAAATAAACTGTGGTCACACCAGAAATCCACACTAAGTGCAATCTATGTGCAGTGTGTGCAAATTTGTTCCATTAAATAAAGCTCTGTGCGAATAAAGTACTTTACATATCATCACCATACCAAGTCGAACTTCTAGTTAGGCAGAACTTAAATGCATTTACTCACAAATCTAATTATTTTGCTCAATTTACTTACACATTTGCTTACTTCTTTCACTACAATAGCATAACAGTTTTAAGATTTTAGCATATAAGTATAGCTAAAAGTAAGTCTAAAAAACACACTGTCCTTTCTTACACCTGTAAATCTTAGTCATTACAGGCTCCTCTAATGTAGAACTATGTTTAAAAAAAAGCCACCCCTGTTTCCTATATATGCTTTTGCTAGGTTGTAGATAAACTCTGAAAACCTCAAATCAATCTTACAAACTTTTTCCCCGCTTCAAAATGTTGCTGAGTCAAAATGCAGATGTCCCATTAAAGGTTATATCTCTGCCAATTACTTTGTAGAGCGTGGCTCAAGCAGCACACACACACACCTAAACCAAAGGGACTGATTAAACAGTGCTGTACTGTCATTATGATCCCACTGAGTACACTTCTCTTAGTTTTCATGTTTGATTAGAAATAAATCTTGAGGCTTTGGGAGATTTTTCTCTGAGCACCAATTCATCTCAGACAGGTATTTAGTTAGCGGTGTGATGTGCGGTTAGCCCTGAAGTACTAAAGCCCTGAATGAAGAAGGTTCTCTCTGTGGCCATGTTGATGACTGCCTGTGAATACAAGAGGGTGTCGAGGAGGAGCTAATCTCTTGCATAAATGATGAAGGCCTGATGAATATTTCAATGGAGTCTGTTCCCTTGTTCGTTTACTCTTCGAGCGGCTCCCAGGCAGCGTGTTTGCCAACGAAAGGTTATTTTAATTTGAACTCCAAAAGAAATTAGAAAATTGCAAAAATGATTCATTAGGTTTTGTGTGTTTTTGTGGTGGCTCCCTGCCTCCCACCTCTCTGGATTGTGTCAGCTATCCAGCAGGATATTCATAAATGCTCCAAGATGACGGCTAGCTAGCTCATTAGCTGAAGCAACCCATACTGTAGGCATCAAACGGTTAGCATGTTGGTTAAGTTTGGCACAGGATGGCAGACCAAAACAGAGCAGAACGGTTTCGTATCCTCCTGCTTTGTTGTGGATGCAAGATGTGGAGGAGGTAAGAAGACCGTGTGTGTGCCTCATGACCTCCTCTGTGCTTATTGAAGGTAAAATGGTCAGTCAGCACGTACTTTCCTGGGGTTTATGTTTTTATGGGTCTCTAAGCAGGAGAAACACAGGCATGATGGTGTTAGAGTGCTTGGGAGGAAGTGTGTGTGTGTGTGTATGGGTATTTGTGTTTTGCAGGCACATGTCACATTGTGAGTGTGTGTCTCTGGCAGTGCTAGTTTAATAAGGTCTAGAGTCTGCTCTGTGCCGCAGGGACTCACAGCTTAGGCGATGGGCTTACCTCAGAATGAAACCAATCTGTTTAGCCTGCTCCTCTCCCCCTGCAAAACGCTCCATTTTCCCTGTCCTTAAAGTTAAATGACATTTTCCTCCCTGCACCCTTATGCCATGTCAAGTACCTCCAGAGATATTTCAGGCCGACCTGGATGTCACGAGTGTGTGTGTTGAGTGAGAAAGAGACCTCTGAAGGCAGAAGCAAACACTGAGACATCCACATTTCAACCCCTGCTTCTATCAGAAGACAGCTGCTTTGAGGACATCGTCGGTGAGAGCAGTCAAACTGAAGGGATATCAGCCTTAAAGCATGGGGGGGGGGTGTTTGTTGATTTATCAACCAGCCAGCTTCATCAGACAGATGGGAAATGACTCATTATGAATGGCAGGTTTAGTCCCCCTCTGACTGCATTTGATATTTTGAGTAGCTATATTTGTACTGTAGAGCACAACGAGTGGTCTGATTTTTTTCAAAGTAAATCTTGAACAGAAATCCACCCACAAGCACGCTCACCAAATGGCTCATCGGTCTGCCATGAATGACTGATAAGATGTTCCTTCTTTGCTTGGAAGGACAGAGTAACACTTCCACTCAGTTTACCCTCTATCTCTGTCTATTTAGGAGTCTAGCTGTCTGCCAGCACTAGCTCGGGACTGTGTCCAAACATAATCATGATATTAGCTAGATCCTTATTTATGTGTCCCTACCCCTTCCATTTTCTCTCTCTATTTCTCACTCTACCTCTCTCACACACATGCAAACACATCTCTCTCCTCCTTCTGCTCAGCCCCTATTACGTATGCATCCTTCCTTCCTACTCCACACATTTCCAATCTTCCCCAGTTAGCTACAACAAACATTACATTTACATATTGATTTCGTAGTTTTAGTCAATGTAAATATGCTGTCATTACAGTAAATTTGAGCTTCTGTTAACATAAGCTCGTCCAGATCTGTGCAGATTAAGGGTGTGATTGCATAATTAATGTGTGCGCTACATATTAATTCCCCCATCCCTCTCTTTCTCTCAACTCTTCCTCCTCTCCTCGGGTTCTGAGCCCTGATTAAGTGCCTGCTTCGGCCCTTAAGCCTCCCATTGATATTCAGCCTCACAGACCCAGCATTTGCTCAAAACGCTACTTAACCTCACAGCTTATTGTAAATGAAGCTTCCAAAAGTTGATTCCCCCCCATCTCCTCCTCTCTACGTGAAAACATAAAAAGTCTGTGTTTGCTTCGTTCTCAGCGTTTCTCTCACCGCCATGGGAGATAGTGAGCGAGCTATGGTGCCGATCCAGACAGTCAGGCTCTTCACTTCACGGCCTCCAGGACAAGTTGTGTTTTTACTTCTAAGTCCCAATATCATCAGCACATGGCATCTTTTGTGAACATAAAAACACCCAGACCAGTGATGTTACCAGTGACTGATGTTTATGCTCTGAGGACAAAAAAGAGAGAAGAACCACGTGGGTTGATATAGTCAAATTGGTCATTACGGCGATTTAAAGTAGCAGACATTAAAGTATTCATGTAGAGAGTATTGAATTGAAATATTTTTGTTTTGGTTTGTAGTTTTATTCCCTTGAGGTCGGGTTGTCACGATCTTGTCATGGTATTTATTCAGAAAACTAAGGGGAAAGGAGCAACACTAGAGACAACCAAAAGTAAAAATGCTGTCCAATCCAACATTACGATAACTTGGCTCTGACAAAATATCAACGAACTTCATGTGTCATCTCATCTCAGGGCTTGCAAACCATTTCATTCTTGTGGTAAAGTCTACAGGATGATGGGGCTGAATGTGTTTGTAGTGTAACCTACTTTTTCAGTCAGTGTTGTTTCTGCATTTCCTGCAGACTGGAGTGTTCACAGACATCTGGTAAGGAGTCTTTCTTTGGGTGCTGTAGAGTTCTTTGCTTTGATCGGTTGTCTCCTCCAACATGATTTGCACTGCAGTAGTTGCCGTACACTATAGGAAAGGCCAGCTAGCTGGTCGTCTTCTTCTCCTGCTGCTTCTACATCTTCCCTTTTTTTCACGGCAGGTGGCAGCCAGAGAAACCGCCCTTCCCCTGCTATGAACCAATCAGTAAACACAGTATTACTGTATGCTTTAGCACATTCTTAATCTTATTATGAAGACTACCTACAATACTGGTATATTGTGACCGCCTTACTTTGAGGTCCGACTTCGGCCGTATTCTTAATGTTTTACCTTCATGATATTCTGTAACACTCAGAATTTCCATTAATACTGAAGAATGTATCTCCACAAAGTCATCAATCATTCATAAGGCTTTAATTGATATGAACTGGTATGAATAATAAAAGGTTTCACTGTAATCAGCACACGTACGTTTATTTCAGTTTATCGGCACTGACAAATGCAGCGCTAACTCTGCAGCATCTGCTGAGGAGGAAGGGTATCATGATGCATATTTATGGGACTTAGTGACTTGTATTTTTTAGCTAAAGAATAAAATTAAGCACAGTTCGTGTCCCCTTCATGTAACATCATTCACGGTTCGAAGTGAAACAAATCAGTGATAAAGCTGAAAATCTACCTGGAGCAGTCGTGTCGGTAGTTGTGTTGGTCTCTAACCTCACTCAACCCTGCATAAACGGTCAGTTTGTAATCTTGTTTATTATACGTCTCTGTGAAAGCGCTTTGACAGATCTTCATGGTTTTTGGTTGAGAAGGTGCTGAAAGGCCTCCAGGGTTTACTTTTTAATAGTATGCTGGTTTGTTAGTAAGCCAGACTGATGGAAGTCATGCTGTTTCTGTGCAGGTGGCCATAGCTGTGGTAGCCTGCTGTGCTGAGTGCAGCTCTGGCCAGGCTTGTTGAGACACAACCAGTGAAGTGGGTGACTAGCCCACAGAGGAGACACCCACCTCCCCGTGGGCTAGCAGGCTACCACTAGTTGACAAGCCTCAGCTTGCCCCTTTCTTAAATGAGTCGCTCTTTGTAATAACATTTGTTTTGTGCCCCCCTTTTTTCTATTTCTCTGACTTTAATATTCTGTCTGACTTTTTTTTATACACTCAGTTCTTGTTTATTCCGACTGCTTACTGTTTTACTTTATTTCTTTCTGATTCAGTGCTCTTCAGGAGTCATTAAACCAGAACTTCTTGCTGGTGATCAGCCACCGTGAAGCCCAGAGGGACTACAGTCTCAACTTCCCCGGCTCCAGAACCATACAGGAGGTAAGACACCAGCGTGTCAACACTGAGACCATTCAGAACTTTAGAGAGTCATTTAATATTCCCAGAACCGTACAAAAGCTCTCAGTTTCTGCCCCACATGCCCTTACTTACATAATATTATTGTACCTGATTTCCTAGTTTCCCATAACACTGCTTTAATCCCATTGGCTAAACGTCGCTTGTCTATCTCAGCCATCGATTCATTATTCATCACAAATGATCACATTTCCGAGCACATAATTACTCTCACAGCTGTGGTCTGTTACAACCCCCTCCTTTTCTGCCTGCTCCCCCTGTTTAGCTTCTTTCTCCCTCTCTCCTCCTCTCAGAATCTAGGAGGCAGTTTAAATACTCAACATTGTTTGATTTCAGCCGGCGGGAGCAATGGAAGGAGACAGAGTCAATTCATTTTTTGCCTCTGAAACTAAAGAGTAGATTTGGCAGCCCATTAATTATTTATAGTCACTCCTACTGGACCCAGTTTAAAAGCAGCATGCCTCTCTGTCCATCTTTATCATTATAATAACTACTGCGTATGGATTTTAGCCTGAAGAGCGTAAAGATATGCCTTTTCTTTCTTGCCGCTGTAGGATGGGAAAATGTTTGTTTGACTTTGTCAGCGTTTAGCCACGCTCACACAAGCTTATGTACATATTGCTGCTCAGTTCGTCCTGCTGCTCTACCCCCCACACTGAGGGAGACCTGAGCAGGGGGCATTTTTTATTCAGAGGATATCCTGCTGTCACAGGTGAAGGGAAATAAGCAACCAAAAGACTGATCTGCTGGAGTAAAGAAGCCCTGCTATTGATTTTAGCTCTTGCGTAAAAAGAAAAAAAATCTTCCTTTTGGAAATTTCAGTTTGTAGGAGTTTCATTTTTGTTCCAGATCTTTATACTTTCTTGGTTTCTGTCTTCTTTATTGTTATACAGCCAGCTAATAATTCACTTCGGGGCAGCAGTGAGAGGTGTTCCCTGTCAGGTTTTTCTCAGTGCATCTTCGGGGCTTGTTCCTCAGTGCAGGTGAAGATTACACCAATAATAACCAGGCAACTAGCAGGGCTTGTAATGGTGCTAATTGAGCAGATTAGTACATCCAACATCTGAACCGGAGGAGGCAGCTTGCCTCCCTGGTTTTGACCCTGTCCGTCCTCACTCTTTCATTTTCCTTCTCCCTCAGTCATCTCTCTCTCTTTTTTTTTTTCTCTCACCCTCTTCCCAGGCAGATGGTTTTGATGAGCACCCACTGTGAACCTTAAGTGTTTCTGGTGGGATTACAAACAGTGGGGAGGGGTCCCTGCAGTGTGGGAGGGGGAAACTATGGACACAGAAAGGAGGCAAAGGACTGCTGGCTTGGTGGGGGTGCTGTGTGAGGCCACGGGGGAGAGAGAGGGGACAATGTGGGCTTAAACAGGCCTCCATGTTGCGGTCTTTTCCTTACGCATGCTTGTCTTTAGGCATCTCAAGGCCCCCTGTGGTGAAAATGAGGCCCAGATCTTTAACCTGCAAAGACCTGGACTCTGTTTGCCTCATGTTGACCATACTCATTATATATTTACTCTTCAGCCAGGGGGCTGGCACTTTCCTTTCTAAGTACTGTAATGTTTTAGGGAATAAACTGTGATCAAACCTTGTAAATACGTTTTATGAGGAATGTTTCAGAAGTTTAAAACAAATTTTAGTGCCCTAAACCTGAGTAGATGCAGTGAAGGAAGTCAAATATAGCTCTGGGTTACATCAGTTAAGTCACTGTCAAATTAACTCTGATGATCAGGATGAAAAAAATGAGCAGATTTCATCAAATCTGTTGATAGAAACAAGTTGAAGGGATTGTATTTCTGTCATCCCAATAAGACTCAAGAATGCAACAAAGAAGTAACACCATATTCATCCAGCCTGACTCCCCATTCTGCTCATACTGTGTCCACTCACGAAACACATATGGCCTCCACTACAGAGCACCTTTTTCTCCCCATTCTCCTCTTTGTCTTAGCTGAAGACTAGCCGATGGTCCCTGCTTGTGCATATCAATAGGGATAGAGCCCTGTCTTCTTATTTGTCTTTGTCAAAGGCTCTGGGTTTGCCTTGTGGCTCTCAGGGAACTACCCTTGCCCCTCCCTTTCTATTCCTTCATTCTCCATCTCCCTCTCCAAATGTCCTGTCTCTACTTTCTTTCTTCTACATCTCTAGAGCGATGGGTTGTGCAGGCTCTGATTGGCATTACCAGACAAGAGTGTGGGGGTAAGTTGCTGGCTAGCTTCTGAGCTAAGCTGGAGAGCAAATGTTTGCCAGGGACGTAGAGGGTAGAATAGGGATGGCTGCTGGTTACGAGTTGTCCGTGACCAGACCAGTTGTCCTAGGGATTTCCCTACTCTTCTGCCCCCCAGGGCTGGGCCCAGGCCCCATCCCTGCTCCGCAGCTGGGAGATATATAGGGCCCAAATGCAGACAGAGCTACAGGGCTGAGAAAAGCAAGTTTGGATCGAAAAAAGGAATGAAAGAAAGGCATCTGGTGCCTAGGGGAGATGAAGAAAGAGAGCGAGAGAGCAAGCGAGCTTGTGACTGTTTAATGGAAACCTTTGCTTTGATTTGCTTCCAACCAGGGATTACAGGCAATTGGCATTTACAGTGATTGGATCTTTAATTTTGCCGTGTCGCCCTAGCAGCTCTGCACCACAGCCAGTCTTACTAATAGTTTTTATGACCAACTAAAGTACCCCCTCATCTCATGATGACTATGAGTACACCTGTCAGTACTATGCTGCTCATGATATAACCCATCTGATTTGTTCTGCTTTCCTTTCAACAGCACCTTTACAATTAATCCTCTGTTTGTTCACGTCAGGCTGATAGCTACATTTCATTGGCCACATCGGTAGAGTGTTCTGCTTATTACTGCATTAAGTCATATAGTGACACTTCCCCCTGATGTCATCAACGTGGGTCAAACAAGTTTTATTTGAAAGCAAAAATTGTAACTTCCAGTTATAGTTTCAGATGAGATGTGAGTAGTAAACACACAGTCTGACTTCTCAGTGGGACTGATGTGACAGACAGGGGGCAGCATTAGACAGTAGTGCTCACACATGCATTGCTTTGGGGCAGCAACAAAAACTTCAGCTACCTGTAGACACTTGAACAGCTCTGTTTTTTAAGGTGTCTATATTTTCTAAAAATAAAAAAATCACTGAATTATAGTTGTATCAGATCTCTATTAGAACACCTTTCTTTCCATACAGTCTGTCAATGACTGCCTGTGGAGTCTGGTGGTGTAGTTTCAGGTGGGCAGGTCTGCTGTGTAGCTGTGTTTTCTTTCTGCGGTGAGATCAGGTTGTCCTTTGCCAGGTGCCTTTCGCTGTCTGCCCCCTCCCCACCAGCCCCTCCTCCTCTCCTCCACCACCTCTCACCTTCATTCTCTCTGTGGTGGGCGTTAGTTTGTTGTTTCTCTGATGCTGCTTTAACCTCTGACTGCAGCCTCTTCATTACTAGTGTTTATGCCTCTTCTTTCTTCCCTTTCCCCCTCTATTCGTCGGCTGGCCAGCCGGTCAGTCAAATCCCTGTAGTCCGGCTGGTCAAACATAGATATTACACTCTGTAATAACACTGGCCACCCGCTCTGACCCCAGGCTGCTATCCTGGCCATAGCTTCTCATCATAAGGAGAGGCGCCTTGCAGTGTGCTGTGGGATTTAGGATGGAAAGACAAAGGATGGACTGTGCCACTCATTTATTATTGTTCTTTTTTTCCCTAGCTTGTTTGTGCTGCAAATTGCTTTGGTGTGCAAGGCCCAGCACAAATAAAATATAATTTCTCTGAGCGATTGATGACTGAGACTATTTACTGTTGCCTTGGAGAAGGGATCAAATCAAATTTAAGCATAATAACCTTTGTTAGCACACACCCACACACAGACAAACAGATGCAAAACGTGTTAGTATCAGAAGAGTGGGGTGAAAGTTTCCTACAGTCTTCTTGGTTCATTGTTTTGTAGCTGCTCTTCTGCTTTGCCTGACTTTGACTTTGACTTTGTGTTTGTAGCGTTCTTTAAGTTTCCACCTCCATGACCAGCAGCCCTGCATGTGCCCACGGATCCATCTCACTTCAATGCTTTTTACAAAGACAGGATTTGACCTGTGTGTGGACGGATCTTTGCTCCACAATTGACAGTTTTCTCAGCATCAGTGTCCAGCCCCGCGGGCCTGTAGAGCAGGATTTTGCTAAACAAATGCACCAAAATCCACGGCCGCCAGCGCTCAGACACCGTCGGGGGCTTTGATCACCTTCGGCTGGCGCACATCAGGCTGGCGTGAGGGCTTTAAACCAACAACCCAGTGGACGGCATAACGTGGCGCTCGGTGGGACAGACGCTGCTGGCTGCTAACTGTTTAAAAGCATGGCATGTTATTAAGTGATGCAGATACAGCGTCTGCGCATGAATGGGAAAAGAGAAATACTGTTCATTTCAGAGCGTGGGGCTGTTGTTGCTGGGCATTAGCTGTGGCATCTGAAGAATGCTGATAACACTGGCCGTCTTTTTCATTTCTTTTTTCTTCTTCTCGCTCCTCTTGATTCATCTCCTTCCCTCTTTGTCCACATCCTCCTTGTTCCTCATGCTGCTGAATGGACACTGTTATGTAGCTGTAAACACAATTCATAACAATGTAATTACTACAGATTTAAATGTTTAAGTATTTTGTCGGTATTTCTTTAAGTGAAAAAAAGAATTTTGTAAATGTACATGATTTCATTTCAGTGTTTCTAAGATTTTTTTATGCTTCTGTCAAGTTAATTCAAGTCCTACTGTATTCATAAAGCACATTTCATACATAAAGCAACACAGTGTGCTTCATGAGTGCAACATCTAAAAGTACAAATTAAAAGAAAATTCCCCACCAATCCTGTTTAAAAGAATTTTTAAATACCATTAACCTTATCCTTTTTTTTTTTTTTTTTTTTTTTTTACACAGGTGAAGAGGAATATTTCAGACTTGACCAACATCCCAGTCCGACATCAGCAGTGGGAAGGATGGCCTGCGTCAGCCTCTGATGACTCTGTAAGAAACACAGGCCCCTGAAAACATGTGTATTTTTCACCTGTCACATATAGTTGCTTTTTTTCTACCAGTATCTCCACTCCTCTTTTCCTTCTTTATTCATTGGCTTCACATATTCTCGTATCCAAGACTGCTTTAAAAAATGTGCTCAAATTAAATCCTAAAATTGAAAGATTCCTTATTAACAACATATAAATACTTGCAAATTGAAGGGAAACTGTTCCACACATCGTAACCCCATCCATTCATCCCAAACCACCTGTCAGAAGCATGAGAGTAAGATGTTGAGGCTAATTAAGATGTCAGACGGTTGCCGTTCGGTGTCCTTTATCCGTGGACATTAAATCTCACATCATTGAGTCCCCCTGACCTCTCTCGTCCCAGGGTCGCTCTTCCCAGCCTTTTGCCCTGCACACAGTCAAGCTGATCAGAAGCAGCCCTCGTACAGAACCTTGAGGAACCTCTGACCCCTTTTGTCTCGCTCACTCTTTGACAGCATATGTGTTCCCATGCTAATTGTATGGGATGGTTCGACACTGAGGAGCTCTTGTGCACACATTCTTGTGTTAACCCCTGGCCAGCGTTTTCCTTTTAGATCTCTGTGATTGATGTTTGGTTTGGAGTGTTGGTGTTGACTTTGTTTCATTTTTTTTAAGGTATTTAAAGCCAGAATGCCCCACAACCAGACCACAGATTCCCTATTATTTTTTCTAAGTGTTGTGATTGATAAGGATAACCTGTTAAGGCAAATACCGTCTTTTCTAGATGTCACTTATTCTACATGTTTCAAAACCTCAGTGACTGACTAATGGCTGCACAATGGTTTTATAACTCAAAAGTAGTGCTTTAAAGATTAACAGAAAGCAAATACAGTACAGCACTAATGTCGCTAAGAGGGCAAAGGACAAAAGGTTCTGCACTCTTTCACTACAGAGGACTGTTTACTTAATTATTTTTTCTATTACAGCTTCAAGCTGACAGTTGTATTGCCACCAGCTACCAAACAACCAAACTGTCACGATACACAGATTGGTCATTTTTTGTGTTATCTTTGAAGTCAATTATCTGATCAGTTAACTGCCTTTTGGTGCAACAAAAATACAAAACTTTAGCTGCTTGCATGAACATTTATGGAGTTGTTAGAAGCTCTGCACTTAATTTTTTTCAAAGTTACTTGTTCATACATGTCCATCGCTGTGAGGTGTTTTCTAGTGAGCAAGAAGTGAAAGTTGAGACACTGGAGACTGGACTGTACATCAAAAGCCTGCAACAGAGGCTACACTGCAATGTTCATTATGTGACGGCACACGGTCAATAGAGTTTGATGGTATAATCACAGCTTTGGCATCTTTTTCAGTCTGTGTTAAACTGACAGATGAGCAGACATCTTTGCTTTTCTTAGTTTTATAATTATTGTTGATCCTCAACCTCACATGTTTCTATTAATCCTATTATATGTTGACACTTAAGGTTTTTGACAGGTGACATAGTAAAGATGCTGTTCATTGCTCTTGCTTACTGAAAATTCTCCCAAATAATACATGCTACAATCTTGCCTCAGGTTGGGCTGTTCGGCATCAAATAACCTTCTTTAACAGTTTGTGAAAGGGATATGCAGGTTGTGTACAATGGTTAATTGTTCACACTTAATTAAGAGAATGACCAGACTACAGACACATCTGTAACTGTGTTCAGGACATCAATTCATTCAGATGGAGGGGATCAAAAAAGGACTGTGATTTTTTTGTGAATGAAAGGGGGAAAAAATTCCCTTATCAGTTTGAATTGATCAAATCAATGATTGTTTGGCAAAGCCAGTTTTGGAACACCAATAAAAGAAAATTTGTTCTATAAGCATCAAAACCTTTTATTGGTTTGACCAGTTAACATGCAACATCAGGAGACCTTATATATTAAGTAGTTACCTTAATTCAAGTTTGTTTGCCTGTTGTTATCATTGATATAATCAAAGGCCAGAACTGTATATCATTGGCATTATTAAAAATACTTTTCTCAGTTTACTGCATGTCAAAACTTAATTAAATAAATAGACTGAAAGATATTTTTTATAAATTTGAAAAACATACAGTTTTAATTTTGAATTATATTGATTTTGATTTATAAAGTCTGCAAAATATTTGACTATAAAAACAAAAAAAAATGCAAACTAGTTTTTTGAGTCTTTAAACAAACAAGTTTGAATAGTCCAATTATTTTGTTTTTACCTCTTCACCTGTGTCTGTGTGTCTGGTCATCAAACATGCCTCCACCTTGGAAGCTGTTGATATGTTGGCCTGGAATCATGAATATATTGCAGCTCATTGTAGCATCACAGGCCCGGTTGGCACCTGGCTTACACACATCTGCACAGCGTCTGTGTTACCCGGATGAGCAGATATTAAAAAGCACAGAGACAGAAGTGTAATAATGGCCCCTGCTTTTGCTGCAGCCCTCTTATTGAAACGTCTGAAGGTATTAACAGAGAAAGCCAAGGGCTTGGCCGGCCAAGCGGGTGGGTAGGGAGCCAGTGTTAGTGTCTACCTCATTAGCCCAGTCTCATCTCCTGAGGTTTGGTCCAATAAACATGGCAACCAGAGGCCCCAGATTACGTTTTGCTCACAGACCAGCTCACTCGCAGTGGAATCGATTACTTCTTAAAAGTGCCTTATTGCTAAGAGTGTGATTAAACTGTGTTTGCCTGTTTGCATTTACATTCATGTGTGTTCGGTGTTCGTATAGCATTTGGGTGTTTGTAAATGTGCTGCAGTTTACTGACCAGTGCTGGGTATTGAATTGTTTTGAATCACCAGCTAAGAAATGTCTGAAGCACCAAAATAATTGTTTTAAAAAGTCATTGAAAACAGCCATCGGGTGCTTGGTTTTATTGTAAGCCATCTCACTACCTTATTCTTTTGGCCGTAAATTTTCTGATTCTTCTATCACTTTTTTTCCAGGCTCTGCTTTTAATTCAAGAAAAGTGCTCAAGATTGGACATTTTCAACAATACCCAATTCTTACCCTGACAGTACCAGTGTACTAACCTGTAGCTCTGATTTTGTGGTGGTTCCATGATTTGTTTTCTGTTAAGTTAGCTGTTTTGGTTTCCTTTAAGAAGCTGTAAAACAACATTTTGAGAGGCAGTAAAAGCTCCTCTTTTTCTATGGTTCAAGTGACTGATCAACTTGTGTAGAGTATCTGTTTCAGATGTCAGTTTAAAAAAGAAAGGAGTGTTTTCTTTGTTTGCTTACGTGTTTGAAATTACTTTGTCAGAGAGAAAATCTCAGATTTCAGGGAAACTAGTAGTTAATGCGTCACTCCCCTGGATACTGTCCACTCTATGTATGTCATTGTTTATTGTGCTGTGGATTATTCAAGACCTAATGGAGAGTTGAAATTGGATCTTACTGGATAATGCTCATGTAGCACTGAACAACAGATCAGTTTATCAAGAGTGTTGAGTTATTGTATAAGGTGTTAAAGCAAAGGGGTTGAATAAATAAGGAAGCATCAAAAAGTGTAGCTGAAGCTTCAGAAATGCGTGTTGATGCTCTTTTGTAGGATGATGATTCTGTTCATGTATTTATTTCCCAATAACTAATGATGAACCGTAAAGATGTTACAAAAAATATATTTCCAGGTTGTTTAAAAGGAAATCTAAATTCAAACTAACAGTGCAGTCTAAGAAATGAGAAAATTCAACACAATACAAGATCACAGAGTCTATAGGTAAAAACGTCAAATTGGTTTGCAGAATGTGGTTAATGCTACCAATGTTAGCACCACCAGTTGGCCCTAGGTCATCTGATTTAGAAGTAATCCTGTTGCCAAGTACTGAGGGTGATAACCTTAAATTGTTTTGTTCACTAAACACACTCATCTCCAATACAGACATAATGGTGTGTAGATTTGCAGGAGTAGCGGGGCTGAGGACCATTTGGGAAGGTTCACTGTCCTTTTTTAATGGATTTCAAGTCCAAAAACCTTTCTAACACTGGAAATATCCTTTGTAAGAGGACAACTGCAATGAAATACTCCCCTATTATTTGAAAAAAGCACAGTCCAGCTCTGCCTTCAATCTCCTCCTGATTTCTGTGGCTTTGGCAGAGCTGTTTCTTACAGCGCTAATGATGATGACAGAGGTCTTGGCAACAGTTATTACGAAAAGGAAAACATGACAGAACTTCCTGCGCTGATTGATCCTTCTCCCTTGCCTCCTCCTTTTTTCTCCTCTTCTATTCCTCGCCCTAAACAATACAACAGCGAGCTGATGGGCCTCGTCTCATTGGAGCGGTTTTTGATTGGCAGCCTTTCCTCCACACCTGTTGGAGTGATTGACAGCCAGCGGGACATCCTTATTACATCCTCATCCCTCCATCCCACCCCACCAGCACCCATCCTTTCCTCCAGTCAGTAATTGCTGACATTTATGCAGTGTTTCATGGTGTTTGCTAATGTATTAATGCTGCCGAGCCTTGGAGGTGGTTTGCCTTGTAGGCCAGCACCTCCCTCCATTTCCCAGCTGGCATTAATGGAATCCTTCTCTACCTGATAGAGGCCTATGAAACCAGGGGTTTATTTAGGCAGGGCCAGGTGGTTTCCGTAGCAACAGGGCTCAGCTGTAAGCTCAGGCAGAGCCCCCCTCTCTTGTGTGAGTGGCAGCATTCGGGTGACATTTAGCATCAAGTTAGTCTGTCTGTCTCATTTTCTATCTCCTCTGGCTGTTTTCATTCTTTATTTGGAGCTTGAATTTTACCGTTTGATGTTTGTTTTTATTTGCAGAGGAGGATGTTCATTTCCAATAGTTAGGCCACCTTTTAGACCCCTGCGAGAACACTTGAGTACAACGCCGTGGAAAAAAAAAACACACTTAAGAAAGAACCCTCCGTAGCTCTGTATTTGTGTGTTTTTATTTGCAAACACTATGTAGGACTTCAGGTACTAATCAGAAGAGATTTATCTCCAGTGAAGCTGAGAGGAGCCTGGAACAAGGAAACCAACAGGTGTTAGGGATGGGGCACACTTGGTTGATCTTTTTCCCTACTCTTCTCTTGAAATATTATTTTTCTATTTAAACAAATTATTTCACCAAAGCTTTGTTCTCTGTCTGTCCCCTTTCCTATCAATGTCCTCTCTTCCAAGCCCCCCCTCTCATAGTTCTTCCCTTTCTCCATCAAAGAGAAAGTGCAGTAAGGTGGTGCTGTGGTTGTGGTTGCCTTCAGTGCAGCTGTCAGTAGTAATTATCTCACACTCACAGCCAGACACCTAATCCAAACACTGCCTACACTAGAAAAGAAAAAAAAAATGAAACACAAAAAAGAATGAAGGGAGAGAAAGAAGGGAAGAGAAGGAAAGAAAGGGTTGAAGAGGGGAGGGAGAGAGGAGGGAGGGGATAAGAGAGAGAGAAAATTCTTTCCCTGTATCGGCCCCTGAATGCTTAGAGCCTCAGTGCAAGTGTTAATTAAAAGAATCCAAAAAAGAGGAGCCAGCTCCTTTGTGTGGAGATGTGGGAGAGGGTCATTTGGGGGGGTTAACCTCATTTCCCCACCCCCTGTGCCCTACGGCGCTTCGGCCTTGTTTCCATGTTTTACCACTGAGCCGCCAAGCTGCACTTGTGTACCTCAACATCAGAAGAAGCCATCGGGTCAAAGCGAGGAAGAGGATTGAGGGGCACTCAACTCATTTTTTTCCCTTTTCACTTCCCCTCCTTGCATCCCTGTCAGAACAAACCCTCTAGGCTGTCTTTGACAGGGGAAGTGATCAACTTTATTTATACACTTATTAGGCCCTCAGTCCAAAGCCTCTCATTGTGAGTACTTGGGGTAAAGGGTTTATGGGATCCTCTCGGCAGCCGCTGTTGAGATTCTCACGTTTGATTGCCACTCGATTTGGGAATAGGCAGAATAGACTTGGGGCCTTGCCTTCACATCCCTCAGGCTAAAATCCTGTGTGTCTTTGTTGGACTCAAAACGCACAACCAGCTCTGAGCACTAATTTAAATCTCAGGCTTGGTACCCATCATGTCTTCAATGGCCATGGTGTTTCTTTCTTGTAAAGGAAGAATTCATCGTGTATTTTTTTTACTTTAACTGTTGGAATTGAGTATTTTGTTCCCTTGTTTAGAAAAGTTTGCTTTAAAAAAATATGAATGACTGAATGATCTAATAAACAGCACACTAAATTACTTAGAGTTAAATTACAGGTGCAAAGAAGAAGCAATTCGGTTAAGTGTTCTTCGTAGGTGTTCCTGGGATACTCAGCTGTCCTCTCTGTGACTGTTAAAACAGCGCGCAGATCCAAGAGTTCACTCCCAAACAACTGGTAATACACAAGAAATACAATATGTTTCTCCTATTATATAAGTCTTCCCATCCGTTACTGTGTCCGTGCTGGCTTAATGTTGTAAAACCCTGAGGGAAAAGGTGTAAATTCAACGAGAACCAAAAATCATATTGTCATATATGATTTTAATATGTTTCATTGTTGACTTGTCCCTTAAGCGCTGATGTCATTCTTGGTTCGAGAAGTTTCAGCGTGGCGTGGCAGTCTAGCCACTGCTTTTTTTGAGCAGTTTTCTTTGCTTAAGACAACACAGAGGAGGAATACTCATCAGGATATTGTTCATTCTTGAAATGTCAGGGGAAATACAGCGTTTCTCATATTTCCCGCTTAATCGGTTAGCTGGTGGGAATTTAAGGCGTAGTGCTTTTTATTATAATCAGTATATGCCTTGACAATTTTTTCAAAGTTTCGACAAATTATAAAGTGTTTTTGGCTCTTCTGGGAATCCTAGAGAGCAGTTAATAATATATCAAGATAAAGTGCACGTATGATTAACCGAATTTAAAGAATGAAACTGTTGCGCCAAGGGTTTGACCAAATTAATAAAATACCTGTATCACAGTATTTCAGTTAAGTTGTTAATGGATTCATTTAAACGTTGATGATCTTTTAGTTGGTTGGTTGAATTACACATCTGATAAATCAAGGCACTTTGTCACATGGCAAAGTTAAGCTATATTTGCCAAATTTCTATCATCTTATTTACTGTATTGTTGTCATATTGCTAAGTACTGAATGCAGCTCAACTTTTGTTTGAATAGTTTTGGCCACAGCTCACTGACTTTCAAACCCTGAAAAATAAGGTAGACTGAAAAGATAAGAGATAATAGACACCAGATATTTCAGCTCTTATCAGCACCAGGTACACAGCAGGACTCACTTAAATCCACGGCACTGACAAGGTCTGGTGGTTACACTGTTCTCCCCTGCTATAGAGACTGAGGCCAGCTTTATTTTGAAAAAGAGACACAGACAAATTCCCTGCAGTCTGTGTAGTCCTTTCAGGCTCAATTGGCGTTGCATGTAATCGTCTCTTGATTCAGCTATGTCCAGCTGCTCTTTGTGTGCCTCAGCACCTGACAATGGAGCAGATCACAGGATCTCTGCAGGGGGACGAGCAGCTTCTTTGCCTCTTATCACACCAAGCCTGCCTGACCGGCTATAGGCTTGTTGTTTAGAAGTTCACTCTCCCAGAAAAGTACTCACATGAGAGGTTTCACTCTTCTCTTAACAATTAGCATGTCACTGAAATATATTGTGACAAGTGTCCTTCTATAAAGGTTATTAAACTGTGATATGTCTGTTTGGTTACACACAGCTGTTTAACAACAAGGTATCTTCAGTTTCACACAATTTCCTGGCAGATCCTCGCCTGTATTGTTGGTGTCCCTTGGGCTTTCTGCCAGGAGACACCATCGATAATGAGTCCCCACTGAACACTGACATTTTCAGTCCTGGCTTTGGATTTGGTAGCTCATTAGTCAGGTGTTCTCTTACTACTAACCACTATCACACTGACGACAGGTGAACTGAAAGCTCATCAAGGTCCCCTTATCTGTGAGATTAACCGTTTGCGTTTGAAATCCATAAAATCATTCAATACACAATCTCTGCTTCTGCCTAATCAAGTTCAGTCTGATCATTAGAAACTTCTCACTGAAACTTAACAGTAACTTTAAGCTGACAAACATATGGCCCAAGACCTCACTCTAGTGGTTCGTTTTGCTCATTAAACTTCACTTATTCTGTCTTTTTTTATGTTTTCTCTCTTTTTAGATGACGCTAGCTGTCTCTGGCATCAGCTATCCTTGCCATCACCTCAGTGTTTGTAGAAGGTCCTCACCAGCCAACTCCCAGGAGCCCACAGAAGAGGTTTATACACACGCATACTCTAAGAATCTAAGCTGTGGATTAATTTCTCCCTCTGCTGCTAACTCATAAAACATGGAAAGGAAACGCATCTGTTAATTAGATGTTTTAAAGTAAGTCTAAATCATTTTTGTCTACAGTGTGCAGATGTCCATATGGTCAGTGACAGCGAGGGAGATGATTTCGAGGATGCATCCGAGTTTGGTGTGGACGATTCAGAGATGTTTGGAATGGGCTCCTCTACCTGTCGGAAATCACCAATGAGTACGTCCAGCAGAGCGTCTTAATAATACTAGAGAAGAGAAAAGTGGAATAAATGCGGCTCTATCTGCTTTACTTAAACTACTTCCAAATCTTGGCTGAAAGGTGGCTTTTTGTCTCCTGCAGTGCCAGAGAACAGTGAGAACGAAGCTGATGCCTTACTGCACTTTACTGCCGAATTTTCCTCAAGGTAAGCTCAGCTTTGCATTTATCTTATATTGATCCAGAGATGGCTATAACGCATTTGTATGTTCAAACACTGATTGCTTGATTATATCCTGTAGATATGGAGAGGCCCACCCAATGTTCTTCATTGGGTCTTTGGAGGCAGCCGCTCAAGAAGCCTTCTATGGTAAAGCCAGAGATGTAAGTATCAGCTGTTTGGATTCTCATAGGAGTGTGTATAACTTTTGGAGATACTGTAATGGGAAAGAAAGTCATATTTTTCTTGGTCTTGTTATATTCCAAACACTTTTAATTTTGACTTTGTAAGATATGAGGTTCTGATGTTACCACTGTTGACTTTTCTTTAGCACTGATATCATCCTCGCTCGGTGTAGTTCAGCTGCTACTTTTTTTTTTTTTCAGTTTTCTTTGCTTAAAACAACACAGATGAGGGACACAGACTGAGCAGGATATTTAAGTTCTCTATCAAGGGAGATACTGCGTTTCTCATATCTTCTCCTTCATGGCTGAGCTGATGGGAATTTTAGGACACAGTGTTCACTAATTCACACCGTCTCTTCTTTATATGGCAAGGATCTTTTTGTTCTAAGAAGAAGAGTGAGGAAGAGGTCATTATGTTACTTCTCGATGTAAATGCAATGTTGGGATGTGATATAACAGAGAGTGGGGACCCTATCAGGGATTTGGTTCTTGTCGGCATAATTCTGTTCTGTACTGACGACCAGGAGGAATAATGACTGTTTTATTAGCAGCTGCGAAATGATCACAGCTCTCTGTTTTAAAAAGATTGGGTTTGTTTAGGGAAGTCCAAAAAGTCCAGCTACATAATCATAAGTCTGATATCTCATCAAATGTTGAACTAAACCTCTGAAAAAAGTCGTAGTTCTTCTACTGTGAAACTATTGATTTAGCATGTTGCTAAGCTCTTTATGCATCTGATCATTTGTGTGCAAAGTGCGCGTCTTTGCTGTCTTTGTTCATTTGCACCCCTTCAGTCTAAGGAGACGCTGTTTTTTGAATCACAGAGCTCTTGTTTGTTTTACTGTGTGTGGCGCACACAGAAGCCTTTTTTTTAAGTTTGGAGTCAACTACAACTCTGTAACAAAGCTAAGCAGACATCACGCCTCTGTACACTTACACTGTACTTTTCTGACAGCATGATACCAATGTCCCAGCAGCGTGTGATTCAGCAGTGTGTTACAATTTTGTTGAAGCTTGAGAGGGAAGATTTGTAAAATCACAGCCAGAGCTCCTTCTGCTCTCTAAGTTACTTCTCTCTGCCAAACTGTATTCTGAACATTAGGGATGCACTGACATATCTCATGAACATCGGTGTCGGCAAATATGCGATGATCTGACTTTAGCACATCAGTAAATCACGTGTCATACATCAATGCCAGTAGCTGATGTTTGTCTCTATCGTCATCCCACTGAAGTAAATCTGGAAAGCTATCACACCTCACAAGTCCCCTGCTGGACAGCTGATTTATTTTAATGATCAAACATGAAGGTGTGTTCAGTAAGTGTGAAACTATTACACAGTCACTGAGAAAGATCAGCATTTTAAAATAGACTGTGTATAGAAACATAATTTTTTATGACTCATTAAAAACGTCAGACACAAAAAGTACAAAGAAAACATCTCTATCAGCTATCAGTTAGATTTATATTTTAAACCTCCATGTCAGATTTTTTATAATCTGTGCATCTCTATGTTAATATAGACACTTCTGGGTGAGTGCTGTGGATTGGCTCGGCTTTTATCACTGAACATCAGCACCGATGGTGCATTTATGCAAAGCGGTTCGGCTCAGTACACACGTATTTGAATTTCCTTGTCAAAAGGTTACCAAAATAACCGACCTGTGCTGTCCTAATTTTTGGCACCATCCTGTTTGAGAACTAAGTGTACCAATCAGACCCTAGACTGCAATGAGGGGGATGGGGGTGGGAATTGTACCTCTTCTTAACTGATTCTATTTGATCAGTGCATTCTGACTCTGGTTTTTTTTCCTATCAGGGAATGATTTTGGGTGATATAAGCTGTCAGGGATGCAAAGGGTTATTTAATTTACACACTGACACAAAGAATCAGAATCAGAATGCCCTTTATTGTCATTAAACTGAAGTACAACGAGATTGGAGAGCTTCTCCATTTCTAGCGCAATAGATAAGTTAAAAAAGGGGAAAAAAACAAAAACAGAAATAAAAGGTAGAAAAAATAGATACAAAATGTGTACAGAATACAAAACATAGACAAGATAAAATAAAATAAAATTCTTCATAGAGATAGCTGCAAAGGAAGAGAGAGATCACAAAAGACAAAATATTTCAAAAGTGAATGTAATTCAATAGTTGACCCTTGGCCCAGCCTTCAGTTTGTTTTTTTCTGGGTAGTTTTGGAAAGATCAGCATGCTCATGAAAAAAAAAAATTAGGTGAGATCTGCTGCTCATGACGAGGGTCTGAACAGTTTTTTCTGTTGACATGCACACAAAAAAAGTGACACCATTCTGAGGTCCAGACACTGCCTGCGTGAAGCACCAGGGTACTGTTTGCTATAGACGAGCAAGCCAGATCAGGGTTTACTTTACCAAACTATACCCTACTGTACTGAACCAAACCAGACCCCTTGGTAGAAATGCAACACAAAATTCAATATGAGGAAATAACCGATCTTGTAACTGTTAATTGGATTTTACTTTGTAGCTCTTAAAGAGACATCAGAATAAAACAACACTATTTCAAAATCTTCAGTGCCTTTAAATTGTGTTTACTGTTATTGATATATCCTCTCTATCATGCTGTACTGACAAGGCTCTATAGGCACTTGGATATGATTTCATCAAATCCCTCATCAAATTTTCGACCCGACAGCTGAGGCTTTATTTTTAGCTGTCCACTTCCCACCATGTTTTTTGGCTTTTGTCCTTTTTAAGGATGCTTGTATCAACTGACAGCTTGTGTGGATTACAGCCTTATTAGACTGGGAGGACACAGCACGATGTTAGGGGGGTTTCACATCACCAGGCGCACAAAGCGGGAGGGAGGGAGGGAATGGATGATAGTAGGGGCCCAAAATGGGCAACATGGTGTGAAAGGAAAAGAGGATGCAAAAGTGGGAGAGAAAGAGTGAGGGAAAAAGTGATGAAGGATGAGGGTAAGTGAATGGAAAGAGTGTTAAACAGGAGATGGAAAAAACCTTACGAGAAGCTTGGCGCCTCGCCTGCTTCCCAGCTGATCTCCTCTCCTAAGCCAGCACAATATGGCCGATGTCTCCCTGGTGCTCACACACTCTGTACTGTACTACTGTGCTCTAAGCAGCACAGGGGCGAAATAGTATTCATTTTCACTGTATTGTGTTTTATTCTGGGTGAGCTTGATTTAGTCTGCCAACTGTGCTGTGGTTAAAATGGCTTTGGTTAAGCTGAATATGTGCAAAGAATTTTGCGTGAAAACAGAAGCTTTTTGATCTGTTGCGTGTTTGTCCTGGTTTGTCTAAAGCATCCCCGACAACAGGCCAAAACATGCTGCTTTTGACGCTTTCATTACACAGTAGCATATGTGCCTGATTACTCTGTCCCCTCTTCCATCCAGCCAGCCATCCTGTGCTTTGCCCTCCGCTTCCATTTGAAAAGGAATCTAGTTTTTGTGTCCTCATCGCAGAAAAGGCCTACTTCATTAAGGGGATATTGGAATAGGGCTGATTTGACTGAAGGGGGAGTACTCAGCGGGTTTATAAACAGAGGAATCAGTCTCACTCTCTGAAAGCCTGGGAGAGGCTAATCACTAAGCAAAACACAACATTTGATGAAGTGTTTCTGAAGGTGTGTGTTGAAGGACTGTTGAGATAGACTCAATCCATCCTTAATGAAAATGCTTTGGGCAGCAGAGCTGAGCTGAGCTGAGCTCAACCCTCTTGGGGATCAGTGGTTAGTCAGAGCGCGCAGAGAGATAGGCCACCCATCACTAACCACGATCCCCACTAAATCCCCATCAACGCAGTGGTTAATCACTCTAACCCCGCTCTCCTTCGCTCTCCGCGCCTCTCTCCTGTCTGCCACACACAAAGACACATCAAAATTCATAGCCTTGCTGGAGAGGTTCAGGGATTTATCACTGCCAAGTATCTGCTTTAAAACCCAGCTTCAGCTTCACGGAGGAAAGAGGAAAGAGCATTGGTGAATCTGAACGGCATATGGCATGTAGGTGAATGTGTTTCTGTCAAATCTAGGGATGAATATCAGAAGCAGAAATTCAGTCATGCTTTATTTACTGCACCTGAAGTAGATAGATTAAGATCTTAATGAACTTAGAGTGTCCGTATACATCTTTTCATACATTCTGATTGATTTACATGTATTTATTTTATACAGATTCTAGGATCTAAAACAGCTAAAAGCTTTAAGCACCTCACAGAAATCTGGTATTTGTATGAGCTCCTTTTCACAGAGAGCCTTGTTTGTTACAGCTACGTCTTAACATGTTTTCAGACTAGCACCCTGTGTGGTTGGTCTCCCGTCTTGACTTTATTTTCTTGAATGTGTTCATGGTCTTTAGATCAGTCACTTGATCTCTTCATTTTGAAGTGTTTGCTTTTTCAGACTGAGCCTGCCATCTGTGGAAATGTCACTATCTGGACCTCCTCTCTGTCTGTCCTCCCCTCTGTACCTGTCAGTGTTCATTACAATCTCACTCTTTGGCCCCTCTTACAGCAACTGCATGTTCTTGATCTGCTACAAATCACATGCACACAAACAGGTTTTTGATTTATTTTTAGTCATTAAAGCATCCAAGTCTCCAAAATAGAAAAATAACCCCGGACTACACAAAAGTGACAAACAGCATATCACATTTATCTGTGTGTTCTAAGTATTTAATCTGCTGCTTCAGAGGAGTGTTGGGAAAAGCTAAAAGAAATATAAAGAGATCCATCACTCTTCGACTAAGACCTGGATGTTTCATAAAGACAGCATTTCCTGCAGTTTTGAGACAAGAAGGGCTGTTTAATCCTAGATTGTGATATGAAGTTTTCCCTTAAATGCAAAGACTCCTCCGCAGCTTTATGTGAAACGTCATCACAGACAAAAGCTCTCTGTGGAATCGTCATAGACATAAATATGTTTCAGACACGACTGTTGTGCTTACGTCATTAGGTGTAAAAGACTGATCATTTTGCTTATGCAGCACTTTTCAAAAACAAATTACAAAGTGCTTAACAATTAAAAATATTTCAGTTGAACAGAAATCAAACACAAGGTAGTTTAAGTCACCGTTATAGAAAAGGCTGTATCGAAACGTCTTTCTTCAGATTTTTTGACAAATTGATATTTTAAAGGTCTTACTCCAACTGAATTTCTTTGTAAAAATTTCATGTTTTAAACCAGTTTTCACCTTTGAATATGGCAGCTGTTGTACTCTACCTATATTCTGTTATGAATGGCGCACCTTTATCTCCTCCCACTGTAAAAAAGTGAGGCCTACATTTCACCTGGATGGATACTAACATATATTACACCGTTGGCGCAATATGGTGTCCAGGCGTGTGAGAATAGGACCTGACTGGTGGAGCATCAAACCTTTTCCGCTAACCAAAGCACACGTTTGACTTACTGGCAAAACAAAGAGGATACCTTAGATTGTGCTGTGACTATAGTAAAAATTTTCCAATGTTCACCATTACTCGGTGAGTCTTTGTTTTACACGTAAAGCTTGTATTTAAAAATAGAGTCATCAACCACACCGTCCCTTCCCTCCCAGAAAATAAAAGTGAACTTCTTAAAAAAAAATAACACAGGATTATGAAACAGCATGATGAGAATAAACTGCTTTAAGAAACAATTAATTCAGAATTTATTTGACATGTATTTTTAATTTATTTGAATCATGTCCTGTTTGTTTTAACAGAGGAGACTTTCTGATCTATAATTGTGTTAGTCACCAGGGAAGGAGGAGCATAGATAACTATTACACATACTTGGCAGTAAGAAAGTCATAACCAGGAAATGGTTGAATAAGGAGCCCCCCACATTTACCAAATGGGAAGAAATCGTCAAAGAATTTAATTAAATTTTTTTTTTAATTTAACTTTTATTTAACCAGATAAAACACTCTGAGATTTTGATCTCTTTTAAAAGGAAGAACTGACTTTTTCTCTAAGGCATACAACCAGAAAAGTGAAAAAATAGTGGGAGACTCCGCAATGAGATATTTATTTGTCATTGTGAAATGCTTTGTGTCTCTCATAATAAGGGGAAAAAAACAATGGTGGGGGAGTTCTGTTGGGCTGTCCATGTTTCTTTACAGTCTAGTTAAGAACAGTATTTGACATGGATGTGACGATGATTTACGCCATATCAAATCTACAACTGAAGAGAGGGAAACACTGATTGTACAGTCAGATCTAAGTCAATGTGAAAACTGTGCTATACTCTCTCTCTCTCACACACACCGGAGCACAAAGCATGCTCAGATTTAGGTGAACAGGTGTGAAAAGGGCTGTAGGGTCACTATCTAGCTCAGGTTGGACCTAGTAATTTAGCTGAACAGAGGGATTTTCTCCTCCCTGCTAAGACAGGCAACACAAAAGATCGGACTTGAAAGCAGAGAGGGAACAGAGGGCTACAGACAGTTTAACTAAGATGAAGGAGTTCAGTTGGCCAAAATACCCACTTTGATTAGTCTTTACACTTGCTCTAATTGAGCATGCATGTGTGGAAGTCCCTTATTTTTGGGTACCTTGCAGTTAAATTTGCGCATGTGTGTTGGGCCATCAGCGTTTTAGCGTGTATCAGGTTGTGTTTTTTTTTGTTTTTTTTTTTGTAAAACTCTCCCTCCCCTTCACACTCATTCCTCTCTCAAGACTGAATTTGCTTGTCTTCTCAGCATGAGTGTTTAATCTTTTCAGGCCGTTGAATTGGCCCAGTGAATGAGTCCCCGGCTCTTTCTCTCTAGGAGCCCTGGAGATCATTCTAAAGCACTAATCGTTGAGCAAACACAGCAGTGCTCTCCCATTCCCATTCTACATAGGCCACAGTATAGCACAACTTCTTCTTTCACTTCCCCTCACGTTTTACGCCCTGTGTAGATTTTTTGCTTTTTGGCGTACGTAGCCTAGATTACCACTCCTGAGAAACAGACCTCTTGACTCCCCCCTCACAGCCATGGTTAAAAATGCACTCAGTGGAGGCTGGGCGATTTTTTTTTTTATTTTACTTATTTGTTCTTTTATAGCAAGAGAAGTGACATGTAATTTAGAGAGCATTATTTCCAACATTGTCCCCTGGAACCTTTTATGTTTGTGGGTGTGTTTGTTTTTTAATTAGATTGTCAGTAGGGAGAATCTGCCAGGCTTATATGATGGTGTCAATATCCTCGGATTTGGAGCTTCGTCAATATTGTCTGGCCCTGCCGCTACTAACCTGAACAGGCTGCTGGCATTTGGTGTAAAATAAATAGAGTGATTTGTCTGTTTTGTTTTCTCCATATCTCCGTCGCCTCCAAGAGAAGTTTTATTTACACCGCTCCCCATTTGATTTTGCGTGGTATTTGCTTTTTTGCCAGTTGTGGCCTTGCTGTGGTCTGTGGAAGTCATGCTGGATCTGTACCCAGTGGTCCCTCATGTCATTTTATGGTCATAGAGTGTGGAAATTTCTCTCCAGTGATGGGACACCTGCTCATGGCACATAACAGATTGGCCAAAAAGCATTTTTTTTTCCTTTGTTGAGTCCTTTTTACCTAAAGTTAACAAAAGTTTTGTATTGATTTACTAAAGTCCAACAGACTATTACATGTTTTGTTTCTTCCAGTGCCGAATCCACCCCCAATAAAAACAAAAAAATCAACTGCCTCTCCGCTTTGAATCAGTGGCACATTTTGCTCTCACATTTTGTCTTCACCTCTTACTGTCCTCTCTTGTTTCCTTTCTACCTCTCTTCACAGAGAAAGCTGCTTGCCATCTACCTCCACAATGACGACAGTGTTCTCAGCAACGTCTTCTGCTCCCAAATGATGTGCGCTGACTCTATCGTCTCCTACCTGAGCCAGAACTTCATTACATGGGCCTGGGATGTCACTAAAGAAGCTAACAAAGCCAGGTACAAGTGTCGACCAGAGGGGTGTTTACTTTCAGAGAGGGTTGGGGTCAAAGAGCTGCAGGTTTTTTTTTGGTTGTATTTTTGTCTTTAATTACTGTTGTAGGTGAAAGAGACGGTAGCACTTTACTTGACGCCTATCTCTATAACGCATCATAAATATATTTGTAATTTGTTATGGTCACGTTATAGCACTGTATAACTATAGTTATAAACACTCATAAATGATCATAATGCTTTATAGCAATTATGATAACGCATTATAAAGCATTTTGATTATGACTTAGAAGGTCAAGTATCATAATGTGTTATAACTGTTAACAACAGCTGCATTGCATTATCTATGTGGGCATTGTCAGTGAGTTGTTAACAGTTATAACACATTATGATACCTGACCTTCTTAGTCATAATCAAAATGCTTTATAATGTGTTGTGATAATTGCTATAAAGCATTATGATCATTTAGGAGTGTTTATAACTATAGTTATACAGTGCTATAACATGATTATAAGAAATTACAAATATATTTATGATGCGTTACAGAGATAGGCATCAAGTAAAGTGTTACCAAAGAGACATAAAAATTTAAATAGGCTTAGTCAACTTTCTATTAAAAAAGATAATTTGATTCAATGTACCATGACTGAAGAGAAAATACAGTCAGTTTTATAATGCAGATAAAAGGACACAATAATAGGGATGTAATTTGTGTACAGTGGTCTTGCTTTAGAAGACATTAACATGATTAAATCTGTATAAAAAGTCGAGTTTAAACAAGCCGCTTTATTTGATCCACACAATTATCCCTATCTAGAAATGGAATAGCACATGTATTCAGTTTTATTACCAGGTCTTTTACGTGTCATGGTGAGGCTATTGAGTGAACAGATTTAATTACTAAAAATTATTTGTTAAAAATGTAGAATGCCCATCTTACATAGGATATACCCTTTGCGGGCGCTGGATTGGCTCAGCAGTTGAATTGAGCCCCTCATGGTTGGAGGCTGTAGTCCTCGACACGGTGGACCAGGGTTCAACTCCCGCCCTCAGTCTTTGCCCCATGTCGTTCTCATTTCTCTTTTCGCTTATTGACTCTATCCACCTCCATATTTTCTCAATAAAGGCATGAAAAACCCCAAACTACTCTTAAAAATATTTATATATAACCCTTTGGACTGGCAGCTCTCAAAATTATACGATGTTTAGCGTTGAATTTTGCCCGGCGTAAAGTTATGCAGAGCAATAACTGAACCTCCACACAGTCACTGCATGCTTAATCCTTATGTTTTATTTATATGAGACTTACTGTCTGGTGGAGTGGACTGTTTGCATAGTCTATTGTATCTCATAAAGAGGGTATTGAATGTGTTTCAGTGGGAGAGCACTTGATTGTGTGCAGAGGCATCTGCAAACTGCCAGAATGTCTTGTCCAGGACGCTCTGTCTAGCTCTCTTGTATCATTTTCTTTGCGTCAACCTGATACCTAAAGTTATTTGTATTTTTATTTATTTGTTTTTTTTTTAGCTTTTTGACAAAGATCTAAATTGTGTGAACAGAGCATTATTCGAAACATAAACAGCATTTCCAAGTCTTTTCTGCACCCGGGCGCGCATGTCCTTAATTGCTGGCATTCAACTCTCACTCACATGCTGAATTTCTGTCTGCTCATTCCCTCATCTACTTCATTCTCTGTTTTGAATTTCGGAGGTTGCATGCTAACAAAAGGCGTTGTGTTTGTATGGTGAGGCCCCTGATTGGGCAATCTTGACTAAGCTGTCTGAAAAGAGGGTCAGTGGGAGACGACAGACTTCTTTGGAGTCCAAACATCTCTATCTCTCCATTTATGTTGGAAGTGCGAGTGCAGCTTCAGCAGAATGTGTCAATTACTGGCTGATCTGTGTTACGCCATTTTATCTTACTGAGATTCATGCCTTATGTTTGGTTGTTTATTTTAAATATTGGACATATATGTGAAAATTTTTAAAATAGGTGATCAGGATTTGCAGAACTGGGCGTGGAGCAGCTAAAGGTTTAACTTTATTCGCTTCCTTTGTGCTCTAGTAAAACCTCATATTTCTACTCGCCTCTGCTTACCTCTCTGCTGCATCTTTTTAGTATTCACTCTTCTCTTCGCTTTCCTGATGCTTCCATTAGTCTTAATTTATATTTTCTTTAACCCACTACATCTTTCTTTCTCTCTCTCTCCCTGGAACGTCCAGAGTTAAGCCTGCCCTGTGGTAGCAGCCATTAAAGAAAGTCTCACACTCTGACCTCAGCCCTCTATTATTTCTTTTAAGGAAATAACCTCCTTCCATCATTCCGCTCTCCTTTCTTTCTCGTTGGCCTCCTTTGCTTTTTGCCCCAGCTGAGCCTTTTTATTGCACATTAAAAAGCAGGCAACATCTGGAGCTTTTCATCACACACAGCTAGTCACAGCTTTGCTGCTGTCGTGTGTGTGCACGCTCGCTCGCTCACACACACACACACACACACACACACACACACACACACACACACACACTTGGTGTCTCCGCATTCTCACGCTCCCTGGCTGATCCAAAGTGACTGTTGATTGGCACCAGTCACACAGGCTGTTAGAAAAGTATCCTGATTGTGTATTTGTGTGTGATGAACCCGCTGATATTGGAATGTGCCTGTTGCTTGGCTCTCTATTCTCTCAGGCCTCCCAATAGTATGATTAATTATGCATAAATGCAGTTCCGCCGATTAGATGCCAGAGTAATTGTCGTCCCATGGGAAATGAATCTGATATGTCATACTGGCACTGTACTAATATTGCACATAGCAAATGTTGAAACTATTGTAGATAAACACACTGAAAGAAGAAAATTTAACATCTATATGTGTTAGTCATGATCTGCCAAATCTATTACACACTCTCTAACACAATACAAGCACCTTCAGAAAGCGAACTTAATTTTCTTCAAAATCCTGTTTGTTAAAATTTGAAACAACATCAACACAAAGCAAAAGTTAAATATTTAAGCAGTAGATATGAGGAAATATTCAGAGTTACAAGCATTGCATGGTGCCATTTTACAGCAATTACAGATACTGTAATCCTTTACCACGACCCTTTGCTGCACAGCTTCCCCCCTCTTTCTTTTCCCCTCATTTGTCGTCTATCTGTAGCTGTCCTATCCTTAAAACCAGAAATGCCTTTAGACAGACAGACAGACAGCCATTGCTTTCTTGCTCAGTAAGTTAAGTACACATAGTCTTTTTTGATGGAGGCTTGAGTACAGCGGCAGTGCTTTTACACCATTTTTGGGGTGTCAAGCAAGCTATCAGTTATACTCATATTAAAAGTTTCAAGTTAATTGATGGCATGTCACAGGCACCAGCGCTGTGCAAAACATTAAACACAACATACAAACACAGAGAGTATGATTTGTAGCTACTGTGCACCCTGCTATGTTTTTACTAATCCTGGTTAATTTTTATAACACGTTGCAAATTCAGGCCTAGCCGTGGGCTTACTCAAGGATTTCAACACCTCCACATTGTCACACTGTAGTTATCCAGCAGTACAAAGGTTCATGTTGTTGGTTAAGAGTTATTAAATGATCATTGTTGTCAAAACCTTTCACAGCAGTGACAAACAAATGTGTAGACTCAGTCCTTCCACTTGACTTCTTCTTTTGACATCCTGCGATGTGAAAAGTTGACTGGCTGAGAGGGAGAACATAATGTCATTTTCATATCAAAACATGTCCACGTTCTCGGTGAAACAAAGTGTGTTTGACACAGTGAACGATCACAGCATCCGGTTCCCATACACACTCCCATACAGGTGGCTGGTAAAAACATTCCCTGCAGTGCTACTGTTCTAACCTGACTCATCAGGTGCTCACTGAAGTGAATGTCAGGTCTAACAAGTCTACTCGCCTCGTCACGCACCACACATGGATGTGAAGAAATGTGACGTGACAGCCCAGAGAAACATTAACTATTTTAGCTGTCTGGATTTGCAGCCAGAGATGGAGATGACGACAAATTAGAAGCTGTCAGTCACATTAACAGCCCAAGCAGAGTCTCAAACACACATTGGCTGTACGTTTGAGGCAGGTGTTTCCTCTACACCTGAAGGACTTAAAGGCCACAGGTCTGGTACAGTCTGGACTACATTCTTCACCATGTTATGATATGGCTGAATGAGACCGTGCTGAACTGTTCACCTCATCCTGCAGTGGCTTGACTTCCTCCTGGCTCCAGTGTTGTGTCTATACTTGTTCCATAGATTGTTTTAAGTGCTTTATAACCAGGTTACAGTAGTTCTGTCGTTCTTAGTGGCAGCGGATTCATCAAGGTTAAGGATGTGTTTTTCTGTTTGGATTATGGCTTTTACTTTGGTGGACCCAATGACTTCCTTGGTCTTCAGGTAGAAACCAAAGGAGGTGGTCTTGTGTTTGAAGGGAGCTTTGAGATTGGGTTACCCCTCAAGTTAGTGTCCATTGTTCCCTGGCCTTTCATTACAGGTTAGAGTTTCCCCGTGAGCTATTGTTATGGTACGTCAGGCTCGAGGTCTGAACAAGGACAAATGTCAGAACAAAATGATCAGTAGGATTTAGGGTACCCAGCTTCATTGCAAGAAAAAGGTCACACAGAGTTCAACATTTTGAAAAATTCAGTCTGAAATATATTCCCAAAACATTTTAAATTCTGGTTATGTCTTTGTCCTGATGCTGTCACTCCCAAAATTTAAACCTTTTTTATCAGTCCCTCATCCATATTTTGCACGTACTGGTACTTATTGTCACTTAAAAAGTGCCAGGATTACTTCAGGTACTCCCTCGTCTAGTTTTAGGAGTCTCCAAGTAGCTGGCTCAGCTTTGGCTTCATGTTTTAATGAGTTACACCCCCTCGCAGACAGCGTGCCTTCCATCTATCTTCTTCCCCTGACCCGCTGTCCCTCCATCCATTCCATTACTTCTCTATTTTACCAGGCAGTTATTAAAGTAGATCTTATTAAAAGGCAGGAGAAAAAGCTAATCTATATTTGCATTCAGTCTATAGCAATTCATTAATATTATGACATTTACAGGGAGCTTGGTGGGGCCCCGGCTGCCTGCTACCCTTTTCCCTCTCTGAAATGTTAATTTAAAAAGTTCTGTCTTTGTAATGGAATAAGAAATCCTCTCCTGCCCTATCAATTCTGGGTGTCTGGTGAGGAATACTAATTCATCTGCGGTTCTGCTATTGAGATAGCATGTCACTCTGATGGAATAAGAAAATGCAGAATGGGTTTTAAAGTCCTTAATGCCACGAGTTGTGTGTCTGTCCCTTCCATATATGTCTCCTGTGTGTGTATTATGATCATCTGTGTTTGTGTGTGCTTTGTGCTGTATATCTTTGGTCACAAGCTGTGAAATACACCATTTGTTGCAAGAAAATCTATCCAATGTGTGCAAAAGATCAAAATTTGATTTTAATTGTGTGATGTGTGTGTTTTTCAGACTACTCACCATGTGTACAAGGCACTTTGGCAGTGTGGTGACACAAACTGTACGGACATACAAGACAGACCAATTCCCTCTTCTTCTTATAGTCATGGGAAAACGCACATCCAACGAAGTTCTAAATGTTATTCAAGGTAAAGAAAAAAGATAAGACTTGCCTTTGTCAATATCTAAAACCAGTTTTCTCTAAATACTGAGAATAAATGTGAAGCAGCTTTTCATTCATTCATTCATTCTTGATCGTGACTTCTTTTATATCATCAGGCAATACGACAGTGGATGAGCTGATGATGAGGTTAATGGGTGCCATGGAAATCTTCACAGCACAACAACAAGAGGACATTAAAGATGAGGTAAGGATTGAGAACAATCAGAGTGTGTCTGACTGCAGGGAAACACAAATGATCTGCTAAGGATCTCCAACAGCTGGTAAAGGCTTTAAATAGTCTTTAAAGTAGCTGCTAGTTGACAAACATTTTCTCAGCTTTATTTGATCAAACATTTCAGTCTTTACATTGTTGAAGAAGTTTAATAACAGAGTCATAACAGTGCACAGCCTACTTTTTGAACTGCACTCTAAGGGCCTGTGTCCACTGACAGTGATTTTTGCTTGGGGACGCCTTTCACAAAACAAATGCAGTTCACTGGTTTCAGCATCCTGACTGCAACAACAACAAAAAAATTCACTGCCCTCTTCACAATGTAGGTTAAAAATAGTCAATCAAAGTCACATAGAGGCAGGACTACAATGAACATCGATGGCAGATGTCGGTATGGAGGTGAAACTAATCCTACGATATGAATTCTATCCATTATTTTGACATTTTCTTTGTTAATACTGTTAAATAAGAGCAAATAAATAAAGAATTGGAAAGCAAACTCGGCAGTCTTTACCAGTGGAAGTGAAAGTCAATCAATCAATCTTTATTTTTATAGCACTTTGTATACAAAACAATGTAGCACAAAGTGTTTTACACTGAAGAATAAAAGAATTAGAGAATACCCAACTCTACCCCACCCCATCCCTGCACTCCAAACAAAACATCAGCGAGTTTTAAAATGCACTGGCTTAAAAGAGCTTGCTTTAGTAAAAACAGGATTATGCATACTGAGGAAACGCCATCTTAGAATTCAAGATGAGGAAACAGTGAAGGTAAGGTTTAAATATAAAGACAAAGTGATATAAATATAAAATGAAAGCAAAAAGATACGAAAATGAGAGCACCAGAATAGCTCAATAAAAGACAATCCTGACATTAAAACACAAAATTAAGTTAATGATATAAAATTTAGTGAAAAGCAAGACTAAAAAGGTAAAAGCAAGACTAAAAAAGTGTTTCTGACGACTTTTGTAACCTACCAACACTAAGTGCTGGTGAGAAGTGCTTTGAAATAAGGATCATGGGTGCTGCCAGTGCTAAAAATGCAGCGAGTGTACACAGGCCCTAAATCTTTTTGGTTTTGGTTGACCCCAGAACTTAAAAAGAGACGGATAAAAGTTTGTACCTCAACCAGGAGCTTGACCATTGTGCTCGTTTCGTTGTGCTTGTCACATTGACGATAAAATTCTATCTATCTATCTATCTATCTATCTATCTATCTATCTATCAGCTGTTCTTAGAGGTCAGACCAGAGAGAGGTTATTATCTGAGTTGGATGCTATGACTTTATGAATTAACCCCAAGTTTAACATTCTGCCCAGAGGGAGCAATCAATATTTTTACACTGTTGCCAATCCACAATGACAAGAAGAGAACACTTGACCATTTCCCCTCATCACCTCACCTTACTGAGTGTTTAATGTGCCGGCTACAGGTCTCTGAATAGATACAGGACTCAGGCTTGTCCCTCATTCATTCCAGTGTGCTGCTCTGTGTCTGTCGGCTAGCTCTTTGACTCCAATAGAGCAGACAAACACCATTGAGGGATACAATCCATACAAAAAGTGAGTGAAGTGGAAGTCTTTCATGTATTAGGCAGGAATCTGGGACAGGAGAGCTGTTAGGGACTTTTGCCTGACCCTGAAATGTTTACTCAGTGTTGTCAAACAAGAATATGAACAACACGCTTTTTTTTTTCCATCCAGACAGGTTTCAGACAGATGGCATTAGGGAAACCCTCCCTAGCTCTTTCCTTTTGGTAGTGTTCAGATTTATTTATTTTAGATCGGATACAGTTTTTTTCTGTTTCAACTGTAAAATCCTGTTTCATAGTCTAACCTATTCCCACACTTTTTTTTTCACAGTGTCATGCTTCGTATTTTGTTTACTGTATCTAGAGATGACAGGTGTCACACTACATTAAGATTTTAACAGCTAAATAGTCAGTCAACCAAACAGCCTCTTGAACAATGTCATTATATAATAGTCCAAGTATTTTTTAGTTATGGGAACCTTGGGGGAGGAATGATTTTTACCTCAGACACACCCTGAGGCTTCACCATCCTCACGAGTGTCACTAGGTTTTAAATGACAGTTATTCTCCTCCTGATGTTATTATTGCTACAGTGCTCTGGCTTCATTTTGGATTTGTCATTCTTGTCACATTTGGAAAGATCCTGAATGACAAGAAACAATCAGTGGTGTTCAGAGTATGCACAGGTGTCAGGTGAGACCGTACTCCAAACCAAAGGTGGAGTAGTTATCTTTTGAATAACTCCCACTCTCATCAGAAGTTCATTACACACGCACAGACACAGAAAGGATACTCTTCTCAGTTTCTTACTTTGATCAAGATAAGCATGTCTTTCTACAAACCCGATTCTCAGTCTGAATCTTAAATGTTGTCTAAACACAAGCTGCTGTACAAGAACTTTGCTGAGATTAAACAGTCTAAGATTGGCAAAATTAACATTTAAATCAGGACCTGGCTGATCACAGGATAAGTAAATAACAATTTGAGAAGGCTTTGGATGCCAGCTTTCACTACCTGACAGTTTCTGGTGCTGCACTGAGGACGCATTTTGTTTGATATCAGAGAGAAAATCACATTCACTTTTCATCCTGCTCTCTTTCACTACCTTACATTGTATAATGACCCTACTGAGTGTTATTGTGATGTTTTTGTTGCTGTGTCAATACAGTTGCATTGGTGTTTCATTTTGTGTTTTTTTCCATGCAGAAATATTGTGTTTCGTCACACAAATTAGATCTTCTTCTTTAAAAATGTTGCAGAAAATGGCTTTGGATTAATTGTGGGAACAGTATTTCAGATGAAGACTGAAGTAAAGCTGTACAGAGGCTGTTTTAATGTTCCAGAATTATCCTACTGTTCCTGCCTGAAGGAAACACCTCGAGAAAAGTCATGAAAAGTCAGCATCAAAGAGTATATGTGATGAAGAAGGCATGATTTTCCGTTGTGATCATTCATTACTAGTTTCATTAACCACAAGATTACAGCATATCCTGTATCTGACAGGACCTAATCCATTTCAGATGTGAAGTCAACCTTATTGCTGACTAATCCCATCTTCACTGTAGCAGCTCTGAGGCATCTCTCCCTCGCCGCTTTCTCTCTTTCCCCTCGCCATGTTTTTCTTTTTTTAATCCTCACCTTTCCAAAGACAAACTCAGACATGAACACAGACACCCGCCCAGCCTAGACATTCCTCCCTGACACTGACTTTTGTGTTTGTCTAGAAATGGAGCAGCTGGACGGCCACATTGTGTCTCCAACCAACCTTACTGACTCGCCAGTCATTCCTCTGGTCGTCTGTGTTTGTGTTTGGTGTAGTTAGTAACAGACTGATTTCAGGTTTTGTGGTCTGATAATGTAAGCACCAGGGGCCATTTTTAGCCCCAATGATTTCATGCAAATATGAGCTAAAACTACAGAGTTTAGCAGCTCTGAGCCACTTAAACGATAAAAAATACATCTTTTTTTCAGCATTGTATTGTAACTACTGAATTTTAGTTTGGGATTTGAATATCTGCGTTATAAGATAGCACAAGTCCAGCCAAGGTCTTTTGAGAAGTTCTTTAAAATCATGTTTTTGAGTTTCTAAATAATAGATGAATGTCACATTGTGCCTCTCATGCAAACAATGTCATTCGAGGCAAATCATGCATTAAAAAAAAAATCAACAAATCAAACTCCTGAACTGCTTATTTGCGTGACTCAGAGCAAGTCCATTGAGGGTTGCCACTTTTGATGCTTTTGTCCCTCTGCACCATTCTTTTACAGTTTCCTTTCAACGTTCGGCCATTATATGAGCCAAAAGCACAAATGTATCCTTTGCGTTTACCGATTGAATACAGCAATACACACTGTGCTTTTGCTTGACTGCACAGTAGCCCTCTGATCATCACAATAAGCTTACTTTGCCATATCCGGGCTGGCACACAGCATGGGCCTTCTCAAAATAGAGAACTAATGGCTGTGCACCATTAACACAATGGACACTCGTCTTTAGTCCCGGTCTTTATAAAACACTTTGTAGCCACAGCAGGTAGAAAGAGAAGGGCAGCCTGTCCCCGTCCCTCTGTACAAACAGGAAGAGAGAGGCCGAGTGAATGAAAGTGAAAAGGATGGTGAAACTGAGATGAGGAAACATAAAAGAAGCTCAGGGTCTGTTAAATGACAGCCCGGTCACAATGAAGTCCCTCTCTGTTGTTACTCTTTCATACCTGATGTTTGTACCTGACCACACTTAACATACTGCATTTTTTCCCTACCTGGTTCTTTTGGCTCCCACACACCCGGCACCTCAGCTTAGATGTTTTGTGCTCTTACGTCCTTTGTTATGTTGTTAGTTAATGGGCCCCACTTTTCTTTCTTTCTCTTTTCTCTCTGTGTGCAGGACGAGCGAGAGGCAAGAGAGACTGTGAAAAGAGAACAGGATGAGGCCTACCGCCTGTCTTTAGAGGCCGACCGCAAAAAGGTATCTTAAATTAAGGTGTTTAACAGAGAACTGGAAGAAGTGTATGGTAAGTTTTTTATACTTGACACGTTTTAAGTTTGACTAAAAAAGGCAAAAGCACCACCTCTGTTTTGAATTATGTCCCCTTTAATTTCCTTTTTGTACAGTTTCAAGACTTTTTCACTACAATAACACAAACTTCAATAACAGTTGTGTCCTTGGTATTTAAGGTTTATACTGAGCTCAAAACTAATGCCAGTATACACAGAAAAAAACAACAAACACAGTATTAAGTATGGCCCTAAGGTCAAAATAACTACTTTTATTTTTTACAGATTTTTCAGTTTAAAGAAAGATTATTTTTCATCATTCTTTTCAAAGATAGGGCAGAAAAATTCAGGAAACACATCATTAGCAACATTCTATCTAATGACTTTCCTTCTTTCTTTCTCAGAGAGAAGCCCAGGAGAAAGAAGAGGCCGAGCTGGTTCGCCTAGAACAGATGAGAAAGGAGCAGGAGGAGGAGAAGGAGGTGAGAGGAGCAGCCGTACACACATTATGCAAATTAGCTAAATTAATATTCCAGATTAATCAGTGCAAGGCTGAGCAGTGATGTGTTTTGCCAGCACACAATGACTGTGCTATTGTGCTGTTGTGTTTTTTTATCATCTGTCTTGCTCTCACTTCACAATAATGAGTCAATTAGATTGTGGTTTTCGGTAAAGGCTGCCAGTCAGTGAGGCGTGTGCAGCGTGGGGAACAGGCATACAGCCATTTCAGAACAAATAAAATATCCTAATTACAGTGAGGCCCATCCCGGTTAATGTCACCTTACATACACAGTTATTGTTCTGTCTTACTGCTTTACATTGGTATAGCATACAGCTTCTCATTGAAACCCAACAGAACAATAGACTGAGGCAATACACACACAAAACCTAAGCAAACACACACATATTCACTTGAAAACAATTATTGAATGTGAAGGGGGTGCAAACACACACCCACGCCCACACACACACATACACATGCAGGCAGACACTGTCACGCATAGAGGAAAAACAATCATTGTCTGTGAGGACGGCACCAATGCAGCAATACAGTCTCTAGTAATACAGTGTAGTCCTGCTGATTGTTGTTTACTCAGCGGCCGAGTGCCCGAGGCAGAGAGAGGTATTAGGTGACCAAACTCACTCAGGTGATTTGTCACTTAAGTTCAACAGAAAGCAACAAAAGAGACGCGGGCAGGGCCTTCTTAATTATATCACTGTAGTCCACTAACCAAACGCAATGTGCACGCTAGTGTGTTTTAAACAACAATAGCCGCCATGGTCCCGTTTTTTTTCCCTCTTATATCAGTTTTCTGTGCCAAAGCTCACTGGTTTCCATGGTGTCCTCTGTGCTAACACACCCGAGTCAAGCTCGTGCTACAGTCCAGGTATTCCTAAATTTGAGAGCCGACAGCACCTGCTAGGAGTGGACAATGGAGGTTTAAGTCTTAGTCGCGGTTATGCAGAATTTGTAGAAGATCAAAAAGTGTAAAAATCATGATTTTCTTGTTCATCACAAGATTTTATTGTGTCTGCTCATAGTCCCGCTGAAACAAATCAGTCGTTGAACTGAAATATGTAGAAGTCTAGCAATAAAGCATCTTAGTTTTTTAGTCTTTTTTTGATTAAAATCTTTTTTGGGCTCCATTTTGCACTTCATTTGTTAAGAATTGTTAGCATACACGGAAGCATACATAGAAAGCAACAATGCCGAAAGTATTATTAGTGTTAGAATATAAATTGTTTGAAGCAGTCTTGCTGAAGTAACACTTTCCACAATTGATCAAAAAATCGTAATTTTTTCATTTACCTTAAAATGCTGCTCTTAATTCTTCTGTTTAGGGTTTTTAACAACACGATTGCTGTTGTTAAAATCATGACAGGATTGAAACATCCCAGGTCCTACTTGATTTAGTCATTTTTGCCTCTTTGACTTCTTTTCTTGATTCATTAGCCAGAATCTTATCAATCATTTTTCTTAATTATAAAATCTTCCAAAAGCGTATCGAGCAGTTTTCCATTCAGTTTAATTGGTTTATGTTTACAGCTGTTTTTAGAATCTGCTGTCGCAAATGACAGAAACTGCAGGCACAAGCAAAACACCAGTTACCACCAGTGAGAGGACAATGCTTATGGGAATGCTCATCCTGTGATTTTGGATGAACCGGGGGGGGAGGGGCTGCACTGTGTCTGTGTTTTATGTGCTTGTGTACTTTGTTGGTACCACTTACCTCCTTCAGGGGGTCTTAGCAGACAGTTGTGTGGCTGTCAGGTGCACCTGTTTGCTTTTTGTGGTTAGCTGAGCGTAGATGAAGAGGCAGATTAATAGAGGGAGAGATGCTTCTGCTTCTTTGTGTGGAGCAGCCTCAGCCCGAGGCTCGACCAGACGCGTGTGCCGTGGTTTCTTCAGGGACGCTACCTCTCACTTCTGTGGGCTTTTATGCTTACGTCTGTGGTTGACTGTCTGCATTTGTATAGCCTCCACTGTACACACACTCCTTTGTATTGTGTATGTGTGTATGTCGGTCCCCAGTGGCCCCTTTAACTCAGTCAGCATCAGATCTTAAACCTGAGGGACCTGATGGCGGAGCGGCACGCGCGCCACCCTGCCCACCCAACACCAGAAGCTGCTAATGAGCTACTGTTGTACACTCTTATGAAATATAATTGCATTATGGTGTGTAAATAAAGCCGGGGCGTGTTGTCACAGCATATGCTCCCCGGCTGGCCGAACAGGAACAACAAGCTGGAGGGGGGGGTGTAGGAGCAGAGGGAGGAGGAAGGCTCAAGGGAGCGGCTGAAGCACAGGAGAGGTGATGAGCTTCTCTGTGGAAGATATCAGTCACAGGTTGTCTTTGTGTTCGATGGGCTATTCTACCATGGTGTCAACAGTATTACCAAAGTTATGGACTTTAAAAATATGTTAGTCCCGTCTAAAAGAAACACGAAGATGTTCCCTCACAGACTTCTCAAAATCAAGAAAGCTTCGAACAGCAAGAGCACAGGGTTGTTAACTTGTTGAAACCGTACTTTGCATCCCTCTGAGCTACACCAGGCTTTAGGGAACAGGGTGAGACACAGCGCAACAAATCTAATGATATTCTCATCACAAAATGGGTCTTTACTGAGCTAGAGGTCAGCTGCATTCAGATTCTGGGAACAACGTCTTCTTTGGGCTTTGCGCTGTGCTCGTGTTTACTTAAAACACGTAGATATGACTTATTTTTATTGGCACACGTCTTGTACTCCAGATGATGCATTTTTATTAGATCGTTTATTCTAATTATTTGTATTAATATTCCCATACTGTTGATCCGTGCAAATAAAAAGAAAACTTTTAAACATTTCCACTAAGAAGAACTTAAATAAAACTCCAGGCCAATGCTGTAATTAAAGATCACTGGCTGCTAAATTAGTCTGATTTTCATCTTGTTTATTTTAGTCACCTGTCACAATATTTCCCATGATGACCCGGCAGTAAAATGAACAAACTGTAAGATGGAAAAAAAGCAGGCTTTGTGATGCTAATTAGCTTGAAAAAAAAAAAAAGGAAATGCAGCGCCAGTAAAGACAGCTGCCTCCCCGCTGCACCTGTATGTAATCATCGCCGCTGTCACTCAGCACTGTGAATCACTACATCAGCTTGATGCCTCATATTCATACCTTACGTCTTCAGATTTCCTTAATTAATTTTCTCGCATTAGTATGCAGAGAAAGAACAGAAAGCCATGAAATGAGGTAAATCTGTCACATTTTTGAGGAGTCCTCAGTTTTCACCTCCTTCATCCACATTTGTCCACTAAGCTCTTAACCAAATTCATTGATCTAGTTGTACCTCTGTGTTCCGGTCGATGTTAATTCATCTTTTTTATGAACATCAAGTATGACAGATGTGTGAACAACAAACACTTAATTTTCCTCCCGTTTTCTTGCAGGCAATCCGCTTGTCATTGGAACAGGCCCTACCGCCAGAGCCTGAGGAGGATTCAGGGGAGCAGATCAGCAAACTGCGAATCCGCACACCGAGCGGCGAGTTTCTGGAGAGGCGTTTCCTTGGCAGCTGCAAGCTCCAGGTCCTCTTCGACTTTGTGGCCTCTAAGGGATACCCCTTCGAAGAGTTCAAGCTCCTCACCACCTTCCCTCGTAGAAATGTGAGTCAGATTTTTACACTTACACACACTTAGACATGGATTAAGCTCATTTGAGAGACTTTCACAAGGATGGGAATTAAAAGGTTGATTGTCCAACTGTATCTACGCTGTCTTTCGTCGTAGTTCTCTGCCCACACAAACAGGTACTAAATTGGTGGAGAAACAGCAGGTTATAAAGGGTTTTCAGCCACAGCTCTCATCTCTGCTGGAGAGAACCACAGCTGTAATTGGCTTCTCCGCTCAGGCCCAGACTGAACTTACGGGTGCAGAGAGCAGCAGGGATAATAGTTCGGAAAGTCTGTTACGGCTTATTAAGTGTTTTTTTTCCTCTCGCTTTTTCGTCATTCTTGTTTTGTTGTTTGTGTGCTGCGGCAGCATTGCATTTGTTTACTCATACTAGTGATGAGCAAATTGTTTATCTCTCCACCTGTGCGCATGCATTATTCAGTGAATATAAATGAGTATCAGTGCACTATGAATACAGTACACTATGACTGAGTTAGGATACAGTTGTCAGCACTAACAGTAGTATTCTCTATGGCTCTTCTGCTGACGCCCCTGCAGCACTCAGCCAGCTACAACCAGTCATTAGAGGGCTTGGTCGCCGCACTCTGTGGCAGAGAGCTAATGAGCACTATTTTAACTACCAGTTTAATTAGCCATGCTGCTGGAAACAAAAATGGGATTTCCATTAATCAAGAGAGGAGTTCATGGGGAGGGGTGGGTGGTGGCGGCGGCGGCAGCGGGTGTATAGAGGTGTGTGCGCGCATGTGTGTGTAGGCTTGCCCAGGCAGTGTGCCATCATAGTCTGTAGAGACCGCCAGGGCACAAACACCTCAAACTAACACACACATTAACGAGTAGCTCACACTCTTCATTTCGTCACAATCGCACACTTCAACACATGCACAAATATTTTCAAGCAAACACATGCCCCGCTCACAACTTTGTCACTTAAAGGATTCACAGTTGTCTCTTTATAATCAAGAGTAAACATGTGTTTGAGACAGAGATAAAGATGTGTCTGCATCGCAGATGAAATTCCGGCAAAAACAGGATGGGAGGATTAGAGGGGGAGAGCAGCGGGAAGAGGATGGTGACTGCAGAACTAGTGGAAAAGAGAACAGAGAAGACAAAAGCTTAAACAAAGAAAAGATTTAATCAGAGAAACAGTCTGAAAGAGAAACGGATAGAGAAGACAAGTGGAGAAGATATTAAAAAGAAGAAGAGAGGAGATAATTCCAGAAAACAGAAAGGCGGGAGATTTGGGGAAAGAGGAGAGGGAAACAGCTCGCTGGTAGTGCCAGTATGAGGCTGTGAACACAGGCCCCTGTCTAATCCTGCAGCTCTGTGTTGTAATTAAATGAGAGGGAGCATAGAAAGCCTCCATCCCGTCCAGACGCTCTCACTGTTGCTCTGCCAGGATCAGAGGATAGAGGATAGACCACTATTGCATTTGTAATACTGCACAACTGTTGAAACCTTCTTTCCCTTTTTCGAGTTTTCAGCAGCTTTATGCAGTGTCACTCTTTCTTTTGCTATTTCCCTCCGTCCCTCGTCAGCCCGCTTTACCTCATATCCACACACTCCTGCTGTAACATGAGTAAATGGATCTACTCAATCCAACGTCGGAAAAGTTGTGCTGAACATTTTCGGGTAAAACTACACGATTATTGACCAGGAGAAAGATTGTTGTGAATGAGTAAGCCTGGTAACGGAGGTTTATTCGCCTTTGTAGACGGGCTTTAGACACTTTGAGACCGAACAATCGAGCCAAATGAGATTCCTTTGATTCATAATTTTTCCACCTACTCAAAGCTTTGCGGATAAGTGTCTATTAGTCCCCAATTTTTGGACCGAGTCTCTTAATCAACATTTGGTATCAGTGGCTTATCTCTTCAGCACTACAGCAGGCCTTACACTGGCATCATTTGTACTAGGCTTAGCCGTGCTCAGGGAGCTAACCCTTTCTCCATTTCTCTGACTGTCAGCGAGTTTGAGGAAGAGGAAGGGGAGGAGGGGGACTTTTAGTGTTTCAGTTTTCAGCTTTCCATTCAAGAATTTCCCTCTTTTCCTTTGATACTTGTTGAACACAAACCACTGCTGAAAGGCCTGAGGTCTTCTTCCCTTCTCCTCGCGGTGAACATGTTTAGACTGCCAGTCCAATAATCTGCAATCGGCTCTTCCTGCCTGGGCTGAACAAAGACACCCAAACACTGTCAAAGCAGCGTATTAGTTTTCTCACTGTGATACTGTACTCGACTTCACCTTCTCCTAATCCTTCCTCCAGCTCCATCGAGTGAGTTCCAAATCATTCTTAGACAAAACTTGAGATGCAGAAAAAATAAACAGTGGCACAGAAGAAGCTGCACATTGCAGTGAAATAGATTTTACATCTGTTATACTGGTGTGTTTTGTTTTTCTTGCCCTCCCATCTGAAGAATTCACAGGAAGAGCTGCTGCAGCTTATTTTAAATGAAGTTACAATCAAAAAACTTCTTCCTCTTGACTGTAAGTCGAGTGAAAGTCTTCCCATGACTAAAATCTAAAGCACCACACACAAGTAGCTGTATGGCTCTCTGCTTTTCTGTTAATTGGTTTTATGAGGACATGCATACAGGCTATAATGTCTTCAAAATCTCATCTCAAAAACGTCTCCACCTCATCATTACTTAGCTTGGCTGTGGAAGCTTCATGGCGTAAATTGATGTATTTGCAGATTTGACTCTAGAAGGTAAAGTTTTTCAGAGCTTCATCTTGTGACACATAAAAAAACTACTGAAATGAGAACCCGGACGACATTTTGCATTTTCATTTTGGGAGTTTTCTCACCGTTTCTCGAGTGTTTTTTTCTCCTTGGAAAAGTCGATTATTTTAACAGGTTCTAAACACATCAAGAGCATATTCTCATGTTAAAAGCCGAGTTTCACCCCAAGGGCTTCTTAGCCCCCTCCTCACCTTCAGCCCTCCTCTCCTCTTCCTTCCAGCTTTCCCTCCCTCTGTCTCCCTTTTCCCTCCTCTCTCCTCCTCCTCCTCCTCCTCCTGCTGTCTCTCCCTCACTGATCTCAGAGTCAATTATTTTATATTTTCAATCAGTTTTTCTGTCTGTATCCATTCAGCCTCTCACTTCTCAGTCCAAATCTCTTTATTTCTATACCCCTCAGAGTACATATATTTTCTGTACCATCTAATACATCTTTATATTCTCTTTTTTTCTGACCTCCTGTATCTCTCTCCTTTCTCAGAGCCTCACCCCCTCAGTCCTAACCCCCCCTGTCCAGTCTGTGCAGTGCATTTCTTCCCTTTGAAGTACCGTATTCTGCTCTGTTCTTTTATGTTCACGCCCCGGCACTACGTGCTGTCAACGCTCCTGGCAGCAGATAATGATCTCCCACTGCTTTTGTAATTGGCCAAATAAACACTTGACAACACTAGTTTAAAACAGACAAGTTATTTGGTTTTAATTAACATAGTAGGGCCTGTAATGGCTTCATTAAAAATGCGTTATTTCAGCTGCACGTTTGATTATGTTGGAAGCGGACATCTTGAGGGCCTGTGTTTATTTTCCCTTTCTTTTCTTTCACGGCTGAGCGTTGCCGAGTGTCGCCTCCTCTGTTATCAGTGTGTTTTATTCATTTGAATCAAGTGACTTACAATTGTGGTATTTATTTTAAAACTTCACATTAAGAGCTAATTATGGGGTTTTAACCGATGAAATCTGCTGTATGATAATGCCAAAGACACGGGGTTGATTTCAGCCGATTGTTTTATGTCATACGATTTCTCATAAGGAAATAAAGACAAAATATCAAAGATTGCCGAGAAGCACCATCTGTCTTTTTGTTTGCTTCCAGTTTTAAAATTTGGCTTTTTAATGCCCAGCTTCCAGATATTGTATTATCTACTTGGATTTTGAGTTCATTTCAGCGTCTCTTTTTTTCTGTTAATTTGTGTGTTTTTAATTAACAACTGGAAAACCTTTTCCTCCACTAATGCAGTTCAGTCAGATTAAACCCCCTCCAAATTAATTTCCTCTTTTAAAACTGTCAGACACTTCTCTACTTCTGCTGATTGATTTGATTTAAATTGGCTGATGAAAATTATATTGACTCAAGGTTAAGAACAAACTGCAAAGCAGAGAGCTAGATTTTGTCTGTCTTATGTATGTATGTATGTATGTATGCATGGCTGTGTAGGCACAGGAGGAAAGAATATGGCTTAGGCAGAGCAGAGGAAAAACAACAGCTTTGTTTGTTGACAGATGCCTCCATGCTTATGGTCTGTTAATTGGATAACAATGTAAACAATCACCGATGGCGCCCGTCTCCTGTGTCAGTGTGGCATCTTGTTTCCCTACTTTCTTTTTCAGAGTCAGATGCTGCTCTCCCCCCGTTGTCTCTCCCTGGTGCACTGCAAGCACAAACTCTCATCCTGATTTCTCTGAGAGTGCACACATCCACACAAACACACATGCTTATATCTAGTCTACACACACACGCACACACACACCTGCTCCACCCCAAAGCCTCATTTACTCCTACCTGATGCTGTGGTGTCATAACAGCCTGTCGGGTTCATTAGCATGGCAGCCATTTGCGGCGCGCTGCTCCTGAGGTGGGAAAAGAAGCGCAACAGCCCTGTTGGTCGTTTCCCCCCACCGTTGGGATGGAATATGTTTTCAGCAAACACACACCTGCACAGACACGCACACACACTATTTTAGCTCTCCTCATGGTGCCACGTACCCTGCCGAGCAATGAAGCAGCTGACTTGGTGAGGGGTGCAGGGTTGATGCGGCAGTCCCACTCTTAGGCTCCCAGGGACCCTGCTGAGAAGTCAAGAGACTAAATGACACGTTGAAATGAGGACAAGGAGATGAAAGACATGAGTGAAAGACCGCTGACGCGTGCAGGATGTGACATTTCCAAACACCCATGGGAGATGGATCGGTTGCCTGATGCTGATATGTCCTTCTCACCTTCTCCTAATTTACTTACCTTCTCCTTCTTTTTCTTTCGTTCTTTTCTCACCCTTCTCTCCGAGTCCTTGAACAGCCTCGAGTTTTGCAGACTGCCTGGTGGTTATCACAAGATTAAATGTGTAGATTGTTTTAATTATTTTGAGTGTTTGCTCAAATCAATACGCTCAGTCGCAGATAACAGTTTTTCAGGCGCTGACATAGACTCCGTGTTTATCACCATGCAGCTGTGAGATTTCTTCCAAGTCGGATTTCTTTGAATTAACTTTCTCCAAGACAAAAAAAGGCATCTTTTGATTGCCGTGAGCTCCAAGTCCTACGTGAAAAAAAAAGCTAATATTTGGAAAAAAAATCAGTGACTATTTTGAGTGTCCAGCATGTCAGTTTAGACATGATATCAAACTCTTAAGTAAATAATTATTTAATATTTTTACAAACAATAACAATCGCCACAACCTGTTTGTTCTACATAGGCTAATTGTTGGTAAAGTTTCAGTTTAGTTAAGTTCAGTTCATAGTCAGAGTCTGTATTTGATTCCCCACAGCCGTCTGTCTCAGCCCTATCGCTCCGCTTGTTGTGAGGTCGACCTTTACCGCGCCAGCTTGCCCTCTGACCTTCTACAGCAGGTACAGGGAGCCGTTTAATTATCCCGCTGTGAGGTTAGAATAGGAGCTCTAATCAGAGGGGCTGACGCAGCAGTCATCAGATAAGGCCAGGACACATCTCAGTGTCACACCACCTCGCCCATTCAGCCCAGGTGTTAAATTGGCCCGATGTAACACAACTCCTCCGGTGATTAGCTCACATAAGCTAGGAGGCTCACAGCGTTGGTGGGTGTCAGAGAGAATCAGATTGTGCTGTTTCAAAAAGAAAAAAACACAGGTCATGTAAGCTGACTCGATCTGCACTGCTGTGGGTGGTACTGCTTTATTCCTTTTGCTTCTAGACAATAGATGTTGTGTAGAGTTTTGAGCGCAGATAAGTGTTTCTCTCCTTTCTGCATCAGCCACATTTCAGATTCCAGCTGAAATGGGGAATTATAAGACAGTAAACACATTAAAAGTTCTTCAGTCCCTCACTTGTGTTTTCTCTTTCACACACACTCTCTCTCCTGTCCTGTGACCTTCATCAGTTTGAGTTGGACTGGAGCCTTATTAACAAAACAAACCTGATGGTTCTCTTAGGGAAACTATCCTCTGGCTGATCGGATTACTGCTACAACTTTTTTTTTCTTTTTTATAAAACATGTTAGAATAATACACACAGAGAACACACTCTCTTTCAAACCCACACACACACACACACACACACACACACACACACACACACACACACACACACACACACACACACACACACACCACCACCACCACCATTGAATAAAGCCTGCAGCTTCCCCAGACTGGATCACAGGGTGTATATGGTTGCAAGGTGGAGGCTTTATCCATGATTAGATGACCAATCAGAAAAGGTGAAGTGAGAGATTTAATGGTTTTATTTCAAGTAGAAACTTTGAAACTTTTTTTTTTTTTTGTGTTGGAGATTGTTGTGAAACTTTGCCTCACCGTGCTGTTGTTTTTAATTTTGTAGACCACTCAGGTCTCTTGTAGTTTTAGGAAAAAACTGACCAAAAAAAACAAAATCTAAGATACTGATGACTAAAAAAGCTTGAATAGATTGATGAGTTGCAGTGATTTATATGCCAACAAATTTATTGATCATCTTTGAGACTTAATCATACTAATTTCTTGTCCTCCAGGTGTAAGATTTACTGCATTTCTCGGTAGATTACTGTAGTAAATGTAATATTTTAGAGCTGTTGGCTGTTTGACTAATAACTAGATTTTCAGATGACAGTTTGGGATCAGGGGAAGTCTTTCTCTTTTCTTTTAATGTTAAAGGACATTTTATCGGTCGACTTATCATTTAATGAAAGACGGCAGTTCAGCTGTGTTGGTTTATTACTGTCAATAGAGCACACACCCCATTTTACAAAAGAATAGTTCCTAAAACACTCATGATAACAATAATACTAGTAATAAGTTTATTTATATTGCTTCTTTCACAAAGTGCTTTACAAAGATATAAAACAAACTCAGGAAATGATGCAAAAGTGCAATAAGAGAAATAGTCTCATGATCTTCCAACCTGCGACCACTTCGTGGATGTTATCACACCTTTACATTTCGCCTCTCCTTTCAGTAGTCTGATCAGGCCGCAAACAAAAATCAGGGCTGTCAAAACAACATAGTTTCAATTTATTAATCACAGAAGAGCTCATGTTAACCAATGATGACGTTTTACATCACTGGTCACACGTTGTACTATTGCTGCTTTATTAAGATAAGGTGAGAACGCACAATGCACACGTCTCCTCTGGATCTTAACTCCTCCTATTCCCATCACGAGGAAAGTCAACACACACATAAAAAGAAGTCCCTGTTCAATGTGAATCTACTTCTTGCACCGTTTAAAGTTTGTAGAAAGTTGTGATGTCATTCAGAAACATATTCTTATTGGTTGTTTGGACAAACCATCTGGAAATGCTGCATCATTAATGACGAACCTCCACACACGGTTCATGTGCTGCTGAGAAAAAGAAGCACGTCTCACTTGATCAGAAAACTGATTCATGAGAAGAAATACTTTGGCAACTTTTGAGATGTTCTGGAGGGAGATAAGGAGGGAGAGAAACAAACAGCAAGAAGATGATCAGGCAAAAAGCAGTGTGTGGAGAGAGCAGGGTTGTGTGTGAGAAGGTTAGCTTACAAATCTAAACTCGGAGGACAGAGAACAATTAAAGTGTAGGAGTCAGTGATAACCATCAGATCAACCAGATAGACGAGTATGCAGAATGTACGTCTATAATGCACTACTTTCAATATTATAAATATGAGCCTGTAATTAATTGGAATTTTTTCAATGCACAAAAATGTTCAAGTCAGATTTATGAATAACAAAGATATCATTCTCAGGTGCGGGCCTAGTTTCCAAACTGTTTGATTGGTGGTTTTTCTAATGACCTTCTCTTGTTTCCCCACCTACCTTGTCTCCTCTCAGATCACCCAGTTGGATCCGGGGTCAACTCTGCTGGAGGCCAAACTGTTCCCACAGGAGACGCTCTTCCTGGAGGCGAAAGAGTAGGCAGTGGCCCTCTGATAGCTGAGAGGATCGACTGACTGACTGATAAACTGGCTGAACACACACCTAGTCACCGAGCATGGGCCTCACCAGTCTGGGCCTGCAGACACACACACACACACACACACACACACACACACACACACAGACACACACATATACACACACCAGATAATCCTCTCAGACGTACATCAACACACTGGCATGCACATCCAGTGACACACAAGTGCAAGTAAGCTTCTCTGCCCCTCGGCCTGGTCGTGGCACCTGAACGCCCCGTGTACATGTGTTGCACAGAGGAGCAAGGACAGTATCACAAGCACACAGCCAAACATTCACCTCCTCTAAAGATCCTCCCATCCCTCTCTTTCTCCTCTAACACAACTTCCGACTTCACACACTCAACTGCTGCGTTATGGTTTTTCTCTCACGAACACGACACTGAACTTCAGAAGATTTCAGCGTAGAGACTGAGTAGACAAATCTTTGTCACAGGAGAAAAAGAAAAAAAAAAAAAGAACTCGTTCCCCTTGTTTCCACATCCAAAACATGGAGGCTGCTTTTTTAGAACATGGTTTTTGTGTTTGAAATCTTAAAAAAAAAAAGAAAAAAAAAGCTTAAAAATTGAATAAAATAAACAGCAAGAGGAGAAGTTGCCTGTCAGAGATCTGGGCTGTTTTATCTCCACCTGTATTTAACCTTTCCAACCCCTCCTCTTCCTTCCCTCTGTCCTCTCTCCTGCACCCCTACGTCTGTCTGCTGTCTGTTGAGGGGACGAATTGTGATGGGACATCTGCAGCGCCTTGAAGTGCCCCCTCAATCTCTGCTTCCCTCTGGTTTCAACACCCACTGCTCTACACGCCAATGGATTGCTCACTTTTCATTTCTTTTTTTTTTCCCTCTTGATCCTTTTTAAGTTTGATGCTGTATTAGTTTTAGTTTGATATACATTATATAAAATATATGAATATGAACATCAATATGTCTCAGCCGCAAATCTGTTGAAACATGACACAGCACATATTTCATTATTTTATATTTTGATTTTCTAGTGTTTGATAATTTAAGCATGTAAGATAAGATAAGCTTTTTAATGTCTCGGTGGGAAATTTTCCTTGGACTTCACAGTGCTCTAATGCAATAAAAACAACAACAATACATTCATACATCAATTGCACATGTTTACTTTACCATAAAATGTCTCATTCAGTAGCGATACGTGTAAAAACAAGGCTTAGATAAATAGATACTTTATTAATCCCAATACTTTATTAATTCAGATGCTGGCCAAGCAGCCGTACAATTTAATAATGTCCTCAGGGTTCAGTTTAAAGGTCTGTTTTGAGTTTTTAGCTGGTTATGTAACAAGCAGAAATGTACATCAATGCCTCTGTGTGATCGATAAAGACAAACACTTGTAGCGACAAGAGTGATCATTTCTGTGAAGTAATTTTTAATAGTTTATGTTTTAGAGAGAGTCAAAGCTCATTGCAGAAAAAAATCTGTGGCAACACTTCTTATAAACACACCTCTCACAAGTATCAGTAATTATTCTTAAAAGTACGGTACAAGATCAGCACAGGCATTTGCAACAGAGGACCCCCTGTTTCTATAAAATTAAAAAAATAGAAATTCTATACAAAGAAACTCTAACTATAAGGTGAGTAAACTCTAACTGAGCAAATAAAAAGTGAATGTATGCTTTTATTGTCTCAAAAATGTTGGTGTTGATTGCATTTTTACCAGGTCGGATGTTAATAGGCTGCCTTTAAAATAGTTTATTCAATACTGATCCAAGTTGAGACAAAAATCCACAATACTCAGGCAGCCAAGGACAGTGAGGTGCTAGCAAGCAAGGACTGACCTGCTGCTAAGGGCAACAGATTCAGTTTGAACCTTGGCTTCCTGCTTTAAGGACTGCATGATTTATGCTGCGTTCGAGTTACCTCGGAAGTCAGAAGTCTGAGCTGGGAATGATGTCACACCAGCTTTTCAGATACCAAGTTGGAAGAACACAAAATCGGAGGTGGAAACAAGATGGCTACATCTACAAAAGTTATTTTAGCGCTGGCCTTGTCCTTGCTGAAGTCGTCATCTTGTTTCCGCCTCCGATTTTGCTTTTTTCCAACTTCGTAACTGAAATGCTGGTAACTTGGGTGTGACGTCATTCCGGGTCCGGACTTCTGACTTCCGAGGTAACTTGAACGCAGCATTATACACAGGTTTCATTATGCTCTAATCAGGGTATCTTCAACTTTATCAAGGGTCACATGGTATCAGCCAGGACTTAAGTGTGGTTGTTGACTCCATACTGGGATGGAAGACAGTGGTACCTGAACATCTAAACTTTGAAAGACCCTTCAGATACTACCTGGTGGGTCAGTTCAAGTTCAGTCAAGTAAGTCACAAATTCTGTGTGACACTGGCGTTAAGAGAGCGTCTGAGTGAAGCTCAGGGTTCATGCCTCACAGCTCTCTTAGCTTGATCACCGTCGAGATAATCTCAACACATTGCCAATCCTGCTCAGTTTGTTCAGATGACTTTAATCAGATATCAAAGTTTAGCTCAGCGTTTCACGGCTTGGAGACCTTTTTGCCTAACAATAGTTTTAATATTCTCAATCACACACCACCTGGTAATATCAGACACACCGCAGCTAATTTCCTGCCTTCAGCGAGGAGAGATCACGCAGGCTTAGCCCTCCATCTGTAGCAGGGCTCCTCTGTCAGCTCGAGGCAAAGTTTGAGAGCCCCAGCAGACCCGGCGTCACAAACAAACTGCTTCAGGGGAGAAAACACACAGGCAGGACAAGGGGAGACTGGGAAAGAGGTTCACAGAGATGCCTCGTCATTGACTGTATTTACTGTGGACTCTAAAAGAAAATCTGGGAGAAGGACAGTGAGCAATGGCCAAACAAATGCTGGAAAAGAACCAAATATTTAACAGTCTTTAATACACAGCTTGAGAAATAACGAAGTTGTATGCATATGATTTTGATTTCTATGTAAATCCCCGAGGTAAACATGGTCCTGACAGCCAGATAGAGATAGTAGATAACACTCTGACTTGTATTTAGATGGAGATTGTGTCAGGATGCTCTCAATTTGAGGCTAAATTCTTCCTTTTTTATGGCATTGAAAACAGCAATGATGACAAAAAGCTCTTTTGAGAGGAAAATACTTATTGTTAGGCACTCCATTTCTGAATATCATCCTGTTATTTCTAAGATTATTGAGATGAATCTTTAAAAATCCGAACAAAAGATGACACTAGAAGTTCTTGGTTTACTTTTAAAATGCCCAACAGTGAAACTAGTCCGTCTGCCTCCTCTAAATTATTATAAGACTTACTCAAACAGGTCAAAGTCAAAAATCTATTGTTCAGACTCTGACTTTTCTACTGCAAAAACACAACATTGCAGCAAAACTGAACTCTCTATCAACTCATTAAGGAGAGTAATTTAAGACCATGTTTTGTCTCAGGGTAGTTTAAATCTTCTTTATGAACCACTTTGGATTAATCCAGATTAAGTGGAGCTGTTTAAGCTGTTTTGAGTTAGTATCGTTTCAAATGGGAGTTCCGCAAGCTTCCGAGTAATCCTTGTGGGTGAAAAAGATAATTAACTCATGAATCTTTGTGTTAGCGCTGCCATCAAGTTGCGTGCGGTTCATTTCTTTCAAACAGGAGTCTCAAAATATTATTGAAGGTTATTCTTACACATGAAGTTTTCTTCGAGAGAAGTTATACTTGAAAAACTGGGACTATTACTGGTGTGATTCCTACAGTGAGTATGTGACACAAACATCCAGGAGCGTGATAGTGGGTTTGTCTGTTTGTCAGCCACCGTCTTGTTTCTCACGCGAGGAATGAGTCAAAGCTAACGTGCTCAGCCAGCCGAGCTTCCACGTATCTGACCAGACAGGAGATGTTGCTGAAGGCGCTGTGGGTGAGAAAAAATTAACCACTCTTCAGGATGTATTTCCCTGACTTTCTTTAGCTTTTCTCTGATTATGGAAAAATATGTAGCTCGAAATATTTGACCATTGTTGTGAAACCAGGCAGGAAAACAGCTGTCATGAAGTATTAATGTTTGTCTCCAGAGAAAATGAAGCATACAAGTAAAGGCGAGGAGCAAACCTCTCTCTTTGAATACCTGAGGTATTTAACAGTTTCTCATGCCCCTTAAGGATACCTTCAACCTTAAAAACAAGGCCTTGAAAGTTTTGAAAACACTTAAATTAGGGGCAAAACCACAACAAGATTTTGGTCATGAGCTGAAAGTCATCTGTTACGACAGATTTTACGGAGATCCTGCTAGAAAACTTGATACTCCTTGATGGCTGAGAGAAAATCAGGAAATTAGTGGGCAGCCATGTAAATTAATTTCTGGTTTTATGCCTGAACTAAATGAGGGGAAAAGTTTGAATTCAAATCTTTTTAAAAGTTTTATTCTCTTTCATTTTAAAGGGAAAATCTTGTGATAGAGGATTCGGTTGTTTTGCTTTGAGAAAGGATTTGACCTCTTGACCTGACAGATGTGAAAAACTACTTTGATTGCTACCTTTTGTTCCCCCTCAAGCATCCCTTACTCTTACCAAACAGACCTTGAAAGTTAGTCCTTGAATTTGACCGGTGACAGAGCTATAGTTGTGCCCTTTTGTATTTACAGATACATCACTGATTTGGCTGCAGAGCTTCTTTCTGTGTGACTGTGTGTATTTATGTGTGTTTGTGTGTGTGTGTGTGTGTGTGTGTGTGTGTGTGTGTGTGTGTGTGTGTGTGTGTGTGTGTGTGTGTGTGTGTGTGTGTGTGTGTGTGTGTTGGCCATGCAGACACGTGCAGCCCTGGGCGAGGGCGCGGTCAGAGCCGGGCCAGCAGCTCAGTGAGCGTGAAGCCGGCTGTGCATTTATGCAACAGACAGGACAGGTGCATCATGCCTGCCGGTTCCTCGGGGGAACGGTGAACATAGTGCAGCTCCTCTCAGGTGTGAGATTACAGTTTCTCTATCACGCAGATCTTTGAATCTAATGTGCACAGGCATGTTCCTCTCGAGCTCTGCGGCGGATGATGCTGATGGGGTCGGAAATGTCAATGAGACTTAATGATATTCCTCCGTTTTACCTGATCGGACTTGTCATCACTTTTTGTTTCAGCAGGAGAAAAGTCAACAGGTTTTTAACTGTGTGAGGGTAAAAAGAGTGACGGTTGTGAAACAAAGTTTAACTCTGCACGCATGAAATAAATTAGAATGTTTTTCACCCTGGAAATCAAATATTGATCACAGAACAGAGTAACTTGGATTACCTTTTGTTTCAATCAATAAAATATAGATGTATAGTTTTAAAATGAAGTGGTGACAAAAGTTTCTTGATCACCTTTTAAAATTCTTCCAAAACTTGTATCATCACTGCCTACTAGAATTTAACCTTTTACTAAATTATGTTTTCTCTTTCAACTAAAGAGGATTTTTAAATATTTGGACCTTGTCACATAAGTTAGATCTCAGCTGGATGTCTTCATCAGCTGCAGCCCTTCAAAGTGACACAGGAGGATGAGAAAGGGTCTGTGTGCTAATAAGTTTAATCTGCCTGCCTCCCTGCAATAGATTCAGCAGTGGCGACATCAGGTTGCTGTCTTGGTTCCCCGACAACAAAAGAGGAAAGCGTCCGTGATGTTTAACCAGCTCCGCCAGGGTCAAGAATGCAGCCCACTGGCGAGGGGACAGAATTCCTTACAGAAGTGATCTCTCCTCCCTCCTTTTGAAGTGGGACCCGCCGAGATCCGTGAGTACGGTGACTCTCTGAATCACAGGATCCCGGCTCCGCTTGAATCCCAGACTGGCCTAACCTGGAGGGTCAGCCTGAGTTTACTTTCTCAGAGATGCGGGGCCTGCCCAAAGAAACAGAATCTATGCAGCTTAAACTGTTGGGTGGGCACAAAAGGAGGGTCATCTCTGCCTCTCTGTCTCTCTCTGTTCACAGTACTGTTTGTTAATGACACAATAGACATGGGGAGACTTTGGTCTTTATCTCGACAAGAAACCAAACACTTTTTCCTCACAGACAAGTAACCACTTTAGAGTAATTTAATTTTAGAGGAAGAAAAAACTCTTGTTTTTAATCAGGCTTTGAAAAGTGGGATAGAATAAGTACATGCCTAGTTCCATCTTCACTACTTCAACATGTTTAAACATTTTAATTCACTTTTTTTTCAAAATTATATTATATTTGATTTATTAACAAATAAGGGAAAATTATCACTAAATTCATTTAACACGAAGGCAAAAATAAACACATAAATATTCCCTGACTTCATAGACATGGAGACCAGTAAAGTTTTATTGGGTTAAAGGGACATTCAGAAACCTTTCTGGGTTTTTGAATTTCAAAGTGGGAGACTTTGATCCACCACACAGCCGACTCTCAGGTCACACTGTTGGTGTTATAGCTCATAAAAAAACAAACGCATAAAATATAGATAGATTTATGACCAAACTGACCTCCACTATGTGCAGACATGTTCCTCTAAAATCTAAAAAAGGATCTTCATTTGTTGTTTTTATGACAGAAAGCACATACTGATCTGGATTTGTCAAATTTGAATTAAATTATTAAGCATTTTTTGATTGTTTTTTGTTCTGGTTAAGGTAGGTGTGGTGTAGAAACTCCAGTTTAATCCAATAGATAGCTAAGAATTTCATTCCCTAATGAGATTAAGAGCAATATCTTTACAATTTAACAAAGTGAGGATCGGCTTTATATACTTTTGTCCCTTCTGGAAATAAACATTAATGTGCCTGAAGGAAACTTCCCACAGGATCAAATTTAAGAGTTGGTAAATACATTCAGTAAGTGTGACCTCATAGGAGTCCAAAATTAAAAATTAAAGATATTTTTATTTATTTTTTTGATGGTCGCTGCTTCCTCTTGGACTACTGTCACTGGTGCTGCTGTTTTCTTTAACAGAGGGTGCCAATGGAGAAAAACCTCATCTTGGTAGTGCTACCTAAGACAGACAGAGATTTTTTGGCCCCATGAAAATAAATAAATAAATAAATAGAACACTCTAAGTCCCCCAGTGTCACCATCAGAAATGTTCTCACATTTAAAGACCCCTGACAGTCATGGCCCCCTTAATTTAACCAAACCTCTGTCCCTTGTCTGGCGTCTCCGGTGGTACCTCTCATTGGAAACTGTTGAAACTTCAATGCATGGATGCTGGAAATAAAATAAAGATCAGAAATAGAATAGAGTATTCAGGGTTGTTCCACAGTATTTCACAATCCAAATATAAAATTTTGCAACCACAGGAAACAATTCCATTATTGTTTATGTTATTATCCATATTTGAATGTCAAAATTTTGGATTATTTGGCTGATGACAGGAAAAAAAAGTATCTCCTTATGCCCACCAAATACAAAGTTAACCGTTTAATACCTGAAAGCACAAATTATGGCCAGAAAATTCAATCGTTTTTGGAGCTGAAATGTTTATTTCACTTTTGACTGAAAACCAAAAAAATCCAAATGTCTGTAAAATTTAACAAATATATTTATTTATCTATTTTGATACATACATTTTTGGAAACTAATCAACTACAAGAGGACATTTTTATTATTTATTGAACTGTATTCAGGTGGGGTTTTTTTAGTAATTTGTTGATCATATTAATTTGATAGAAGTGTTGTAAAGTATGTATCAAATATGATACAAAAGGCATTAAAGGGATGATGTTGACACAAGAGAGTGGCCATCATGAAGGCTTAATCACATTTATTTGAGTTAGATTAACATGATGAATAAATGTTCCAGTGTTTTTATAGTTATTGGGTAGCAGCAGCCCTGCCATGGTGACCAGTGATAGACCTTGTATATAATTTAGGCAGATTACAATGTAGTTTATTGTAATCTAGCTCATTTTTAAAGTCGTGTTTTTATCGGTTGCTTTACGCAAAGTCGTCTGCTGAATACGCATGCGCTAATCAAGTCCAGGCTTCTATATAAATCCAAAAGTCATATAATTATTGTTCTTTATTTGTTCTTACTCACTACTTTATCTCGCTTATTCTCGTTGTATGACCATTGTCGGCCACTCTGCTCTGGTTGCTCAGTTCAATAGTAGAAAAGTTCCTCTGCAGTCACACCTCACATGTGGCTTTCTTAAAAACCTGTGGTATTCGGATTATCAACCGCATGGGATAAAGCAATAAATGGGCCGGTGGGGTCCTGAATGGGTGCAGTGGCGTGGAGGGGAGTAATTACAGCTTCATATTAATTGTGTTTCTCTCTCTCTCTCCCTCTCTCTCTCTTTTACTCACACACGCACACACACACTCACACTGAGCCTGTGAGCGCTGGTGACATCTAGGAGGGCCAAGTCTTTGTGCGGAACACTTCAAGTTTCAAAAACAAGGCCAATTGAAGCGGCGGAGCTCAAAGCCGGCACCATTGTAGGCGAACACATTGAGTTTTGATTGGGGACAATGGTGTTTCTCAAATTTCGAGCAAAAAGAAAGCCATACTCCATCTGTGATCTCAATGAGCGCCTATTCATACGCTTCCTTCTTTTCTGCTGCTGGAGAAAAGGAGGCAGATGTGGAGGGATCGAGCAGGGGAGAGGACGTTTTAATTGGCTGCAGTGTGTAGCTCTGTCTTTTTACACACACACACACACACACACACACACACACACACACACACACACACGCACACACTCACACTGGAGTTATACGCCACTATAGGAAAAGCGAGAGAGCCCAATAATCTCGCCGTGTTGATGAACACTTGTAGCCCATTCATTAAACAAAGATAATCCCTGCCAACCTAGCTCGAGGGCACTAAAACGGCACGTCTATGTGTGTGTGTGTGTGTGTGTGTGTGTGTGTGTGTGTGTGTGTGTGTGTGTGTGTGTGTGTGTGTGTGTGTGTGTGTGTCTGACAGGAGAGAAAATGGGGACTGTCTGAGTGCTGGCCAACAGCTTTGGCAGAGAGGGACCCTTGAAATCTTTGAAATATTCATACGCTGTGGCATGATCCCCCATTTACCAATAAGTGTTATTCTAGCGCGTGCAGATGATGCTTGACAGACCCTTCAGCCTCTTCAGCTCGAGTGTTTTCAGTGCGGGGTCTTGACCCCCCACTTCTGCTGGGAATAATTCTACATATCTGTGCGCTTTTGTGACTTTGTAAAGTTGGATTGCATGTTTTTAATGTCGATTGAATTTATGCTCATTGCAGCAAGGCTATGATTTACTTTGTTATATTGATATAGAGAAGAGAATACATAGTTTAGTATTCAGTAGGAATGCATTATCGTTTAATATTCAGTTGTCCTAGTCCAGTGATTCTCAACTGGTGGGTCACGTTTTGGGTGGGCTGCGAACAGCTGGTCAAAAAAGTGAATATATCATGCGCACCTGATGTTTGACATGTTTTTTATTTTGAAAAATAGCTTATTTTTAAAGGCACGCGTTATGTCGTAGTCCTCTTTGGTTTCTTATTAATGTGGCCTAAATGCAGTAAAAATATTTTTTCTCCTTTTTTTGTCTTTATTTTGTGCGATTTGATATTTTTTGTACACGGAACTTCAGTAGTTGCCATCTTCAGTTCATGTTCTCTGACGTCCACTTTACTCAATAAAATGGGTTAAAGATTAGAGTTTTTGAAGTTTTTTTTTTTAGTATAAAAAATACATTTGCTTGGTTTAAATTGTATAAAAGTGGGTCGTGACTAAAGGACCATGGGAAAATATGGGTCCCGGAGTGAGATCAGTTGAGAACCACTCTCGTAGTCCAGTAGTGCACCCTTCAAGGACCCATTTTTCCTTCAGGACTTACTGTTAACTAAAGTTATTCATATTGTCTTTGCTATTTTGAGGAAAATATGATATTTTTTGTTTGTTAGTTTTAGTGCATCAGAGTTTGAGAGTAGCTATAGGCCTATCGAGTGGAGACCTGACGACTCTACAATAACGTGTAAGCTATTATCGTTATTATTGGGTGGAATAGACAGTTTTATTCTCAAAACTTCATTTTTTAAAACAACAGAAGTAATGTCGTTTTAGCTTCACTTCCCCACGAAAGTATTCTCGGTTTTTCCTCCAGCCTCCCCCGCTCCCTAGCTGACTCTGGCCTTGCAGGAATGTTTCCCCTGCTCCGTGGCGTGCTGAAGCTGGTGTGAAGTGGCAGGTTAAGAGCCTCTTGTCTCTAAGCCCGGGCCTGCACGGTGTGCCCGTCAAGCGTGTAAATACTTCTGTGTAACACCCCGCGCGTTTCTTTTCTCCTCGGCCTCTTGTCTAACTGCTACTCTAACCTCTGCCTCTGTGCCGGAGCCGGCTGCTGCAGCGGGAGAGCGCGGGAGGGGATCCGATCCCAGCCGGGCTGCAGGCGGGGCAGTGACGGTGGGAGAGGCCGCTAGAAAGCCGCGCCGGGGTGCGAGGGGCAGCGGAAACATGCTGCTACATATGTTGGGTCAAGCATGGCCTTTGTTGTCATCTTAAAAGGGTGTTAAAAACCCACTCGTCTGTAGCCTTCTTCAAAGAAATGAAAGCTTTTTTCATGCATAGGCCTAATGAAGTGGGTGAAAGAATGTTGGATTTTTGAAGTGCGCACAGTCACTTTTAATTGCGCACGGGGCAATTTTAATTGGTCCACGAGGAAGAATAGGCACCATAATCTGTGTCATAGCGCATATTTTTGGAAATAAAACCATTGAAGTTTGTGCCTTTTGGATGAACTCAGAATTACCCTTCAAAATAAAACTCCATGTTGAAATATTAAACATATTCATGCATTTGTTTAAACACAAAATAGCTTGATTAACACTTTAGAAATCTTATTATCAACTATGAAACTCATGATAGAAGCAAATGTATTCTAGCTAAAGTTTTCCTCTCTCAGACTGAGCAGACAGACGATTGAGAAATGAAGGCTGTTTCATTTTGAAAAGCATCCATCCTGAGGTGAAGGTAAAGGACGCTTAATCTCTCCCTCTCTCTTTCTCTCTCCCTCTCTGTGTCTCTCTATCTCTCCAGTGAACGCTGGGCCTTCCTCTGCAGTTTGCTACTATCACTTCACGCACGCAGGACGCGGTGCAAATTTTCCTCCTCCTCGGGCTGCTGAGCTCGTCGCCCATGCAGATAATTACTTTGAATGTCAAAAAGATGTAGTTTTAATATCGTCTCTATTAGCCTGTTGGCTAGGTAATTAAGGTGCAGATGACAGCGGCGAAGGAAACAGATGGCATTTGCTTACAGTGATTCAGAAAGTAAACAATGAGCCCGAGAGAGAGAGAGAGAGAGAGAGAGAGAGAGAGAGAGAGAGAGAGAGAGAGAGAGAGCAGCCATTTATTTTCTTCACGCTCAAATTCTTCTTCTTCTTCTTCTTCTTCTCGTTATCGTCCTCCGAGGGGACAGACAATTGTTGATTTCAAAAACATCTATAACTTTCTAATCTGATATCAAATAGCCGCGTGAAGTCTCTCGTGAGCGAACAGGTGAGGAAGCAGGTGGCTCGCGCGAGTTGCCCTTTTTGTTGCTCCGCGCGCGTGGACTCCTTAAATCTGCGGAAGCATCACAAAATTATCAAGTGGGCAAAAACAAAAACAAAAAGCATTCAGAGATGGACGCTTTTTTTCTTTTTAGCTAATGTTAGCAGAAAAACAACACGAGGAAGAATTGTACAAGTATTTACTACGTTCATTTTGGCCTGTCGAGAATTTAATAGACAAAAATTGATATAAGTTAAAATGGCGGCCTATTTTGTCCTCTGCTGTCTGCTGTTCATTTCTCCTATTTTGTTTGACATAAAGGGCGACGTCAGGAACACGCTAAAGGCAAAAGTCAACGTCGTTAAATAGACTTTAGTCACACTGGAAAATATAACAATTATTATTATTATTATTATTATTATTATTATTATTATTATTGTTACTATTATTGTCACTATTATTATTATAATTGTTATTATTACTACTTCTACTATTATGCTATAAAAATAGTAATAATAATAATAATAACAACAACAAAGACAACAACAACAATAACAATAATAATTATAAAAACAATGCTAATAAACGAGCTGAGCATGTTTCAGCATTTCTGTATCTCTGTTATATATTTTATGTGAATTTCGTAGGCCACTACATCATGATTAAATTGAGCACAGAAAATAGACACTTTAAGTAGCCTACACAAATAAATTAAAAAACAAACAGAAAAATAAATATTCTATACCGAATGAATTAATAAAATATCAGTCCTTAAATTTGTATTACTTTCATGATGTTTTATTTCAATGAAACCTATTTGATATTTAACTGTTTAGAAAAACTGAGCAACGTTAATTATCTCTTGGCACAATTAGACGCGCTTGACTAGAAGACAAGCTGAAAAAAAATCAAATAAAAAAAAGGAATTTTTGGATCTTGTTAAAAATATTTTTCATGTAAAAAAATTAGATAATTATTGTGAAATAATGTTCGTTCCCGTTATGAGACAATGAGGGAACATTTTAGATCATTACATTCACATAAAACAGCAAAACTGATTTCATGCAGACTTAATCAAATATTTTTAATACATTCAATGCATGATGAATATACAACCGGAGTTATTTTATGTATACATACAAATCAACTATACGTGAGGAAAGTTGTAAAAGTTGCAAAATTCAAATATTTTCTCATGCTTTGATAGGCAACAATAACAATGAGCATAGGCAGCTGTATTAAAATTTCAAATAGATTTTATACTCCGGATAAATATGCGAACAAAAGTTAGAGTTTACATTCAGTCATTTTCTTAGAGCCGGTTGAAGAGAGCAGGTTAAACACTGAACACGTACAGCTTCACTATCTGCAGTCAATAACTCTCTGCAAACACACACACACACTCTCTCTCTCTCTCTCTCTCTCTCTGTTCTAACGGATCAAATGCTCTTTTTCTTCTTCAATCAATAAAATAAAAGATACTTACCCTCCAGCTTGATGAGGTTTAAGTCTGTCATCATCGTCTTTATTTCGGGGGAATAGAAATCTGAAATCAGCTTCTTGTGAGGAGCATCGACACATCTGCAGTCTTAATATATATATTTAAAAAACAAAGTTTGTCTCAACTCTATTTGAAGAAGGGAAAATGTTCCTCAGTTTATCTTATTTTTTCTTCCAACTTATACCTGCTCATCATCCTTTGACAGAGCAGACTGAATGAAACAAAACATACTATTGTTTTAAAACCTGTAAAATTCTTTTATGAAATACACACTGCATCGATTTTTAGCTTTCCGGGAACTCCCTTCAGATTCTTAACACTTGATATTTGGAAGAAGCACTCAGGTGGACACAGTAGAAAAAAGAGGCAGGCCAATCAGATCGCGTCTTCCCCCTTTGGCCAATGACAGGCGCCACATTGTTGTCAAATTTGTCTAATGAAAACGTAGGAGCAACAATAGAGAGGGGGGAGAGAGAGATCTGTATCCACTGACAATCTCTGGAGGAAGTTAGTGTCTCAGGCTGCAGCGAGTAACAAGCTCGGCTCCTCCCGGACACTTTAAACTTTCTGTTGGGGAGGACTGATCGCTGCTCTCCTGCTCTACTCGGATCTAAACTCCGCACTATCTTCATCTTTGTCTTTTTTCCCCCTGTTGAATCCCTCAACAATTTCCTCAAGAGTATTTTTCCTCAAGATCGCCTCGCCAGTGGTTGTTTTCACCTGTTGCAAGATGTTGACAACCGCTGTGCAGATGTGAGCGTCTTCAACTTCTTTACACTGAAAGTCTCGTTTTCAGCAGCGCAGTTTTCTCGGTAAGATTTCAGTCATACTAGTGCGTATTGTTGGCATGGATCTGAGACCGGAGCTCCCTACGGTGTCCTCGGCTTCCCAAGTCCACCCAGGGGCTGCCGCGGCGGCGGCGGCTGCAGCAGCCTCCATCCCCGTGTCTATGGCCGGCAACCTGCTGCGTGGGCCTCCGCTGCTGCTGCGGGCCGCGGACAAATACCCGCGCACCCCGAAGTGTGCCCGCTGCAGGAACCACGGGGTGGTGTCCGCGCTCAAGGGCCACAAGCGCTACTGCCGCTGGAAGGACTGCATGTGCGCCAAGTGCACGCTGATCGCCGAGAGGCAGCGCGTGATGGCGGCGCAGGTGGCGCTCAGGCGGCAGCAGGCGCAGGAGGAGAACGAGGCGCGCGAGCTGCAGCTGCTCTACGGCACGGCGGAGGGACTCGCGCTGGCTGCTGCGAATGGGATCATCCCACCGCGACCGAACTACGAGGTGTTTAGTTCTGTGGGCAGCGAGAGTAACTCAGGTGAGTGGAGCCGCTTTACGCATGAAAGTGTAAGAGTTAAGAAGTACAACTGAGGTTCATTAAAAATCTGGAGGTGTCTCTAAATTGAGGAATAACTTACTTTGCAATCAAGGTTTAAAATTGCGTTTGGTTAAACTCTTCCTTCTCCACGTGGCTTGATATCATAACTCTTCATGATCACATCCTAAACACGCCTAGGTCCTTTTCAGCGAGTCTAAAATTTGGAAAGGTTGTAGAAAAACAAATGATTTATTTCTGGCTTAATGTGATCGATATTTGGTGAGTGTATAATGTGTTTTACTTCGAGACTTGCTTCTAGAAATAGCGATCGAGACTTCTTCAAAGTGAGATGTGAGACATTTCTAGATTTCTTCGAGATGCTCTGGTGTAATGATGACCTCTGGGTTCACTGTATGAATGACCTGGCCTGTTTTGCTCCCTACCTTACACTGTCTGTGATGTTCTCTTGTGTCAACAGATTCAAGTATCCAGAAGTATGATCTGTTCCCAAAGAGCCAGCTCTCCGGCTCTAACACCCCTCAGCAGGCTGCGGGGAAATCGGCCTCCACCGAGAGTGACTCTGCGCCCGGCATCTCCTCCCCGGACGGCCGGCACGGAGGCTCGGGTTCAGAGAACGGAGACAGTGAGTCCTTCATCAGCTCGCCGGTCTCTAAGCCTTTGAAAGATGGAGGGGAAACCCCCGGCTCCGTCAGCTCCCTCGGCTCTGATTCTGGCTCTGAGACCGACAAAGACGAACAGGAGCCGTCCCCGTCCTCCGCGGCCTCCCGCCACATGAACGCCATCGACATCCTGACCCGGGTGTTCCCGAGCCACAAGCGGAGCGTGCTGGAGCTGGTGCTGCAAGGCTGCGGGAAGGACGTGGTGCAGGCCATCGAGCAGATTCTCACCAACAGCGGCGCTCAAACCTCCAACAAAGGCGGGCCGGACGAGACGTGGACAGCCGAGAGGATGCTCCAAAACGCACAGCAGCCCCCACCATCCTCCGCGTCCTCTACAACCCCGACCAGACCCATGTTACCCGGCGCCATGACGCTCAGCAATCGCTCTGCATTTTCTCCTCTCCAGCCCAACGCCCCGCACTTTGGAGCCGACCCTAGCACCTATCCTCTGGGCACCCACCTGGGACTGAACCCGCTGCGGTTGGCCTACTCCGCGCACAGCCGGGGACTGGCTTTCATGACGCCCTACTCAACCACTGGCCTGATGCCCACTCTGGGCTTCAGACCCCCGATGGACTACGCCTTCAGCGACCTGATCAGGGACAGGACGATGTTACATAAGGAGCAGGGTTACGCCGGCGGCCTGTACGGGCCTCTGGTCAACAACACGCCGGAGAAGCAGTGAGGCTCCCGGACTGACCTTCTAGAGACACATTCCTCTGTATTTGTAGCCGCAAGTGTTGAATGTTCTGGAGAAAATCTGTCATGTGTTTTGGCTGCAGGCTGCTGTAAATAATTAGAGTATCCAGCTTGAAGTCAAAGGGTCTGAGAGGGGAGAAAATCTAACCTCACTTTAATGTGACAGTCTAAAAAATAATTTCTATCTTTGACTGCAAATGTTTGGATGACATTCCTCTCGTGAAAAAAATATTCCAGTGACATATAAGACCCCGAAAAGGTACTTTAAGAATTAAAAACAAACCTTAATGAGAATATAGGCAGGACTGACATCAGAGCCTGTTTCAAGTTTTGGAGATTTTGAATAAAACAAAATAAAATCATCATTTTTTAAACCAAACTGTTTAAAATTCATTCACACACATGGACTTTAAACGAGACAACACTAAGTTATTATAACCTGTAGCTTACGGAGTGTTAACACTATCCTTCCTGATGTAAAAGTTCCACTAATACTGTGTAAATGACATCCCATTTTTCCCCTCTGTATTATTTCACTCGTCTCACTTTTGTTTTTAGCTCGTTTCAGACTGCCTTGTATTATAACCGCATTTGTTGATATAAAATGCTATACTATGCTATATTTGACTTTTTCAGTTATTCGTTATAGTCAGTTAAAATATTTTGTGGCAAAGTGCTGGATCGAGTCAGTTCCTCTTCAGATGTTACAAGCTGTGCTGTCACATTGTATGAACATGCTGGAAATAATAAATGTTATTTTAAAGAAATGTGGACACGAAGGATGATGAGTATTTCATGTGCGCAACAACCTCAGTTTGGTAGACTAGGCCTGCTGTGTGTCAGGGTAGATATTTGTGTTATTTAATGATAACATGTTTTCCTAATTGGATGGGTGGGATATTCTTAATTAGAGGAACATAAAATGAAGAAAAATACATCCTATACTCTTGGGGGTGTACTTAAACGCTCCTGTAGCAAAAAGCTTTCTATGGTTTTCTTTAAGTAGGAAACGTGAAATCATAAAATAATGCTATTATATTTGCCTTGTCACCATAAATTATCACCATTTGGTCATCCCATAAGATTGATAGTATAGTTTAATATACGGAACAGTATTTTTGAAAACCCGAGAGTTCAGTTTAAACCATAATTTCATCTAGAAATGAAGCGACAAAGTTTTAAAATTAAGTGAATAAACGAAAGAACAACAAATAAAATAGAGTGTGAGCTTCATGCTAGCAAAAGCATGTTGATTATCAATCAATCGATCGATCAATAAATCTTTATGAACAGTCTAATTCACAACAATTTTTTATCTAAAGTCACAAATATTGTTTCATAAATTTGTATTTTTCCTTCACAAAATAAAACGTTCATATCAAATTCCTGCATTAATGTTTGACAAACATGATACCATATCTATTAGTAGCCTCTTACTTTGTTGTTTGTATTTTGACCAAGATTATCCTGCAAGATTTGTGGATAGTTAAAAAAACTCCAGAGAGTCTGTCTTATGTATTCAGGAGGAGATAAAATGGTCTTCAAAATGCTGCTACAGACGGATCTCTGTTAAGAACAACATTTATGTGCTGATGCCCCATAACTGACAGGATGTGTCCCTTTTTTTCTGCTCCTGTCTTTTTAACATCCTGAGTTCTACAGTAATACTGCCTAAAGATCAATCAACCAATCAATCAACCAATCAATCAATCAATCAACGATGGGAGAAGAAAAGAAGAAAAAGGAGGAGATTTTTAAAACTGTTTTTGAGACATACTGAGAATGCTCAAACCGAAAATAAAGTAATTTTTAACACAAGCGCCTTTTTTGAGTTTGGCGTCCATGTGGGAAATGTCCCTGAAAACCCCCCCATTATATTCATTATTTTCAAATGATGGAGAAATTAACACGTCTTTTGAAATAGACGATAAACATATATGGTCAAAGATATAAAGGAGTCTTTCTTTGTTCTCGTCTTTTTTTTTTTTACTTAAAAAAGTTTTTCTCTCACGCACATCAGTGTAAAAATGTTGAGTGAATGCAGAATTTCAGCTTTAGCTCTATCTGCATTAATTTTACTCTATCATGAATAATAAAAAAAATAAAATGAAATAAACTAAAAATTAATACAGCCTTAGGCGTGTCTGAGAATGAATTAGGAAGATCATGTTCGGCTTAACCAACCGAATTATAGGTCTAAAATTTTTACCAGATTGACATTTAACATCCCAATCGAAACAAAGTACAACTACAGTAAACCCTTTTCCTTTTCTGCTTCAGGTCTGGACGCTTTACAGTTGCTCCTGTTAGATGGCCTGCTCTTTTGAATTTAGGTCTCTACTTTGCTCACACTTTTCTTCAATCTGACAGCACAGTCTCACCAGCCTAATATTTTCCAAAGAGCAGTGGCGCCATCTGCTGGTCTTGCAATGTCAGTACAAGGCAGCTTTTCCAAGCAGCTGTCGCGCTCAAAAGCTCCATTCAAATACTGAACTCTGATTGGCTAATCGGCTGCAGGCTCTGTGCCGAATCAGGACAGGGGAGGAGACAGACAGACAGAGGGCATGCAGCAGAGACCTGTAGGAGAGGAGAGGAGAGGTGAGGTTATAGACCTGGTTTGGACGAAGAAACACACACATAACACACACAATCTTCAGTAAAATGTGATTTAAGACTTTCATTCTGATAATAAATTACCTATTACAAATACACACTTAAGAAGTCATATATACACATTCATTAATAAGACTATTTATTAGGGCCTGACTAATTTATCGGCGAGCCGATTAAACTGGCCAATTTCAGCCCGTTTGAGACTTATCGGTAATCGGCCAAAACTCGCCGATTTTCGCCGATATTTTCAGGAATAAGATGCAGAGAATAAGATTCAGTTTCACTTTGAAGATGTTCCACCATTTGAAAAGTTCCCCGACTTATCCTGTAGATGGCGCAGCGACCTCATGACAATCTTCATCAACTAACTACCTCACAGCACAGCAGAGTGAGGGATCTGCAGCAGGCAGCTCAGGGATGAATGGAGGAGAGTGGTCCACCTCAGCGGTAAATAAACCAGTTTGTGAAATACACAATAAGTCAACAAGTTTCAGTTCAACCCACTTCACGATGTTCCCCGCTGTGCTGGTCTCGGTCACGCTGAGTTAACAGTGAAGCACCATGTAATATGCAAGCTACAGTTAAAGTTAGCCATCTGCTATCAACCTTACTACACTGTTAGCCGTGCCAGTAACGGTAGAATAAACAACAGTAAACATTACGTGATCGAGCTACTTCTCTTACTGAGGCAGCTGCATGTCTCCAGATGAGACCGGACCGGAAATGACTAATGTGAGCTACGACGCGGAGGCACCGATCGGCGGCAGTGCTTTTCTGGTTCGAGTTTGATCAGTCGGTCTTCCTGTTGGCGTGAAGAGCAGTAGCATACAGTATATAGTATATTGTAGATATCTACAGTTTATATATTTTTTAATAACTTCATAATTAAAAAAAAAAATCGTCGGATTAATCAGCCCCCCCCCCCCCCCTAATAATCAGTATTGGCATTGGCCGCAAAAAATCCATATCGGTCGGGCCCCACTATTTATTAATAATGTGATTGCCTTTTGTATCATATTTCATAAATACTTTTGTGATACTTCTATCAAATCAGTATGATCAACAAATTACTAAAAAAAAACCACCTGAATACAGTCCAATAAACGATAAAAAAGTCCTCTTGTGGTTTATCAATTTCCAAAACATCTCATGTATCAAACGAGATAAATTTAAATATATGTTAAATTTTAAGGACATTTTGAATTTTTTGGTTTTCAGTAGTAAATGAAATAAACATTTCAGCCAAAAAATATAGAATTTTCTGGCCATAATTTGTGATTTCAGGCATTAAAGGGCTAACTTTCATTATTAAAGCTAATGTAAAGGCACACTTCATCATGCAGCATCTGTACAGCCACCCCATTCAGACAGCAAATTTAGTGTGTGCTTTTTATAGTTATGATGCACTGACGCTACTGAAGACAAAGATATCGACTCCCTTCATTCAGACAGATGTGTGTACAGAAAACACCACTAGATGACAGTCTTGTCAAACAAATAGTCCTGCAGCAGCCTTCTGTCAAACTACACTTCATGTAACAGATGCCTGCAAGATCCAATAAGTAGCTTACAACAGGAGCCAATAGCTAAGTGCATTAATGGGTCATTGTAGAAAAGTCTCTGGTATTAAGTTTTATGGCTGCATTACTAACATGAATAATCACATTTGAGGTTCAATATTCAATTTAAAACATGACTTTAAGTGTGTTTTGGTACATCAGTGTTTATAAAGGCAAGATAGAATTTTAATTTTGCATGTGTGCCTATTTAACACACACACACACCAGGGCCAGGCTTGAATTTAGTTGTAAATGCTGACGTGAAAACAGCGCTCTCTGCTGGATGTTTCATTGCAAAGCAAACCTCACTACCAAATCTGAGCCGAACAAGACAGCAGCAGTCTGATGAGGCAGAAATATTTTTGGTATTTTGCCTGATGTTAATTTGCATCTAAAACAGTGCAAAATTTAATGGCAGTGTCATCATAATGCAAGAAAACAAACAACATACAGTCATTGACAATGACAGCCACCCCGACCCCGTGACCCCTGTGTTTGTTAATCCAGCTGAAACTGAAGGAGTGCTGCAAAAAAGCGTTAAAACTTGAGGTAGAAGAATCATCGCTTTGGAGAGTAAATCTGCTCTGTTGCAGTGAATACACAACTATCCTTTCTACACTTCTTTCTCTGTGTTCACTAATGAATAATTAGACACTGGCAGATAAATGGCCACAGGCTCCCAGAGCATGCACAGAAAGAGAGAGAGAGAGAAAAAGAGAGAAATCCATTTAGGTTATTACTCCATACATAAAACCCATTTCCATTTTCTGAGCGGCTGTTTGGTCTACTGTCAGAATAACAAATAGATAAGAGCAAAACAAACCAACAATGAGACGAAAACAATTGTGCACATTCTGCGCTGAATTTCGAGTCTGAACTCAAACGGCCAAGAATGCTCTCTCAAAATAAAACAGATAAATTAACAATATAAATAAATTCTCTTTGACTGGGCTACAGTTTGCACTCAGACATTTTACTACTTTGCTAGCTCACCATGTGTTGTCTGGATTAAAACTCTGCTAGTGATGCAAAGACACCAAACCTGTTGATACAAGCAGACGCTGAACTCATCTGAACAAACCCAGAGCTTCATTTCATAGATTGCTGTTGTAGTAATTAAATACTGCATACCCAAAATAGGTACTGCATGTTGCCAGTGAATTATGGGAGTATGGGGCAAATGAATTGAAAGACCTTTAATTTGAGGGCTGTAGGGGGTCTGTGGTCATGGCCAGTTTTTAGGCTTTGCAGGGCATAAATGAAAATAAGTGAACAGTTTTAAAGTAGGTGTAAATTATGAAGTGTAAACAAGGGTGAAGAAAAGCAGATAAAAACTCAGGCGCGCATTCGTGTGTGTGTGTGTGAGTGTGAGTGTGAGTGTGAGCAGTCAGGTAAGCAGTATTGAGCGTGGGCTCCTCGCTGTATGCGTTAATAACAAAACACCCTTGGATGGTATTGATTTGAGAATCTCATTCCCATCTGTCCTTCGAAGGGTCCCTTCATCATTTTGCCCCGGGAGCACTCCTCGCCATCCTCGACCCCCACAGACCCTCCTCCTCCTCCACGCAACCTAAAGCCCCCTTTCCTTTCTTATTTTTACTCCCTAACCATCTTTCTATCACACATAAAGGTACAGAACAAGATAAATATAAACATTCTTTGCCACATGCATACTGCCATATTCAAAGGGTATTCAACTTTCTTTGT